CCAACGGCTGCGCTCAAGCTCTCTATATCGAGTCGTTTTGAAAACGGTTATGTAACGAACGACTGGTCGCGAATGCTTGCATAATGTAGTTTGCTTTAGTGAGCAATGAATGGACGCATGTTTACATTTACTACGAAATGGACAAACGAAAACTTAGTGCGTCAGATGCACCATCGTTCACACAGGGTGTTAGTCGACAGCCAGCAGCACTTGCTGCGGGCTCAGGTATCGGAGATCGCTTCGTCTTTGCGCCTTCGGGGGCTATTTCAAAAGTGGGCGCAACTTCAAGTTGGCGGCGGAAAGGTATAAGCGATGCGTTATGTCGCCAGAATGATGGTAGAGTGATGGTCGACTTGAAGTATACAAATAAAAAGTTAAATCTTTAAGATGGCTACACGACATATTCATAGGGGTAGGGCAGTCTATCGACACGATATCTGCGCCTCGAGAGATCTATGACCGACATATACTCTGCATATCGGCTGCAGATATGTCGACGGTTTGATATACTTTTGGCAGGCGTTCAGTTGATCTTTGTTCGTCCCAAGCTAAGGCCGCCTTGCCCGTGTTCACGCCGCCTCTGTCGAGAACAGAAAACGCCTTGGCACCATAGCAACCAGCTACAAACTTCTGTGTCGCCTTGTAGCCGAGTCGGAGCTTGTCCATCTTCGCGTAGCAGCACCAGAGGTACTGGTGAAGCCGCCTTTGAAAGTGAAGAGCCAGCATGTTGATGGTGATTTCCATCATATTGGCCATTGCGCGCCTCATGGCTCGCGAAATGACGCTGCTTGCCACTGGAAGCTCCGATGCATCGTAGACTCATCTTCCTCCAGCAACGAGAACACGCCGCCGAACGTTCAGCCTGTTCTGCGCCACGACAACAGCGCCCGTGTCACGGGTGCTGACGATGCCGCCAGCGCGACGGACACGGCGACGCCGCCCTGACTCACTCCAGAGCGGACCAAGCACCGATCCAAGCGCGTGACGAACCCGCCGGCAACGCCAGAGACACCGACGGCCTCGCTGCCAAATTCGAGGGCGCGCAGGAGCCCGACGACGTCCTCGCCCGTGCTCCTGGAAACGCCTCCAAGTTCGCTGCCGCGCGCCACGACAAGCACGGCGCTTCGCCCTCAAGCATGCCAAGCCGCTGCCGCCCCGTACTCACGACAGCGCTTGGGGTCCAACCATGGTTCGCACAGCCAGCGCTCGGAGGACCATCGCACGGAGCCCCAGGTAACATTTGCGGTACTATCCCCATGGCACCTTAGGCGACCTTCGCCCAACTCACTGCCCGCCGTGGGGCTCGACGTGCGTTAGGTCGAGTCACTCACAGGTCGCGATAAAGCTACATTGAGGCAGAACGATTCGGTGCGGCTGCGCTTCATGCTGTGGGTCTTAGTCAGCGGTTTGGACAACGCGGAGTTTGTGGTGCGAGTGAGCAGTCAGCCGCACATCACGGACACTCTCACGTCTGTGAGCAAGGGTATTGATGGCTTTAACGACCTCGACGACGATGTCGAGGATACGGTGGCGATTGACCCTACGCGATACGACTTCTGCAGTTGCTTAACCCTTTTGCGATGGTCCTGTGTAAAGCATGGCTAACTAATGGCTAACTAGCATGTTTTACAAAATCGATCCAATCAGAGTTGAGAACGATGAATTTTGGCCAGTAAGGGTCGGGGCGGAAAGCGTATTAAATCATGGCTAAGTAGCATGTTTTACATTAGGTACGAATAAAACCCAGTCTTACGTCCGATTTTGGTTTGCGGGCTGCGGCATAAAACCATGCATCTAGCCATGTTTTACGGTTTTGTTTGGGGATACACTCATACAAATTCAAAGTATAAAATTCATCGCAAAAGGGTTAATCAATGTGAACCCCAGTTTGTGAAATTCATATTTTGGACACAAAATTGACGACCGTGGTGAGGATGCAGGAGGGCTCTACAGCGCCCGCAGTATTGGTAATGGCTACATAAGCAGATTTTGTGCCACTGGCGTAGCACAAGTTCCGCTTCGCCGACTTCGAACATGTCATGAACAGCTTCATTACGAGACATACTGCGACGAGTTTGAACTTTTGCATAACGAGTTCCCAACCATCACCGTAGCCTTGGGACCCGCACTATGCGTAGGATACTTTTAAATCTACCACCAGCACTTTAGGCTACACATAGGTAATACTCGATACGATGATTAACACTGTGCTATAAGCAGAAAATCATGGATTCTTTTCGCGCGTTTCACAAACTTGGCTTGAGCTTCGAACAGCGTTGACCCTAAGTCATAATTTAACAGTCGCAAAAAGTATGTCTTAGCGGATGACGCTCAGTCTTGCAAACATTCTCCTTTAACCAAGTTCAGGTATATTTTATGTAGATTTGTGTATTGTGAAAACCGGCAAAGATGTCCAGACCAGATTAGCTTGATAAGGAGGGGTAGAAATGGGGTGCGCCAAATCCTAAATCGTAGCGTTGGTCGTAAACCGTCCATGTGCAAATCCCTATCAAATGCTAATGAGAGCCTAGATTCCTGAGCTATATAAATGGCCGCAGAGGCGCACTGCATCGTGGAGCGGGCTAGAGCAAGCGTATAGGCAGCCACTCGTGCCAAATTTCAGCCCCGTGAATAGTTCAGAGGCAGACACATATTGCATGTACCCATTGGGTGTTTCATGTATACGGCAGCGTCGAGTTTGCCATCCACGTTGGCATGGGGCACCGTTCATATAAACGAGCTACCCTCATAATGCCCAGTGTCACATGGGCATTCGACGTGATTTGATTATAAATCGACGGCAGTCCGCGGTTTTTGAACAGGGCTGGGGAACGCCAAATCGGAGTAGCATCTTATTTATATATAACAAAACAGGTCTCAGCCGGTTAATAAGCACCCAAATCGATCGATTTGCAAAAAAAATAGGACATAGTGTTCGGTTTTCACAATATTACTTAAGTATCTAAAATTGTGGATGTAGGGGCACACTACAAGAGTCTATTTGAATAAATATCTGTCTCGGAACAAATCGCAGCCCCGCATCATGCCGTGGGCTTGTAAGGATTGTGAAAACACATTCAGCCTCCTATACATGTATAATTTGAAAGGATTTGTCCATCGGTTGTGTTATTATACTAACGTAAATTCCCGAATAATACCCCTTACCCGTATAGTACCCTCTAAAACGTAACCCAATGTGTATCCCAGGGCTACAATGTTACTTCCATACAAAGATCAAGTATATATTTATGAATTTATTGTCGAAAGCATGTTTATACTGTGTAATATCCATAATTTAGCATATTTGTTTTGAAAATGGGAGGGTACTAATAAATAGTGTCCGGGGTATTATTCGGTAATTTCCGTTATTTACTTCTTCTGGAGGTCAACAGCATGCGCGAAAGTATCAAACCCCAGGTTTTTCATGATAATGAATTCAACACAAACGACTAGAACATGTCGACTGGGCTCCAGGCTTGAATAATTTCGAGTGACCGCACAAACATTTAGCGAACTAGTGTATTATATATGGATTAGAACGCGTATTATGAGTTCAGCCGGAGATTTTGCGGAATAGTTCATATTTATTCCGTTTTTCTGGCATGTGCTGATGCACGTCAGTTATACTGGCTGAGTTAGAGTCGAACATGTCACTGTTTAGAATAATTATGTCGAAATATTACAATAACTCAAGTGTTCGCAACAGCCACAATCGTCCAGGAAATAGCACTGATATCGAAGTTGCACAGTTATACTGGGATAGAAAGCAACGTTAGTGCTGCTATCCCAGACCAAATAGGATTATATCCGTGGTACATCTAGTCAAACGATGACCCCTCTTGGCATCTAACTGGTATTCGCAGTTCGAAGAACTGTCGATTGGGGAAGGTTTTTGGATGACATCAAACGACATTCGCGCTACATTTCTTCGTGACTCGCCAGCGACTGACATCGAGTAACATTTTCGTGCCCTGTGGCACCAACGGGTGATCGAACAACATACACAACCGATATCGTAGGACATTCCATGACGCTATATGACCAAATGCTTCGCATTTATCGACGCTGGGCAAAGGGGGCTTATTGGACGCCCCTACCGCGGTACGATACCCATCACAGTTGCAAGCTCACGGTCAGACCTAACATAGATCTGTGTTTGGTGGGGTTAAACACTATGGGTGTTTTCTTTCCTCCTTCCTCCCGCTGTGAACTCCAACCTCGGTTGCAGCGCGCAGCTTGCCGGCAAGTTCCTAACCACCGACGGGTCACAACAAGGCGGGGAACGTGGAACCGTTGATCAAGTCCGGAACTCTGTAGCATGAGGCGGCTCAAACGCCGGGCCTGGCACCGCACTGAACTTTAGCGGGCGTCACGGCCACCACGGAGTTCACTTCAAATGCGTACAATGTGAGACTAAGTTTTTTTACAGCAGAAATGACACTAGCGACTAGCCAAGCAGGATCAAGACGTCATCTTAACGCTTTAGATTGAAAACAAATTACGACTAAGCTACTTTACTTCGCTTTTGATGTTTTGGCTTAGCCCGCCTACTAAGCGTTCCACATGCTCAGGCTGTCACTATCAGTCCGGATCAGCTGTTATACAGTGCGCCGCTTCCGCCGTTGCAGACCAGCCCCCCCCCTTCCGTTTGTTATACTAACTTACAGGGAAATTTTAGTAGCAGCAATATATTTTTGTTACACCTTACTCGTCATCAGTGACTAACTGGATTTTGGGGGTAATTTGGGGCAAATGCTCACCACAAACACAATCTGTAGCGCGTCCTGCCTAGATATGCTATCAAGCAAGAAAAAAACAGGACTGGACTTTACCCAGCTATTCTTTCGTGACTTCGAAACTCAGGTTAGCCAACTTTGTCGTAAGTTGGCACGCTTTGTCCATGAACAATTGGAGCTTTGATGAGTTGGTGATAGTCACAATGGCGCCGTCTGGCGGCATGCCTGGCGAGTCCGCCTTGCACCCGAAGATAGTTGCTGTCATCAGCATCTCGTCAAATGCCATGTAGTCTTGATCGTATTCGTCGCGGAATGTTTTTTGCGTGACATCCAGGGATTCCGTGCTTCTTTGTCCACGATATGTATGCGCGCAACATCACCAGTCTTGACCGTGTGAGTAGATGTCCACACTACCTTCCCCTCGACCTTGAGGCGCGCTCGCACAGATGGTTGGTTGACGTCGTTGGTTTTTATAAACCTCTCTAGAGCTTCCTTTGTTGTGACCGTTATCTCAGCTGCCTTCCGCTCAGCCCGACGCAGTTTGAAACGCTCCAGCGGCGACACATACGGAGTGGACGAGATAGTCGATTTTGCCGTCGCCTGTGTTGCCGCATGATTGGAGGAACTGACACTACGTCCGGCGGGTTGATGGGTACTGTTGCGACGACATCGCTTGGTACCCGTGGTATCCATGTCCGGCTTGCTTTCAGCTGGGCGCTTCTTGGATGGTTCAGCAGTCATGTTTCTTTGTTGGATTCAGCAGGTAATATGTGGAATGAGTTCACTCTGCTCCCCCAACTTGCATATCATTGCTAAGGTGGAGGGTCCCTCATGGGTAGCATCTTTTCGGATAGAAATAAACTCACTTATATGTCAAGCACTGTCAATCTCGTTGATTACATTGATAGTGACTAGACTAAATAGAATGGCAAATTGACTTGTGGAGTCGTATTCTCACTAAAGGAAGGAAACAAAACTAGTGGCGCTGGCGACACCCCCAAGTGACCAATTAACGGCTTCACCGTCCGTAACGCCGGCTTGTGATACTTGACTATGGGTGCGTGCTGACGTGTTGGGTGGGGGTTGGACCAGACATCAGGTTTGAACGCTGTTGCGGGTCAAGGGTGTACAAGTGTGGGTTATAGTAAATCCGATGCTATGTGGGAATGTTCAGTTGTCATTTTAGAATTTGAACGGTGCTGATGAAGTCGCTAGCAGCCGTCGCTGCAGTTGTCAAGTATTCTTCAATATCGAGTGTTGGCGAGTTTGCTGTACCGCTGATTGATGTCTGGCTTTCTCCCACTCCCCATGTGTCGCTGTTGAAGGCATTTAAGCTCCGCTCATTTGACCTTGTCGCCCGGACCGCTTGGTACACGCCAGAAGATTTTGGCCTGAAGCTACAGCAATCCAGGGACTACAATAATGCCTTATGTGGTGCACTTTATGCCGGCGATCTGCAATTTGCCCGACATCTTGTTACATTCTTCCCGAACTACTGTGTTACGGATGCCGTTGCAGCGGCTGCAGCGGGTGGGCACACCACCTTTTTACGATGGCTGCGTAACCAGGGCGTAGTCGCGTGCTGGGGAAAAGTTGCAGTTGCAAGAGCTGTGCGTTCGGGTCAAGTGGACACATTAAACTTTCTTCTCCACGAAGTCACTGCCCCCTTTGACAACCGATCGCTTTCGCAAGCAGCACACCGCAGAAACCCGCATGCATTGTGGTGGCTCCTAGCAAATACAAGCTTGCGCCCGGACAATCGAGCACTAGTGGCAGCATGTGAGGCGGGGCGCCTAGCGAATTTACAGCTGCTTGCACCACAAGTGGCTGGCAGACACTCCGATTGTGCAACGCAGGCCGCTACATACGGTCATCTCGACATTATGAAATGGTTGCATCGCCACGGTTTTGCTTTCACACGAGAGCTTATGAATGGGGCGGCTATAGTCCAGTGGTTGCACCAGCACAGAAACGAAGGATGCACGCATGATGCCATCGACTACGCCGTGCACCACGGTCACACAGAGGTCGCACAATGGCTGCTGCAGTATCGCACCGAAGGATGCTCAAATTGGGCAATGCAGCTTGCAATTGTTGGTGGACATCTTGGTGCTGCACAATGGCTACATCAAAACGTAGAAATGCGTTGGACGGGACCTTTGCTGGATTTGGCAGCTGTCGTGTAGGAACACGCCGATTTTCTAGTAGATGTAGGCACAATCCCTTAAGACAACACCCACTGAGTCACGATGAGTAGCAATAACTCAGCAGGCTTGTCGGGTTAATGAATATGAACCTAAAGGCCCAGCTTCACACCCGTTCCTCGGGTTGGTCGTTTCCCCTTATGTCCCGTGGTTTCCTTAGGCCACCAGCAAAACCCAGCACTTCCAGTCACGAGCGACGACTGGAGCGCTCTTCACACGCAATATCCCCGCGGTCCCTCCAAAGAAAGGGTCCTGGCCACTGGTAGGCCGTTCGCGAGGGTGTCAGCGAACTCTCCGACGGTAAAAATCAAAAGGGGAGCACTTAAGCTGCGACCCAATACACGGCGGTAACTCGCCTTCAATACACGGCCCTTCTTCTACTCTCTTGGCCTTGCCGGAGTAAACGCACACCACTATGCTAGTAGGCACGCTCACCGACAGGCATCTCCCTCCCTACAAGATTACCTTGGACACGGGTCGTCCACCGTGCGCTCGAGGCCTTGTCGCTTGAGAGGAAAAGCTGTTCTGTGTTGTTGCCCAAGGGGCTTATCTGTTCTATCTTGTCTTTCCTATAGTCCAATACAAATAATAAGTCTAAACGTGTCCGTTTCGGATCTTCTAGCACCAACAGACGCCGCCGAAGAGTCGCCGAAGACTCGTAGGTACGCGAACCTAAGGAAGGTGCGTCTTAGGTGCGAAACTTCTGCGACTTGAGCCGTGGTGTGCACCACATCTTCAACTCGGGACGTAGCCATCCGCGACGGTGCTGCGACCTTCACTCACGGGCGCCAATCTCGAACTCCCGTCAAGATGGCGGGGCGTCACGGACCGCGCAGCCAATCATCGCCGATCCCGTTGATCCTTGGCTTTTGACGCAATTTGCTGCAAGCTGCTGCTCAGGCTGCGGCGAGATCTCGGGGTAATTTCCAACACCATAACTGCCCCCACCGCGATACGAGCTGCGGCACCTAGTGAGCGTCGTGGTGCCCTTCGTGCTGCCCGCCGTGCAGTCGTCTTGCGCGCTGCCGTCTGCGCTTGCCGCTGCGTTCGCTTCGCTCGGCTCCTCCGCTTCCAACATGCAGGTGAGTCCCTTCTTGCTGCAGCTGCTGATCTCGTTCGTGTCGAAGCTGATGCGTGTCGCATCGCGTGTGCAGCGCTGGGGAGAGCTGGAAGACGGCGAAGTCGCTCCTGCTGCAACTGCAGCGACTCCTGTGGCTTCGCCCAGCGCTGCTGGTCGACCGCCGACAACAGCATCTTCGCGCCCACCGCCAACTCGGGTACGTCTGCTGCAGCGTGTGTTGTGCGAGCCGTGCTCCTTCTCCTGATGTTTGTTCTTCTCCGTTGCATGCATTGCAGGTTGCTGCATCGGCCGCTCCTGCTACGGCTGCTTCTGCTTCGGCGGCGAGAACTGCCGAGTCATCGCCGCGGTCTTCGTCTGCAACTTTGTCGACTGCCGAGGTTGATGAAGACCTGGTACGTGTCGACGTGTTGCGACTGCTGCATATTGTGTTGACAGATGACTCACTTGGTGCTTGTTGCTCGCGGCTGTTGCATTCCACCTCCGGTGTTGAGCGTTACCTCGCTCATGGTCACGCTCCGTCGTCGGTACCAGCGCCATTCTCTCCATTGACGCCTACTCCAACTCTTCCCGTCCCGACAGCTCCGTCGACACCATTCCTAGCGTCGTCTCCGCCGTCCGAGTCCCCGGCTAACATCGCGGGGTTGGCGTCCATGCTGGAAGAATCGTCAGCTGAATGTTCGGAGCGAGTCACCGCTGTGCTGGGTCCTCGCCTGGAGACCGTCGTTCGGACGATGCACCTGGAGCCTTCCATTCGTGGCGATCGTCACGTGCGCACCCGCTTGCAGCGCGCGCAGTCTCTGGACGAGGTAGCTGCTGCTGCTGTTCCAGTCAACGAGGTCAACGGCGACAATACCTCGGAGATAGCTAATCTCCGCGCTCGAATCTCCTCTGGCTCAGCTGCCGGGGAGAGAAACTTGCGAAGGAAGTCATGCTCCATGAGAACACGAAACAGTTCCGCGGGATATCGGTAAAAGAGCTCGAGGCAACCAAGCAAAGTCTCCGGCGTTCTCAGGAAGTAGTTGCCGGATATTATCGAGAGAACACGGTCCTCAAGACCCTTGCCGAAAACCATCAAGAGGTGTACGACAGGCTGGAGAACCGGGCCAAGAGTGCTGAAGCCACCACGAAGCAGCTCCGGCAACAGCAGGACTCGACGGCCGAGGTGTTCAAGGCTGCTGTTGCTGGGCACACTGCCCAGTCGCGTCGTCTGCATGAGTTTCTGGCCCAGGCGGACGTGGCCGAGGACTCCGAGTCAGCCCGTCTTCGGCGGCGCAACGCCGACCTCCGCGAGCAGGTGAAGCGGCTGACCTTGGCCAACCGCACTCTCCGCGCTCGGGTGAAGCTGGAGGCTATGGATCCAGATGTCTTGACGCTTGTAGTTGAAGGTTCGTTCCCTCTGGACGTGTCATCCCTTGTGTACCGTGACTAATCGTGTTGTTCGTCATCTCGATCAGGTCTTTCATCTGGTGAGCTAGACTGGAGCTTGTTGAAGCTCAGTCAGGAGACACGTGACGCTCTCGTCGGGACATTGAATTCTGCCGATTCTTTGGAACCCGTCGCCGTCACTGCCAATCGGTTGGCCCGGGCCGCTCATGACACCGGTCCGGATCCCAGCGAGGTCTCGCCAAGAGAGTTTGCAGCAGAAGCCCGTAGGACTTCACCAGGGACTTCGCGCGATGAAGTTGAAGCTGCTCGTCAGTGTCCAGCGAAATCCCGTCATGACGTCCAGGCAGGACCTAGTGATGACTCTGGAAGTGATGGCTCATGGCCCAAGCCACCTCGTTTGAAGAAAAAAATTCGCCAGGCATCCCGCCCTCCAAGTCCTTCAGGGAAGAAAGCAAAGAAGTCGTCGGCTGCAGCAAGCGCCAAGAATCGTTCCAGCTCATCGACATCCCGCCGTTCTCCTAGTTCGGCGCGGCGGTCCCGTTCGAAATCTGTCTCGCGTTCCTCACGCGCTCAGTCGCAGTCCAAGTGTTGTTTCTGTGAATCGCGAAGGGCAGTCTTTCGAAACTGACCAAGCATCGCAAACGAGCACTCGGCATCCTGAGGAGGGCATCCAGTCGGGTGTTGATCACGTTCTGGCGGCAAGTGCGGGCGCACTGCACACCGAGGTAGTCGCCCAGTCATTGGACACAGACCCGGTCACTGCTCTTGAACTTGCTGTTCCATCGTCTGAGGTAGAGCCGCCTTCCGATGCAGACTCTACGTCGACAGCTGTGCTCTCGCACGGGTCGGACGATGGTGCCGCTGCCCCACTAGTTGAAGTTGAAGCTGTTGGCATTGAAGCTGATGCCTCAAGTGCAGCCTCCAAGTCTGCGGCAAGTGGCAAGCCGTCAACTCCAGCTTTGACTACAGGTGCTCAAGAGTGGTTTCCTGCTACCGATGAAGAGGGTCAAGTTGACGTGGACTCGGCTGTCGACTCTGTTCAGGATCTAGTCCTCGCTGATGCAGCCTCGGAAGTCGTGAGGAAGACTGCAGCAGCTCGGCAGTCATCTTCAATCAAGCAGAAGCGGACGTCGTCAACCAAGCCGAAGACCAAATCGACATTGAAGCGGAAGCCCAAGTCATCGCCCAAAAAGAAGTCCACCTCGTCGAAGAAGGCAAAATCCACGGCGAAAGCCAAGGTTAAAGCAATTCCGCTCCCTCCGAAGATTTCGACTCGTGGATTACCGGAATCTCAGTACTCTCATCGAGTGATGATGTGGGTTTCTCCGTTTATTGCGCCCACCTTTCGGCTTGTTGCTGTCGACTTGTGCTGGTACCTGATCCGGCGCTACTGTCAACCACCTCCGTCGCCAGAGTCTGTCGTCATTCGGTGTTCGCTGTCTGGTCTGGCCGCCTTCACCGATTTTTTGAACCCGCGTCATCCCTACCAGCGCGTTCGTCGGCAGCTTCCAGCGCAGGCCTTTTTCTTTGATACGGTCGGCTTCGACCCAAGCTCGAAGATTTCTCAGAGAGCCGACATGGAGGGCAAGTTACGGTCGTATTGGGCGCAGCGGCGCGGTTATGGCAAGCCCACGGAGATTGCGCTGGGCATTTCCGAATGGGAGCGCTACCACTGGATCCCCTCTTTTGCGGTCAGGCGCTGTTTTGCGAGACTTCGCCGGCACATCGAGACCTACAAAGCGTATTCGGCGAAGCGAAAGGCATATCTGTTGGCAAAGCTGTATCAGATCGTAGCCGCGTGGATGAAGTACGATCGTGAGCGAGGGGCGAGAGCTGATAACATGCGCGTCAAACTGATCAAGAACCTGTGGTGCGGGGCCCTAAGTCGTGACGAACCGGACGTAAATCCTGAGGTGATCTTTGAGCCTTCGGTGCTCGGTTATGCTTTCGAGTCACTCGCTTGGAATCCGAAGGGCAGTGACTGGATTTCGGAGATCGCGGCCTTGGAAACTCGCGAACCCTGGCGAATTGGCTGGATTGACGTCCCTGAGCAACACCCATACAATACGACGATTGTCCCGTGCAACCCGGGAGTTGAGCTCTTCGTTCCAGTCGGGTTCTCGCGTGAGTCAGTCGGCCGACGCATCACTCCGAGCTCATTGCTGAGGGCTAGCGAGATCTCGTCAGGCTCGGACGCTGACTTCCAAGGTCCTGCTTCACCAGAAGTTGCTCCAGAGTCTTCACCTGCTGTTCCAGATCTTCCCACCGGTCCACTTCAAGCTGTCCAAACCACTGTGCAGGACGATCCTGATCTCCTCGGCCTCTTGGCCAGCGCTGCAGCTGACGGCACGGTTGAGATCTAGCGGGCGGCCTGCGCTTCGTGGTTCAACAAGCTTCGGAGTTGTCCTATCGTTGAGTTGAGTTGTCGTAGCTTGGTGCTTCATGAAATTCCTAGATTCTCTTTCCGAATCATCACGTCCAGTTCAAACAAAAATAAAATCATGCAATTCATCTGCAGTAGTCATCTTCATCTGCGTTCCCGGGCTGCATTGCCCCAGGTGCAGGTCATCGTCTTCCGCAGTAACCATTTTCGTCTACTCTCCTGGGCTGCGTTGCCCCAGGTGCAGTTCATCATCTTTGAATTGTCGAGGCCGGAGCGTAGTCTTCGTCGGCGACTTGCACCATCTGAAGTCGCTGCTCACTCCGCTTCCGCCGCAAGTAGTCGTAGAGGAGGCCTCCACAGGAGAGGTGCGTTGCTGGTTCCCACGTAGGTTCGTCTTGGTCAGCCCACTTGATCTTTAATTCACGTACTGTACGCCCAGTTCTCGTCGACATAGGCATCCGGTCGTCCAGAATCTCCAAAACTTCGCTCTCACCGGCCAAACTGTCAGGCTCCCAGCTATCTTCTGGGAGTAATTCTTCGTCAAAGCCCTGCCTGGTTTCTTCGGTGACTTCAGATGCTAGTCGAGTTGTCGGTCGAGCGTCAAACTCGTTCACTGCCTTGAGACGCGAGACATGGACCCAGAAGCCACTTGCAGCATCAAGAGAACAAAACCAGAGATACGCCTGCAGATCCGTGAGCAAATCGTCGACAAGTGGTATCGAGTACTCGAGAATCATCGTCACTGCGTTGACAAGCTTGTAATCAATACAAAGCCTGATGCCAATGCCGTTTTTCTTAAGCACAATGACTATGGGCGATGCCCACGGGCTGTCAGAGAACACCACAAGTCCGGCCTTGAGCAATCCCTTCAACAGCTCATAGAGCTTCTTGAGCAGTCGGAGCGGGGTGCGGCGCGCTCGTTGCTTGATCGGTGCGTGGCCGCCGACGTCGATGTCGCATACCACCCCGTAGGCTGGCGGCGGCAGGGCATTTCCGCACGAAATCATGATTTTCGCGTGATTCTTGAGCACTTTGATCAAGTTGTCTTGCCGCTCGGCCGACAATTCGGGATTTGTTACGTTCGGCGCTGATAAGTCGAGCTTGGTCTCCGAAGGCTCCGTCAAGTCGGGCAAAAATGCCAACTCGTGGGCGTAGTCTTCTAGTTCAAGGTCGGCTGCCACATGTACGAACGAGTTGTCGTCACCCCCGTTGTCAGCCTCGTTGCCTTCAGTAGTCAGGACCCGCATCACCGAGATAAATGTCTGCTCGAGAATGTCCAATGGATCTGCCTCGCTCGGTGTCTCGGGTACTCCAGTTGGGGTTGACGGTGTCGGGGCTGCTGTCGCCACCGATTCGTCGGGCACTTCTTCTTCAGGGTCTTCATCGCTAGTTGTATCGCCGTCTGTGGCTGGTTCAGCGCTGTCCGACTCGGGTTCTTCACCGTTAGGCCCGGAAACTTCGGTAGTCACCCCAGTCTCCTCCTGAACCACTGCAGACGCCACTGTATCGGACTCTGGGGACTCTGTAGCTAGATCAGTGCCAACTGGCACGCCGTCAGCCACGTTGGTCAGGTTGTCGCAGCGAGTGGTACGCTTCGATCTGTCAGCTGGCGGTCGTAGTATGTGTTTGGGCACCGGGTAGCTCGGGCGCTCCACCACAGACGGCTGGCTGGCCAGCCACTGGTGGTAAAGTTCGCATTCACGCTTGAAGAGCGTGTCATCGCGCACCACCTCGTACGTTAGGACCTGCCATTCGGTGTATTTCCTCGAACTGAGCCGAACGTAGCCTGGGGTCCACGGTAGCGCGCCAACGGGGACCCAAGTCACAATTGGCAGATGAGTCCGGCTGATCACTAAGTCGTCGGTGATATTGGTCAATCGAACTCGAGTGGGTTGCCCTTTTCGAAACTTCGCCACCGTCGGTATCAGTTTCTTAGTCCTTCGTATCCACAGGTCATAAGTGATCGCTGACGGTTGCTTCTGCTTGAGCCGGAACTCGCGCCACTCACGTCCTGGTATTTCGAGCGACTCTGCCGGTCCGTCGTCGATTTGCCGTGGTTCAGGTTCATCCAGCATGGCCTGGGTCTTAATCAGCGGAATCATCACTTCGTCGGGGAGCTTTGCTGTTGCGTTGAACAAGTCGAATCGTACCCCGGCCGGAACCATGAAATCCGTGCCGATGACGACGTCGACGCCTGCACTGTGATCCATGATCCAGACTTCGTAGACGTACACGCGCTCCCATCCAAGAGTGAGTTTCACCGTTGTTCGTCGATTCGTTGTAGTTTTCCCTTCAGTTATTCCTTGCACCTCCATGCACCGACCATGCCCCACGATGTCTCGGAGCCGCAGCTTTCGGGCGTAGCGAGCCGAGATCACACTGACGTTAGCTCCCGTGGCGAGTAGTATTCTCGTGCGAGAGTAGTTGACAGCTCCACTCACAACAGTCCTCATTCGGGCCCGTCGGTCGTATTTCTGCGCCGACCACCATCCTAAGCGCTCGCCCGGCAACAATCGAACTTCCTTGGCGAGCTCTCGGCGTGGTCCTTCTCCGCGCTGGGCACTTGCGATCCAGTTGTCGGTGCCATCTTCCTTTGGTTCATCATCGTTTTCATCACTTTCTTCACCTCCACCGAGGCCAAGGCCTCTCTCCTCTTCAGTTTCAGTCGAGTTGTCACAAGCATTGTCGTCTCCATCAGGCCATTCGCTTCTTCCCACGAAGGCGAAAATACATTCCGCCTCGACCACAGGTTCAACTAACTGTGGCAGCCCGATTGGAACCAACCCAGTCTCAGTTGGCGGGCTGCCTAGTTTAAATGGTCGTTGAAGAGTAGTGCTTGGAGCTCAGGAGATAACTCCTTTTTGTCCACCTTGTTGCGGGCGACGTTGGCGACTTCTTGGAAGACCTCACACTTGCCGACGTCATGGACCTCCTTGCACAGCTTGCAGCGCTTTCAGCAGAAGTGGGCTGAGTGGGACATTCCTCCACACGCTGCGCATGGGCCATACTGCTGCCGTGGGCGTCCATCTTGGCCGTGTTGTCGGTTGTCGGGACGACTGCCTCGGTTGAATCCTCGGTCACCTCTGTGCTGACGGTTTTCCGATCGAGCATACGTGCCATCCGCAGCAGCTCGGCGGTCTTGGTCGTTGGCAGCGGCGAGATATCGGCCGTCTTCTTCCGATAAGTAGCCGTCGCTCAGGTCGCTGTCGGCACCCCACGAATTAATAGAACCCCGATCACTTTCGCCGTCGCTGCTCTCGTCACTGTAGGCTCGCCCACGAGTACTGGTGAGTTCTCCCCGAGCGTTCCGGTCACCTCGCCCTTGGATTTCGGCCAGGAGATCGTCCATCGAGGCGTCAGCCAGCGACACACGCGGCATGTTCCGTGAGTCATCACGTCGGCGTTCGTAACTTCGTTCGCGTCGGTCACGGCTGTCATAGCCACGGCGGGAATCATCATTTCGTCGGTCGTCACGGCGGCGGGAATCGTCAATGCGCCGGTCGTCGCGTCGTCGGGAGGCATCTCGGCTCCGCGACTGCAGTTGCCCCCGGCCTGTGTTCCTTTCGTCGATCTTCAGCATCTCAACGATCATCTCTTCCAGCTCGTGAATGTCGGTGATGCGAAGGTGGCCAACACGTCGCTCGAGTTCTCGATCACCACAGGTTTCGAGGAACCATTTGACGTGATCTCTAGCCTTCCGTCCGCCGTTCTCGAACTGTACACCGGCGTTCCTCGCGTAGCCGTTCAGACGGTTTAAGTAGTCGCAGACATGCTCCTTGTCGTTGCGTTTGGCGGAGTAATAGCGAGACTCCGCCGACTGGTTGAACTGCGAGCAATAGTACCGGACGAAGGCTTCGCTCAGCAGGTTCCAGGTGTTCTGAGTAGTTGTCGGTACCAGTGTAGAGCTCCGTCCTTGAGGCTCAGTTGGAAGGGCGTGCACCACTCGTTCGGCGAAGACTTCGTCCCTTTCATCTCGTAGGCAAAAGCACGAAGCCATTGCATTGAGTTCTCGCTTCGGTTGCGGTGACCGGAGAACGTCCTGATGTGCCCCAACGGCCGATGCATCGCCACTTCGAGCCTTGGCGTCGCGTTCAGCTGGTCGGAGTCGCTCACATCTCGAATCTGCTGCAGGTACTCTTCCACTTGCGCACTCTCATCGCCGACAAGGCCCCCGTCGTCATCCGAAGAATCTTCGTTGGAGCGGCGACGGCGACTCAAGCTCCGGTTGGCGCTGCGTCGAGCGCTCCTGGTTGGCCTGGGGTCTTCCGTGCTGCGCGAGGAACGCTCAGTGCGACTCGTCGCTGGCGGAGTCACCATGTGAGAGTCCTGAAAGTATGGCGATTGTTCTCCAGTTGCACTGAACACGCCTCCGGCTGCACCGCGGCTTGAGTTGTCGCGGCCAATTGTACCGCGGCTTGAACTGTCACCGCCAGTCTTCCTGGGAGTTCTCGGTAACGGCACACGCGCTGGTTCTGCAACTTCGTCAGTCGCTCGTGCTGCTTGCGTCTGCCCCAACAAAAACGTAGTCACCCCGAGGCGTTGCGGAGTTTCTTCTTCCACTTCCACAATTCGGCGCCGGCTTCGGCTGGCGCCCAGGTCTCGAGGGCCGACGGTGACGGCGTCAGCGTGAGTCTGAGACCCAACGCCTTCAGGAACGTCACCGTGTCCTTCGCGACTTGCTCAATCGTGACTGCGTTCACCGGCCGCGCCAACTCGTGGCTCAAGTCGGCCCACACAGTTTGTCGAATCATACGGGGCTCAAACAGCTGGCCCCACTCGCTCGCCCTCATCTCCTCAAAACTTCGTCCGAGCACCTTGTTCGCGGCCGGCGTGTCACCGTTGAGTGGCGGCCGGTTGCCAGAGGCTTGCTCGGTCACTTGAGTCGTCAGCACCGGTGACTTCGGGTCTTCGGCGCTATCCTCGAACTCTTCAAATTCATCATACGCTGGCTCAATGCCATCCACATCATCCAGCTCGTCGGCAAGGTTGCGCGTCACAGAGCGCACGTCGTCGTCCATCTCGCTCGCGAGACTTCGCGACAGAGAGCGTGAGCCCCCGCTGCGCCCTGCCGACATCACTGCATCTTCCGGAGTCTCGGGTGTCACCACCGCTGGCGCAGGCGCCTTCTCCTCCAGGTAGTCGTCATAGTCTTCGTTCATTTCTTCATCCTTGGCGTGGGACCCCGTCATCGACTCGTCGAAGCTGACGGTCCGCTCAGCAATTGGGTCGAGCTGCGGCGTGATCAGGGCCGCAGTCGTATCGTCGCCGCGCGTTCCGCCGGACTTCATCGGAGTATCTGGCACCGCCGATCGAGATCATTTCACCATCTTCGTCTTCTTCTTCTTCACTTCTTCTTCTTCACTTGGTTGTTTGCTCGTTAGCTAGGAAAGCCTGCAGAAATTCACGACACACAAGAAGGTCACGCCAATCCCGGGTCGCGGCACCAGTTGTCGTGTAGGAACACGCCGATTTTCTAGTAGATGTAGGCACAATCCCTTAAGACAACACCCACTGAGTCATGATGAGTAGCAATAACTCAGCAGGCTTGTCGGGTTAATGAATATGAACCTAAAGGCCCAGCTTCACACCCGTTCCTCGGGTTGGTCGTTTCCCCTTATGTCCCGTGGTTTCCTTAGGCCACCAGCAAAACCCAGCACTTCCAGTCACGAGCGACGACTGGAGCGCTCTTCACACGCAATATCCCCGCGGTCCCTCCAAAGAAAGGGTCCTGGCCACTGGTAGGCCGTTCGCGAGGGTGTCAGCGAACTCTCCGACGGTAAAAATCAAAAGGGGAGCACTTAAGCTGCGACCCAATACACGGCGGTAACTCGCCTTCAATACACGGCCCTTCTTCTACTCTCTTGGCCTTGCCGGAGTAAACGCACACCACTATGCTAGTAGGCACGCTCACCGACAGGCATCTCCCTCCCTACAAGATTACCTTGGACACGGGTCGTCCACCGTGCGCTCGAGGCCTTGTCGCTTGAGAGGAAAAGCTGTTCTGTGTTGTTGCCCAAGGGGCTTATCTGTTCTATCTTGTCTTTCCTATAGTCCAATACAAATAATAAGTCTAAACGTGTCCGTTTCGGATCTTCTAGCACCAACAGACGCCGCCGAAGAGTCGCCGAAGACTCGTAGGTACGCGAACCTAAGGAAGGTGCGTCTTAGGTGCGAAACTTCTGCGACTTGAGCCGTGGTGTGCACCACATCTTCAACTCGGGACGTAGCCATCCGCGACGGTGCTGCGACCTTCCCTCACGGGCGCCAATCTCGAACTCCCGTCAAGATGGCGGGGCGTCACGGACCGCGCAGCCAATCATCGCCGATCCCGTTGATCCTTGGCTTTTGACGCAATTTGCTGCAAGCTGCTGCTCAGGCTGCGACGAGATCTCGGGGTAATTTCCAACACCATACAGCACATTACGGATCCCTGGAAATGATCAAGTGGGTTGATGAGACGTTTCCGTTTACTGCTACAACGGCGGCTATGGACCGCGCGGCGAGATTGGGGAAGCACGATGTGCTCAAGTGGCTCCATCATAATCGCACTGAAGGTTGTGCAAGTGCGGCAATGGACAACGCAGCGGAAATAGGCGATCTAGCGGCTCTTCGTTGGCTCCACAAGCACCGTTCGGAAGTATGCACAGTAGGGGCAATTGACGCCGCAGCTGCTAATGGACACTTAGACGTTGTACGCTGGCTTGTCAAGCACCGTCGTGAAGGTTGCAGTGTGCGCGCCATTGATGAGGCAGCATCGCGAGATCGTTTGAAGGTGATCAAATGGTTGCATGATGTGCTGGAAGCAAATTGTACCACAGCAGCTATGGACTCGGCTGCTGAATATGGACATCTTAAGGTGGTAACATGGCTTCACGAGAACCGATCGGAAGGCTGTACAGAACGGGCAATGGATGCGGCTGCTGGGAATGGACACCTGGACATTGTTGTGTATCTGATGATGAATCGGTCCGAAGGATGCGGTAGACTGGCTTCGATACGGGCAGCGGATTTTGGTGAGCTAGAAGTTGTTCTGTGGCTGAACAAATTTTACCTTCACAAGTTCGACTTAGCCGCTGTGAACAAGGCAGCTCGGATTTACGCGTGGCCGGAAGAAGTTATGCAGTCCTTAAAGGTTAATGCGTTGGATTGATTCGACAGTATGCGTATCAGATTTGGATTTACTTAACTACAAATTAATAGCTGTTACACAATGATTGGTGTTAAACTCAAAATATTAATCATTATTCTACCAAGCAGGACTAGGTGTTGGCATCCTTATCTAGCTAATCGTCGTCGTTGTACGGATACATCCAGTTCGGTTATTGCAAACAGTGCAGCTCGTGTAAGGTTGGCGACGAGCGACGACCTAGTACTTTATGATGTAACCCACGAGAGACTTGAACTAGCCAGCCTATCCGGATTGACAGGCGATTTTGACCTGCCAAAGGTTGAGAGGTCCAACCAAAGTCACGACCCGTCAATCGAGATCGAGTTGTGTTCCTGCCTCTTGTCTAACGTCATTTGCGAATTGTCCATTTTCAAGCTAAGTGTACTCCGGCCAGTATCCCAAAGACCTGGTGGGAACTTCTGCGACGCGTGTGAGAAGAACAACGCCGTGACTAGTTATCGCGTTCCGGTTGGCAATATTGGCACGGAGGCAGTAGTGCTGAATTCGCTGATTTTGGTGCTGTCGGTAGATTTTGGTTACGCTTTCAAGCTTCGTGTTCCCCCGGCCAGCAGCCCAGAGACCTGGGGCGGAGTTCTGGGGCGCGTGATAGCAGATCAACACCGCGGCCTGCTATCGAGTTCGAGTTGGTGATATTGGCGTGGAACGGTAGTGCTGAATTCGTTGATTTTGAGGTGTCGGTGAGATTTTCGTCACGCGTTTGCTATTGTGGAATTTGAGGTGGTGGTTGCAGTGTGCGGACGGTACCGCTGTATATTTTTGCCTTTAGCTACCTACTGGCCGAAGTTGACCCGCCTCTCTGAAATCCTCGCGCAAGTCCGACAGACTCGATTTTCGAGATAGATTCAGTCGGCAGCTGAGTGATCAGGAGGTTTCAGCTTCTGACTGTAGTGTGGATCACCGAGGGCGAAGGTATATGGCTACCAAGAAGCGCAAAGAGAGTCAGTCGGAGTGTTCACGGTGTGGAGAAGATTGTTCATTTGGTGATCTTTGCTGTGAGCGTTGCGTCCGAAAAAAAGGTGATTTCTCGATTATTTTACTCTTTGACCCAGAAAAAGGAGATAAGGCAAGGTTGGATTTGGAGCAAGCGGTTTTGAAAGCTCAGCGCATAGCTACCCGGTTGCAAAAGACTGTCAGGAGATCTGTCGTTGAAGACGCAACAGTTGTTTCGAGCATTCTGGAACACGTCGACGGCAAGTTAAAGGAGGCTACGACATTGCTGAATTTGGAGCTAGCCCGCATTCGGAAGCGTAGTATTCCTAAAAAAACGCAGACTTAAAGAGTAAACGGTCGTTGACCTTGCTGTATTTGTGCCATGGTATCACGCTCGAAAAAAAACTCAAAAAGGTCGCGGAGCGGTAAGGCGCTACAGAGCGCGTGAAACTGACGAACAGAAGCGTGACCGACTTCGGAAGGCACGGGAATATAAGCAACGGAGGCGAGAGGGTGCTGGAGGGACCGGCGGACCGCTTGAGCCTATAACCGATGCTGAACAGAGCGAGGTATTGCAACGTTTGCGTGTTTCTCTTGGCGCTGAGAGGCTAGATGAGTGTGTGTGTGCGCAATTTGCGATCGCTGGGTGCTGCGGCATGCAACTACGTTATTAACCACCCATGATCAAGTGAGTCTGAAGACATTGCGCGGACTCCTGGACCCAGCTGGGCTTGATTTACCGATGGAGCTTTCGCGGCAGTACGACTGCAGCGATATTGATCCGGCGTTTGGTGGGATGCTTCTGTCCCGCAAAAGAATACTGCCTGCTCACGACGGAACTCCTTCTCAATTACGCGTCTGTGATGAGTGTAATGACCAACATTTTTACTCAAATATACAAATGGCAGAAAACGGAGAGAATGCCGACTCGCAGATAGCCGACGCTGTCCTTGACTTTGAGAAGGTGGTTCCAACTAGTGACGTTACGTCAGTGGATGAAGATCAAGCTCGGGTGGGTGCTGAAAATGATTTGGAAGTAGCGACTGGGCCGGATGATGAATGCGAGATGATAGAAAGGAGTGTGGTTTTTGTCAATGAAGTCGCTGACCCAAACAAAATGCACCCTGTTACAGAGCTACCTGCACACAGTGAATCATCGCAACGACGCTTTCTTGTCCGGAATTCGTCGCAGTTTACGGTAGATAGCGATGGAAGTATCTATGCGAAGATGTTTCCGCACCTATTCCCTTATGGGCGGGGGCATCCTGGAGAACAAAGACCAGTTCCTGTGTCGGTTGACGCATGCATTAAATGCTACAGCATGCACAGCTCTAGACGTTTTGCTGATGACGAAACGCTCTTGCTCGTTGCGTTTGATAGGCTGTCAACACAGAGAATGTTCATGCAAATTTCGCTGACATGTAAGCGTCATCCGGACTTGTTTCGGGGTTATGATACAATTACGCACGAGCAGCTTTCCGTAGCCCTTCATCAAAACGAGTTGCGCCAGCAGGGAAGACTTGCAGTTGATTTGGAGGGGCAATCACCGGCTGAGCAATTTCTCCGAAGCGTAGAAATTGGGACGGGCAATCTTTGGGGAAGTAACATGGAGCGACAACGCTGTCGACGAGAGGCGTTTTCGTACCAGACAATGTATGGACAGCCAGCGCTATTTGTGGCGTTGACACCCAACGTTGGAAATACATTTGCGATGGCTCAGTACGTTGGCCTTACGTCTGTGGATAGTATATTTGACTGTCTCGAAACAAAGCTCCCATCAAAGGTCCAGCTACGCTAGGCTACGATGAAAAATGATGTCGCATCTGCGCGTCTATTCGCAAGATACATCGATGCGTTCATTGAAGATGCCCTTGCTGTCGACAAAAAGACTGAGAAATGTGAAAAGTACCCGGGGTTGTTTGGTCCAGTTAAGGCTTACTATGGGATGGTTGAAACTCAAGGTGGGGGAACCTTACACGCTCATTTTATTATCTGGTTGCAAAAGGGTCCTTGCAATAGTGACGAATTTGACAGTTTGATGACAAACGAGGCGAGTCGAGCCTCGTTGATACACTCGATTGAGGCGTACTCTTCCAGTATCGTTAGCAATACGTTGCCGCTTCCCGTTGAAGCGCATTGTTGTCGAGCGTGTGGGTCTACCTTCGACAACTTGGAGACAACTCCTATACCATCGACCGCTTTCATGGATCCAAAAAAGGTGGGGATCCGCAAGCTCCGTTACGCGTAAAATGTGGCGTGTGTCAGTCTCAATTTAGCCCCCAAGAAGTGTTGCGAAGCGTCTTGCAAAAAAACCGGCCGCCCGTCTGGCCACCTCGGTTTGGTAACACATCACCGGAACACATCTTGCGTCGTGCGGAAGTTGAAGTATGCTGCCGCTACAACTTAGCGCATTCCATTCGTGTCGTAACACAACGCGAGTATTTACGCTACTGGTGCGACGACTTGGAAGTTTACCCTGGTGCAGACTACCACTCCCCCGACCTTGGTGCTTTATGTCGTGTAGGAAAACACGAGTTTACGAGTCCTCGCCCTATCAACCGAAGTCTCTAGGACGAGCCCTACCAACAACACACGCCGTCTCTGAAGAGTCGGCGATAGATTGTCGGGATAATAAACCTGAAGACCAGGTCCGATCTCTTATACGGGCTGGAATGTGCCTCCCTGTGTGTTGCGGGTCAGGTAGGTTTACCCTTCGTTAAAATATAAGAGCACCCTTGACCACGAGCTACGGCTAGGATGCAATGTGTAATACGTGCTTTCGCACTAAACCTCTGTGGTCCCTCAGAAAGGAAGGGTACCAGGCCAATTGAAGCCTCTTACAGGGGCGCCGGGGCGAAGCCTCGGCTAGAAGTCAAATACACTGGGGGTTCCTTGCCTCACACCCAGTCAAACGTACAACTGTACACAGAGGTCTCTAATACCTCCCAACACTCGGCCACCTACTCACTCTTGGCCTTACCAGGATGAACACTCGGTCAATGCACCTTATGCTCACCGGCAGACATACCCCGTGCAGCCGAGTGTATCCAGACCCTACACTAAGCTTAGCGACTTACCGTAGACGGACTTGACCCTTGTGTGGCTTGGGGGGAAATTCTGCTCTGCTTAATGATTAGAGGCTGTCAGGCCTCTCCTATAGCTAATCCCTAAGGTCTATACAAATATCAAGTGTGGACCCAGCTTTCGAGCTGATCCTACAATCGGACGAAGCTTCGTCCTAAATCCGAACTCCTACTGGGCATAAAGTGTACCCACTATGAAACTTCGGAGGCCTCGGTAGGCGGTTTATTTTGACCCGCCGAGACCCTCCTGTCACTCCGTAGTCTCTATCAATCTACTGGGCACTAAAGCGCGGGGAATGTGACCGACCAATCAGAGCCCTCGGTCAGCCATCTCTCGCAAGCTCAAGGCAGTTAGACCTCGGCCGGAACTCGCCCGGCCGCAGTCATTTCCCGATCTCACATTAACTAGATGATCCAATCGTGAGGTTGATTGAAATGCTTCCCCCGATGGATGACGATAATAGGCTATCACCAGCTGAATTTGCATATATGGTGTCAACACTGGTCATTGTGTTAAATGAACACACACTGGGAGCTGTTTTAAGACCTCGCACACGACTTCCGGTTCGGGTGTTTGTCGATACTCATTTCCACGCGAGAGAGTCCCCACCACACAGTTCCAACGAGAAGGAGTTCGATTATGCCGCAAACCTGTCCACGAGTACATTAACGGTTTTAATGCTGTCCTGATGGCTACGTTTAAGTCAAACCATGACATTCAAATCCTTATCGGAGGAAGGGATGTGGCCAATCGCATTTACTACTGCTGCAAGTACATTACAAAACTTCAAAATCAAATTGATTCTATCGCGGCCGTGGCGCTTGCTGCATTTCAACGTCGACGGGACAAAGAACAAGTGGCGTTAAATCGAGCGGTGGAGTTGGATCCAATTCAAACTAGCAGGAAGAGAGTTGCGGCATTGGCCTATAACTTGACTAGTCGGCAAGAGATGACAGGCCCGCTTGCCGCTTTGTACATTCAGTGTGGGTCGTGTTCATACTCGAGCGATCGTTGCGAGAGGCTTCAGCTTCACAACATTTTTGACCAACTTTTTGGGGGTGGTGCCTACTCATGTGACCTGGTGGAATCTAATACGGCAGGACCCGAAGGCAATGTCTCTGTGTACCGCTCGGTAACAGCACTGGATGATTATGTGCATCGCCCGCCAAAACACGAAGACGTCAATCTGTACAAGTTCGCTATGAGATTTTTTAGGCGTAAGAGGACAGCGGCAACGTCTGAAACCGTTCTATTCCTTCGCGGTCATCCGTTATTCGACACTTATTGCCTGGGAGTACACTCTCGAGATGTTGTCCCAGTGATAATTGGACCTCGGATGCCGTGTGTAAATGAGAGTTCGTCTGATGAAGTCAAAGCGCTGCGAGCAAAAATCGCTTTGGTGCTTTTTAAACCCTTCCGTTCTGTTAATGACCTTATCCAAGGCGCCAACCCGACCGAGTTCGATTGGATTCGAGCTTACATGTCATGGGAAACGCAACGGACCGCGTTTGACCAAAACATTATGTCAAATATGGATGATTATTTCCTGGGTAGAGAAAAAGCTGCCGAAGAGCGAAAGTGGTTAGGAACGGAGGAAGATGACGATGCAGATTCTGATGGCACTTTTGACGACTCCGATGCGATGCGTGATTTGAAAATACAATGTTCGGCGAGGATGGTGAATATGAGACGACCAACGAAATTGACGCTGATTTTGAGGATAATAGTATGAATGATCCCGAGGAAACAACACAGCTAAATCCGGCACGTTTCCCCAGTATTCAAGAAGCTTCCGTGCATTCCGAAAATGCTATCAAAACGATCGTAGAGAAACGAATGCTTTTGAATGCTGCGTCACGTACAGCGGCTTCTTTTCGCCGCCTAAACGATTTTCGTGGAGATGTGCAAAATGCGGTACCGCAATCGCGATATCCTTTGGTTGGGTTTTTGAGGCGATGGGTGAAAGATTCTAACACTGACAACAAGTTGATACTTGAAGAAAGTCAAGACGAGTCATCGGTGCGGCCAACCCAAATTATAGAACTCATTCGTGATGCGTTGACGCCAGAGAGCATGCTCTGGAACTCCAATAGTGGCGAGGGCGCTGGACCTTACCCTACTTTGGCAGCTGTATCGAAAGCCTTCACGCTTAATCCCCTTCAGCATGCAGCATTCTGTAAAATCGGAAAAGCCCTGTTAACGAGGTGGTTGCGAATGGATCCCAGCCAGGCGAGTTACCAGGGACTTCATTTTGAGGCTGAACTATCACGGGACCAGCTTCTTTTTTTCTTGGGTGGAGCCGGCGGAACTGGGAAGAGTCGAGTTATCGATACGGTAACCAGTTTTTGCAGTGGTTGGCGAAGAGGTACATTGTATTGAAAACCGCGTTAACTGGGAAGGCTGCAACACTGATTCAAGGCCGAACTTTGGCCAGTTTTATGCTTTCATTAGAAAGAGCCAAGGTAGCAGACTTTCTCGGTGTAATTATGCTTGTTATTGACGAAGTCTCAATGCTGTCAAAGCCAGACTGGTTAATACTGGATAAACTACTTCGGCGTTATAAGCGGGTTCCAGGTGTGCCGTTTGGTGGAATTCACGTTATTCTGGTTGGTGATTTCCTACAGCTGCCTCCGGTTAGAGCCGACCCAATATATTTTGATTCACGCCACAAGCTGAAGTGTTCTACCGTCGATATTGAAGGGTTTCTTCTTTGGCGCCGCTTTGAATCCGTAGTAGTTTTGGAAGAGTCAGCGCGATTTCGAGACGATCCCGAATGGGGCGCTGGGTGTAAAGCAGCTCGTTTAGGGGAATGGTCTCAGGAGTTTATTGACTTGATCAATTCGCGTAAAGTGAGCAAGCTTGGCTCCAGAGGCTGGAGCGCAGAAACGGTCTTTGTAACACCTGACAATGTTACGCGCACAGCTATCAACAATGAGTTTGTTAAAGCGGCAGCCATGCACTTAGACCCAGGGCACTACTCGATTCGTCTCGTGGCAAATTTTAAGCGTTCCTTGTCGGGGCTAGTCGCCAGGATGTGGAGAATATAATGGGGATGCCTGATACTCGGTTTGGGCGAATGGCACCATTCATAGATCTTGTTGAAGGAATGCCGGTCCAAGTTACCCAAAATGTGCGACCAACAAAAGGGGCTGCTAATGGTACTCTGGGTTTTCTGGAACATCTAGAATTTCCCTCTGATACCCGTTTTAAATTGGTTCGGGACAGCAAGGCGGGGATAGTAGTCAGCGTACCGAACAAACCACCACTGTACGCCATGCTGCGGATTGAAAGAGGCCCGAACGCAACGCCAATCGATCATACGACGGACGCGTCACTGTTCCCAGTGTCTTATGATGCCCAGGCGTACTCGGAGTCGTCAATATCGCTCCCGAAAACACGTACAGGGGGAAAACGATCTCTTTCCATTAAACTGCAGCAATCTCTATCGTGTCTGCTGTCGGATCTACCATGTATAAAGTTCAAGGGGAAACACTCCAGTCTATGGTTGTAGTGGAATGGAAGTCACCAGTCGGTATCGTGAACAAGCCCCAACAGACATATCTACTAGTTTCTCGAGTCGTATCGCGTAATGCGTTTGCTACGCTAACTTCATTTACGGCGGAACTAGCGGCGTGGTCGAAACCACCACCAGAAGCTCTTGAAGAAGAAAATCGTTTGTTGGCTCTATCCGAGCGTACACTGCAAGCGATCCAGCATGAATGTGGATTGTGCAAGTAGTTTTTTTATAACTAGATACCTACTGAAAATCATTGAGAATTGTTTGCTTCGAACTGCGAAACCCCCCGGGTCCACCACCCGGGTCCCCAATATTTTTCTGGGATAGCAGTAACCCCGGAGGGAGTGCTGTGGTCAGCCCAACACAGATTAATTAGGCGGCACCTCGGCAACTGAAGCCGGTAATACTGAAGCCGGAAAACTGGCCCCGGTAACTGAAGGTAACTGATTATCGCTTGTGCTCTCCAAAAATCCCGAGAGATGGGCTCGAAAGATCCGTGCTGTAACCTGGGCCGCGTGCAGTGCTGATCTCAACAACGAGCCCTCCCACATCGATAGTGCCGAAGATTCTAGTGAATACTTAAGGAAGAAAAATCAAAACTTTGCGTGCGCACAAGATGATGGTGGACGGTCGAAAACTTAAACATCCTAGTAGACTCAAAGTCAATTTAGCAGATGCTGCGGCTGTGAAGCAGGCGCAGGAGATGAGTTGTAATGGATACGCGGATTTACATACAACGCATACTGCAGTTAGCAAGTAAGTAGTAGATTTCAGAACTTCTTCGTGCAACGCGCGACTTTGTTTCTCATTGAATTGTTGCTTTGGCAGCGCGGCCGCGGTGAAGATGCCCCACTTATCTCACACAAATGTTCTTCAGCGTACGCAAAGCTCTCGTCTTGAAACCGATGCAACTCCGGTGCCGCACTGGGCCCGTCCAAAAGTTTATAATATAAACCTTTTGGAGGGCCCAGTATATATCGGTGTCGCCTGGTGTGCTACCGACGATACTAGTATGAATCAGTGCAATATGTGCAAGCACTAGAGGTACTAAGTAAGTATTTGCATTTTCCAAAGCTGCAGAACAGATCTTAACCAAGGCTCGCATTTTTAATTTTGTAAAGCATTGCCGGTTGATATCTTGCATCTACAGCTTTACTAAAGAAAGAAACAAATCCGGGTAGATGCTGCGGATGCGAAGCAGGCGCAGGAGATGACCGTAGCTAGTAAGAACAGAAATTAATAAAAACTAAAAAAGAAGGGTTTATCCAAAATTCTCCTATCCCAGCCTTCGCGGAGCCCTAGTAACTCGCGAATATTTCACATTTTTAGCCGTCTATATTGCTTCTTAATATACTGTACTAAAGCATTCTCTACCGTAAAACGTGCACCAATGTTTCATGTAAGTATAGCTCATCATCGCTGCTATCGGCCATTCGATCGGAAGATGAACCACTTGAGACTTTTTAGATAACAGCTGAACAGCCTTCAAGCGACAGGCGATCAGACATGTGTATAGTACATGTATTGTGGCTTTCAACTATTTTGCCGCCCGATTTGACGTGTTATCTCGGAGTCCGATTTATATAAAATGGAGCTCCTACATGATCGGTTAGTCCAATTTAGCTATATCTGACCTGAGTTAGTAGCATAAGGCTCAGAGGGGAGGCATTCCAAGTTGGCCATACCTCCTCACCTCTCATGACGCATTAGAACTGCAAGACATTGGGGACAATAGTACACTGTATATAGCCACTTCGTAGCTATGGCCAGCTAAATCACCTGTGTCATCATCTACGGCCGCTACAACCTCGTGCCACGCCGATCTGAGAGGGCCCCAGACATGTTTTCGCGGCGGTCCCTTTTGCCGGCGAAAAGCGGCATTTCTGGCCCCTGCTTCGCAACTCGCAGCCCCTAGACGCAAATCGGGCCAGATATAGTTTGCTTCCCTCAGCCCCTCCTGCTAAATCGGAGCCCTCCAGCAAATCAAGCCCGATATATCGGACCACCCGATTGGCCAAAACGGATGAAAGCCACAATATCTGTACCACACCACTTGCTTGGTCGCAGGAGAGGAGTTGCCGTTGTGAAATTCGTCCTCCGGAGCACATCTAGCCACTTCATGTTTTCACTTGAGAAACGCCCTCCCGGGTTAAGCGCCAGCGATCTATGTAGTTACTGTTTTTAAAAAAAATTAAAAAAGTTTTAAAAACGTATCTGATGCTGATAAATCAGGTCTCCCAGGGACAAAGTCGCGTTTCGTGTTAGATTATTCTTCATTGCTCTTCCTGATATCACGCTGGCACACAGTGGATGTCGGCAACAAGGTGGTACACTTTGGGGGCATACGACTTGACCTTCTCCACATGTTCGCACGTGATGGTCCAGTGCTTGCCGTACTGCTTCGCGAGCGAGCGCATCGAGTCCAGCAGACGCTGCTCCCACGCCTCACGGTCCTCCACGGCCACGTTGTCGTGGACGTGGAACCAGCCACCGCTTGACTTCAGTGCCTGCACGGCCAGCGGCCAAGCCTTCTCGCTTGTGGGCAAAAGGCCGAGATTCACTCGGTCAGCCACAGCGCCGATGGTAGGAGCCGACTCGCGGTTGTCACCGAGGTACACCTTGCATCTGCCCGCTACATGGTTGCGCTCCAGATTGAAGCGCAGGGCTGCCACCGAGTCCGGGTTCCACTCGCACGCGTGGACGAACGCCGCACCGCCGTGCACCAGGAACGGGAGGACGTAGTAGCCGATACCACAGAATAGGTCCACGATTGTCTCTCCACGGCACCCGATGTTCGCCATGCGGGCCTTTTCAGTGACATTACCCGACGAAAACATGACCCGCGTGAGGTCCCAACCGTAGACGATGCCATTCTCACGAATCTCCACCCAGCCAGGAGCGCTCTTGCTACGCGGGGAGGTCAACGCCTTGTTGTTCACATACAGCAACTCCACGTGACTCTGACGCTTCTCGCTGGCATCGATGAAGGCTTTCCTTGCAACACGGGAGAACGCTGGTGTCGTCGACGCACAAACTTGCGCCCACATTTCGTCTGCGAACGGCGCCCACTCCGGCTCAAGGAAGGAATCACGCGGGATCAGCAAGACATCGCTCACGAACTCGTACTTGTCCGGAATGGCCTTCACAATCTCTGCAGGGAGCTGGTGCTTGCTGGCAAATGCTCCAATCGTGCTGCGGATGACTTCGTTGCGGTTCAGCCCACTCGTCTTGCCAAACTTGTTAGCGTACGCATCGTCGTCAGGTACAACCTCAAGTTGCTGCAGGTCAGCGTCGTTGGTCGAGGTGATCAGTTCATGAATTGCTGCCGTAACAGGAAGCAGGAACATCGTCGTCGCCTTTCCGTCAGTGGCGGCCTCACTCGAAGACGCCACGTTCGCGACGTGCACACGTCGGGCCTTGTCATACACGTGAGCTTTCTCCAACAAAGTCTTCACCTTCTTCACTTGCAGCTTTCCAACGAGAACACCGAGGGGCTTCTCATCTGCTGAGGCTGGCGCATTGGATGATAAAGTAGTAACCGCGTTGCTCTTTGCAGCCTTGGCAGGGGTTCTCTTCGGCGCCGTGATTGAAAGCTGACATTGGTATGCCGACGAATAGAATTGACCGAAGCCAAAGCACTGGAAGCCACCGCCCAAAACGTAAAGGGAATTGTTGCTCGGCATCCACGTGCTGCTGTGTCCCACAAATGCCGCGTTTTCGTGCTTCACTTCACCAATGTCCGTCCACTGCGACGACTTCACGTCCAGCATGTAATTTTTTTGTGTTGCCTTGTCTCCATTCGCGAGCAAGGCAGACGTCATGCCTCCTACCACGATAATCTGGTGGTCGCTGATTGCGCTAGCGCTAGCAGCAAAAAGCGCAGGCGGCTGGCCGTTGTTCTTGGCATTTTTAAGAGTCTTGTGTCCCCACGTCTCCTTGACAGTATCGAAAAGCGAGCAAGTGCCATGAGCGTCTTCACCCGTGCCATCAGATCCCTCTAGCGATGTCATGCCTCCCCAGAAAGCAAGTTTGGTCGAGTTGACAACTTCACCAATGTGGTCAAACCGGCGCGGACTGCTGGACGAATTTTCTACAAGTACATCCACGCATTAGCCAGCCGAAGACGTAAATGCACACCAATATGAACAATACGAACCAATTTGGCGCCATTGCAACGGGGTCTGAGCCAGGTCTAATGCATACAGGTCACCGAAAACTTGCTCGGCATCGCGACCGCCGTGCACGTACACAACAGAGCCCACTACAAACACACACAACGAAATCAAGCGCCAGCAGTCAGCCCCTTCGTTCAGCAAGTACCGGTATGAAGCTCTGAAAGACAATAGTACCCGCGCAACTGCAGTGCTTCCAGCGAGGAGAGGGTCCTGCTCCTTGAGGAACAAGTTTCTCCCACTGCTTGGACTCGAGGTCGAGAGCATAAATGTCACCAAGAGGCTTTGCTGGGCTAGCACGACCACCAAACACAATCATGCGTGATCCCACAGCAACCGCTGAGTGGTACATCCGAGCTGAGGGGCCATCAGCTCCGGCAGCTGCATGATATGTCTGCTCAAGAGATCCATCCATGGAAGGGGTCAAGAACGTCACGTCGGCAACGCGCGTCGTCGTTCCTGAAGCCGTAGGGCCCTGGCCGCCGAAAACGACAATGTTGTCCTTGTACTGCACACTCGTATGGCCCACCAGCTTCACATTGTCTGCGCTAGTGGCCTCCTTCCACGAACTCAACTCAACCAGCGAGCTGTTGCCAGTCTGTGCATTTGCCGGCTGACAAAACTTCGCGCGGAACGCCTCAAACAGGCGATCGGTCTTCTGCTTGTTGGCTTCGAACTTCTGGTTTGCAATATCCACGATCCACCGCAGGTAGTCCTCGTTCACCAGCAGGTGCTCCGCACTGCGTCCAAGCGGGATCTCCAGTCCATTGGCAGTCGTACGGATAGCACACATGATCTTCCTGTTACCCAGCACGACACCCGACTCGCGGAACCCACTGGCAATGCCCCACTGCAGCAGCTCCTTGGCCGCATCCAAATCGCGACACACAACGTGCATGATGAACGGCTCGTGCTTGAAGATGATCTACAAAAGCAACACCAACGAAAACAATTAGCTCCATAACTATACAAACAACAGTTGTACAGCCTAGCTAGCGACTAACCATGTTGCTGGTGCTGGAGTTGGCGTCGGGCGAGCGCAGCGCCGCCGTCAACTGCTCGAACGTGATGGTGGCGTGCTCCGCGATCAGCCACTTGCCGCCTTTGGTGATCAGATCTGAGCCGGCTTCACTGCCTGCAGCTTCACCGCAGAAAACCGCAATGCGACCGGAGCACGAGCTGCTCGTCACCTGGTGTCACAACTCAAACCGTCAGCAAGTGCCCACTCAATGCAACCATGGCAATGCACCAATAGCAAGCTCACGTAGTCCGGGTGCGCATTGATGGTCTTGATCATGTCCACGATGGGCTCGTCGATGCAGCCCTTGGGACTCTTGTCCTCCATCGCCTGCAGCTTGCGCAGACTCTCGCGCTTGAGCTGCGCGAACATGGTCCACCTTCCTTCCTGCTAACCAGTCAAGTCGTCGAGTGAGTACGATGTACCCATCTCAAACGTACCCAACTTTGGGTACAATCATTATCAGCTTCAATGGAGCCGCCGGAAGATGCGCGGCCGAGTATCCGCGTGCGCTGCGCCGGCGTGCGCGCCAACCAGCGCGGCTCGCAGCCCGCCAGCGACGGGCGCGTGTTCTTCAGCGAGTCGCAGTACGCGCGGTCGCCTTTCCTCGTGCGCGTGAGCTTCGACAGCGTGAGCTTCGTGCACCGCGGGACGCACGTCGAGGAGCGGCGCTTCGTCTTCCCTGGGCGCGTCTTGCAGGCGGTGCTGGCGGACTTCGCGCCGGACGTGTTGCACACTACAGAGCAGGTTCAAAATGGGTCCTCCCGTCCAAGAAGACAGCGGAAGGCGCCCCTAAAGCCGCGTGCGCAGCCCCATTTGTGCGTCTTGGTGCGCTCCGACTGCCTCAACGTGTACACTGCAGCTGGAGAGGTGTTTGAGGTGGCGCTGCCCTTCCAGGCCAATGGACTCTTCCCCATGGAAGGCCGCGGGCTGCTGCTGCAGCGCAGTCCGGCCGTGCAGATCCCGTCCACGTCCTCGAAGCGGCCTCGGGACGCTGCAGCTTTGGCTCTGGCCCGGAAGAACCGACGAGCCAGCACCAGCAACAGAGGAGACGGAGACAGGTACAAGTACAGCTCTGGGGACAAGGACGCTCCGTCGCGGCCGAGGTACTTCACGCTCAGACACCCACTGGATGAGGTTAAGCCCGTGGCGTTGAGCTCCACGGAAGGAGAGGTGCCGGGGAAGAGCGGGGACAAGTTCCTGTCGGACTCGTCTTTGGATGCAGTGGCAGTGCTGGAGGACGCAGCGTCGCCTGTGTTGGTGGCGTTCCATCGGTGGGAGCAGAGGTTTTGTGTTTTCCGACTGAATACGGTGGAGACGAATGCCAAGAGGAGTTTGATGCCGGAGGTGCGCGTGGTTGATGGACCGACGTGGACGAGATACCGAGCCAGGAGTGATTTAGAGGGATTACGAGTGCGTATTGAACCGGAGTGGGCGGCGACACCTACGTGGAAGTCTCCACGAGTTGCTCCAGCGTCCTCAAAGCCGATGTTTCTGTCGCCCATTGTTTCGCCGTCTGCGGTTTCGAACGCCTCACCGGTTCCACCATCACCACTAGCACCTGCATCGTCGTCAAGTTTGTCAGCGAGTGTTTCGAAGGCAGCGTTTATCGCGTCGGGCGTTGACGGCCTTCCATTGCTGTGTATGATGGACAAGAGTGCTGGAACGCTCGTTTTGAAACCTATTTCGCAGCGAGAAACGACAACCACGTTGCTTGATGATGGTGATGGTGAAAGTGGTGGCGTACGGATCTTGCATTGCCGTGATGCTGTTCCGGTATCTCAGTGTGATCACGCAGGAATATCTAAAGGTGACGGGTTTGCCGATGAAGTCTGGAAGCGGTCCACCGATATTGTGGTCCTAGAGAAGGATGGCACGCTCATGTTAAACAGAGCGCACCGTCCAATTTGTCGTTTGATCATCCCTGAAATGACGCAGCATAATGTTATGACAAGTGATGGCGGTTTGGAGAAAATGCGACTCGTGGGGAATATTGAATTAAACTCGGTTGACGGAGGATACGCCTTTGAGGTAGTGTTTCCGGATTTGTGCGGCAACTTGAGTGGAAAAATCTGGAAGTCGGACCACCCCCTGAGGATTATTAGCTCTCCGTTGTTGCAGCAAGCATTTGGTGTCCTGGGGTTACTAGTCCCTTCTGTAGCGATGTGTTCGTTCAAGTCCCAGGTCATTTCTTTGGCGCAGCAGAAGGCTTTACATCCAGCTCAAGACAACAAAGGATTAGTGGATGGTGGGCTCGAATGGCAGTCTTTTCGTGAGTGTTTAGTGCACCTGCTGCCGGAGCAGATTGGTGGTAAAAGTAACGTTTTGCCATGCAAAAGTGACAAGGATATGGCTGCTTCCTTGCTCTCGTCCTTTGATATACTTTGTCAGAGCGAGTTTCATGACATGTATCAGTACGAGCACGCGATGCTTTTCGCAACGATGGAACTTCCTGGGACTAAAGCCACCACAGGCAGTTTAGATTATGATCCAAATACGCACATGGAGAACAACCGACGCCGATGTCCTGGCATTGAGGAACATGTGGAGTCGATTTTTGCGGGACTGCATTTACTTTGCGAAGAACTCAAGTTGTCGACCACGCTGTTTCAGCAGCGACTACAACTAGCGGATTTGCTTTTGGATATGGCGCTGCGAATGGGTTTGGATCCCTTCATCGCTTACTACAAACAAGATAACTGCGTTCGAATGCGTAAAGTTGCTGACGACAGGTTTACATCACGATCTCAACAGAAGGCCCAAGAGAATGGATTGCTTCGCTTCGCTTCCTATGGATGTGTGCCAGATCTGATCGTGTGGCTTCAATGTAAAATGGCTGGAAAGCCTAATACACTGATGGCGTTTCCCACGCTACTACATGTAGACAATCAGCAGCAACCAGTTTCATTTGGAATCATTTTGAAACATTATAGAGATCCCCTGCGGCGCACCAGAGCGATTTGTCGGGTGTACGAGTTGATATTTTCAAGCTTGGATGATAGATCGCCTCATTTCCCGACCTCTCAGTCAAACGCATTCAAATTAATTGTGTACCTGACCCAAGATCCTGTTGGTAGCGCATTATCTCTCGATGATCTACCGGTTGGTCTCAGTTTCCCCATTGTGCAAACTATCCGCCAAGTGAAGCATCATCCACCCCCGTTTATTACAGAAGACATTTGCGCGTTTGTGGGGAGGGAAGACCTCAGTATTGCGAGTGCGGAAAGTCTTGGTGACCACTTCGATTATTCAGGCGTAATGCAAAACCAGCAGCAGCAGGACCCCGACGCCCACACTGAGGATGAGAGTCGCGATGACTGTGACGGTCTTGAAGAAATTATAGGCAAGAGTCAGCCTCTCTTCCCTACTGATCAGAGAATGAACGAGGTTGCACGGCTCCTTCGTTCGAGTCGCCCGCTGTGCTTGAAGCTGGAGAAGACACCAGATCTCTCGGACCTCGACTACGCACAGCAGCAGCAAGCTCGCTTGATGCTTCTCTGTAAGCGATCTATGGCGCTGTCCGTGGCACGTGGCATGGTGACACTCGGCAGTTTCGATGTTTCCACAGCACAAACACAAATATGGCGCCTTCACATACCTGCACTACCGCTCGCGGGGCGTAAACCACCTGCAAATGCGATTGTGGAGCTTGATCTTTCCGGCTATGCTAAGGAGCTGACGTACTGGCCTCAGTTTCATAATGGATGCGCCACCGGTCTACGGCTTCCAGCACATGATCTCTCAGGCATCATCAATCGTCACTGGATCAAATACCATCGGCCTTCAGTTCACGACGTTCCGCAACGAAACTCAGCAGGGACCCCAGGAGCTCGTCAAGGATCTGGAGACTCATCTGGCCGTAACTTGGAAGAGGCTTATGCTGCGCATGCAGGACTATTACTCGGAATTGGTCTACGTGGACATCTGAAATGTCTGTCCATGGCTGATGTATACAATTACCTGTCGCTGTCGAATGAGTTCGTGACTGTTGCAATTATGCTCGGCATGGCTAGCACCGCTGCACATTGTCGTCGAAAGCGAAAGCAACAGACAGTAACAGCGAAACCCAGCTCTAGCGACGACAAGAACGTCCCAACAGAACCTTCAAGTGCTGATTCTGATATCCCATCGGTTGAAGCGGACCACTTCTTCTCAAGTGTTCCTGAACTGGCGTCGTCGGATAATACGCCTCTTCTCGGAACGGGTTTGGAGCTGGCGTTGGAGCGATCAGTGTCCAAGATGTTGTGTCTGCACGTTCCGTCATTGCTGCCACCACCGTTTGGAGGGTTTTCAGTGCCTGCATCCACTCAAACGGCGGCATTACTGGGGCTCGGTATTTTGTACCAAGGTACAGGATATCGGCTAATGACTGAGCTACTACTCGCCGAGATAGCGCGCTCTCCATCGAGTGCCCAATTCGTCGGTAACAACGGAAATACGGGCTTGTCAACTGTTTCCTTCGACCAACTGGAGGGATACGCCTTAGCAGCGGGAATGGCGCTTGGACTTGTCGTACTCGGACGTGGCCAGACTACAACAGGAGACCCAGGGCTTGCTGATCTGAAGCTTGAAGAGAAGCTTCACAAATACATCGTCGGTGGGGCGCAGCAGTACCGGGACACTAACGCGGCGGGAAGTTGCCTCTATCGTGGACGACGCTGGCAGACGTTTGGCAGTGGAGGAAGTGGTTTCAACTCTGCGGTGAACGGTAGCAGTACAGGAAATGGTACGTCTAGCAGTAATGCCGGAGCTTCTCCGGGCGTTGGCCGTGATGCAAAGCACACGAGTGATCGCAATGGGGCTCGTGGTGGGGGTGAACACGTGAATATTGGAGTGACGGCGTCTGCAAGCGCTCTGGCTCTTGCCTTCATGTACATGCAGACCGGCAACAAAGCCGTTGCCGCTCAATTGGCGGTACCGGACACACTGATTTTACTCGACTACGTTCGTCCCGACATCTTGCTGATCCGAACATTGTCGAAGAACCTCGTGATGTGGAATGATATATGGCCAACAACGCAGTGGGTTGAGCAGCACGAAGTCCCCCCGCAGCTTCTTCAGGCTTACAAGTCTATCCAGCCGCAAGGAAATGGCACGAAAGATGAAGCGAATCGCCCCAATGGTTTGCCGCCGCACAGCGATCTGAACTCGATTTGCGAGGCGTACGCAAATATTGTCGCAGGGGCGTGCATGAGCATAGGACTTCGGTTCGCGGGTACAGGCAATACTTCAGCTCGCTCGACACTGCGCAAGTACATTCTCCACTTCCGTGAGCTGCGATCGAAGGCGTCATCCTCGATGATTTTGCGCGGTAGTAGCAATGTGGTTGCTGCTGCCACAGAGCGTGCTACCGTGGAGCGGTGCTTAGCCGTGTGCGCTCAGGCCCTAGCTTTGGTTGATGCTGGAACTGGTAACGTGGAAACTCTGGCGCTACTACGCTCGTTGACATTGCGGCAGCACGTGGATGCGGCCATGAGCTATGGCAACCACATGGCGCTTAGCATGGCGATCGGATTGCTTTTCCTGGGTGGTGGGCGTGCCACAGTCTCTCGGTCAAAGGAGGCGATCGCCGCACTTGTGATCTCGCTGTACCCGATGCCTCCGATGAATACGGCTGACAACAAGTATCATCTGCAGGCATTCCGCCACCTTTACGTTATGGCTGTAGATACTTCGCGATTACTGGAGACCGTGGATGTGAACACTAAAACTACATGTGCCGTCAACGTCCAAGTCGAGCTCATTCCAGGCAGAAGTCAAGCTTTGGACGATGAAGCTGGTACGCAACCTTCGTTCCGGATGCTGCGAAGTCCATGTCTCCTCCCAGATATTTCTACCATTAAGCGTCTCGTCATCTCCGATCCTCAATTTTACCCGATTGAGATCCTAACTTCGCTATCACCAGACGACCTAGCGCCTCAGGTGAAAGGCGAAGTGCGAACGGCGAACATGCTACGGCTGGAGCTGTTGCGAAACAAGAACGTTGTCTTCCTGAAGCGCCGGCAACGGCGAGACCTCGGAGGTCTAGCAGATTTTACTGGAGAGCTTCAGCATCTGCATGACGTACAGGTGGGAGCCCACGGTGGAAGTAGCAACAGCGATAATCGCCTCCGTAAACTGTTTCGGGCATACTTCACGAGGAGCGGTCTTGGTGATGATGACGACGATTGCTACGACGGAGACGATGAGCCATCGGGGCAGTTGGTAGTAGCTGATTGGGGAAGCAGTTGGTGGGCAGCTCAGTTGAGTCCGCAGGCGCTGGAGCTTGTCAGAGAGGAAGCCGAGTTGCTGATGCCACCGTACCTTAATGCTCTGCACGCGCTGTTCCGATTGCAACAAGTGCCACAGTTGTTATGCGCTACGGAAGTTGTGGATTTAACGTTGTTCAGTGAATACTGTCGCTTGCTGGTGCCTCCTCTTGAAGCTTTGGAGAGCAACGGCGAACCAGGGATTCTGGTCAAGAAGCCTTCATTACGAGATTTTGGCGTGTGGCTGTCAAACCAGACGGAGGAAGCTCTGGGTGCCCTGTGGCATCGAACTTCGTTGGATATCACCTCGCTGGCTTCTGCTCGAGTTCAACTGTTAGTGGAAGCTTCGTCCTCGCTGCACAAGTCTGAGTCAGTGGCAGATACGTTCTTTGTGAGTGTGTTGGTGAGGTATTTTGCTGGCCCTTCCGTGTCTTCGGTGCCGGATCGAGAACACCCAAAATCTGCCGACAAAGATTGGAAGACCAAGTTCCAACGAGTGCTGGCCGTTTGTTCACAACCCCAATTAATGCCCACATCATCGTCGCCGCCCCGATTCGAGTTGTTAGCATTTCTGGAGCAAGAAGAACTCACGGAAGCTGAGAAGACTTTTTGGCTGAAGTTGGTGTCGTTCTTCCTGTTTTCCAACTAAGTTACCCTGTCGAGGTGTTGGTAGGATGAATGCAAGGTGAATGCTGGAACAATGTTTTGTGATTTTGCTAGTGTTATTTAGTTTTTATTGTCTTGCAGGCTTGGTCTGGATGCGCGTGAAGTCGGCTGCAATCCTGTTGACCTGCCCGCAAGTGTGTTTTTCCTATCTATTCACCCCGCACCAACAAGAAATATCACTCCTGGGGCGGTCACCGCTTGCAGTGTCTTCGTCTGGTGTCGGCTTCGTCGCTGTCGTCCGCGAGCCTGGAAGCAACATACGGACAAGAGGCCCGCTCGCTGCTCAAAATCTGCTTGCACTCACCATCCTCCTCCCTGCAAGCTTCGACCTGGTTGTCCGAAGGCGTCCTCGCTGCTTCTGCTGCTGCTACTGCTACCTCTTTTTTGTGGGGAACCATTTTCTCTTTTTTTCTCCATGGCAAGCCACGGTGTTCCTCTTTTCTTTTGTTTTTTTTCCTTTTTTGCCATCACCCACGCCCACCATTGCCCTGGGCACAACCTCCTCAATTCAGTTTGGCAAAAGTGATTTTCATTTTACGTCTCTTGCGCGGCGACGACACGGCAGGGGGAGCCGCTGCCATCTCCAGGGGCTTCTTCACCACCTTCACGGGAGGTGAAGCCATCCCTCGAGTCGCCGCACCATTCGTCGACGTACTGGCGGAATTGAGAGCAGCACCCAACGGTTTCACGTCCGGACTGCCAGCTCCCGCCAGTGCTTTTCCATCGCGATCACGCTTACCTGTCATTTCTGGTGACCCCGAAGACACCACCTTCTTCGGCTTGACCGGAGTATTGTTGACCGACTCAGTGCCGTTCGTCACCTCGGCACCGTCAGCTGCGGGGTCAGGGCTTCCAGGCTGTGAGATGCTGCCCTTACCGTTGGCCATGTCGTTTGCCAGCGATGCTGCCTTTTGACTGCAGCTCAACTCGTCACCGTCTTCTTGAGAGTGTGTACCCTCATCGCCCGAAGGCGAAGGGCTCGGTGCCGCAGCTTCCTCGGCTTTCTTTTCGTCTTCCTTCTTCTTCTTCATGAATTCACGACGAGCCACGCGAGCGACAGCACGGCCACCCATATCCTCGAACACACTTTCAGGCAGCGCTTTCCACACGACCGGGGTCACACGCACGTCCATGGTCGGAGTTCGCTTGTTCCAGCGGTACAGATCGTTGTTCTTGAAGTACTCCACAGAGTTGTCGATGCTCACTTCACGGCTACGCAGCTGGCGGCGATCAATGTCGAAGCCCACGTAAAAGCACACACCAAACTTGCTAGGCTGCGCCAGCGCTGCGCCATTCGGCTGCTCACCAGCAGGAGCCTCGCCTCCCGTCACGAAACTCAGCGGGAACTTTTTCGTGTAGGCACGAAGGCGGCAGAGTGCCGGGTTATACGCCAGAGACTCCACCAGTTTACGCATACGCGACTCACAGAAGCCGCACCAGGCCGCCTCCTCCTCTTGCTTCTCCGTGTACACCTCGACTGCGAGGTAGTGTTGGTGGACGGCGAAAAAGTCCGAAGGTTCAAACAGAGGTCCCCACTCCGAGCCGCCCTTGCTGAGCACATCCTGCACAATGGTCAAGCCACGCTTGAACTCCTCCTTCATCACCGTCAAACTGTGCGTCGAGACGTTGAACGAGGAATTCATCGACGGGTACGCCGGCGTCAGGATCGGCATCACTTGGTACCTACAAGGACAATTTCATGAATTCATTAATAAAAAATTGCAAAAATAATAAATAAAAGAGTCTTAAACTTACCGGTTGTGACCCGCGTTGGCGTTCCAGACCTCGAGTCCCAAGTTCGCGTCGTGGGTTTTGCAGAGCTGGATGGCGAGCGGCCACTTCCAGTTGTTGAGAACCATGAAGAACCTCAGCAGAAGCGTCGATGGCGCCGCAGTCGGGTACAGCTGATTGATGAAGCACACCAAGATGCACCAGTTGACACCGCCGAGGTATCCCATCTTGTTCGAGTAGAGTCCTCTGCGCTTGGCCCAGCGTCGGACAATCCGCAGCACGCTGATGAAGCTCTCTCGGTTGGGCGTGAGCTTGATCATGAGCTCGGTCACGCGCGGGCCGTTGAGACTCTTCTCCGTGGCCGGGTCCACGCCGACCAGCACGTGGTCGTCCAGGATGTTGAGGTTCTCCGGGATGGAGTTGCGCGGCAGGATGGCGATCTGCAGATCGATGTTGATCTCCTCGTAGTCGAACGTCAGGATGGGCACGATGGCGCCCTCAATGGCCACGAGGTTCGACACCTTGGGGTGCTGCAGGAAGATCTCCTTGAGCGACGAGAAAAAGTCCTCGCGCGTCACGTGGCGCGGCGCCACGCAGATGGTGTCGATATCCGCACCCGGTTCGTTCACTCCGAGTCGGTACGATCCCGAGACGAGGATCTGGCCGCCGGCGTCGGCCGCCATCTCCTCGGGCACGCCCTTGTCCATGCACACCTGCTTGACCCACTGGCGGAAGATGGAGCGCAGCTCGGCCAGGATCAGCGAGCGGCGCGTGATGTTGGCGTCCGACTCGGTGGGGAAGTGCTCGTCCATGAAGCTCTGCAGCTTGGCCGACTGCTCCAGGTCCTTGGGCTCGGGCGGCGTCGTGCGGATGGCCTTGTACGCCTGCTCCAGCACGTGCGGCGCCACGGTGAACGTCGAGCTCTGCATGTGGGCTGGCAGCGAGAGGAGGAGGAGGAGGAGGAGGAGGAGGAGGAGGAGAATCCAGTAATGGAGTGCTAACTAGCTAGTGCAGCCGTTGCTGTGTCGTGCTCGCGTCTGTCGTGGAGCTAGCTCTGCCTCTGCTGAAGCTCTGGAGCTCTGAAGCTCTAGCCGCGTTGGTTTCCGTCCTGCTTGCGACAGCGCCAATCTGCTTGGCAGTCGAGGCTGGCGCTGTCTCCGAGTCGGGGATTGGTCGATAAAGCTTCTAGATTCCATTGGCGGAAAAAAGAATGCGTAAGGCGATACCACTGGTGGAAAAAGACGCGATGGTTTTCGACCAATGAGGTTGAATTTGAATGTTGAAAATCCTCTCTTTTGGCCGGTACAGACAGTTGGCGGCACAATTGCGGAGCGAAGATGGACGACGACATCGAGGCGCTCATGCCCCGCACCAAGTGCGTCCGCCACCGCGGTTGATACGCTGCAATGAGGACGGATGAAATGCTGATTGTGCCGCGTATTGTATGTGTAGGGCGGCCAACGACCGCGCGCCCGTGGACCTGGACAAGCTGAAGCAATACATGGCCACCAAGAATAATGCGCACAGCGTCGGAGCGTACGAACCAGAAGATGAGAAGGGCCAATATGCCGTCCATAAATTATTTTATTAAGTCATATTGTTTATTTATTATTGCCACTAGACGGTCGGGTGTGGTGGTGCGCGGCGACGTGCGCAAGGACGCGGAGGGCTTCGAGGACATCGACGATTTCTGGGTGGACGGCGACTCGATGCAGGACGACTCGGTGGACGACGACGACTGTGCGTAGCATTCATTGGCTGCACTTCTATATGAGATTAGTGCATTTGGGCTGACGCTAGCTGTGTTTTTGTGCTGGTTGACAGCGTTGACGGGCTCAGATAAGGAGTCTGCGGACACGTCGGGGGACGTGTCGGAGCCCAGCGAGCACGAGGTGGAGCTACCGGAAATTGACAGCCCGCGGTCGAGTGATCGCGAGAGTATGGACATTGAACGCAGCTCCATTCCGTCGCGCACGCAGAGAAGCAGTGTCAGAGTGGAGCCGGAGCAAGAGGAGAAGGACGACGCGGGACCGCCTCCCCCCGCGTCACCCGTTAGGAGCGACGTGTCATTTGATTTCGGTGGCTCGCCCCATGGCTCTGTGGATATGAACGCAGACTTGGATGCGAATGCGAACGTCACGGTTCGTGGTCGACGCGGTAAAAAGTCGATTGAGAAGGAGAAGGCTGGTGAGGAGAAGTCGAAGGCAAAGGCAAAGACGAAGGCTCGTCGGAGAGAATCATTTGGTGGAGTGCGTGGCTTCAACGCAGATACGGCGAGCCCGTTCTCTTTGAACGACGGACCGATGACTCCACTGTCAAATGGTGCGTGCTGGTATGTCGAATAGTGGTTGCATCCCTTATCTGACATTTTCCTGTGATTGTTTCCACCGTAGCAAGCGACCGCTCGTTGAAGTCTATCCCTTCGTTCTCAGACAAGAATTCGCTCTCGCCCAACATCAGCAAGGAACTTTTCAGCAAAAATGAGGACGCTAGCGACGTTAGCGCGGAGAAACCAAAGAAGAAGCAGACCAAGGGTAAGAAGGCGAAAAAGTCGGCAAGTGGAAAACAGTCGACCGAAGGCCGTAAGAAACCTCGGATCCGACCGACAGGCAAGTATGGCTACCGTACGAATCCCGGAACAGACACCTCGATGCAGTCCGTGCAGACGGACGACGATAACGACGAGTCGTTCGAAGCGCAAAATGATTCTGGCGGTGAGACTGGCGATGACAGCTTCTACAATGAACCAGACGCGCCGACAGGCCCAGTTCGCGACAGATTGCCCGATGCCTCGAAGATTTTGGACGACGACGAAAATGACGAGGCGTGGGATGGTAGTGGCTTACGTCGGTCCAAGCGGAAGCGGTTCAAACCGCTGGCCTGGTTCAAGAGTGAGCACATGGTGTACGAACGTACCTTCGTCGGTGTGGGCACTGTAATGCCAACGGTTGTCGGAGTGGAGCGTCTTGGTCAGGACTCCCCAACGTCAAAGCGAACCAAGGCCAAACCTCCCTCAAAGCGGACAAACAACAGCAGAGCTTTGGCTTTGAAGGAGTTGCCGAAGGACCTGCAGAAGCGCATTATCGATGGCGAGTGGGCGACGCTCTACGACAGCCAAGCCGGCTGCATGAACGATCTGAACGTCATTTGCCGCTCGAGCGAGATTCGTCTGCGCAAGCTCCCCACCGAAGAGCGAGGAGGGGCAGTGGTGCACGCGTACGCGGGGCAGAGTTTCAACCTATTTAGCCCGTCCCCATTTGCTCGGTGGATTTCAGGACGTGTGGTCTTGCCTCCCGGTGCGTGGAAGGAACCCGAGGGCGTCGGCCAAGCGGTGCAGTTGTTCTACGTGACGGGGTGTCAGCCGAAGTCCTTGGAGCTGGCGCTGTCGCCCGAGACGGACGATGATTTCTTCAAGAGCAAACACACGATGCACTTTGTGCTCAGCCCGGGTGACGAATTCTACGTGCCCTCTGGAAATGTGTACTTTGTCAAAAATCACTCCTCCACGGCGGACTGCGACCTGCGATTCACTATTCTGAAGCCTGAGGCGCCCCAAATGGCCTCCGACGACTACGACTCGGACGCTGAAAAGGAAAAAGAGGAGGAAGAGGCGGCCACAAAGTCGAAATCGGACGCAGCGGAGGCAAGCGGCAGCCCGCTCAAGCGGAAGCGAGAGGAAGATGCGAATGCAGATGTGGATTCCGACTCGGTCTAGGCAGGGAGTGAGTGTACTGTAGAGCAACGCTAGTCGCCCCTATTTCGTAATTTCGTTTCGTGTGCAAGCGCATCCGGTCTCTGATATTCCACAGCACATGGACGTTGCGGTGGAGCAGCCCATTGCTGTCACATTGCTGTCAATGGAGTGGGACCAAAGGAGCCGGAAGACTGTGACTCGCGCCGATACATACGTACGTGTCCGCACGGACGACCACCGCTCTGTGGTCGCGGGCGACTATTATATGAATGAGCAGGTTGCAGAGACCGCTACAGCAGCGAGCCTATCCTCGGGCGCCAGTACATGTAACGCGTTGACTCCTCTTTCGAGGTGTCCGCGAGCGCTGACCGCAAACACGCTTGAAGGCAAAGATGTGGCTTGTCCCCATTTGCGTGGCACGTCGTCAACTCGAGCGGTGTACGCATGGACGCTGGCCTGCTAAAAAAGCAGATGACGTAGGTAAGTCCGCCCAGCTGGGCTCTCCTAAGAATACGCGGTTCGGTGTCGAGCTACGGCAGTCCAAAGCGGTAGCCGCAGCCTTGGCGTCTGGCAGCACAGTGGAAGGGGTTGCCAGTGGTCAACGGCGCGATCGAGAGGACCAGCAGGAGACGGCTGCCTGCTCTATACGGCCATTGCATTATCGCCGCTGCGGTGCCGACGCCTTCCGATTGCTTTAAGTGCCAAAGTACATATTTATCCTAGCGGCACCGATCGGCTCTGATAGACGCTATGGATCCCGCGGCGTCGTCGTCCAAGTGCGTCTGCAGCTCACTCGATGGTCGGTCTCAATGCAGGCTCACCTACTGACGGATCGTGTTGTCACAGGATGGACGAGGTCATCAAAGAAGGCAGTGTAGCTGTCCGAGGACACTTTATGGTACGTCGAGCATGGCAACGCTATTCAACGTCCTGTGGTCTCACTGGTTGTTGCTGCGCATCGCAGTGGCGCGACCGCTACATTATTATCAGGCCGGGCGAGATGGTTATCGGTCGTCGACGAGACGGCTCCATTAAGGCCAAGGTTTGTGGCTAGCTCACCTGTTGACATGCATTGTAGCGATGTACTCATGGCTCAACTGCTTTGTAGATCGATTTGTACGATTCAAACGTCAAACTCACATTCCTTGGGGGGCAGTCACTGCTTACACTTTCCATGCATGGGAGGGATACCGTGCTGGACTTCCGCTCTACCACCACGCGTGACGAATGGATCAGTGCTATCGTAAGCGCTCAGGAACGCGCTGGTTCGGACTGCGACGATAATGGAACAGAGCTGGAAACAGAAGACAGCGATGGACGTAAACGACAAAGCACCTCGACAAGTTTGGGGACGGATCACACGGACTCGATTGGCGATGACGGCGAAGGCTATAACGACGCCCTGCTAGCACTGCAGAGCGTGCGCGATTCCGTCATGCAGTGTCATCTCTCAATGGGGGGATCAGAGATCGACACTTTCATTCCGCGTGGAAGTTCCACCCCAACCTTCACGAAAGTTGCGCCATCACTGAGACGAGTGCAGAGTGCAAAACGCAGTGAGGAGGAGCTGCGACAGAAGCGGCTTCGGTCTCTGTTAACGCTGATCGAAAGCAACCCACAAGGCGGACGCGTTGTGCTCTTGCATCTCGGGGTAGTGGCGTCTGCTGGAATCACCGTCAGTGACATGCTCCTGGCTCTTGGGGAGAAACAAAGGAATAACCCGCGCCGTGGATCGTTCACGCCACGCACCTTGAGTGCCCAGAAGCACAACGTTGCGGCTTTCGTTCGGGATATTCTGTTTCATCCCATCTACTCGAAGCGCGAAGAAGTAAACACCGAGGTCGTCCAGGGTCTGATCGACTTGTTCTTCTCACATTGTCGTCTTCGACGCTTCAGTGACGACTCGGAACTGCAACAGGTTCAACCAGTGCGTTCCACATCAGCGAACAATTCGTCGGCTAAGAGTGAAAATGACGCTGCCCCAGCGACTCCCGTTACTCCAACCAACGCTCCGCCACAAACGCCAACGTCTCGAGTGCCGCAAAGAAGAAAGCGACGCAACCATTCGTTCCCGAACTTGGGCGGGATCACTCAACTCGCCAAGAGCAAGGGGTTGCTACAATCCTCAGCCGATGACTCCTATAACATCAGCAGATTCGAGGAAGGCAGCCAACGGCTTCGCGAAAACATGGCTGTGTTATTTGGTCCGCAGCAACCTCCAGACAGCAACAGAGGTGCCAAAGACAGATCTGTGCCTCTAGTGAACACGTTCACCTCGAACTCGTCAGAAGAACTCGACTTCGAATGCGAAGATGTCCCGCTGCCCGTTCCGCTACGGAATATGTTGTGGGAGATGACCTGTTCGGAGATGGCCGAGCAGCTCACGATCTTCCACCATTCACAGCTCTCAAGCGTGTATCCGTGGGAGTTCTTGCACAACCCCAAGATCGCAGCCAAGGAGCTGACGGACCATTTCAACGGCTTGGTAGCGTACTTTGTCTGGTCGGTGCTGGTCGAGGATTCCCCCAAGGAGCGAGCTGAAGTGATCGAGAACATCATCTCCATCGCCATGTCCGCGAGTGCACCACCTCTCAACAATTTCCACCTGGTCATGGCTTGCGTTGGCTGCCTAGGTGATATCCCGCTGATGGCAACTCGGATGCCGATTACCTGGAAGAGGGTTCGAGCCAAGTACAAGACGCGCCTCACTGAACTCCGACGACTGTGCGACCACACCGGCGGGTTTGAAAACCTACGACGAAAGCAAACCGCCGAAAGCGAACGACCAGCGAGTTCCGGCGAGCCCGCAGCTTCAGTCATCCCGTTCATTGGTGTGATCGGTGTCATGCTCGAACGATTGCGGTCGGCGAGTTACTTCACCGCCAAGAAGATGCTGGACCTGGAGAAACTTGAACGACAGTATTTGGTGCTAAGTGTGCTTGAGAACGCGCTGCTCAAGCCTGCACCACGACCGACCCGTGCTCCTCGGCGCGGGAAGTTGGCTCCGACCGAGTCAGCGGCCAGCATGACCACGCGCTTGCAGGAGTTCTTCAAGTCTCTCAAGATGGACTTCGCCACCTCTCGATTTCACCAATTGCGGTCGCAGCAGATTCTAGCGAACGAGTCGACTACGACCAGCTCCGCCCCGCCTACTTTCGTGCTTGCAGCAACGGTAAGTGGTGGAGCTACGCTCAGTGGAGGGAGATTCGATGCCTCGCCCGCTTCGGTCGGCACCAACGACGACTCCGGTCTGTCGTTTGTGTCCTTCCGAGATATCTGCGTGCTGCTGGTGTCGGTGCCGGAAATGCGTGAGCGGATGCAAATGACTCTCGAGGCGCTGTTTGTGGACGGGCGACAGCCTGCGACGCAGTTCCTGCGCAAGTTTTGGCTCGACTTTAAGCAGAACGTGTGGGTGTCGGGCGTAGGCCCCACGCTGCAGAGCGTGCGAGGCTGCGTGTCGACTCTGTACCAGGAGATCATGAAGCACAAGATCGTCGAGCTCATGCAGATCAGCGGCCTCGACGAGAACTCGACCGAGCTGCACGACATGGTGTACGCCAAGATCGCGGTGCTCACCGTGCAGCCTATTTATCTGAAGATCGTGTCCAAGGTCAAGCGCAACAACGTCAAGGAGGATGCCCACGCCTCGGCGCGACTGCTGCAGAACACACCCAAGGTTGTGGTCGACACCAACATGCCAATGGTGCCCTGGAGCAGTTGCAGCGCCAGCTCGCCGGTCGAGTTGCTGGACCTCGTGTGTCAGTTGGTTGCCTTGCCTCGCTCCAGTAGCTCGAGCTCCGCCGTCGCCATAGCGACCGACCACCAGCTCGCAGCCGTGGAGCTGCTGGGCGCGCTGAAGCACCAGGCGCGGCACACGTTCCTGGCCACCAACCCGGTGAGCAGCCTGTACCTGATGAAGCACATCCTGGACCCCAAGTACTTGCCGCGCGAGCGCCGCCAAGCGCTCGAGGTGTTCGTCGCCGCCGTGACGTGGCTGCGCAAGGACAAGGACCGGCGAGGCGCCTCCGGGGGGGCTCCATGAATCTTCCGGCGAATCGCTGGCGACAAGGCCAGAGCGCGCGTCACAGGAGCGACAGCCACTTTTCCGGGTGGTGTCATCCCCATTCGACCGCGCTTGCGTCCTGCTTCCTTCCTCTGTAAGGCGTCTTCGAGATGGTCAGAATATATGAGGGCCCGCCTTGACAGAATGGCTAACACGCTCGCACCGTACAGAGCAGAGAATGGATCACACCTTCTACGAGCCCTGGGCTCTTCGGTGAACCCAAAAGTCGCGAGCTCGGGCTCCTGGGCTCGAGTTCAATAGGTTAAGTGAAAGGAGCCCTCCAGAACTGTGAGCCCTCGTTAAGGGCTCCCCCTCACCTGTGTTAAATATCTCGCTGATGATTGGCCGTCATTGAAGTATCTCCAGGTTCTAACCTGAAAAGGCATAGGAAAGAGGGCTTCTCCTTGAGGGGAAGAAAGGACTATCGGCGACGCTGGGGTGGCCTCGGAGCGGCTGTACACATATGAGCGGCGCGAGATCTTCTAGTGTGGCGATCTTTGAGCTCGATCTTCTAGCGTGGCGCATCGATCACGCGAAGTTGCTCGCCTTAAGTCTAGGTAAAATTGGCCAATCAGATATTACTATGAAGAGCCCGTCATAGGTTTGAAGCTAAATTTGGGGAGCCCTGGAGGGGAGCCAATGGGGAGCCCGAACCAGGGCTCCTTGATCTCGTACTTACCATGAGGGAGCCTATTTTGTGCGACTTTTGGCTCTCGTTTTAGGGGGAGCCCACTTTTGAAGTAGACGGGCTCGGGCTCGTAGAAGGTGTGGAATGGATAACCCCCTGTACAATAGCAAACGTAAATAAGTACTTAAGTGCTCAACCAGGAAGGCACTTTTGGTGTAGGAAAGTGAAGTGAAGGTTGCAGTAACGTTACAGTGTTTTATCAACGCCCCTTCGCATGTGCCGCGGGAAGTGAAGAGTGGCATTTGTGTGCGGCCGTACACCAAGTATCACCCGCGGGCTCGTCGCGTTGTCGATGCGGCTTTCTCGGCGCGGAACGAGCGCGCACTCGTCGGCAGCAAAGCCCGGCCCCGCCGCCCTCTGCATTGCCATTCACGCCCCCAGTCGAGAGCTGAGAGTTGAGTTCCCTCCCTGGCGGGCGGGCAAATCACTGCGGCGGCCGCAGCAGTAGCGTACAGCACACCACTCTACCTACCTCCAAGGGGATCGAGCAAGCCCTCGTCTGATACGCAGTCTCCGCAGCCACTTCAGGGTATCCACGGTGCGGAGCCCATCTGCGAGGGTAGTACGAGCCTCCCTACCGTCCACCTCACCCCCTTCAAGCGAGGGATATCCTACCAGGTCTGCGGGATGCACGCGTGGGCGCTGGCGCTCGCCGCGCTGACGCTGCTGGACGCGGCGCGGGCCGCCAACTCCACGACCTCCAGCGCGACACTCAACACGTTGACCACGAGCTGCAATGGCGGCTGCAGCAGCAACGGAGCCTGCGTGGTGGTGGGCCAGTCGTCCGCCAACGCCATCGACTGCGTCAACGACACGAGCTGCGTCACGCTGTCGTCGGGCCAGTCGGCGCTGTGTCTCGACGCCTTCTCCTCCACCGCCACCGAGTGGGTCTTCCAGCCGGCCGAGAGCAACGACACGGCAGGCGCCGGCCCCTTCGAGCGCGTCGGACTGCTGCAGCTGGACGACCATGTCACGGACCTGACGTTCACGAAGGCGGAGCAAGGCGAGGAGCCGCTATCCGGCTCGCTCGAGCTGTCGTCCATGAACATCCAGCCGGACGCGACGCTGGATAAAGTCACCTTCAGGAACCTCAGCTTGACCGGACTGGACAGCGCGCTACCCCTGAACAGCGTCAGAAGAATGTACGTTGTGTGCTGTATTGCTGGAATTATGCTGTGGATATCGGGCTGACTAGGACTTCATACTCGTATTGTTGTTCAGATACTTCAACAACTGCTCACTGAGTGAGATCCCCACGGCCGCTTTAGCTGGAGACTCCGTCACCGTCATGTACGCCGGCTTCCTCCATTTTCGCGACTTGGCGCGTGAGGAGTTCACTTTTGTCTAATCGTAATTGTCAATTGTATATGCAGTGATCTATCCGGTAACGCCATCGCCGAAGTGGACACGGACTTCCAGGAAGAGTCCTTCACCAACCTCACCCTGCTGTACGTGAGCCCGTACGCCCATTTTGCCGTGTTGAAGCGTGGTGCTTACGATTTGAGCATTACTCGTTGCACAGTGATTTATCATCGAACGCCTTGACTGGCTTCAGCCTCGTCGCGAACAACTTCCCGGCCATCACAACTTTGTGCGTATTGCTTATATTGGTATTAGCTTGTGCTTACGGAGCATCCGCCTAACGTTCAGCTGGTATCTCTCCTCTGTGCTCGTAGATATCTCCATGACAACTCCTTGAAAACAATTCCCAGTGTGGTCTTCAATCTTTCGAAGCTGCAGTTCTTGTCGCTAGTCGACAACCCAATCAACGCTTCAGGTTTGACAGTAGCTCAGCTCACGTTCCTGGCGAATCTGGAGTTATTTACAATCGATGGAACCACCAACACAAGCGCTTGTCCGACCACTGCCGTCCAGACCAAGCTCAATGATTCCTTCACGTTCTGCGTGGGGAACAACAGCGACGTCGGTTCTTCAAATTCCACGGTTACCGAGCAGCCAGCTACGACGATGCCCGCAACAACTGAGGGAGACTTGTCGTCGTCTTCATCCCACAGGACGTGGATCATTGTCGGTGCATGTTTGGGGGCTGTTGTGTTGCTGGCGATCGTGGGATTGATTTGGTGGTGCTGCCGTCGACGACGAAACGAGCAGCCCAAGCTTATGAACAGCACCACACCGTCAATCGCAGTCGGCATGGGCGATCTGTCCGACCACCCATACATGGAGCTAGGTGTTCCCCGGTCGAACGCCTCAAGCCAGACGACCTCGGACTTCGAACTACTCGCGTCTGTGGCGGACGGCTACATTGGCTTGACCCGGTTGTCTTATGACGACGTGTTCTTGCACAAAATGCTGCGCGTGAGCAGCCGTTCCGAGCTGTGGCTCGGAGAGTACAAGCATGAGGCTGTGCTCGTCAAGAAGATCAAGAGCAACACGGCGTCGAAGGCGTTGATGCGGGACTTCGTGACTGAGATTGAACTCATGTTTGAGCTGAAACACCCGCGAATTGCAGCATTCCGTGGCGCTATGTGGGATGCTGACGGAACAGAGCTCTGCGCCGTGGTCGAGTACGTTGAAAAGGGCGCATTGCGTGACTGCACGGTCAACAACGCAGTCGAGTTGTCGGTACCAAAGCAGCACGCTATCGCCCGGCAGATCTCTGAAGCGATTGCTTTCCTGCACAAGCAAAACATTGTGCACGGTCGGTTGAATGCTTTCAACATCCTTTTGGACAAGGATTACTCCGCCAAGCTCAGTCTGTTCAGCATCTTCCACTACGTCAAGCTCTCGCCGCTGGACAACGAATGCAAGGTCTTCGTGGCTCCTGAGGTTCTACGCGGTGAGCAGCCAACGGAGCGATCCGACGTCTACGCATTCGGCGTGGTCCTCGTGGAGATCGACACGGGCGAAACCCCGGTCATGAATGCGCGGAAACTTTCAATGGAGCGTTCCGGCCGTGAAGACGTTCTCTCTCCGACTGCAAAGAAGACTGGGTTCCGCTTGAGCTACCTCTGCTCCGGCGTGATGAAGGAGACCATCTCGGCTTGTCTTGAAAAGGACCCCGCTCGTCGGCCGTCCATGGCTGACGTGGCGCTAGCATTCAAGAATGGTGCGATGAAGCTTTGAGGGGGTCTCACCCGGCAGCCAAAGCAAGCTGACTCCTATATTTTATTCTCCTGGCTTGGACTTACGCCAACCTTACGAAGATATCGACAGATGCTACTGCCTGATGCAGAAAGCACGGGAAAATGTAAGCTCTCACTTATGTAAATGAAGGACTTGTAGCCGGACAAGAAGCAATATACAAACTCCTATGTTCAAATGTACGTTTGAAGCAGTACATGTAGCTGCTCACTACATCTACTGTACCGAGTCAGAAACAACCTCAACTTGGAGGTCTCCATTGATTAGTCAGCGATATAATATGAGAGCAGAAGGAGTGCAATGCAGCGTCAACTGCGCTCACGTGGCACCGTTGATCGATCTCTCGTCAATAACTTAACCGCCGCCTGCTTACAGCGCCCTGCTCTGCTTGAGCAGCGGCTCGAGGTCGCCCGCCTTGTGCAGCTTGCGCACGTCCGAGATGCCGCCGATTGACTTGCCGCCCACGAACACATTGGGCACCGTGCTCTGGGCCGTGAGGTCCTCGAGCGCGTCCTGCTGCTCGCTGCCGCCCTCGACCTCGTCCAGCTCCACGACGTCGAACTTGGCGCCCAGCTCCGTCAGCTGCGCCTTGGTCTTGGTGCAGAACCGGCAGTAGGTCTGATCAACATGCACTGTACCACCATCCTGCAGCAATGGTGATTCACCATTGGTGAAGGGTGTAGGGCCATTCACTTGTGTCGAGCATTCGCAAGACAGTTTGACGACAGAGCAAATCCAGGGATTGGATTGGCTAATACGTGCTGCTGCTACAGTATTGTACTGAGGTGAAGACGACAGCGACTGCGTGCTGGTAAGTTGGTCTTAGTCTCTCTTGCTCCGTTTCCGGTGTCTAAATTCTAAAGTACGAGCGTTTGCGTTGTCGGCGTGCTCTGCCTCTGTGACGGGGCACACAGCACTTCTTAACAGAGGAAGCAGGAGTATACAAACTCCAAGTGAACAGCCGTTCACGTGTCCCTGGTCTGACTTGACTTGAAAAGCGGTAGATCTAAGACTGAATGTATTTATAGGTTGGTACAGATTTGGCCTGCATACAAATCCTAAGTTCCCTATAGTTTGTGTCATACAAAATGTATCTGTAAGCTCTGAGGCCACTTGGGTCACTATCCAGGGGAGTGACCGATGTAGCAATCCCGGACTAGTGACAGGGTCACTATTCCATGTAACCCCGTTACATCCTCCCCCACTTAGATTCGATCTTATCGACTAATCAGAGCGAGGTTACGCCGGCGACTCACATTTCACTCGCAAAGTCGAAATCCATCGACAACGGCGCGAACTCTGGCGCCTCGGCTCCCGGGCCTCACAGAGCAACTGGCGCATCGCCGAGCAAGCCGCAGGGTCTCCACGTCGACCGGAAGCATGCCTCCAAAGCGCAGTGCGCACAGTGCGAAAGCACCTCCGAAACCGCGGGCCGTAGGGCCGAAGACCAGGGCGTCCAAGGCCAAGGACGAGTCGTCCGCGCTGATGGAGGCCACGAAGGCGGCCGAGGAGGTGGTGCGCTCTCGTAGCAGCACGCCGGAGAGTGGCCGTCAGGCCGGGGCTCGTAGCAAGTCTCCTGACGCCGCGCAAGGCAAGGAGGAGAGTCCTCGGGGCCATAAAAGCCCGGCTCGCGACTGGGAAGCCGCCGTCTTTGACTGCACGATGGTCCAGTACTCCGGTGAGAGTTCACCCGACGACGAGAACGTCTCGGAGGGCAGCACGCACGCTGCCGAAGGCACGCAGCTGGCGGCAGGCGACATGACCAACGCCTCGGCCGACGCAAAGGCCTCGTCAGAGAAGGAGGCGGAGGACGCCGAGTCCGGCTCAGGCGACAGCAAGCAGTCGCACGACGAAGTCGCCATGGCCGACGCTGGGGTCGTGGCCGAGAAGTCGCCGAGCGACGCGGGTTCCAAGCCCAAGGAGGTGCTGGCATCCAAGCATCTGACGCTGGCACAAGGTCGTGAGCGTGCCTAAGCGTCGAAAGCGGCTGCCGCTGCGAAGGCCGCCGAGGCCAAGGCGAAGAAGCGTTCAGCTTCCAGGTCGCCTCGCGGCTCCAGCTCCAAGCTGTTCATCGACTCGGAGTCTGAGGATGAGGAGGGTGCCGTCCACGATCCCAAGGAGCTCTCCAACAACCTCGACGAGCAGCAGCAGCAATACCACGCTGCTAGCTTGGGTGCGTATGCCAGGCAGCCGACTGCCACGACTGCCATCGAGTCTTCTTCAGGCGGGGATACCACATACCCGCACGGCTACTTCCCGCCCGAGCCTGGCACTGGTGCGCCAGCGCTGTTGGAGAAGCTTTCGGCTCCTCGTGGCCTTATCGGCGGGTACACCTCGAGGGGTTCCTATGAGCGTGCTCTTGTTGAGAAAGAGCCACTCTTTCTTGGCGACGTTGAAGTCGCCCGGTGTGTGCTACTAGCACCACACAAGCTCACACTGAAGGAGTTCACCACGCTTCGCAAGAAGCCGGAGGACAAGGGTGGACTCCATCCTGTGTGGGGTTTCCACTGGGTCAAGCCGAATGACAACATGATCCGGAGCGAGGTGGAAGACCTCTTCTGGCGCTACGTCCAGCGCAAAGGGTATTCCGACCAAGAGTTCAAAGAACTCCGTGAGGATCGCACTCTGTCCGCAATCCTGGACGTGCGCGAGCTCCGCATCGAGTTCGCTCAACTCGTGAGCAAGCGCAAGCTCCACTCGAAGCAGGACGAGCTGAAGCAAGAGGCGAGAGCCAAAGCTCGTGAAGAGCGTGGGCGTGGTGCGACTACGTCTGCTACCGTGCCCCGGGTACCGGCCAAGAAGCCAAGGACTACTTACGAAGCTGCCGCTGCTTCTCGTCCCATATCGCAACAGCCTTCGGGCAGTCTGCCTGGAGCTGCTCAACGGGCTCCCACGAGTTATCCGACTCAGGGTAACCCCTCCAGCTGGCGCTTGCCATGGAGCCGCCGCTCCCGGACGACTCGTTCCACGTGGTAGTGGATCTGCCCATTACGATCAAGGAGGGCCGGCGGTGGCCTCGCACGGCCATGGCTACGAGCCTGAGGCGACGCAGCCGTATGCTGGGGCCCCGAGTCAGGTGGTGGCCCTGCAGCAAGAGGAGATTCGTCTTCTCCGGGACCGTGTGTACGTCCTCGAGATCGCGCTTGGCGTCGGCCTTGGTGGCGAGGCTGCCGCTCGTGCTGGTCAGCCTGGTGCCGTGGAGCGGCTCCGTGAGGATGTTGCCTCGCTCTATCAAGAAACTCGCAGTCTCCATGACCGTGTGGATCGTCGAGCCGACCTGTCGGCTAACGACTCGCTGCGAAACCAGCTCGCTGGCCTTCGGGCCGAGCTTCATGGCCACGCGCCGTATCCGGAGCAGCAGCAGCCCCACTCGTATCAGGCCCAGTTTGGCCAGGGCTCGTACGGGGCCCCTGCGTATGCTGCTCCGATGTACGCCGCGCCGTCTTACGACCAGCGCGCGTATCAGGCGCCTTACCTCGACTCGACGCCGCGCTTCGAGGAGCTGCGCTCTTCTCCACCGGGCCACCCACCGCTTCCTGCGGGGCAGCCAGAGCCAGAGGGTCATAGTACCTCTTAAGACGACCCACGTAAAACGTCGGGTGAGTCGTCATCGACTTGGTCAAGTCTATGGTGTACGCCGCGCCATGCCGGCTGAGGACCGTGAAGGGTCCAATGAAGCGGCGCTTCAGCTTGTTGCTCTCGACCGAGCTAACAGTGTTTAGCGGTAGATTTCTAGTATCTAGGAGAACTAAATCCCCAACCTTAAACACGTTCATGTTTCCTCTTCCATTTCGGTCAGAGTACTCCTTCTGTTTATCTTGGGCTTGCGCCATGGTGTCTCGCACCCAGCTGATTATGTTCAGCCTGTCTTCGGCAAACGAGGACAGTTGCTTCCGCAAGGTGGCTGGACTCACGTCCGAGACTTGGGAGGAAAAGGTTTTCCGAGCCTCTCCCCCACTTAGGACCGAAGCCCCGGTACTGCCTCGTAATGTGAGCGGCACCTGAGGGTGGCGCAACCCGTTCAGGTAAAAGGGCATAAAGCCCGTCGATGCATGTACCGCTTTGTTGAGTGCGAACTCAACGATGGGCAAGCGATCAGCCCAAGCGCGGGGCATCTCCGCGCAGATACTGCGAAGCGTGTCTTCGAGCACGCGATTGACGAGCTCCGTCTGGCCATCCGTCTGCGAGTGGTCCGCCGTCGACATCGACAGTCGTGTGCCGAGAAGGCGAAACAGCGTCTGCCAGAACGTAGCGGTGAACCGCGGGTCTCGATCAGAGACAATGGTCTCGGGCAGACCGTGGTGTCGGAAGACACAGTCCATGAACAGGCGAGCGACCTCGTCGCCAGTGACGGTGTCACGAACTGGGTCAAAGTGGACCATCTTGCTCAGACGGCACACGAAGGCAACAACACCAGTGTTGCCACGGTCATCGGCCGGAAGTCCGAAGACAAAGTCGAGACTCATCGACTTCCAGCAGTCCACTGGGACCGGCAGGCTCTGCAATGGTGCCGAGGCGTGACCGGCAGGCTTCACGCGCTGGCACGTCTCGCACGTTCGGACGTAGGTGGCGACCCACTTGTACATGTGACGCCACCAAAACATCTGCGAGACAGACGCGTACGTCTTCTCACGGCCGAGATGGCCACTGGATGGAGCGTCGTGCGCCTCCATCAGGATGTCGTACTTGAGATCCTCGTCGTTGGGCACGACAATACGGGGAGGATCCTCGGGATCGACTCGATAGTGGAGCAAACCGTCAGCCCACTCATAGCGGAGCAGCCTTGCACGTTGTCGGGGCGTGAGCCACTCGGCCTTGGCTTCCGAGCCAGAGGCCAAGAACCGCACAAGAGGTCCGAGACTGGCATCGTCTCGGTACCCCAGCCTGATGCGATCATACAGATCCGTCGTGACCCGACTAATATGAGCAAGCTCGTAGTCGGGTCGGCGCGACAGCGCGTCGGCAAGCACGTTCAACTTGCCCGGCTTGTACTCGACACGGAAGTTGTATTCCGCGAAGAATGACAGCCAACGCGCCATCCGCTGTGAGAGATGCGGCGTGTTGACGGCAGTCCGCAAGGACGCGTGGTCTGTATAAACGACAAAGGGCGTCGAGCCCAGGAGGTGCACTCGGAACTTGACAAGAGCGTACTTCATGGCAAGTAGCTCCTTGTCGTGGGCTGGATAGTTCCGTTCGGCTGCCTTGAGCTGCCTGGACTGGAACGAGATGACCCGTTCGCGGCCTTCATCGTCGGCCTGCAATAGCGCACAGCCAATTGCGTAGTCAGACGCATCACAGACTACGCTGAAAGGCTTCGTCTCGTCCGGCAATGCCAGGACTGGCGCGCGCTGTAAGCTCGCTTTGATGTCGTTAAAAGCATCTTGATGGCGACGCTCCCAGCGCCAGTCGACATCCTTCTTCAGGAGATCCGACAAGGGCAGTGCCAGCTCGGCGTAGCCTGCACTATACTTGTGCAGGTAGTTGGTGAGGCCCAACCACTGTCGTAGGTCCTTCTGCGACCGAGGTGGCGGCCAAGCCGCGACGGTTTTCACCTTCTCCGGATCCGCCCGGACCCCGGCGCTGCTGACGAAGCAACCCAGGACCTTGATCTCCTCAGCTGCGAACACACACTTGTCGATGTTGGCGTACAGTTTGTTCGCCCGCATGACTTCGAACACACGTCGAAGGTGCTGGAGATGCACCTCCATGGCCGTCTGGCCTGCCTCGGCACGGCTGTGGACGAAGATGTCGTCAAAGTACGTCTGTGTGAGCGCACGCAAAGGTCGGAACAGTTGTGCGACCAAGCGATTGAACGTTGCCGGGGCGTTAGAAAGCCCCTGAGGCATGACCAGCCACTCCCAGAGCATACCGCTCGGCGTGCTCACAGCCGTGAGTGGGATGTCGCTCTCGCGCATCAGGATCTGGTAGTATCCGTCCACCAGGTCCAGCGCGCTATACAGCGTGCAGCCGGCCATGTTGTTGAGCAACACGTCCTTGCGCGGGATCGGTGTCTGCGCAGGCACTGTCGCGCTGTTCAGCTTGTTATAAGCATGAACCAGACGCCACTTTCCGTTCGGTTTGCGAACACAGACGGTAGGCGTCGAGTGCGGGGACTTCGACTCCCGCACCATGCCTGCCTTCGCCTTGGCGGCAAAGAAGGCATCAATGACTTCACACTGCTCCCGGGGAAGAGGCCATTGCCTCGTGACACAGTACTTCGTGCCCGGCACGAGATCGATCTCGTGCCTGATTCCCCTGTCCGGAGGGAGATTGGACGGTGGATCCTTGGACACCACGTCCTCGAACTCTTTTACCAAGGGATACACCGGGTCCCCGGGGTTCTTAAGAATCTCAGAACCCATGCGCGACGCGCGCTGTCTCTGGAACTCCTCCAAGACTGCCTGGTCCATGACCGAGGACGAGTTCAACTCGGCCGACGTGGACTCCGGTCGGAGGAGAACCAACTCTGCGATCTCCCCGGCCTTTAGCTCGGCCAAGAAGTCCTCCATAGCGAGCTCCTCAAGGTTCAGCAACTCTGAAACCTCGGGCAGAGCTGTAAGCTCGACAGCTCCTGTCTTGACCCGACTACCGGTCGCGCCGTCGAAGATGTGATAACACTCTTCGGCGGCTGGAGCCTTGGCTGGAGGCTCGGAGTCGCTGGCGACTGGCGTCGTCGGCCACACGACTAGGCCCGGCTTACGACGTGACCCTCGGGTGTCTTCGTCTCGTGGCGCCGCCTTGACGGCACCACCGATCTTCTCGATCTCGTGCGGAACTACGTTACCCGCCTGGTCCTTGAGCGGAACTTGGTTACCCGCCTTGCTGGGTGGAACTATGTTACCCACCTCGCCGTGTAGAACTTGGTTACCCACACCAGGAGCGCTTCTAGCGACTCCCGCATCAGTTATGGTCTGAGTGACCTCCTGTGGAACTATGTTACCCACACCGGAAGCGCCTGCAGTGCCTTCCTCATCAGTTATGGTCTGAGTGACCTCGCGTGGAACTTGGTTACCCACGCCAACGCCAGCGACGCCTTCTCCAGCAGCCCTTGCTGCCTGCGGTACTTCGTTACCCGCGTGTGGACCTACGTTACCCACCTGGTAGGCGCTGTCCGGCACCTCCACTCTCAGGCCTCGTCCGGCTCGGTCGGAGTCGTCGTCAGTCTCGACGGACCCCAAGAACTCATTAGACGCTGCTGCGCCCTGGCGGCCCTCGCGGGCGCCCCAGCTGCTGCCAGAGGTGGGAACATGACTCATCAAAGCTCTGTCAGAGCGTGGGGGACGGCTGGCCCTGATGGCCTTGCCACGCCAGTCGATCCAAGGCTCGTGTTTCTCCAGCCACGGCATGCCAAGGATCAAGTCGTACTTGTCCATGTCTAGGACCAAGAACGGCTCCGTGCTGTCGAAGTCCTCGAACTTGACAGTGAGGTCCATGTGGACCCGAGGTACTTCTACCACCGTACCGTCGGCCAGTCTTACCGAGACCAGCCCGTTGCCTTTGCTGCCTCGTAGCGCATCGGCGTACTTGTTGCGATTGCGTGCGACAGTCTGGCGGCGCGCAAAGTTCGTGGACGCCCCAGAGTCGATCAAGATTCTCAAGGGATGATCGTATCCCGGTACACTCGCGTGCACCACAAGCAGCCCACCGCTGCCCTTCTCCGCTTCGAGAGTACAGAGACTCTCAGGGGCTAAGTCCCCATGGCGTGCGCCACCCGCACGCCCCTCATGGAGACTTAGAGTTTCCCCAGTAGGGCGCCCCGCCCCTACTGGTGCCCGGTGTTCCCCTGGTTCCTGGGGCGCGGCTGAATGTATTTATAGGTTGGTACAGATTTGGCCTGCATACAAATCCTAAGTTCCCTATAGTTTGTGTCATACAAAATGTATCTGTTGGCTCTGAGGCCACTTGGGTCACTATCCAGGGGAGTGACCGATGTAGTCATCCCGGAATAGTGACAGGGTCACTATTCCATGTAACCCCGTTACAGCCTCTCTAACTAGACGCAGCATAGTCGTGACTTTCAGTTGGGTTGGTCGGCGGGTATGACGGCTAGTCTTGAGCTGCAGACTGTTGACACCAGCGATGCAGAGCATGGCAGCTTGCTGCTCTGTCATGGAGGAAGGAGGCGGCGTGCCTGTTGCGCGTTTGATTGCCGTTGAGATGTGCTGCATCATCACACGCCACTCGGAATACGTTTGGCGCTTCTTCCTCGTTGACAGATCACGCGTGCTCACTGACTCGAACGGAGGCTGCCCGGCATCTTCGTTCCCAAACTACCATAAATGCCACGCATGTAGCACATCAGTGCTAGGAAACTCAAACGATTCTGGGAGAGTGTGCAATTTACCATCGCTTGGCCAGAAGTAAACAGTGGTGCGTGGTGCATCGCCACCGGGTCGACTTGCAGCATTTTGCTGTTGCGTCTGATTATTCTCCCCCATTACGCGGCGCAATGTTGCTTCGAGCTGCTGCTGAGTAACACCCCCGCCACAGATCCCGTTCTCTTCCAGTAATTGAGCAAATCTAGCAGCCATAGATTCTGGTAGAGCGCACACTGTAACCCGAATCTCTTCTTGTAGCCCAAACATGACCACCTGAGGTGGGATACCGGTAGCAGTCATCCACGGAGAATCTACTTGTACAAGCCGCGATCGGAGCTGCTCCCTTAAATCTTTGGATCGGAAAATCGATGTACCGGGGAGTTGGGACAGTAGAAAATCGCTGCGAAACACCAGCGACGCTAAGCAGAGCTTGAGGACTAATAACAGGCTAGAGTCAGAAGCCAGCGCTGGAAACATACTCTTCACACCTTCACGCACGACTGGGTCGGTATTATCTTTGAAGTGGGGCGGTAGTATAGCAAAACCGGCGCTGTTCAGTGGCAAACCTACCCCAACACGGCCCAGAAATTGGTCTCCAGCGGCTTCATATCGAAAGTAGCGGTCTTGGACACCTCCAAGAGACTACCCGCAGCGCAGACACACGCTCACGATGGACGGGCCTCCCGTACTCCCGTTGCACGTGAACGTAGCTACACCCTTTCTCACCGAATGAGTTCCATAGTTTTTTTCGTCGTCAGCATTTCCCAAGGCGCGGGCAAATGCCTTGCGAAACCGGTTGCGTTGCAGGGAGCCTGGGAACAGCGGACCGGTGCCTTGGCGAGTGTAGCACGCCCAATAGACCCCTAGCGCGGTGATGCAACATGTCCATGGAGCAAATGGGTTGGCGTAGACGTGTCGGGGGTCTTTTGGTCCTTTACCATCTTGATTCGCCTTGCTCTTATGAAAGACGAAGCCGATGCTGTCGTCTTCGTTACTCATGTGCCCGGTGTGAATAGTTTCGACCGACTGAGATCGGCACATCAGATTCCACTGCACCGTCAGAAATAGGTGGGCAAACCCACCGTCATTTAGCATGAGCATCTGCTTACACACTCGCTCGTACACAGAGTACGGTAGCGCCATTTTCCCCGCCATTTTTGCCTCGCCGGCACTTCCTTGGTTGCGCTCCGCCTCGATGCGCTTGAGCCCAGCGAAAAAAGTCTTCATATCGTTCATGTACGCAGCAGGGAGAGGAAGCTTCTTCTGTCGGTAAATGTCCTTGACTGCGCTCCTATAACCACTGAGTGTGGTCACCTTCAGCTTCTTCTCAGTGGCATTCAGCAAAAACGCCTCGAAATCTTTGGGAGTGCACATGGAGATGTCAATTGCGCCACCAGGCTCGAAATACCGGTCTGCATCGGCCTTAGACTCGCGGATCCACGCAGCTATCCCGTGGCGATAGCTGCGGTATACACGCTGCGTTCTCGAGGTCGTACACGCGCGGCGTACATTCTCGGCATTAAGAGCGTCACTGGCGCGAGATGAGGGATCCATGCCGCTGTTGGTTGGCTAGTGCTGATGCCTGTGGGGGATGGCTGCTCTGCGGACGTGGCTGGAGGCATGGGAAGGACGGCTGAGTGGAGGATGGGGAGGGGTCTGCTCTTCGGGGTGCTGAACGAACTGAATAGGCTTTCAGCCAATGGTACGAGACAAATACGTGTACGACAAACTGTCTTACGTTTCAGTGGACAATTAGCAATGTAGTCAGCTGTATACAAAAATCAAGATAGTGCCAAACTGCCTTGATTGGAAAACGTAAGACGCTACTCGTACGGCAGTACTCTGAAGACAATTATCGTCTTATGAAAGAGCATGAATCACCCTACACCGTTGCCTCATCCGACCACGTGAATGAATTCGGGATCAAAAGTGATCAACTTCGGTAGTACTTCCTCTGGTTGGAAATGATCACCGGAAACAGACATTTTAACCAATAACTCCACCACTACGTGCTTTATACAGCACTACGTGCTTTATACATAGTGTACAGCACTACGTGCTAATAACTCCACCACTACGTGCTAATAACTCCACCACTACGTGCTTTATACAGCACGTAGTGGTGGAGTTATTAGTTAAAATGTCTGTTTTTTGCTTTCCATAGCCACCGATTTCATCTCAAACGGGTCCCTGTAGCCCACGTCATTTTCATTTTACCGCTCCAAGTAGCAAGCCGATATCAAGAGGGCACCCGCCACAACTGCCGTACTTCGTTTAGAGTCGCGAAAACATGACGAAGGCCAACCTGGTGGACATGGAGCGCAGAGGCATCATCGACGAGCTCCTCAAGCTAAGTGACAATGGAGTTCTACCCCGCGGAGCCTTCGGCCGCGTCGGGGCCCATGTGAAGCGTGGCCCGACCACCGTGAGCGCTATTTGGAAGCGCTACACGGCTGCGGTGGCGGCTGGTGTTCCTGGTGGCGAGTGGGCTAGCCGGATCAAGCAGAACAGCGGCAGGAAGCGTAAGAATCGAGATGAAGTGCGGACGAAGCTGGCGAGTGTTCCTGTGGAGGATAGGGCAGTTGAGAGGCGCGTTGCTGCTGCTTCAGGGCTCTCCCGGCACCTAGTACGACAAGCTGTGAAGGAAGGCATGGTACGGCGTCGTACGACGTTTATCAAGCCGGCGCTGACCCCCGAGAACAAGCTGGACCGTGTCGAACATGCGATGTCGTTCATCGACGACAAGACGTTACGCTTCGAGTCGATGCACAACGTGGTTCACGTCGATGAGAAGTGGTTCTACGCAGACCGCAACAGACGTTCCTACCTTAGATGCCTCCACGAGCCTGGAAGAGCAAGCGCTTCATACCCAAGACCATGTTCCTGGCAGCACTCGCACGCCCTCGGTAAGTCTCTATATTTTTATAATTTTATACTGTGGATAACCTTTGACACTGTGTATGAAATTTCTGTGTAGGTACGATCCACACCGTAAGCAGAGATGGGATGGCAAGGTGGGGCTCATGTCTTTCACGGAGAAGTATAAGGCACAGCGTAAAAGCAAGAATAGAGCCAAGGGGGAAATTTGCACACGCAATCTTGATACCGTCGATCGAAATGTCTACAAGGGCTATCTGATCACCAAGGTGTTCCCAGCTATCAAGTCGAAGTGGCCAAGGAAGGACCGTCGCCAGTTCATCTTCATGCAACAAGATAATGCGAAGCCGCACGTGTCGCCAACCGATCCGGACGTTGTCGCAGCGGGCACAGAAGGAGGGTGGAACATCAGGCTGTTATGCCAAGCAGCCAACTCACCCGAGCTCAATTGCCTTGACTTGGGAGTTTTTGCTTCAATGCAGAGCATTCAACACCGTCTACCAAGGAAGGGCATCGATGCGCTTATAGCGTCGGTTGAGGACGCATTCGGGAGCTCAAACCCGACACTGTGGACAACATCTTTCTTACGCTACAGGCGTACATGCGGGCAATCTTGGAGGAGGCTGGCGGCAATCTCTACAAGCTACCACACTTGGGGAAGGCCAAACTCCGACGTGCGAATGAGCTACCGGTAAGTCTATCGTGCAGTAGAGAGCTGTATGACGCCGCACTTGCGTTACTCCAATCTTCAAACCGTGGTACTGCACTGTTCTTTAAATGAAAAGTACTTCAGATACCTTTGTCCTTCTTTGAACTCAAATTACACTTTATAAATTAGTTTTTGTCGTGTATAAGATTCGGCCGTCCCAGAAAAACTGCCGACCTATCATAATGACTTCCGGTGATCATTTCCAACCGGAGGAAGTAGTAGGTACATGTATTCGAGACGTTGAGCCAGTTCTCATCTATTTCTACTATCTACTTTAGGTTAGTATCGTTACCCCCCCCCCCTCACCGTAGGTGGCTTGTGTGCAAGGCCCGGGGAGACCCCCCCCTACAACGATGCCGACTCAGCAACGTTACTACGTTTCGCTGCTCGCAGCGAGCGTCGCATCTGTAGTGCTCGCTTAGTTATTTTCGGTGGTCACGCAACTCAACTCGTCAACAAGCAGCACATTGCGAGAAAAATTTTGGATTGCCTTTTTCTACAAGCTCGAAGTGCGTCAAAACTATCGTGACAATAAATATTCAACGCGCCTCTCTCCCTACTCCTTCGACTTTGTCCCCGCAACGGCGTGCTGCTGCTGGAAGTCTCCTATCGGTCTCTATGCGCACGCTCGTAAAATGAGCGCGGACTACCATCATCGCTTGGCAGGCTTCTGCAAGGCACCGGGGTTGGTGGCTTGATGCAGAGAGCACACGTTGCCGTTGCGCTCGTAAGCTGGCTTACGGCATCCTTCCACAACGCACCGCTTGCCTGTAGCACAACAAGTCGAAGGGCAACAAATAAATGCAGGGCAAAAGAGAAACAAGTCCAGCGGAGAAGAAGCTCCAGCGAGTGAGTGCCCATGCAGCCCAGCATATCAAGGTAAGGTTTAAAAATATACAAAGTTCATGCAGCTCACCTCCTCCGTGAGCCCAGCAGAGACCGTGGGAGACCGCCGTCTTGGTGCAGTTTTCTTCGCTGCATTTGCGGCCTGGAAAAAAAAAGTTGAGGCAATGCTTGTTAAATAAAAAAACGAAAAAAACAATTGAGTTTGAAGTTGCCGTACCTCCGCCGTGAGACCAACAAACACCGCGCGACTTGGCACGATTCTCACAACCGGCAACAGTGCACTTGGTCGAGCCGCCTGCACGTGTTACGCAACGTTGTTGTTAAGCAAATCATGAAGCCACCTTTTTTTCCAAATCGTGTCATGCTTACCGTGCTTCCAGCAAACGCCCAAATTTTTAGCACTGCTCGTGCACCCCGGGACTGCACATCGCTTGCCGCCCTGTTATCAGGTCGTGGCAAGTTCAACCGTTAGATCCAAAAGCATCGCACCACCTTCTTCAACCATACTTCCCACCCCAACACTTACTCCGTGGCCAATGCAAAGTCCGCGGTTCACGACGTATCGCGTGCAGTTCTCAAACTTGCAGATGCGCGACTTTTTCACTGCCGCCTTGGGGGCTGCAGGGGCCGGCACGTTGGCAGCCCTGTTCTCCGACGCGGACACACTTGAACCAACCGTGAGATCAGCTGCAAACGCACGTACAGTAGGAAGACCAAGCACGCGATCGATCAGTCCGCGCCCAACCACGGAGGTCGCTGCAAATCCAACGGTCCGCCAACGCAACGCAACGTACCGAAGCTTGGGCCAGTCGAATGGGCCTGGTCTTCGTCCGCGTTGCCCCCCAGGATGAAGGCCAGCGAGCTCTTGCTGGCAGCGGCGCGGCCGACGAGCACCGCCGCGGCGGCGGCAGCGGCAGTGGCATCGTCCGTGTTCATGATGGCCGCGAGCCGGTGTCTGCTGGCGGCGAGCTGCAGCGCCGGCAGCGCGGCGGGCGGCACGTCCTGCGCGCGGGCGTCGTCCACTTGCTGGAGCCACATGTCAGTGGTGTCGTCCGAGTTCTTCATGCAGGAGGAGGGCTTGGGAGGGTCAAAGAGCAGCATCCACGGGGCTGAGATAGGGACCAAGGGGGGGGGAGTACCAGTCTGTACTGTACTCGGCTGCGAGTGGAGTGAGGGGGTGTATTTATATTGCTAAGTGTCTGCAGCTGGCGATCGCGTCCGTCAGGGGCAGGCAGACCACTTGGCACAGCAGGATGGCAGGCAGGTGGCACCTGTTTCCGCCAGCCAGCCGACCACCGACCACCCGGGCGTTTGTTATCTGAACAATGGAGCGGGTCCGGTCGAGGAACTTGGAGAACGATTCAAGTCGCCTCTGTATAGCGCAAAGCCCGGGCGTCGGGATTCGCCCCGATTGCTCTGCACCCGCGTCACCACGAGATCCACTGGTGGTCGGGAGGAGCTCCGCTATTGGAACGGATGGTGCCCCCGTTCACTTGGGGGTTGTATGCGGCGGGATTTGGAAGCTCGAATGGGTACGGCACGCGGATTGGTCGAAATCATGATCGCATACAAACCCCAAGTGAACCGGCCGGCACCGACTCCCGGCTCGTCTCTGTGGCGCCGCCATAACGTAGCGCTCCGGATGCTTGCAGTCCAGCGTGACGGGCGTCAGCTGGAGTCGGGCTTGCTCGGGGCATGGCGTTCGCTACACATGTGACTGCGGGGGAGCATTTCGCCGCTTTGGCCGCTTGGAGGGATCCATCAGCACCTGCGTGACTGCACTGCAGTCACTGCGGGCGGTCGAGTGATTAGCCTATGATTAGAAGCGGGTCATAATCGACATAGACACCCCTCATCGTTCAATTGTGGGTCTCGCCAGAAGAGCAAAATGGGGCTGAGCCTTCTTGCCTGGGAGTCGGGCTCTCCTTGCATTCCATCACACTTATTCCGATTATAAGCCTGACCAAGTATTGAGCCCCCCCTCTGCACCACGACGCGGGTGCGCCGCCATCGTGAGCAACGAGGTCTGGTCGAACAGAGCATGTTCAGGCCCGCGGTCGATCTTCAAAGGGCGTACAGATCCCGTCAACGGCGTCGCGATGGCTCCGTTCGCCGCGCGGTCGCAGCCCTCGGCTGGTGGTGGCGTTGACAGCATGGAGCACCGGGAGCAGGACCGGCAGCAGAGGCGAACTCGAGCGCGGCGCGCTCCACGTCCTCCATCCGCACTCTGCAGCGCGAACACCGCGCACTTTCTTCAGCATTCGGTCCGCCGTGGCGCGAACACGCATCGAAATGTTAGTGTTCGACATCCGGCGCAGGTGTCAAACATCCTACCGATCCGCTGCCATCTCTTCAACTGCACGTTCGCACTGTCCAATCTGCGCTGGATATGCTGCGATTGTCTACGGCTCGAGTCCGCAGCTCCGAGGGACAAATACAGTCGAACTGCGCCTTGAGCTTGCAAGCGCCTGCTCTAAACAAATGTGGTGGAAGATGTGGCCGCACTGCAAGGCAGCCAAGCCATCCTCCATCTGCTCGAGGCACATAACGCACGAGTGCACGCCTTCATCACCCTGACACTTCTTCCTCTTGCGTGTATCACGCGCCATGCTTCACTTTTGGATTCTGAGCACTGGAGACTAACGGGCATTGGGAGAAGACGAATGAAGACGACTACGCAGAGTACACTTTCGTCAATCACTAAAGTATTGTACTTTTTGGAGTTATGTATACTATCTGGGCCTGGCTAAATGTGCAGCATGGCTGCGATGTAGGACGCGCTGGGGCGTAGCGATGGGTCGTACTGCAAGCACGCGCCTGCCAGCTCCCGAACCATTGTGGGGCACTCAGGTGTAAACGTGAACATGCTCATGAGACTGGTCTCGTCGTTGTTGTGCGTGCCCAATACCGGGGTTGTCCGCCGTCGATTCTCCTCCAACGCAAGACTACGGGAGCTCTGCAGAGTGCGCGAACTATTTGAGCTCGGAAGACTCTCGAGCTGAGTCGTTCGTCGCCGCGAGCTGTCGAAATCAATACCACCAGCATTAGTTGATAGTACCGTGCCATCGGTTGAAAGAAGCGTTCCGTTGTCCGAGTCTGAGTCGCCAAGCTGCGTTCGCATTCTCCACGAGCTCCTGATCATCTCGTCGGCAGTCTGGCACGTATCGATGTGCGCTAGCAGTACACCGAACGCGTACATATCCGAAGACGACCGAGACGGTTCGCCGATGAGGATTTCAGGAGCGAAAAACGCCTTGGACGTCGAGTCACAACGGCGGTAGTACGACTGGCAGCTGTAGGGTGACGACCCATTCGTGGGGAGTGCTGCTTGAATGGGGTTGAGCTTGCAGCCCTTATCGGGATCCACCAACACAGTCCGGCCATTGAGTCCGTCGTACGTGGCCATGTGCTGACTGTGCAGGTACATGAGTCCACGGGCGATCTCAGCTGCCGCCTTCATCTTGAAGTTTGACCAGTTGAGCTCTGTTCCAGCACTCCGCAAATACGCCTCCAGCGTACCCAGCGTCATGTATTCACACACGGCAGTCATCGCGTGACGTTCGTCCCATACGAGCCCAGTGATCGAGAGGATCTGAGGGTGACGCATCTGCGAGAGTGTCGGCACCATGTCCAAAGCTGCCTCGACGTCGTCATCGCTGGTCTGGAGTTTGGTCACAAGAACCAAGCGCGTGCAGTGCTCGGCAAGAGCAACAGTGACTGGACCCGACGTTGACAGCTGATTCAGCACTACCACATCGGCGGCCGGGATCTCCTTAAACGCAGCCTTGCGCACTCCACCTCCGTAGTTATACTCGTTCAGCGAAGCTTCGAGTTCCGTCGTCTGAACCGTGCCGTTTAGAGCCCCCATTCTCGCTCTTAGACTCCGCAGGTTGGCCTTAATCTTACCATCGGCAGACACAAGAGAGTCGTGCTGTTCCTGTGCCGTCTTTTTCTTCATTTGTCGTAGTAGCACCACGCCTCCTATCACGGCCAGCACTACGAAGAGCGCAAGGCCCAAGACCACATAGAGTACAACCGGACTGCTGCTGCTCTCGCTTGCCGTGGATGTCGTGCTCTTGTCTTTGGATCCCGAGCTGTTGATGCTGCCGAGACCGTCACCGTTTGTGTAGCACACGCTTTTGTCAGCCCACGAAACAGCTTCGTACCCCGTTGAGCAGCTCCCATTGACCGTCAAATTGGCTTCGAAAACGGGCAGCTCCTGCAAATACTGGAGCTGTGAAAGGGTGACGTGGGCGTCGGCGATGGCATTGCCTTGCAGGTACAGAGCCGACAGGTTGCGCATTTCATAAATAATGGTAGGGATATCCGTGAGTTGGTTGTCGCGAAGGTCTCTTCAAATACGAATTCAAACCCACGTGAGTTTAATGCAAACGCCTCCAAAAGAGCATGTAGTGTCAAACAAACTTACAACGTAGATACGGAAGTAAATGCGTGCGGCCCACGAGGATCGAACTGGGTGAGTTTAGATCGCTGAATAATACTGCGTACGAAATCCAGTAGTCAGTTGACGGTGAAAAGATGCCGCACAGTTAATTAACATAGACTTACAGCGTCTGAAGTGAGTCCGGAAAAATATTCGTGAGCATATCACCGACAGCAACATCTGAAATGATGCTAGAATTCATCCCAAAACACAATACCGTCAGTACAGCACGCAGGGTGATTCATGTTTGGGTTGGGCCGAAAGACGCACGAATACGTACATTTGCTGCAGCCCTTGGCTGCTGCGGAAAGCATTCGACGAGAAAGAGAGCGGGACGGTGATCTGCGAGTCCGCCGTCGCACCAACGATCGACCTGCAAATCGTAAACCGAACGTACACGCACAATTCACCATCGTCAGCGGGGCTACCGCATGCCACGCGTCGTAGGAATGGAAGACTGGCAGCCACGTACAGGTTCTGCAGGGTCGAAGGGATCTTGAGGTCTTCAATAGCCTGGAAGACTCCCGTGTCCGCCTTGTCACTCTGCGGTTGGGCAATGTCAATTGTCCAGTGCGGCATGCTCCAGCTCGCCCACGTGTCCACTATGCACTGCACTTCACAGTTGCCTGACGTCACTTTCGTCTTGCACGTCGGCATATTCGCCGACGCGCAGCCCCGGTAGAAAAAGTTGCCGTCCTTGCTGGAGCTGCCGACTGCTGTGGACGCGTAGTTGACGCACAGCGAGGAGCTGCACGCGCCGTAGCAGTTGCTGGTCAGCGTGTTGTGCTCCGGGACCGAGCAGGTATCGCTCTCTGCAAGCGTTCGAGCGCCGCGCATAGTTCTGCTGCTCATTTCCCCGGAAAAACACTGAGCCCTTGCACCTAAGGTGCCGCACCCTGAGCCGCTCGTCTTGTGCCTCTGCAGACCTGATTTTTCACCACCACACACAGAGCGTTAGTTGTTCATTAGCCCTCAGCCATTGCTGCAGCGTTTGCTGAGCTGCCGCTACTGCAACTGGCCTCCTACCGACTCGACGCGGGTGATTTTTTCGCGCTCGCCACGAGCGACAGTAGCAGCAGCGCGGAGGGGGCTCCTCCTCGGCTGGAAGGCGTTGTGGCGCTCGCAGGGGGAGGGTGCAAGTAGCCGCTCGCTCTCGCCCGGGTCCGAGCAGCAAATGGAGGTGTCGGTCCACAGCACAAATGTCCCACTGCCGTGCGGTGGGGCGACTACGCGCGCATAACCAGGGCTTAAAGCCAGTCTTGCGAACCGGATGTGAGACGCCATTGGTCGAAAATGGGATCTGATAACTCCGGGATTGGTCGAAACCCCAAGGTCGTTTCGCCGCGCTTTTTGACTGGCCCCCAGTATGCGCTGTAAACTTGGGAAACGGTAACCGTAGGCTAGTTCAACGTTGTTCCGCTGCAAAAGGCTCAGCTGGACGCGCTTCGGCCCCTGCTGCTGCCGCGGAAGACGCGCGCGTGTTGATCAATCGAGGGGCTTCGCGGTGGATCGTTCCGGGTAGAGTCCATACGTTTCGTGCCGTTGCAGCTCGACGTGGTGGCCCGCGGGCAATCGTATCGGCTCCTGAGTCCAACGCGGAGCAGCGCGGCATCAACGGAAGGTCATCGCATTGAGGGCCTTTGCACAGATCAAAGTCAACACAGTCGCTGTATACAGTGGCTGCTGTTTCTCGAGCAAGGATGAGATTGCCGCGATTGTAGCTCGCTTCGGTGTGGGCTTATTGCACCAGGCGAGCTGCACTCAACATTTGTGGAGGCACGACCACTGCGACGGAGGACAGCTGGAGCTGCAACGTGCGGCTCCGCGGCAGAGCTCCGTGCAGGCGACGCGACTGTCGTGCAGAGTGACGAAGTTCGAGCAATCGCGGCCGAGATCACTGCACGGCTGATCAAATGGCCACGGCATTTCATTGATGTGGACAGGATCGGATAGGCGTGTCAGCTCTTCAAGGCGCTTTGGCGAGGGGATCCATGACGCACGGTGTGGGGCTCTGCAGCAACTCGTGTTTAACTAGGATGACTAGGATTTGGCCTGAATTAGGATGAGCTCTATTTTCGGACCGATTCTATATTTTGGTAGGGTAAATTGCCAGTTGCATGTGTGCAACCAGTTCCGAGTTTAGCGATGGCTCCGCTATTTTCGTCGACTGCAACATGTGGCCTCCGCCCTAGACTCCACCGCAGCAATTACCGCTGCAAACTAGGCGTGCCTGTGGACTGAACGCCATCATGAGCGCCCGGAGGTTGCGTGAAGTGACCAAGTCAACGCCTCGCAGTATTCCAGGTGCAGCCCCTGCAGCGACTCCAGATCATCGATGCATCCTTCTCACTTGCATATGGCTTCAATCAATGCACAGGAACTCCACGAAAGGCGGCGGAGAGCGAGCACGAATACCTTCGACGATGTGTGGACCCGGTCCTGATGCCGCTTATCGAGTCGCTGCTGCTGTATCAGCCGGAGAGCGTGTATCACTTCATCCACGACTTCGTGGACGAGCAGAAGGCTGGTCGCTTTTCGCATCCTCCGCGGAGCGTGGGCTATGCTAAGAAGCTCACGAACCGCCGCAAAATGGCCGACTTCATGTCGACCAGCGTGATCCCAGTCATGGATGACCTCGCGAAGCAGATTCTACGCGAAAAACCCAACTCTGTCAAAGGTACGTTTGATGAGAGGATTTCTATGAAGGAAGATCGAGCCCAATCCTAATTATTGCCATGGTACTAGCTTTCATCAAGGACGTGGTTGCTGCACGCATTGCTATTGAGTCTGAGGAGACGTCAAATCAACCCGAGGCCGAGGTTCACTTCTGTGTAAACGACCGCGTATTGTGTCGATACAAAGGCCGACCGAAATTCTTTCCAGGCACCATCACAGCCATCGATGACAACGGGAGTTTTACTGTCTTATACGACGATGGCAAGACAGAGAGCAATGTTCACTACATGTGTCTGAAGTTGCATCCAACTCCCGACCCGAAGACCCACAAGGCAGCTGAAGTAGAACTTGAAAACAATCAGGAACAGCCGAAGGTTACCCGAACAATGGACATTGTGCTCCTGATCATTGGAATCGACGGAGCGGGGAAAACTACACTACTGTCGACCTTACAAGGCGATCTGGACAAGGAGCACGTGCCCAGCGCAGGCTTCACTTCTGCCACGTTCCAAACCGAGACCGGATCGGCCACTTTCTACGACCTCGGAGGAGGCCCGACATTTCGAAATGTCTGGAAGGAATACTACGCTGATGTGAGTATCAAGTTCGTGTGTTGGAAACGCGGTGTCGTTTTAACTTATTTGTTACCATTCTCAGGTTCACGGCGTCATTTTCGTGGTGGATTCATCAAGTGAGAATGCAGTACTCCAGGCTGCAAATGTGCTGGAAGAGTCGATGGCAAACGAGGTTATGGCCAACAAACCCTTGCTAATGTACGGGCAGACTGTCGTTTTCATCCTAGCATCGTGTGATACTGATACTCACTGATGCTTGTTCATTAACGTAGTTTTGCCAACAAACGAGATCACGCCGACGCAATTGCGGAGCAGGAAATGCCAAATTTACTGCGCTTGAACAAGTTCCCGAGCTCCACGATCGTACCGTGCATTGCCAAGCCAGCAGTCAACGGTGGTGCTGTAGACGAGCGCCTTGAATCAGGACTCCAGTGGCTGTTTGATCAGGTCCACAACGACTTTGATGCGCTTCACGAACGTGTTCAACGAGATCTCGTGCAGAAGAAGAAACTTGACCAGCAACGGCGGGAAGAGCAGCGCGCGCGGGTTTCGCGATGGAAAGAGGAGCGAGAGCTGAACCAGATGCGAGCACACGACAAGCCTTCTATCGAGGAGCAACCCAGCAGCACATCATCTACGGCAGCAAAACCAGAAGAAACCGTGATATACTGCTCCAACTGCAGTACGGCACCAGCAGTAGTGAAATGTGCTGCGTCGAAATGGATGCCCGTATGCGAAGACTGCGCAACAGCTCTAAGAAGTCAGAATCAATGAGCAATTTCAACACTTGCCTAAACATTCGTCCAGTATGAATTCTAGGGGACTATCCTCTATCGTCTTAACCTCGTCGCTTCTTCCCGCCCTTCTTGCCGCGCCCACGTTGTTCTTCCTCCTCTTCCTTCTTCTCCTTCTTCGATCGCGCGGAGCTCACGATTTTCTCGACGTTCTCTTTCTTCTTGTTCTTGCGCTGCTCCTTACGCTCGCGACGTTTGTCAGCTGCCTTCTGCTCCTTTTCAAGGCGAACACGTTCAGCCTCCTCCTTTTTCCGTGCAGCTTCTTCGTCAGCTTCCTGTTGCTTTGGGTCGATCTCGGCATCAAGTTGTTCGTCTGTTTCAGGCGTCACACCAGGGGTGTCGTCAGGACTTTCAGTCTCCTTCTTCACCTTGCCTAGTGCAATGAGCTCCTCCTGGAGCGCTCGATCCATTTCATCGTCCAGAATGCTAAGGTCGCTGAATACGCCCAGCTCCTCCTCTTTCTCGCGGTGCTTTTTGGACGTGAGATGGTTCTGTAGCTGCTTGGTAGACTTGAAAGTTTTGCTGCACAGGTCGCACACCAGCACGTCCGCGTCCATTTTCTTCCGGAGTTTCTCAAGTTCCTGCTCAATATCTCTATCAGCAACGCGGCTGGTTTCCATATTGCTGTCGGCCCAGAGCTTCTCCTGTTGTTCCTGAAACGCGCGTCGTTCGGTGTCGTACGCCGCCTGCTTTTCCCGCTTCTTAGCCTCTTCCTCAATCCGCCGCTGCTCCTTCTCCTGCTCCTTCTGCTTCTGAAACGCCCGGACACGCGGGTCACGGCGGCACACAAAGTCCACGAGCTCACGCACTTCCGTTGTGAAGGCCTTCTTTGCAGCGTCGCGAAGCTTCTTGTTCTCCTTCTCCATCGCCCGCCTCACCATTCTAGTGGGTGCATCCGTCGTCTTGTACTCGTCAACCCACGCAAAGCTGCGCTGCGTCGTGTAGCCCTTCCAGTGCTGGTAGAAGTAGTTGACGTCGTCCATCGCCGTCCTGGCGTCTCCTAGCTCCGGCGCAACCTCATACCTCGACGCGTCGCTGCCCTCTCGGTCCAGCTCGTCAATCTGTCCACAATAACACCCCCAATAGCGGTAAAATCACAGCTTCGCCACTACAATTGTCCAATAGTCACCGCACCTTGGTGAAGAGCTCTCCGTACACCGAGAAGAAGCTCTTTTCGTCCGAGCCGAAGCCCGAGTACACAGACGCACTGAAGTACCGGAACAGGTTGAGGTCGTCCTCGTCTTCGTCGTCGTCGTTGCCGTCTCCGCCGCGCAGAATCTGCTCGCGGTGCTCGTCGTACCATTTCTTCTCGTGCGGGTCGCTCAGCACCTCGTAGGCGTTCTGGATGGTCTGGAACTGCTGCGTGGCTTCCTCGCTCGAGATGCCGTTCTGCTGGTGCTTGTCCGGGTGCCACCGCAGCGCCTGCAGGCGGAAGGCCTTCTTGATCTCCGCGGCGGTCGCGTCACGCTCGACCGCGAGCACCTCGTAGTGACACCGCATTGCGCTTCCTTTGGTGGAGACCGTCCACCACGAACTGAAGCACGTCAAGTGGCTACAAAACAGAAGCATACTATTGGTCCAATTTTGGCAAATCATATAAAGACTGGCACCTTCAAGTTGCAGCCTGCAACTTGCGGGCCACCCTCGCTCATAATACTCACTACTTTTGCTCCGACCTCTTTGACTCGCGGATGCTCACGTGCAGGTAGAGCATGTTGATCATGGTGTTCCACGGATCTTCCGAGTGTTCGTGCTCCTCGTTGTCAAGAACCACCAAGTAGGGGATTTCACGGCGAAGTGCGCCGATATCGGCAGACGAACAGCCAACACTACCGAGCCACACGCGCGCCAACGCCGAGAGGAACGGATACCGCTCACCGTTATCCCGCCATCACGCGAACGGGTCTGCTACGCGAGTAGTCCGCTGCTGATGTTCAGCCAAGTAAGCGGACACCTCGTCGGCCACGGAGATCCGCATCTCGTCCGTGTCGATCTCGTTTGGTGCATCCTCCTCCTGCAGTAGTTGATGCATGAGCCCCGGCGTTGGGGTGTTCTTCCGATGCAGCTCAACCGTACGCTCCGTTAGCTCCAGTTTGCATTGTACGCGCTTGTCTTCATCAACGTGGTCCATCTTGGCGTACCGCGGATCCAGAAGCGAGCACCACAAAAACTCCGGCACCAATGCGTCGTAGTTTGCGCTGAGGTTGTCCACGATCCCTTTCTGAAGCATGAGCAGATCGGTGCTGATTTCCGTTGCGTCGTCAGCCGATAGTGATCAATCAGCGGCACTAACATGTTTTCCTGGCTCAGTTGCTGCTTGATAGCCATTAGACAATGGATCACAAACGGGAGGGTCCGCGCTTTGTCCTTGGTGGTGATTTGCTTGACTTCACGCAGCGTGCGGAGCAGGAGGAGGTAGGCTTCCGCAACAAACCACATCTTCGCGGTAGGCTCGGTAATACGACAAGTGGAACTGGAGGCCGCGGAGGCGAAAAAACGGTTGATCGACGGTCTCCAGAGCATCAGTTCGGACAGGAAATCGTACACTTCAGCCCACGTTGAGCAATTCGTTTTGCGAATCAGCAGTTCCTCTTCGTCTCCACCGATTGTCTGAGCACGCATCTTCTTGACCCTGATATCATGGTCGAATCCATCGGCTAGCCATCGCAGCTCTTGGACTACCGACGCAACACTCAATTGTGCAGCCGCTTTGGTTCTGGTACCTCCAGCGGGCACTGTAGCATTCGAAGCAGCAACACGAGGTGGCCGGATCCAGCTTACAAGGCAGTTGTGCGCCACAGCCCACAGATCAGGAAATCGCTTCACCTCAAGGATTGATGCGAGCTGGCGAATGGTTGTATCATTGCTGGTCAGGAGAAGAGACAAAGAGTGCTTAGGAAGACCCCAGTCCCTGAAAACAGCCTCCATCAGCTTGGCCAGCTCCTTTGCTCCTCCATCCTCTGGCGGTGGCACATAAATCACACCCAACGGGAACGTTTCCGTTTCAAACTTGTCATTCACATGGTGACACAGCAGCGCGACATACTTCATGTCGTAGTGCGTGCACCAAAGCTCAGCGGAGAGCGAGTAGTGCCCCACCACCTTGTACTTTACTTTCTCCATCGTCTCGAAGCGCCATTCCGCCGCCTTCTGCTCCACCACACGACACATGGCCGTTCGGTCGGGCAGCTCGTGCGTCCCCTGTGAAAGGAAGGTGATGAGCTTGATAAAGCCACCTTCCGTCACCGTGGACAGCGGTTCCAGGCTGCCACAAATCCAGCGCACTAACAGATCCATAGCCATCGCTTGGCGGTCTTCAGATTGGGTTCTGGCAGTCGGTTGGTTGCGTCGCGGCTTCTTCGCTGCGGGGGCAGCGGAACTGCTGCTTGCAACCATGGAGCCCATGTCCTCACTCATAGAGGGCTCAGACGACAATCGCTTCGCTCTCCCGCTTCCAGCGGGCCCCCTCCCCGCTGAACCCGCTTGGGCGATGAAGTCGTTCAGCTCCTGCGGGTGTTTCTTCTGCATGTGGTTGCGCACGACAACGCTCGGGGACTTCTGGAAGGGGATGGTGGTGTCGCATCGCAGACAAAAGGCCTCGTTAGTGTCGTCACTGCTCCACTTGGTCTTCCCCGGCGGGAGGGTGCGGCCGGGAGGCACCACCAGCTTGATGAACTGCCAGTACTCCGGGCGCCGGATGTGCGGGGACGTGAACAGCGTCCGGCTGCCGTGCTGGAAGGCGTTACTCATGACGGGGGCGGTCTTGCAAATCAGCTGTGATTGTGGGGGAGCTCTTCACGCCAAAACCAGACCGCCCACTATTTGGGGCGGAACTCGTTGAAGTTGCCGTTGGGTATCTTTTGCCTATATGCATGGCACGGGCAACGAGAACTAAGGTCTACACGGATAACGACGCCTAGAGCTGAAGTTGCCCAGCAGAGAGGGGCTGACCTGCATATTGCAAGTGCTTTGGAGGAGCATCTTGCGTTGTTTAAATATTTTCTTGGGCTTGGCTTCTTCCAACGGTTGTGTTGGAATTTGAACAAGTCATTTCGCTTCAACACAAACACGAACAACGGTTAGTTCATTTCCGAATCTGCTGCAGCGATGGCGAGTCACTACGAGGTGCTGCGCGTGGCGCGAGACGCCAGCGCCGTGGAGATCAAGCAAGCATTCCGACTACTGGCGCGGCGCTGGCACCCGGACAAGCAGGGGCAACGGCCTGATGGGGTGTCGGAGGAGGAGGCCACCCAGCGCTTCCAGCGGATCCAGAGTGCCTACGAGGTGCTGAACGACGAGAGCAGGAGAGACAACTACGACCGCCAACTGGGAGAAAGCGTTGGCGAGACCGCTGCTGCTCAATCACGCTACGCTGGGGACAAGCGCGCCAGGCCAGCCCACATGCATTTCTACGGCATGGACCTGCGCTGGTTCGAGGAGAGCCTCCGCTGGTTTACGGAGGACATGCGCTGGTATGAGGACCACGCGGGAGAACACAAGCAATATATGGAAGAGCTTCAACGGCGACAGGAGCAGATGCTGCGCGAGGCCGCGCGCAAGCACGAGCGGTTGTTTCGAGAGAGCAAGGGTGTCAATAGGCAGTGGATGAAAGAGCACACGCGGAAGGAGACGCGCCACGGAAAGCAGCAGACGCAAGAACCTCTGACTCGCCAAGAGAGAGCGGCCCTACACTGGGATAAGTTCAAGGACATGTATCCGCAGTGGCGAAGCATGACAGTTGGCGAGAGGATGCAGCGCATGCTCGAGATTTTAGCCGAGCCAGCGTGAAGTTGATAACACTTCCGCCCCCACGCTCTTATAGGATCCATACGTGGCCGTTAACGAATGCAATCGCTGTCTTACTTGTCCGTGTGTTAGTCTGCCCTGGTTTGTCGGGATGCCTGTCGTGTCTTCAAACTCTGACTCTGAAACTTTATCCCCAGTTTTGTATCGGGAGCTTCTGACAACACGATGATGCTGCCACCGCTTCCGCGAGTCAAGGGGAAGGAGGACGGCGCGGCGGCGAGCGCCAGCGCCGTGGCTACCATCTGCGAGCTGTGCGACCTGTACACGCGCAACGACCTGGACGGCAAGTGGACGGAGCTCGCCGACGTCTACGACGTACGTTGTTTTAAACGAACCCAGCGACAGATCCCCTACTAACTGCTCTACTGATCCCCCCATACAGCAACGCCGCAATGTGGACAACTTCCGTGAGATCCTGGATCTGAGCGCCCCTGACGCGCGTATGGGCGACCTGAATGGATGGCATCTCGAGCGCATGGCGGTGGGCGAGTTTGAGCCTGGGGCCGGCGCTAGTGCCAACGACTTGGCGGAGATCAAGCGCGAGACGCGCATGATCAAGCAGACGCTGATGAAGGTGATGGCCAACGGCCGCAGCTTCAAGGCCAAGCGGGACGAGATCGAGGCGGCGATGGCCAAGCAGCGTGAGGCGCTGACGGTGGAGCTGACGGAGGCCAAGGAGTTCCTAGGACAGGCACATCTGCTGAACGCCTGCGACTCGGCGGCGATCGAGGTCAGCGAGCCGGCGCCCGTGGAGGAGCGGCTGCGCGCGACGGTGAAGCACCCGGAGCTCTCGCCGACGGTGGACCTCAGTGAAGCGCCATCGATCTAAGTAGGAAGGACGTAGGATTATAGTAGCGGGCGGAGATAGGTAGGAAGAATGAGAACAGGGCGAAACACGAGTGCATTCCTCCGGTGCTTCCCAAAAGTCAGTCACGCTCTATCTGCAACTTCGATCGGGGCCACCTGCTACCTGTCTCGCCCTACTGACTGTCTGTACGTGCCACTCGTCGAGCCGCCGCTATTCCTCTAGTCGACGTGAAGACGCTCCTCAAGGTACTTGACGGCATCCTTCGTGATGATCAGCAGGTCCTTCTGCAGGATCGAGTAGACGTTGATCTTGTTCTGCGGCAGCGTGTCCACGTACGGGATGTTGCGCGTCGCCAGCACGAAGCTCGACTCGACCTCCTCACCGCCCACGAACAGCGCGTGGTCCCAGCCACGGCCGCCCAGCAGCTTCTTCATATCCTTCGTCTTGGTAACCTGTTCGCAGCGACCACCAACAAATAATTGTCAATATCTCCGGCGGCAGCAACTTACTAAGAAATAAAACAGCAACGTACGTCGACGTCCAGCGAGTCCACGACGGCCAGCTTGCCCTCACGGAGCTTGGTGGACAGCGCCACGCGCAGGCCCATGGCGCGCACCTTCTTGGGCAGGTTGTACGAGAAGTCGCGCAGCACGGGGCCGTGCACGCGGTAACCACCGCGCCACTGCGGCGCGCGGATGTCGCCCACACGCGCGCGGCCCGAGCCTTTCTGCTTCCACGGCTTGCGCGTGGAGCCGCTGACCTCAGAGCGCGTCTTAGTCTTGTTGGTACCGGCGCGGCGGCAGGCCAGCTGCCAGCGCACCACGCGCTGCAGGATGTCCACGCGGTCGGGCGCGCCGAACACTTCGCCGTCCATGGTGACGGTACCCAGCTCCTGCGAGTCCTCGGCCAGCGACAGCAGCTGCAGCTCCAGGTCGCCCGACGGCGTCACCTTGACCTCCTGCGCCGCCGGGATCACGCGCGGGGGCGGCATGGGCTTCTCCTCGGCCAGCGACAGGTTGGCCGGCATGGCGGCCGCCTGCGTGCTGGCGGCGCGCACCAGGCTGGCGCGCGGGGCCGACACGGACAGCGCCGCCACGCCGCGCAGCAGTCGGTTCATCGACATGGTAGCCATCGCTCTTCCCCTTTTGGACTCTTGATTCACGTGCGGCTCTCGATGGCCATTGCCGCGCTAGAGTATTTGTACTGAATTTTGTCTCGCTTTTGCAATGCCTCACACACTGATTTAAGGACACGGTACACCAAAGTGTAATGGATTACGGCGTCAGCTATACAGTATACTCCCATGTATACACACACAGCTATGATTGGTCTAAATGTATATACGTACTTAACACATCGATGACGTACTTAACGTATCAAAGCCCACTTCGCACCGGCATCTTCCCCCTGCAGCACTGCGTTGCGGCAACCTGACGCGCGGCATGGCGACGCCGCGGAGAGGCTCTGCGCCGCGCGGAGACGGAAGCCTGGCCGCCATCTGCACGCTCATCGAGCGCAGCAACCTGGACCGCAAGTCCAAGCTCGACAGCACGGGGCGCATCTGCTACGTACGTCGACAACATACCTGCCCCCCGCACTTGATAACGCTCTAACCTGTTATTGCCTTGCCTTTCACGCCCCCGCAGGAGCTCAAGAATGACCCGCTGCTGCTCGACAGCTTCCCCATGGACCGGCTCATGAAGGCCATGCGCCGCCTGGTGTGCGACTCGGACACGTCGACGCGCGCGGGGGCGCTGCGCGCGCTGCGCTACGCCATCAGCAGCAGCGCCAGCATCAAGCACTTCGTGGACCTCAACCTGCCTGTGTTCGTGGTGCGCTCGCTGGAGCGCGAGCAGAAGCACCTGGCGGAGCGCGTCCAGGCGCTCAAGGTCGTGCGCAGGGTCATGGAGATCGACGCGGCGCAGATGCCCACGGGCCTCGTGGCGTCCTTGACGGCCATTGCCGGACACAAGGACGACAACATGCGGCGCGTGTGCCTGGAGACGCTGCGCGAGCTCGCGCTGCTCAACGTGGAGGTGGTGGCCGAGGCCAATGGAACGAAGATCCTGGTGGACGCGATCCTGGAGCCGTCCTTCCAGGACCTGGCCGACTCGCTGCTTATGACGCTGCTGCTCATCTTGAACGAGCCGTCCACGCGCAAATTTATCGAACCATTCGTGGACTCCCAGGTGCTATTGGCGCCGTTTACAGACACAGACTTGCCGGCAGGAAACGAGCGACGACAGCGGTGGATGGCGAGTCGCAATGCTATCGTGACGATGATGCGCTCGTGGACAGGTATGGTGGTGCTGACGAGCAACCCGCAGGGTCTCCAGTCGTTGATTCAGTTGCTGGTGCGCCCGGTCGGAGAGGACGTGCAAAAGGCGGTGCTGTCTACGATCTGCGAGATCTTTTACAAGAAGACGAGCTTTGACAAGTCAGCCGCTGATGCAGCGGCGGACACCCCAGCGTTGCCTGTAAGCCTCTCGAGTGCCGAGCAGTTGCCGCTTGCAGTCAACCATAATCTGCTGGATAACTACACGGTGATTATCCTGCTGGCCATGATCCATTGTGGTATCTTGGAGGCGCTGGTGACGCTGGGCACGGGCCCTTCTCGAGCGTTGGCGGAACCGGCAATTGACCTGCTCGCGGATATTTTGCGAATGGCCTCACGCCTGCTGCCGGACCAACATTGTGCATCCTTGCTCGCGCTGCCACGACTAGTGTCCTCGACCTCGCTCACGACAACGACCACGATGTCACTCGGGGATCATGCGAAGAGTTTGCTGGAGCGACTCCAGCGCGAAAAGTCAATTCGAGCTAGTGAGATGCTGGGCGAGCTGGCGAACGCTGTGGGTGCTAACTCGGGCAGCATTGCCACACGCGGTGTATCGCTGGTATCGTACGGCGGCAGCGGTGTTAATGGCGTGCAACTGGCGTCCGAACTCCTGCGCGATACGAATCGGCCGTCGAATCTCCTCGCTCTGCAGCAAATTGCAGGTGTAGTGCGTCTCCCTTCCTCAAGTGGTGGCGGCGGGATTGCTGGAACTGGCGGTGGCTCTGCCAACTATGCTGTCGCGACCCCTTCAACGCAGCGTGGCACTAAGAGCGCGACGGCACAACTAAAGGACAGCCTAACATCCCGAGAGCTGATGGTTCTCGAGCTGAAGCAGTCGCTGGATGCTCAGATGGATGACAGCACCTTTAAAGACATGCTGCACAACCGTTCCCGCGTGCTGACAGACAAGAACTACAAGAATTGGAACTGGGATATCATTTCCGAGATGCTCGAAGGCCCGCTAACAAACCCACAGCGTCTCTCGGAAGCTATGAAAACCAAGTTCTTCAAGCGCCTCTCGGGTTTCTTCCGTTGCGACCAGGGCAACAAGGGTTATTTCTCGAATTTATACTGGATTCCAGACCACGTGCCATACCTGCGTCCTGCGTGCCAAATGTACACGTTGCTGCTGAACCACCCGGAAGGTTTGCTCTTCCTGAAGACTGACCGCCGTGGTCAGTTACTTACAGAGATCTCGTCGGCCCTAGAGCTGGAAGCCCGCCCTGAAGCTGCTATTGTCGAGTCACACATTGGTGTGCTGAAGGCACGCATGTTCTCTCCTGATTATGTATCACGGCGTATGCTGCGCGAGTACTTCACGCTTCTAGGTTTGATGAGTTCGAGCAAAGAGGGCCTCAAAATGATGGAGCAGTCAAATCTGTTCCAGCGGCTTTACGTCATGGGCACCACAAAGGGTCACGATTTCCTTTGTCGCTTGATTCTAGCCAACCTGGATTACTCGGTGGACGGTAGCTCTCGCAAGCTGCTTCAATCTTGGATGATGGAAGGCTCCAAGGCGCTGCGTCTGTATGCGACCTGTTTGCTACGTGCGTTGCTGCGCTCTGAGGTGGCAGATTTCGACAAATGGGGCATTGATGCGTTGGTGACGCAGCTTACACAGGAGGAGGAAGTTGCCAAGGCTGCACTAAGTGTACTGGAAGAAGCTGCCGAGACTCCTGCATGCCTTTTGGCTATGATTCTGAAGCGGCCGATGAAGTTGATCCAGCTCAAGGACAAGAGGGCTGAATCTTTGCTTCTGAAATCGCTCTCGCTTGCTGAGGGACTGAACTTCTTGCGCGACACAGGCGACTGGATTCCGCGGACGCTTGCAGCCTGGCGTCGCGAGAAACACATTTCGTACGTGCATGCTGTGGAAAATGCTCTGTTCCGTGGTTTGCACCGCGATGCAGTAGGTCGTGAACGTGGATCAAACAACAGCTCAACAAGCACACGCCAAACGTGTTCTCCCACTCCAATCCCAGTGAATGTGCCTATGAAGAGAGGTGGTGGAGTTGGACTCAAGCCGCCTAGTGGTGGCAGCAGTCAGCGGTCGCTTTGGGGACTGGATTGGCTTTACCGGATGCCGTGGAACATGGAGGTGAAGATTGTGGGTCCTCCAGGAAGTGGACCTCCCTCAAATCTCATCTTAGAAACGTATATTGATGGTGCGATGCGTGACGAGGATGAGACTACTGGCATTGATGACGAGCTCCGTATGAATTCGATTCGCGTTAAGGGAATCGTTGTGGATGCTCGCAACATGCCTCAGCCGGTGGTTGTGAATTCACAACAAACCCTGCAGGCCTGCCTCTTCCTCGGAACACAGCCAGTAGATCGGCGTGGATTCACAAAGCCCCCTCCTCAGAGTAACGGTGGTTTTGTGTCTACAAGTGGATCGGCCAGCGGTGGTGGCACTGCGCTTTCAAGCGATACTCAGCAGAAGATGCTGCGCGCGCGATCAGCGTCGAACTCGGCTGGCGGAAGTATGGACCGTAGCTCGGAGACAATGATGTCATCGCTCGACTTTGCCGATACTGGATCATCGGCTGATACCGCGAAGGAAGGGGACAAGGATTGGAGCTCGTGCCAGCCAGAACAGCGCTCACCGCAGTACTTGACAGCCCCAGAGTGCTCTCTGTGCGCTCCTGGTGAGCGTGCTGTGTGGAACTTCCGCGTGGAAATGGACTCGGCGGCAGGCACCAATACCTCCAATGGCAGTGTAAAACGTCTGTTGCTCAAGTCGGTGGAGTTCACGTTGCAGCTGCTGCCACTTCGTCCGCGCACTGTGCCGTTGCCCGTACATCTGTACGGTGAATTGGCAAAGACTAGTGCTGGTTGTCAGATTCTGCATTCATCTGGGCATTTGCCGGAATTCCTCGCGTGTCTTCGCGATGCTGCCAGCGTTCCACTTGAGAAGCGCGCAGCCTTATGGGCTCTTGGTCACGTGTCCGCAACTCCGCGCGGCTACGATTTGTTGAACCACTACGCTCAAGACTTCGTGGAGATGATCGTGAAGTTAGCTACGGATTCGCCGCTCGTATCCATTCGCGGAACGTGCTTCTTCGTGTTGGGTTTGCTGGCGAGATCCCCCGCTGGCCGGCGGCACCTGGCGCGTCTTGGGTGGGATGCCCCACGTGACGCGTCTCGTACGTCGATTGCAGTTCCCCAGAATTGCACTTCTCTCTTTATGTGGCCCCCATCGGGGTCGTCAACGCCGTGTCCGTTGACTCAAACACCGCGGGCGTCGCCTCTCCAGCGATTGCTACTGCGCAGGCGCGACAAAATGCCGAAGGAGTGGCATGAAGTGCTGCGCTTTGTTGCTGACCTGAGTAACCACATCACCCAGAAGGAGGCCCATGCTTCCCTCAACAAGCTGCGTTCATCAAAACCCGAGCTATTTGAGGAGCCGGTGCTGCTGATGTACGTGCACGCTTTGCTGGAGAAGTACAGCTACCGATTGGCACTGCGTCAGTTCGTGCTCAACGCGTTCGACCGAGCGACGCTGACGGACGAAGTGCTCGATACGTTGCGGGCGGAGGATGAGGAGGAGCAGGGCAACCAGACGCGTCAGCGGGTACCAACCGGCCGCGAGCTGCGGCGACGTCGTTCCTCGCCGTCGATCCCATCCTTTACGGCCTCCGTCCAGTCGCTGAATGCCGCCATGCAAGCTACCTCGGGCGTCTCACGCATGTCGTCAATGCAGAATGTACTCAATACCGGAGGCAACATGGGCGACCACCGTTCGACCATGCGTCTGAACGCACACAACGACCCGATCGACCGCACAGTGTTGCTGAAGCGCAACCGCAAGCGCTCTGCTTTCTCCGAGAAGACCATCGTTGTCGGCGCCCCCGAAGCTGCCGTATAGGGTTTGCCAGGCTAGCTTAGACGAGCGTGGCTGTTGTTTCAAAAACGTATTGTTTGCCAGTATGATAGCTCTGCATCTATTGTCTCTACAAAAACCTCCCGGAGGCCATGTCCATGAGCGAGTCGCCCATGTGCAGCACCTCGAGCTTGCACAGCTTCCCGTCCAGGGTCGTGCACATGGTGATGGCACCCCGCAGAGTCTCCAGTCCGCCACGCTGGACGCGAAGCAGCGCCGTGCTGGGCTCTTTGCTATTGGCCGCCGTCTTCTCGAAAGAAATGACGTCGAAATCGCTGGCCGACGCCCCCACGACACCGAACGCCGACTTGAGCGTGTTGTCGATGGCGAACTTGAGCAGCTTCACGTCGCTCACTGGCACAGACCCGTCCTCGGAGTAGCTACAGTAGTCACAATTGCGTGGCAAGTGACGTCGTTAGGAGACTGCACGGACAGAAATTGGCTGTGATTTAGAGTGGCAGGACGCACATGGCGATCCGGAGGTAGCTGTGCTCGCTATGCAGCGAGAACTTGTGGTGCGGACCGGTAGACGTCGCCATGATGCAGCGGAGCTCTTCGAATGGTGGATGTGTTGATTTGATGTAGCCATCTGTCGATGAATGGCTACACTTTAATGTGGCCACAAGATGGCTTCAGTACATGGTACTTGCCACTTCAACGACAGAAGAAATGCGGATTCAAATGGTTGTTTCTCTTTGTATTGGTTGTTGTTGGTCTTTGGGCTCTAAAACATAAGAAGGAGAAGAACTTCCTTTCTTCCGAAGTGACTACGTACCTACTTGGACTGAGTGCGCGGACGGCGAGCGGTTTTCGGACGGCGCTTACCCGCACCAGCGGGGGATGAAGATGCTCGGCGGGCGTGGTGGTGGCCGGCGCGCGGCGTCGTCGGCTCCGAGCTCTCCGAGGAAGTGGAAGTCGACGAGGTCTCCCCGTTGTCCTCAGCAGCCAAGATCACGCGGCGGGACATCTTGCCAGAGGCTCCGTCCTGCAGGCACTCGAACTCCATCTCTTGGCCTTCGGACACGACGTCGTGGATGTTGCTGACCTTGTCGCGGGACAGCTCCGAAATGTGCACAAAACCACGCTGGCCAGCAGAAGACTCAAGGATAGCCCCGAAGTCCATCACCTGGGTCACGCGCATGGTGTAGCGCTCGTCCTTGCGGAAGAAGAATGATCGGCCCTTGTTCGAGCCCTGCTGGTCGTTGTCACGACTGTTGTAATTACCGTTGCCGTTGCCGTTGCCGTTCTCGTTGTTGTTGTTGTTGCCGCGAGGACCAGCATTCGCAACGGCAGCAAGGTCAGTGCGCAGCCACTCGCGAGCCTTTTCAGCATCGTCAGCAGAGCCGACAACACGCACGATGCCTTCACGACGGTCCACAATGCTCACTGACACGTTGAAGCGCGCCTCCAGCTCGCGAATGTTGCTGCCGCCGACGCCAATCAGAGCTCCAATCATGTTCGTGGGAATAATACACTCCACGCTCACGTTGGGCAGCGCACTGCCACTCGACTTCAGGGTCTCGCGCGGCTCAGCGAGCTCGTTGCTCATGCGGCGCAAAATGTGCAAGCGAGCCTGCTTGGCTTCGCGCAGTCCCTCCTTCAGCACAGGGAGCGGCACACCACCCGGAAGCTTCACATCCAGCTGCAGAGCCGTAACACCAGCAGTCGTGCCAGCCACCTTGAAGTCCATGTCACCGTAGTGGTCCTCCGAGCCCAGGATATCGGTCACCAACTGGTACTCACCCTCTTCAATGCGCTTCTCCTGGCCGGCGAACGGGTCACCAGCAGTAACAAGACCGATTGCGATACCAGCAACGGCACGGCGAACAGGAACACCAGCATCCATAAGCGCCAGAGAAACACCACACACCGTAGCCATGGACGACGATCCGTCCGAGCCCACCACTTCCGAGGTCATACGCACAGTGTACGGGAACTCCGAGATCGACGGGAGAATAGGCAGCACGGCCTTCTCGGCAAGAGCACCGTGGCCGATCATGCGGCGGTTAGTGCCACCAACGCGACCAGTCTCGTTCACACAGAAGGGAGGGAACTCGTAGTGCAGCATGGCATTCTTCAGCGGAGTGGGCACGTTCGGGTCAGCCTGCTCACGCGCCTCGTTCAGCACACCGCGAAGACGAATGCCACGCTCCAGAGGTCCCAACGTAACGGAGCACAGCGTCTGCGTCTCACCACGAGCGAAAAGGGAGGAGCCGTGAGCCATCGGCAGCACACCCGCTTCCATCTCAAGCGGACGCACGGTGCGAACAGGTCGGCCGTCAAGACGCACGGCCTTGTTCTTCGGGCCCTTCGTTTCGTTGGCAATGGTCAGGATGCGCTCACGGAGCACGCGCTGGAAGGTGTCGTGAGCTGCACGCTGGATAGCCGCATCATACACAGGCGGCGAAGCGGTCGAGAAGTGCTGACGCATGCCATTCAGCATCTTGCTGTAGACTTCGCGCTCTCCCTGCTGACGAGCAAGCTTGCCGACGTTTCCACGCGCAATCAGCGCCTCGGCACCCTCGCGGCCCAGCTCCTCCGCCTTGGCCCACACCTCCGGCGCGATGTACAGCGGCGAGTACACGCGCTTCCTCTTACCGTGCTCAGCCGCAAGCTTCTTCTGCTCCTCAATAGCCGGCAGCACGTTGGCGTGTGCCAGGTCCAAGGCCTCGTCGAGGCGGGCCTCAGTCACCTCGTCACCTGAGGCCTCCACCATAACAGCGCGCTCAGCAGTTCCAGCGTACAGCACGTCCAGCGTCGCAGCGTCGCGCTGCGGCGCAGTAGGGTTGACCACGAGCTGTCCGTCCACCTCGACGACACGCACGCAGCCGACCGGTCCGTTCCAGGGGATGTCGGACATGCTCAGCGCCGCCGAAGCCGAGTTGACCGCCACCACAAGGGGGTCGTTGTTCGGGTCGTACGACTGCACGGTGGCCAGCACCTGCGTGTCTTCGCAGTAGTCGCGCGGGAACAGCGGGCGGATGGCGCGGTCCACCACACGGGACTGCAGCACCTCCTCGTCGCTGCCGGTGAACTCGCGGCGCTTCTGGTTGTCCGGGATGAGGCCCACGGCGTACGACTTGACGCGGAAGTCCACCGTAAGCGGCAGGAAGTCGCGCTGGGCCGACGAGCCCGCCGACGGGTTGCCGTTGTGGTCACCGCTCACGACCGTCGTGAGCAGCACCGTGCGGCCGCACGAGGCCAGCACGGCGCCGTCCGCGAGCTTGGCGAGCTTGCCCACAGCATAAGACGTGGCATCCGTGCTGCCGACCACGACCTCCTTCTCCTTCTTGGACTGCTGGCTCTGCTTGGCCTCGCTCTGCTGCTGCTGCTTCTGCTGCTGCTGCGCTTGGGCCTTGGCAGCCGCCTCTGCCTCCTCCTCCGACGGCTTCTTGGCGCCGAAGAGCAGGTCACGCAGCCCCCATAACGTGCGCGTCTGGACGCGCTGGTGCTGGTGCCGGAGGTGCGCAGCAGACACGGCGGCGCGGCGCGCCACAGCGGCGCGCGGAAGGCGACGAGCAGCAGTCGACAGCATCTTGCACTGGTCAAGTTGCTCTATTGTGTGGCCAGGCTTGGTGTGGCATCTTTTAGTTGGTCATCGCTGAGCGCGTCTTCATTGGTCGAAAAGAGGAGTACTTTCAACCAATGAAGCGGCACGGCGCGAAAACCACCCGGTTCCCTTTCTTCCACAACCGAAAGCAGTCAGTCAGCACCAAGCAAAGGCGCCGACTCCCTCCCAGGACCTTCCGAGACCAGACCAAGACAAACAGCAGCATGGGCACTCGTGTGTACGTGGGCGGCCTTCCGCGCGACGCCACCTCGCGCGAGATCCAGGACGGCTTCAACCGCTACGGCCACGTGTCCAACATCTGGGTGGCGCGCAACCCGCCCGGCTTCGCTTTCGTGGTGAGTTGAGCTGCTTCTTCCTCCTCCTGCTCGGCGCGCCGCATGATGGCTCCCCTCCTCTCCACTCCGCTCTCTCTCCTTCACTCCTCCCCCACTCTGCGAGCTCCACCCTGGACGGGGGTGGAGCAACTCGACGTCCCAAGCAGCAGGAGCGGCGGTCAGTGGCACTTTGTGTATGATTTGTATCGTGTGTATGTATAGTGTATACCTATTTCTGTATACCGCCACTTGATTGCCGCTGCCTCCGCGCGATCGACCGCCTCGACACCACGCTCTGCAGCCTACGGGCCCGACGTCCTCATCTTCGTTTGCTGTTGTTTACTGCAACTGCAACTGTGGGTCTTCGCTTCTTGCTGCGTCACCTGCTGGAAGGAGAGATAGAGAAGTGCTTCGTTCGCCTGACGATCCTCGCCATCATGCTGCGCTTCGCCTCGCTCCGCGTCGCGCCGCCGTCGCACCTTCACCTTCGCCTGTCTCCGATTCCGAACCATACCAACCAACGCCTCTCCATCGTCGTCTCCCCATTCCTGCCACTCTCCACCTCTTCTAGGACTTCGAAGACCCGCGTGACGCTGACGACGCCATTCGCTCCATGGACGGCCGCGACTTCCTGGGCGGACGGTGAGTTCCGCGTGCTGCTGTGTGACTGATTCGTGCTAACCCATCATCTCTCTGGGGGCAGCATTCGTGTTGAGCTCGCTCGTGGTGGCAGCCGCCGTGACGGTGGCGGCCGTCGCGGTGACGACGACCGTGGTGGCTACGGCGGCCGCGGTGGCGACCGTTTCGACCGTGGTAAGCAAATTCGCTGGCTAGATTTGGTTCCTGGGCTTGTCAAGCTAACTTGCTTTTCAATACGCTCAGGTCGCAACCCGCCCCAGCGCACTGACTACCGTGTGCGTGTGACTGACCTGCCGCGCGACGTGGACTGGCGCAACGTTAAGGACTTCCTCCGCACGGGCGGCGAGGTCACGTACTGCAACATCGAGGCTGATGGCTCGGCGTACGTTCATGATCGTGTTCTCTTTGGTTTGTATTGTAGCGATTGCTAATTCAGGTTTTGGTCGTGAATGTACAGCATCGCTGAGTTCCAGACCAAGGACGACATGGAGGATGCTATCAAGAAGCTGGACGACACGGAGTTCCGTGGCAGCTACGTGCGCGTTGCCGCCGAGGGTGACTCGAGCCGTCGTTCGCGCTCTCGTTCGCCTGCTCGTGGCCGTTCGCCGAGCCGTCGCTCGCGTTCGCGCTCGCCTGCTGCGCGCAAGGACTCCCCGCGCCGTTCGCGCTCCAGATCGGCCTCGCCTGCTGCTGCTCGCTCGCCCGCTCGCAAGGACTCGGCCTAAGCGACGTGGATCGAAGAAGGTTGTAGGCCTGCACTGTAACTTTGTAGCAAGAGCCGAGAGGGTCTTCGCTTGCATGTGTACAGTGGGTTGCAGGTCGACTAGCTTTGTTTGTCGCCTAGCGTCTGAAGGGAACCATTAACCGATGGCAAAAAGCTTCCTCTTTTAACAATTTCAATCTCTTGTTTGCTCACTCGGCACTCCCCTGCTAATATTCGACAGTATTCAGTTGCTGACAGCAACTTGCAGTCAACACATCCTTTTTACTCTGATGACAAGCATCACAAACTTCAAAATAGCGACGATCATGAGTTAGTTGAGTCCTGAGTTAACACTGCATTCTTAGCAACGAGTAGAAACTCAGATATCTGGACCAATACGGATACCCCGGGAGTAGCTGCACTTCGTGAAGATCCTGTTCGCTGCTCAAACGAATTGGCAATCGGCTGCAAGAACCTGTTCACGAGAATAACGGCAACCAGGGCTAAGGAGCGAAAAACACGAACAAGACCAAACGATCCCAATTCGCCAACACAAAAGCTAGGGAGACCTGCGGATGAAGGTGATGGTATTTGTGACTCCCTGTGCCGTGCTCTCTGCGTCCGTCCAATGAGCGGACCGAAGAGTGAAGCTGCTACGAAAGCCACCCCTGCCGTGCTCTGCAGGTCGGTCCTCTGTCGATGGTTCCACTACAGCGGACCTACCACCTGCCTCCAACGCCGAAAAAGCTTAAGAAGACCGAGCTTTATTATGCGCCGCACTTGCACGTTGCACACCTAAATATCCTTGCGCTGGAGTCCTGTTGAGCCACAAGAAGAACATCAATCCCAAGGCGTTAGTCTCTGGTTGACTGTATCCTGCTGAAGCTGCGCTGTATCTGTCTGTTTGTCTGTCTGTCTGAAGCTGCGTGCGTACCAGGGGGCAGGGACTGCGTGAGCTTGTCAGCCTTCTCGGTGTCCGTCACGCAGAGCGTGTACAGGTACTTGGAGCAGCGGATCTTGAACTTGACGACCTTGTCGCTCTTCTTGATCTTCACCGAGCGAGCGTCTTTTCGGCGCGCCTTCTGCAGGAAGTCGCGGATGTCGGTGATCTGCTTCGGCTGTACACAACGCACGCACGTCGGCGGATGTTAGCGGTCTGTGTCTGGGCTGCTGTGCTGCTTTAGGTTGCCCATAAGGCGCACGGCATTCATTCGTACCATTTTGTTGCGTTGGTCTTCTAAACTTAACTAAAAGGACTAGCAAGAGTCGACAGCAGGGCGGAGGCTGCGCACCATACAAAGCGCCTGTCACGTGCCTTTGGTTGGCTAGCAGTCTCCTTTCCACCAGACTTTTTACGCTCTCGGCTCTTTTTACGGCACGTAATTACCACTTATCCATCGCTACCCCTTATTAGCACCTGCGCTCGTGCACCCTTATGTAAGGGTTGCAAGGCCCATTCTCTTGCGCGAAAGAATTCGGAGCTGCTCGCTTCATTTGGTTTCAGTATGCCGCGGTTGCATTTCAGTCGGAAAACGCCCATCCATACGGCGCCAGCATTAGATCCCCAGGAGGCAGCCAGAACGCCTTCCCAGCCTCCGCCGTCGCCATGGCGCCGTCCTCGTCGAGCCAGGAGTGCCACATCTGTCTGGAGGAGCTGCGCCGCGACCTGGCGGCCGCGCCCTGCGGCCACGTCTACCACCACGTCTGCATCCTGCAGGCGCTGCAGGTCAACTCGCAGTGCCCCATTTGCCGCCGCCGCACGGGCGACGCCGACGTCGTCTCGCTCTACTTCGACGTGCCGGACAGCAATGACTCGGCCGCGTCGCCGCAGAAGCCCGCGCAGGCCGCAGGTGACAGCGCCGAGCTCAGCGCGCGCGTCAACACGCTCATGGAGCGCATCCAGTGGCAGAACAAGCACCAGCAGCAGCTCATGGACGAGCTGCGACGTCTGCGCAGCCAGAGCGAGCAGCTATTGGTGGATAAGCAGTCGCAGGAGCTGCGCGTCCGTGGTCTGCAGGCGGCCAACAACGAGCTGGTGAATAAAGTGGCCAGGTATCAAATGGAGCTCTCGCGGCAAGCGGAAGCCGCGCGCAGATCGAGTGTGAACCAGAGCATTATTAACTACCTGGAGACCTGCGATGCTTCCGCGTTGGAGGATGAGATACAGAACCCGCGCGAGCTCATCATGGCGCTCAAGAAGGCGTGCAAGTTCCGCCACGATCAGTACGAAAAGGTGGTGAAGGAGAAGACCCGACTCAAGGAGATGCTGAGGAATACGCAGCCGCAGCCTGCTCAGCAGCCTCAGTCTGCTGGCAATGCCAGGTTGGGCAAACCCAAGAGTCGTGGAGCTACGGCGCCGATGGAAACTAAGAGGCCGTACCCGTCAGGAAGCAGTGCCATGGGCTTCGGAACAGGAATACAGCCGCCGGTTGTGGAGAACAAAAAGAGGAAAATCGACTCGATGGCTTCCATGCCTTACACTGCACAGCAGGGCAGTGGAGATGTCGTCGGATTTACGCCGCGCTCCGAATCGGCCGGCTTCCGCGCGAACGCGTACTCGGACGTGTCGATCCGTCCACCGCCAAATTCACGACAAGCCTTCGGACGCAGCAACTACAACCCGAACCAGTATGGAGCTTTCAACCTGACTCCGGCAAGCCAGCCACCCGTGCAGATGGCGGGTGCTCAGGCTGCAGTGTGCCGTCGTGGCTACGATGAAACGGGAAAGCTGACCAACTTTTTCCTCCCAAAGGAGGGTGAGGCGCGGTCCATGCCCAGGAAGAAACCAATTCCGAGCATGCAGAACTTGCTGAACTCACAACCAAGAACTTCAGGTCAGCAGCAGCAGCAGCAGCAGCGCGTTGCGAGCAACGGCCGACAGGAGTACGCATTAACTAACTGGCTACGCAATAATTAGGGAGACGGGTGTGTAGGCGCGTAGATCTCTGAGGACTCCGACATCTGCAGCCAGGACACTGTGTAAGATACTATTTGCAAGGGTAAAACTTAAGAGAGATACATTTATGACGGCTTTGCTGTCGTTTCCTTGGTTCCGTGGAGCTGGGCCCGAAGCTTGATAAGTGTAACGTGCAACGCTGCTTGATGTTCATTCACGACTTGGACAACCTCGGAGTCGTTGCTCGGGAAGGATTTGTCTGGAAGAAGACGGCGGCCGATTTCATCGATGGATAGAAAATATGCTTCTGGGCTGTGTTCTTCTTCATTTGGCTCCGTTAAAGTTGGTGCTTGGTCGATATCACCTGAACTGTCATCCGGTTGTGAGGGCGTTGCTGTTTTCGATCGGCGCCTCCCGAGAAATGAAGCGTCCGCGGGCTCAATAAGCGGAGGAAGTGGAGATAATTGTCTGCAGACACAATAGAGAAGAGTGGCCAGGCTGAGCAGGTTGGCTGATGTCTGCTTACCAATATTCTTGGACCCGATACCAACGTTCCAAGGTTGCAAGATCACGTGAGGGATAAGGATCCGGACAAGCAGAAAGTTGATCACCACGACGTTGAAGCGAGAAACCTCAGGGCTTCCACTAGCAGTGTACTCGCTATTACTCTTACCGAGACCACTCCCGCCGAAATCCATTCTTCGAGTGGCTCCGAGAGCGTCGAACTCGAGACTTTGCCGCTCTTCGTTAAATAGCTGGTACTGATGCAACACGAGTAGGAAGCACGGTTAGACTTGAAATGAGCCCAGACGGTAGCTAACGTACACTGGGCGGAAAGTAGACTCCATCAGAAGAAATCCGCCTCCAGAAGTCCAAGATTCCGGAAGGTACTTCTTTCTTGTCGATTGCCTTGCTCAACGATTGCAAGATTCCCCTCATGCGAACTTTCAGCTTGAGCAGCTTCACTTGATCGACAGCACTCGCTGTCAGGGATGGTGATGGATGCGGAGGACGACGCGCTAAAATACCTCCGAACTTCTTAGCAAATCCACGCAAACTTGACCCTGCAAGGCCGCTTTTCGTGCTGATATCCACGTCTAAACTTGAATCTTGGAGCAGCGAAAGCAGTGGGGTCCTTACCACCTTTCCGAGCCACATACGAGTGGCATCAAAGTAAACACGCAGCATTGCCTCGAAGTCCTGGGCGAATTATGTTAGCTGAAGGATGAGAAACTCCATCATTAGAGAGAGAAAGCTTACCCGCATCGCGCTCTCCTTTTCGGCTAGTTTTTTCGCCATCAGCATATTTTTCAACTGCACAGTATACAGAACAGCTAAGGCGGATGCACGGAAGACCTGAACAGGCTCCATGACTTCGGCTTCTTCGGGTTCGAATGGGGAGACATCGTCACTTTCAGCTTCGGACTCCAGTCGCCAACGTGGCTTTTTCAGAATCGCTCCGCTTGCGTTCTTGAGCGAAGCACTAAGCAGGGCCTCCAATTTCTTTCGACTCTCAAGGCGATCGCGTGCTTTCTGGTCTTTCGATGTACTGGGACTTGTCTCCGTCGTGTTAGCCGCAGTACCGTCTTCTGGTGTGCTGTTGTTCGGATTCAGTGTACCATTGCCGATATCGGAAAGTGTTTCTGCATCATTTTCAAGTTTATCAAGTGTCTAAGCATAGCGTTAGCGTAGTACTTCGAAGTAGTAGCAACATACAATAGTTCCGCAGGGCGTACCAGTTCATCTTCCTCTGTCCACTCGAACTCTGGAAGCCAGGATAGAGTTGTCGGTGTCTGGAACGTCAATACTGACTTCTTAACTGGTGACTCGCTTTGTGTTTCGGGTAAAGCCGAAGGATGAGAATGTTCTTCAGAGTATTCAGTGGCACTGATCTTGTTTGGAGTCGGCGATTTGTCGAGTATGCATTGTGGTGTTCTTTTCTCAATTATCTCTGGTGTATTCAAATTTCGTGCGTCTTCGCTTTGGTGCAAGCAGCATCGCGTACAAAGAGAGATAAGTCCGCAATAACGAGGCCTGGGCAGCGGTGCTAAGCAGCACGTACTGTCGTCGTGGGAGCAGGAGCGCCATGATCTGCTCGTTCTGCTGTACTAGTCGTTCAATTAAACTTTCGCTTGATCCCGACGGGCGTTGATGTAGCTGTGTTGGAGGCAACATTGTGTGCACGTCCCTCAATCTTGAATCATTAACATTGTTCTGGACAGGTTCTAAGGCAGAAGTTGATTTCTTGAGCTGCTTCGTGTTAGCAAGGTATCAAAACGAAAAGCCAAGATCCATTCATCTGCGCGTACCTGGTAGCAGTGAAGCTGGCATTCTAACTGCTGCACCTGCGCTCTGCATTACATTACACGAGGACCCTCGGATACGAAATTCAGTTGTTAAAGACTACGGTGCTGCCTTTGAAATAAGGTTACCTCAACTCCTCTCGCCGCTCTTTCCGGGCCTCAATGAGTTGCTGTTGACGCATTCGCATCAGCTCGTTCCTTAGCGTCTCATGGCGAAGTGAGAGTGCAGCGCGTCGTGCTTCTACTCCTCTGAATTCGAGTTGCGAGTATGGATTTCCCCACCTCCACAGTTCTGTGTGCTGCATTCCTGCTACTTGGACACTGCAAGTCTTTTTTTGGCTGCATGTACATGAATGGCAAATCCTGCAATGACCGACCAACTCCGGATTATCAATCGTTGAAAAAGTGACCAAACAGTGGAAATCTTGTTTTCCTTCACTGCAGGTACTGTCTGATCAGCTCTCCGCTTCTTGCTCAGTAGCAGCGGCAATGACATCATTGTCGGTTTCCTCCTCTTCCTGCTGCGTCTCCTTTTCCTCCTCCTCCTCCTCCTCCTCCTCCTCCTCCTCCTCCTCCTCCTCCTCCTCCTCCCTCTTTTCGTCTTCGGCTTCTTGCGCCGCAATCTCCTTCTTCGCGACCTCTTCGCGTCCGAGGAAGTCGTTCGTCAAAGATCGCTGCAAGTCCTCAATGTCGCGGAAGAGTTCCAGCGATTTCTCTAAGATTTGCGTGGCAGACTCTAGGGTGTTCTTCGATGCCTCTAGAGTCATGTTGGTAAAAAGCGTGCTCTCGTCAGAGGTCCCGGCCGTCATTGTAGCCTGAACTCCTCGGATCTACAACACCAGCAACGCCGATAGTTAGACAAATACGCCCCTCCAACTTCGAATCTCCACAATATCCACAATATCACATTACCTGATCCGATAAATCCCGCACACGTTTCGAGATGTCCCCATAGCGGCACTTCATCTTACCGCAGATCACTGGCAATGAGGATTCTGCGTCACTGATGTCCACAACACCCGGCGTATGAATTCCCTCCGCTGCAACGCGATCTTCTTCCGGAACATACGTGAGCAGTGACGCCCTGAACGTGCACATGCCTGTCTTCTTCAGACCGAACAGCTTCGTGTTCGATTCCGGGTTGCTGGAGGGAATTAGCTCCACAGTCATGGAATAGCGATCGTTATCCTTGCATTCGTCTCCGTCGTCATAGATCATGTACTTGTACTTCAGCGTGATAGGATCGATGTGCCAGCCGCGGAAAATACTGCAAAGGTTCAGGTCATCAGCGTACACGAAGCATTAGCTCGATCCCAGCCAGTGCTGGATAATACGCAACCATAACTTACCCTAGAATCGTGGGGATTTTCGATTCTTCCTCCTCCTGAGACTCCGGGTTCGCATCACCTTCCGCCGTGTTGGTGACTTCTGATGCGCCCTCAGTCATTTCCACCTCCACTTCAACCTCCTCCTCGACCTTTTTGTCGAACTTCGCCACGATCGTCACGTTGGCTAGGTGGCACAGGTCCAGCGTATACCTGCAACGTAAAAGTGTCAGATAAGCTTCAATCCAACGAGTAAAATGTGTCGGAACGATCATTTCGCCTACGCTTTGCCCTTCTGCATCTCGCGCTCCTCATGGACGCACGGCAATGACTCCAGCTCCTTGACAAATGGTCCTGTAAGACGCAGGTAAGACCAAATCGTTAGATTTGTTTCAGAAACTCTTTCGGGGCAGCGTGAACTTGCCTTGGAATGCGGGAAGTGGGTCGCGCGACGGGATCGGTAGCAGCACTGGCGGCACCTCTGGCTCCGGACGCGGGCGAGGAATGATCCGGATGTCGATCTTGGGTGCGCCTGCGCACAACGGGCTGCCCAGCGCCACCGCTAGCGCCGCGCCGGCGAACACGCTCCTGCCTCGCATGCTTGTTGCTCGCTTGCGTGGCACAGTTACAGAAATGCTGTTTCATAGTTTTGTGTCTGACACACTATGTTGCCGTGACCATCACTCCTGAGGCCTGCTTCAACTTGGCTGATTCCGCACTCAGTGCGCAATTTGCCGCGTGGAGAGTAAGCGCACAAGGCAGAGATGCAGGAGGACGGCGCGCCTGCGGTCCTGAAGCTCGTGGAGGCGGCGACGAAGGTGCTCTCTCGTGCCGACGAGGCCTCAAACTCGATTCGTGAAGCTGATACCGCAGCGTTAAGCCACGTTCTGGAGGAGCTGCAGCGCCTGGTTGCCGAGTTAGGCTCACAGCGGGTATTGGAGCTGTCGGGGATGCGGCTAATGAACGCTGGAGTGGAGCTGTACAACGCGCCACGAGCTGCTCTGAAAATTCTGGCGCAGATGGAGAAGTCCAAGGCACAAGGCGAGCAGCAGTCAGCGGGTTTCCCGCGGTACTCGCTGGCAGTGACGCGATTTGTGGCGGCGAAGATCATGGGGCTGTCGCTCGGGTGTTCGAAAGACGGAGATGAACTGGGGAATGGTGGCAAGAGTAGTATGCAGTTTGTGGATGAGTGCGTCGATGTCCTGCGCTCGTTTGGACGAGTTGGGATGCTCATGCTGGAAAGTGCCTCGATTGACTGCGAGAGGTGTGAAGACTACTTGGCTCTGGCGAAGGATGCCTTTTCCTCTTCCTTACAGCTGTGGTCTCAAATCGGCCTCTCGTGTCTGACAAAGTTCAAACGCGGATTGGAGTTGGAGGACGTTGTGGACGATCTGTGGGATTTTTGTGTGGACCGTGTACGTGTGCACCAACTACTTGCAGATCGCTCAGACAATGGAGGGGATCTTCAGGTCATTGTGTCGTCGTTGCAGGAGTTGAAAATGCTGGCGCCGTACAAAACTTCATACGCAAGCACCTTGCTCGGGCTTATGCAGGACGTGAGCGATGGGTACAATAAAGCGGCCCAGCATGAGCTACAAGTGGCGTTCGCTGAAGAAGCGATAAGGATTGGCGATGCACTTGAGACTAGTGCGGATGAAAGTTTGCCCAACTTGGCCGCCTCATTTAAACAACACATATTGCTGAACTTGCTGCGAGCTCTTTGCTCATCGGGTGACCTGGAGCGAGCCGACACGTGCTACCAACTAATTCCGGCTAATCGCGACCCCGAAGTCTTGCTACCGATGATCAGACTCTACGTCGACAACAAGCAATTTGAAAAAGCGCATCACTTGCTGTTGGTGTTGTTTCGACAGGACAACCTTTACGACTCCATCGTGGGAGCTCGCATCTACGCCCAGGGGTTGTCGTACTCGGGCAAAGGCAACAGGATCTATCACGTCCTAAATGACAACTACGAAGATGCCGACTTCGTCATAAATTTGGAGATGGCGTGCAACTTTGCTTCGCTTGAAGACAAACGATGTGGGGCGATGGATGAACTCAAAAGGATTGGACCTGCATTACTCGCGATGGAGCGGTACGTGGTGAATGACTTTATTTGAAGATGTACGGCTGATGAAGACTGGTTTATACTGCAGTGAAGGACAAGCCCTGGACAACCGATTCATCAGACGAGTTCGGCAGTCCATTTTTGATGCGCTTCAGTATGCGTTCAATGCTTCCCAGCATGAGGTAAAAGAATCTAGCCGACCAGGCCAGCCCTGCAACGTCTACTAACACCTTTAGCATGTTTTAGGTCTGTTTGAAGTGCGCAGAAGCTGGTATAGCTGTGTCTGCAACGTCACAAGACAAAGCGATGTACATGAGGTGCGATGGATTCAATGTGCTTGTGCTATAGTTTATATTAATTTAATTGTTGCACCACAGGGCGATATCTCGCTCTTGCATCCAGTTGGAGCGTTATGTAGAAGCTTCCGAGTGGGCAAAGAAGGCATACGACGCAGAGCCTTCTAAACAATCACTATTTACAGCGTTTCAAGTGGAACTAGATGCCAAACCACAAACTTCAGAGGACGAACTACTGCACACTATCAACCAGCTACGAGCAAGGGACGACTTTGAGATTGAAGACCTGCTCGCCGTCGGAAAACTAGCCAGTAATGCCGGCCCAAGTCGTCAAGATATCGTGCTATACGTTTTGGACGAACTCTGTGGGATGGTGCGAAGCACTGACTATCCGGCGAATTTGCCCGTGACAGTAGTCCTGCAAAATGCAGCTCAACTTTCACTTAGCAAATTTACCCAGGATCAAGATGGATCAAACTGTGATTCCAATGGCTCATACGGAGAGAAGTTTCTGAAATACGTCAGTATGTTGCTCCAGCAATCAAAACCTGAAGGCGGCAAGCAAGGCAACCATGTTGGGCCACCTGCAGTCTTCGAATGGTTCTTCAGAATGAGGTATGATGAAAAAAATCGCCAAAGCGATCTGCCGAGTTGGCTAACAGTATTTTTTTATATCTTTACACAGCTTTGACATCGCTCGAAGCACCGAGGATTCCAAATATTTTGTCACCGCAGCAGATATCGCCGAGCGAAGTGATGAGCTGTACATGGATCAGTCCCCCCTCATACACCGATGCAAGCAATGCTTGCTGGCTGCAGTGAGCTCTGACATGATGAAAATCGACAGACTGGACAAGAGCCAGCTAATAACACTTCTCCAAGTGATCGAGCGATTCGGGAGTTTTGCTACTGAAGACACACGTGCTGCTGCTGACGTCAGCCTCTTCTTGGTACGACTATTGAGTGCTTGCAGCAGTATCGCAACCTTTCTCACACTATTAATTTCTTACTGACAGGCGAAAGCAGAAATTGCAGTGAAATTGCGGCTCTGCGATGCTAACACGAAAGCGATACTTAACCTCTGCAAGACCACATTACACAGCACCCCTGAGCTCATACAAATCGGAGGTATGGTGACCTCGCACGAATACTTGATGTCGGGGTCACTTACGCATGATCTTTTGTGAAGAGCTCGTCTTGTACGCGTCGAAATTCAACGAAGCGTCCGAGGTAAGCCTCGATGAAGTTGCGATTTGAACTCCCACGTTGACACTCGTTTCACTGGATCAGGTCCGCGAAAGTTATCGCTTACTAGCCGGTGAAATATTTAACTACGGGTATAGATCATGCCCTGCGCACCTTCCAACGAGTTCACCCTATCTAATGAGCAAGACAATTGTCAGGCTTCAACTGCTGATTCAAGCAGGTTCCATCGACACAAGCAAGCTGTGCTATCTACTCCGGCGTCTCATAATGCTGGCGGATTCGAAAACAAAAGCATACAAGTGCTTTGAGCAACTATTCCAACTCATTGACAGTGTGGACATGCCGTTGTCTGACCTCGACATGGAATGGTTTGTCGCCAAAGCATGGAACACCGTAAGTGCGTTGCGTTGAATTTCATTTCTTATTACCTCTTGGCTCATTCAATCAACATACTATTAGGGTGTGCTATGCCAACGCAACAACGACATCGATGGGGCTCTAAAGTTCATGAAGGTGGCCCAGGCTGTCATGCGTGAGTACATACCATTCTTGAAGCGTTAGATCAGCGGATGTGTGTATGTGTGTGTGTGTGTTTTTTTTCTTCTTCTTTTAACTTGCTTTGTTATCTCTCGCAGGGAAAAGCGAATCGCTTATTGACAAGCTGGGCAATAGCCTCGACGAGCAGATTCAGGCTCTTCTCCAAATCAGTACCGAGTAGTGGCGAGTGAATAGACGAGAAAGCTCAAACAAGTTGCGTTCGGCTGAACACGTAATCCCTTAACGACATTACACGTGCTGAAGCTACGCCTCGTACACATCAGGCTGAGAGTCATGGCTGGATAGCCCACCCATGTGCGTCTTTACGGCCTCCATGTAGGTTTTCAAAGTTGGAAGCTCCGTCGTTTCCTCCTTTTTCAGGACCTTTGAGGCCCACTTGCGTTCTGCGTATTCACAAATCTACAAGTTTCACACACGCGCGCGAAGTGTCAGATTCCCTACTCTACTGCTAAACTCTACAACATGGCAACCCACCTCTTTGATATCTCGGCACGAAAGTTGCGGAGAAATGGTGGCTAGCTGGCCGAGTTCATCGTCTGATAGCTGCTTAGCATAGCTAGATACAAGTAACACATACGCGTTAGAACTCTTTGGTGATATCTTCTTTCACAACATGCTTACCGAGCAAAAACAGCGCGCCGAGTCTTCTCGTCAGGTAGGTTGTAGCGAATGGAGAGATCGAACCGGCTAATCAACGCGGCGTCCAGATCCTGCTTGCTATACGCATCAACACCATTATTGACAAGGTTTAGTAATCCCAAATAAACGTAACGTATATACGCTTACGTACCGATTCGTGGCACACACGACTGTGGTCTTTTTAGCAGAGGCGAATCCCTCCACCTTCTGTAACAGCACAGACAGAATTCGACGAGAAGCTTCGTGCATCGTACCACCCGAGCGGTCTCCAGCAAGTGCATCAATCTTCAGCACAAGAGACCAATACGTTAGAACAAGGTACCACCGCATCACACAGTCACCAAATCACGCACCTCGTCAATGAAAATAATGGCACCATCCAGCTTTTCGCACGCATCAAAGATTGCCGACATCTTCTTCTCACTATCGCCGTACCACTTCGATACCACGCTTTCGATCGGAATGTGAATCATTGGAATTCCAGCCTGCTGCGCAATGATTCGTGCGCTCAGAGTTTTTCCAGTACCAGGTGGGCCTTCGAATAAGACCGCGCGCGGCCGGTTGCTCTCGTAGCGACAGCGAGTTTTCTGAGCGATTCGCTCGTATAGCTCAGGGTTTTGAAGCGCCAACACAACAGTGTCTTCGATCTCCAATTTGACCTTCTCGTAGCCAGCCTACACAACATCCATGAGGGGTGAGCCAATCTGTTTCTCTACCTCAAAATGATGGCAAACAACGCAAACGGACCAGACTATCCCAGGTCAAACTGTTTTCGTTCTGCGTGGGCTCGAATACGTCGATGCCAAGACCTTGAAGCTGCTGGATCGCTTCTTCCTGCAACCATTCCATCGAGCATTATTTAGTCATGACAACACATTTAAAAACCAAATAGCACCCGAGGACCTACCTTGCTGTCCAGGGGTGCCGATGTCGCTGTCGTTGGGTTTCGCCCGCGTCCGACGAGTGCATTCTTACGACGCTGTTCAAGGTCGTGGCGGAAGAACGCGTTCACATTCGCATACGAGTAAATCTCCTTGTACGCACCAACAACGGCATCAATCTCGCCTTGCGTAAGGAATTCATCCTTGTAGAACACAAACTTCGACGTTGCTTGCAACGACGACGTGTCGCGTAAGAACTGGAAGGACCCAGACCCGTTTGCGTACAAGTAGGTGACAGCAGGCTGCTCATAGGACTCCACGACAGACTTCTTCGCGTTGTTGTCCAGCGGCACGGGCATCACCTCCACAGCTTGACCAGATCCAGGCGCCGCCGCCTTCTGCAGCTGCAGCAAGAACCGACCCAGGATTGCTTCTTGGTCGACGAACGACGGGCATGCGAACTCAATTCGGATCGTCGACACGCCGTTCGGCGCGCGGATCCTGGAAATGCCAATCTTTTTGATCGGAAAGGCCTTCGGGATGCGCGTCTCCGAGCTCTTGAGTGTTGTACGGAACTCCGATACCTGCTGGCGAATGGTATCCACCGCCTCAGCGTACTTGAAGTGCTGTCGCCACAACAACAAACAACAAATTAGTCACGTATCATAACTTGCACCAAAATTCCAGAGCAAAAAGCAATAACCTTTTCCTGCTTCTTGTCAGGAGCCGCTTCCGATTGCGCCGCATCAATAGTCAGTCCAACCGCACCAGCGAGCGCTGCAGCCCCAGCAATAGCTGCGAATCCATTAGGCGCAGAGTCGCTGGAATCCGCGACAGAACCCAACGAGCGCAGAGCGTGGCTGGGGTTCGGCGGCGCTGCGGTGCGACATAGAGCAGCCTCCGCAGCAAATGAAGGGCGGGCTGCCTGCCCCATGGTGGCTGCTACAGCGCGCGAAAGCAGCTTGGTCGCCAGTCCCCGCTGCATCATCGTCGCGGCGATCACTTCGAGTTCTCGAATGCAAAGCGAGACTTCAAACATGGTGTGGCCCACCCATACGGTGCGCGAACCATCTCGGTGAATCACACACTGAGTTGCGCAACGTAGTGTGTGAATCACAGAGATGGGCCGCGCAACATATAGGTAGACCACACCATGTTGCCTTGGAGCACTTCAACCTGAAAGGCATGTTTTGACGTCCAGGCAAAGCTCTATTTGCATTTGCATTAGAATGTAGTAGAAGGTGCAAGGAATCCATACGTCGACTCATTTTTCGCCTAGTGGCCGCCGCGCACAAACACCTTCTTCGGAGGGGTTTCGGCTCTGAGCTCGTCGTCCCCCTCGCATCGCTGGCGGAAGGTAGCGAGCTGCCGTCTGAGCGTGCTGATTGTCTGCGCTTTCTGGGCTAGAATCTAGTGAATTAACGCAGCAACGTTAGTGTTGTAAAACCTCTTCAGCGTAGCATCGTTCAGCCCAGCAACGCACCTCTTCCAGACGCGATACATATTGGTCGATACTGGCCGAATCGTCGTTTTGAATTGCTGCCAACATGGCGCCTTCCTCCGTGAGGAGCTCTGCACTTTCCTGTCAAGTAGAAGAGCTAGGCTTAGCCACGGAGATTGTAATAGGGTGCTGAGTCGGCTTAACGAACCTGAATTGCGCTCATGTGCGTGTTGAGCAAGCTTTCCTGCTCCTCATACAGCGTCTGAACCTACAGACACAACCACATCAAATTGATTAGTGCTGCGCGTAACGCAACTATTACCCACGGATCATAAGCTTACCACCCCATGCCACGCTTCTTGAGGGTACCCGCTTTCCTTGATAGGGTCACCACTCCTTTTATCTGTTGCGAAACCACCAACTTAGACACGAATCAACTACGGCAAATACGACCACAACTTACGCAAATGGCGGCGGCTAATGCGAAGAATGCTCAAGTCGTCGCTCAGATCAGGGCCCAAGCGTGTGTGATGCGAAGAAATTGTGACTTCATCGCGCCCATCAGCATCGGCCCTGTACTTCTCACCGTTGCTCTCAAGTGCACCATCACCCCCGTCATCAGCTTCTTCTTCTTCTCCGGATGGATACTCATCTTCTTCATCATATTCATCAGCTTCGTCGCCCCCGTCCTGCTCTTGATACGCATCAAGATCTGTTTCGTCATAATAGGTCAGGCGCAGGTTAGCGCATATCAATTTTTGCTACCCCTTCCTACATAATCGCACACACCTTCTTCAAATTGAACGTCTTCGACGTCCACAGCGTCAGATTGCGCATTCCTCTCGTCAAAGGCATCCACTGAAACACGTTTCTCCTTCACACGGTCAGCATATCGTAGCGTATTGAGGGTGTGGTCCGAAGATGAGGCACACGGCGACACGGCTGCAATCATCACCGTTCTGGTTGTGCAAAGAAAATGTTAGACATACGTATAACATCTAACTGCTCAGGATATTGTACCTCGCTTTAGCGTTGACAAATGAATCCTTCAGTACTTGTGTAAGCTTGCTCGCTCGGAATGGGATATGAGTCCCGCGGCCGCCACTATCGAGTGCTCTACTCATCAAACCAGAGAGTCAGCAAAATGAAAGCTCATTCCACCACGGATATTGTGTTCTACGCACCGGAAACACTCTTTCAGCGCCAACAAGCTTCGATTGATCTCCGCCGACTCCATCCGTCTCTGACGATTGTGGTTCTTCGTGTCTTCTCCACGCTCACTACCAGCAAGATCAATCAGCGACAACTTGCCATGGAGTTTCCCGCTTCCTCTTTCTCTGAGGTTGATCTGGCAAATACAATGCGAGCGTGACGATACGTCGTTCATCTCCGTAGCATGCGTGGTGCGGAGACTGTTGCCCTTGCTGATCACTTGCAGCAGCTCCTCGGTATTCTGGGGCTGCACCTCCTCCAAATCCACAATCTGCACCTCACCAGCTCCATCTTCCCGAATCGTCAGCACCTGCCGGTGCAGTAGGTCCTGACAGCGTCCGCCGTAAATCTCAAAGAAGCTCACGCAGATATCCAACGGATACCCGCGCCTCGCAAACTCGTCCGCCTGAGCAAAGACATCCGCCGCTATCTGACTCTGGATGCCTTGCATCGTGTGCGTCTTGCCGCTGCCCGTTTGTCCGTACGCGAAGACCGTCGCGTGGCCTCCGTCATGGAACACGAACTTGACTAGTGGCTGCGCCGCGTGCATGTACACACTCTCATTGGTCGCGCTCTCATCAAATGTCTGCAACAACAACAACAACAACAACGACAACCATTAGCAAGTTCACGAAAACTCCTTCAATGCAATGTAGCCATCTCCTCTCGTTACATGGTCGAAGTTGAAGGCGTTGCTGTCCAGGTACTTGGTGATGCCGTCCACCTTGAGCTTGCAGTCGTGCACGATGGCCATGGGGTTGAGGCACGTCACGGCGTCGTAGTCGTGCTTCTTGACCTCCTTGGCGTTCACCGGCCGCTTGCGCACGCAGATGGTGATCTTTGTGTCGCCCGCCTCGGCGTGCGGCCGGCTCTTGTCCTTGTTCTGCTCGCGGAAGGCCTTGATCATGCGCTGGAAGTCAACGTCGCCCGGGTGGCCCAGCTTCTCGTTCAGCTGGCTCTCGCGCTCGCGCTCGCGCTTGGCCGCCGCCATGGCGCGCCGCCGGTCCTCGCGGTTCTTCTCGATCTCCGCGATGGCCTGCATGGTCGGCTTGGCGCGCGGCGTGGCCGAGGGCGCCGCGCGGGCTCCTGCGCGCGCATTATTCGCTCGCCACGCCATCGGACGTCCGTTGCTCGGAAGGAAAAATATCCGAGGGCAGCTTCAATATGGAGCGGGCAAAATAATGGCTTCCGACGTGCGTATTTGTATGATCGCATCAATTATAAATAGAAAGATATAGCAAATACAAGTGGTAGCGCACTGGAGAAAGATAGCGTCATTTCGGTACGCAAAGAGCTCCATTTTCTAGCGGAGCTCTTCATTCTGCGAACCGAGATGGTGAGGCAGACGACCGAGTCGCCCGAGATCGAGGCGGCCATCGCCGCCGTGCAGAGCGGCTCCATGTCGCTGCGCGAGGCGGCGCGCAAGTTCGACGTGCCGCGCACCACGCTGCAGCGCCGAGTGCAACGTCGCGCGTCCGAGGCGTCTGAGGCGTCCGGTTCAGCTCCTTCCGAGCCACTGGTGGTCAAGGCGGAGGTACCGGCGGACGCTGCGGCCAACGCGCACAGCGACACAAGCAACGAGGACACGGCGGAGGCCATTGGAACAGAGAATCAGCCGGCTAATGTGACGGGGAACAAGCGCTCGGCGGAGCATCTGGACCCTCCGAGCCAAGGTGGACAAGTTGCGGAGACTGTTGAGGATATTCGAATGGTGGGATTGGGGCCTTTGAGTTGACTGGCGGCTGGATTGCTGTGTAGGCCCGCGCAAGGTGATCAATTGCAAGATTCGGATGCTGTGTACGGCGGCAGGCAGCGCGCTGGATGAGCTAAGCAACAGGATGATCAGGGAGGGCAAGTGCATCTACAAGTTGGGGCTCGGCCAGTCGCCGTTCCCGATTCCGCAGTGTATTGTGGATGAACTCAGGTTAGTGAAGAGGAAGCGTGAATGGAGGGCTTTGCTGCTTTGGAACTTAATGGTGTGGTTATGGTTGTGTAACGTAGAGCGAACTCGCATCGGCGCGACTATTTGCCCGTTGCCGGACTGCCGGAGCTGTGCGATGACATTGCTGCGTGGGGTACGGATCGACTGCACATCAACTACTCGCGGGACGATGTTCTGGTGGGCCCTGGAACGAAGGAACTGCTATTCGTGCTGCAAACGGTGTATTACGGAGATCTACTGCTACCCAACCCGAGCTGCACGAGTTACGCGCCGCAGGCTGCTATCGCGGGGAGGTGCGTGTTCTCGTTCGCTGGCAGTTTTCTTTGTAATCTCGAGTCTCTAATGTATTGTGTGTTGTCTTCAAAGAAACATGATGTGGCTTCCCACTCATGCAGAAGACCATTTCGTTCTTCGTCCACAGGTTCTTGAATCCCATTGCGCTAAAGACCCAGGTAAACATCCACACCCGCTGCCATGCTGTTGGTGCTTGGACTGACTTGGCATGACTCGTAGATGCTCCTAGGATCCTCATTCTAAACAGCCCGTCCAACCCAACTGGGTGCGCATACCAGGCCGACGAGGTTTGTGTCTTTACGTGCTGTGGTGGATGGCGGCGAAAAGGCGAACTAACGTTCTCATCATGTCATGCGGAATGATGCTGGGCTACTCCAGCTGGAGGCACTGGCAAAGGTCGCAAGGAAATACCGGATCCTCGTCGTCTCCGATGAAATCTACTCGGAGCTGCATCATTCTGGCACACACCTGTCACTGTCCAAGTACTACCCGGAGGGGACCATCGTTTCCGGAGGACTGAGCAAGTGGTGCGGCGCTGGAGGCTGGCGTATGGGCTTCTGGTTGTTTCCGCCCAGCATGGGCTGGCTGCGCAGCAGCATGTTGGTTATGGCGTCGGAAACCTACACGTCGGTCGCGTCGCCTATCCAGCATGCCGCCCGACGAGCGTTCGTTCTCGAGTACGTTGCACGACCCCTCATATCTTCGAGCAGGCAGCGTCAACATCAACATCGATCTAATGCTAACGCTGCTCCGCGCTCTAAATTGTGTGCTCTATGCAGCTGTGTCGAGCTCTCCATGTACAAACGCAAGTGCCAGAAGACGCTGCAGCTCATCGGTCGCTGGTTCGCCTACCAGCTCCAGAAGATGGACGTCGAGGTGCAGGTCCCCGAGGCCGGCTTCTATCTGTTCCCGTGCTTCCGGAGACACCGCAAGGCGCTGGCGTTGAGAGGCATCTTGACGGACGAGCAGCTGTGCGCCCAGCTGTTGCAGGATACGGGCGTGGCAATCTTGCCGGGTTCAGCCTTCGGACGGTCGCCAGAGGAGCTCTTCGCGCGGCTGGCGTTCGTGGACTTCAAGGGCGACCTCGCGCTTTATCTCATCGAGAGCATGGTAAGTCAGCATCTCGTCCTCCTCCATCGACGCCACCGAAAAGCACTGACCGCACTAACGCGTTCTTCCGCCTTGGCTTTTGCAGCAGGACGACCCATCTCTGGAGGCCATCGAGGGCTTCATTCAGTCGGTCTGCCCGAACCTTGACATCGCGATGCGCAAGCTGGCGGCGTGGATGGCTCTTGCTCGGCCGTCTGCCGCGCCAGCAGCGGTCAGCGCCGCGGGCGTCGCCTTCTAGAGTCTAGAAGGCGGTCTAGAATCTAGACCACAGGAACAGGAAACCCGCCGTTGCCAACCGCCTCCGAGTCATGGGCTCCGCTGCGTGCGACCGAGGCCGGAATTTTTGCTGCAAGAGCCGCTCGAGTCGCGCAATGGGGACTGCGGCCGCGCGCGTGCGAGGGAGCCCGCCGGTTGAGTCAGGATCAGCCCACTGACGTCACTGCGTGAAACTGCGGCGTGACGCGCCGTTTCTTCTTGTCAAACGAGCGGAGACCTTATCCGCAATGCAGCACCATGGGTGGACCTGCCTGCGCCTCGGGTTGAACGCTTGCAAGCGCCAACGCTCTCGCCTCAACGCGCCGCTGAATCGAAATGAGTTGGTGCCAGCGCTGGCGCCACGTTGAGCTTGAAGGTCTGGGCCAGGGCTCGCAACTTCTACATTGCGCGGCCGATTTGGAGCGAGAAAGTATGGCGGTGTCGCTGGTATCATATTGCAGGCCGCCCCGATTCCGTCCAAGTTGGAAGACCCTGCACCGAAGACCAGCATCCGCCCCCAGGGAAGCTTCGGATGCCACCAGACAGCTTCAGAGCTTGCACGCAGGACTTCCGATCCCGTGTTGATTATTCCAGCGCAACTAATTTAAATTATTAGATCGGCCGAACGAGAGCTGCAAAATGCGGGTCAAAGTAGTGCCATTCTCCATGCATGGAACACCGCAGTGGCCATCGATCAAGGTACTTCGAACCTTCCTTCACGTGTCATGCATTCCGCAACGGCCACCGGTGTGCCTGCAACTCCGACACCTACCTACTCCTGCTGATGACGCCGTCAAGTCCTGCACTCACGAATGAATCGTAAAGCACTTGGCCGTTGGAACCAACTTACAGCGCAATGATTCACCATGTCATACGTAAGGTGCGAACCTGCTGCTCTAGCTTAGCGCTCTCTGTTGCGCAGCTGGCTGCAGCATGACATGCCAAGGACTGCACGTGAAATCTACTGATTTCAGGTTAATCGCGTTCCTCCGCTAGTCAGCGCATCTTTGCACCGCGCGTCGCATACTCAAGTCGAGTCAAAAATACGAGCGAGCCCACGAGCGCTAGAGACAGCCGGACGCGACTTCCACACAACGAAACCCGTCGTTCCCCCCTGCAAGCAGGCAGCAGACGGCAGGCAGACGACCGACGGGCACTCGACACCTCACTCCACCTTACTGCGCTCCGCTCCACTCCGCTCCTCCGCGCAGCCTCCCGCCACCTCGATGCCCGCGGTCGACGAGTACTCGCGCGCGCGCCGCGCGCCCGCGGACAACAACGCCACCGCTAGCAGCAATAACAGCGCCGCGTCGGGTCGTAGCAACCTCAGCGCCACGTTCCAGCACCAGGTGCAGGTGCGCGCGGGCGCCAGCGGCCCCAGCAGCCTGCGCGCGTCGTACCAGGACAAGAAGAAGCGCCACAGCAACAGCAGCAGGAAGAGCGCGCAGATGCGCCACTCGCTCACGCACGTGCAGGCGGACGCGCCGGCGTCGGGCCGCTCCAGCGCGTCCTCCACGTCGGGCTCGGCACTGTCGCCGCCGCCGCGCAGCTCCAACTTCCTCAGCCTGCACACCACGAGCCGCGAGCTGAGTCCGCAGCACCAGCTGCACCCGGAGTATCCGACCGCCCCCCCCGCGGGCGACGACATCCTCAAGGTGGAGATCCCCAAGTGGAAGTCCAAGCTCACGACGGACCGAGCGGACCGCGTGCACATCCCCGCGGGCGCGGACAGCGCCGGCAACTCGCCCGTGGCCAGCGGAGCCGCCGGTAGATCGTCGACGTGGAACGGCAAGGACGGACGAGGAGGACACGGAGGCTCCATGGGCGCCTTGGTGCTGGGGAGAGACCGGGATAGTGGCAGCAAGAAGCGGTATACGGTGTTCCAAGTGTACGTGCACTTCCAGTCGGGAGCGGTGCGCGTGTCGGAGAAGAGGTACAGCCACTTCCGGGAGCTGCACAAGACGCTGCGGAGGAAGTACGCGACGGTGGGGAAGCTCTACTTCCCGCCCAAGAAGTTTTTCATGTCCTTGTCGCTGCGCGTGATTGAGCAGCGGCGCGAGGCCATCGAGACGTACATGAACGCGGTGCTGACGCTGCGGCCACGGCCGGCGGAGGTGGTGCAGTTCCTGAGCAGCGGCAGCAGCTCCGTGGACGAGGACGAGGACGGAAACAGCACGGACGGACCCGCGCGCGGCGTGGACATGGTGACGGCGCCCAAGCACGTGCAATCGACGTCGACAGCGCTCGGGACGTCTTCGCGGCTCAGCGGCAGCAACAGCTTTGCTTCGGAGGACGCTGGAGGACACATGGTGACCATGCAGGACTTTGAGATCTTAAAAATGCTCGGAAAGGGATCCTTCGGGAAGGTCTACATGGCCCGGGAGCGCGGGACGGACGGCAAGATCTACGCCATGAAGGTGCTGCGCAAGTCCGAGTTGGTCAAGCGCAACCAGGTCGGACACACCATGATGGAGCGGCGCATCATGAGCTCCATTAACCACCCTTTCATTGTGGGTCTCAAGTACTCGTTCCAGACGGCCAGCAAGCTCGTGATGGTCTCCGACTATTGCTGCGGTGGCGAAATCTTCTTCCACCTCAAGAAGTTCCGTTCCTTCTCGGAGGCCATGGTGCGGTTCTACGCCGCGGAGCTGGTGGCGGCCATTGGCCACTTGCACGAGCGTGACATCATCTACCGCGACCTCAAGCCGGAGAACATTCTTTTAGACGAGACGGGTCACGTGCGACTCACCGACTTTGGCCTCTCGAAAACGGACTGCACAGACTTTTCAGGCGCCAAGACTTTTTGCGGCACGCCCGAGTATCTGGCGCCGGAAATGCTCATCAGCCGCAAGAAGAAGACCGAGTACGGCAAGGCCATCGACTGGTGGAGCCTCGGCACGCTCATGTACGAAATGCTCACGGGGTGGCCGCCTTTCTTCGACCGGAACATCGAGCAGATGTGCACCAAGATCATGAAGTCGCCGCTCAAATTCCCGGCACATTTCGGCCTGAGTTCGGAAGTCAAGAGCCTAATTTCGGCCTTGCTGGAGCGCGATCCGGCGTACAGAATCGGCTCCCGCCCTGGTGCGGGCGTTGAGGACATCAAGAACCACGTTTTCTTTGCTAGCATCGACTGGAATTTACTGGAGAAGCGTGGTATCAAACCGCCTTTCAAGCCGCGCGTGCGCAGCCCGACGGACATCCAGAACTTCGACCGCGAGTTCACGAAGGAGCTACCGGATCATGGTTTCTTGCAGCAGGACAAACGCCTGGCAGTGTCACCGAAGAACGAGTTCCAGGGCTTCTCCTACACACGGATCGAAGAGCCTGCGTCTCTGTCCCGCGAGTCTAGAAGCAGCAAACGGGAAAAGCGCCGGTCAGGACGCCGATCGGAGCCACGGGTCAGCGAAGGGTACGTACGAGGAAGGCATTGAAGCAGCGTTGGACGTCGACCTGGTTGGTCTTCTGGGTCATCGTAGGGATGGCTGATTCTTGCTTCTTCTCTCTTGCTTCTTGGCATGGGCCGTAGAATCGAGCACGAGTCCCAGTGGGCGGAGGAACAGCAGTATCCCGAGTTCGGCCTCGTCGGCCGCGACAGCACGGATTTCGACACTGGTTGTATCTAGAGCGCGTGGATCTAGGCCAGCCCAACTGCTGGTCAACCACGTGCTCGTCATGTCCAGTACAAGAAGAGAAAGCAGGTGGGCACCACCGTCAAGTGCATGCGATGATATTTTGTTTCTAATTTAGACTTGATACAGGTATGGAGCGATCCCCCCGAGTCGAGTTGTTCGCTGGGAGACGCGAAATACGTTGTAAGAAAATGAATGAACCTAAAGATTACATGAGATTAGCACATCCAGCAATTGCTCGTTCTGAAGACCGTCAGTTGTTGATACAGCAATGCTCCTCCGTTGCCCGCCGCCACTGGTGCTTGCGGTCGTATCCGTAGAACACAGGCAGCATCTTGCGCATGGTGTGCGACGTTTTGTGGTCCTTGAAATTGTACACGCGTTGCCACTTACCTTCAACATTGGCATAGCGGTGCGAGATTTCGCAAGATTTCGCTGCTTTCGTCATGAACAACACACAAATGAGGTTAATACTACCGTGAAAGTATCCTTCCTCAATGGGGAAACCTACCATTGCACGCAGCACATAAGTCGTAATCGCTGCAGACAGCGCAGTTGTAGCGAGCTCCGGTGAAATCTGTTTCCCCGCACGAGTCGCAGATGAAGCCCAAGTGGCGACCCTCCATGATATAGCGCAGGGTGGCTATTGCATCCTCGTGACACTTGCGGAATGCACTTCGCACGCGGAATTTCGGGATGTCGAGTTTCTCGGCCAGATTTTCAACTTGTTCTAGCGTGGGTGGTGATAACCCATCGGTGTTGAAAAGCTGTAAGGCTTCTGTGTAGCGCTCAGCCAAAAGATCGAACACAGGCTTCAGAGTCTGCGGCATCATGTGCCCGTGTGGGACTTGTGGCTTCACAGTGAAGACAACAATATCCGCTGGCTGCAACGCTGCAGTCTCAGCCGACGCGTGGTACGGGATCGCTTCGGACAAAACGGTAGGAGCGATCTCTTCTCGATGCATTTCCAGTTGCACGCAACTCCAGCCTGTTCGTCGTGCTACGGCCTCATAGAGGACGCTGGGAGCGAGTTCTCCGCTCTCGACCGAGTTTTTCTGCATGTCGATGTCTTCAGGTGACGATGCGCCAAACACACGGACTTTGCCGACATATTCCAGACTATTGAGAGGTGCCGGCTGCAATAACTTGACGAACACGTAGCCTTCCGGGACTGCCATCAAATCCTTCGCAGTTGGTAGATCACCGGAGGGCAGATCAAGCGGAAGATCATTTGCCACTGAGTTGCTCTCGACGTATATCTGGCAGAATGAATAGGCATCAATGTCTACTCCATCGCAAAGCAAGTGCCCGAAGAGCGGTCGGTCTTGTTGAGACTTGTCGCACGTAAGAAGTTTACGGGGTCGAAGCGCCTGGCCTGACACCACAGGCTGATTGAAGCACCACACTCGGGTCTGGTTCACAGCAGATTCGTCTTCATTGTATTCTCCGAGCACTTCGAAGAACTTCTCATGCAGTGCCACATGCAAATCACGCAATGAGCAGCAAAAGGGTAATTCCAATTCAGCGACGTTCGAGAAATCGACGAGTCCCAAATGATGGTGGCCTCGAAGATCGTGCTCGAAAACAACGCGGAACGTGATGGTCATCAACCGTACTTGCGCTGACACAGTCAGTGTAGTGGGCTCCGTTTGACCCTCAGCAGATTTGGTTAGGAAACCTTGCTGAGGGTCACGCAGCATAGCCAGCGAGCCCAATGAGTGCACTCCCCAGTTATTCAAATGCTTGTGAAACTTGTTGTCGGTCAGACACGAATGCCACTCCAGTCGGCGTCTTGGATCCACTGTGTTTTCCACTTGCAACGAAAAGACGGCACACGTGAGCCAGTCCGGAGGACGCCGAGACAGATCCGTGAGCACAAGGTACACACTGAGTACGCGACCCTTGTACTGGGCCTCGTTCGGGTTACCGTTCGGAAACACCCAGAGGCAGAAACGATGTTCTCCGATTGTGAAAGTATCGGACACCACTTTATCCACGTCCCTCATGGCCTCCACGTTGGCAAAATTGGGCACCTTCACCGATATCTCGGCCCGTTGCTCCTTGTCATGCTTCTCCAGAAAGCAACGTCTCCAGCAGCCTCCGTACAACCTCACCAACTGTGAAAAAAAGAATCAACAAAAAAGTACCCAAAACGATATCTCAGCTCTCGTATCTCTTCCCGACCCCACAAAACCCTCAAAATACAGCATTCCACACGTACATCATAGTCCGGTGCTCCAGGCAATTGGGGCAGTAGCTGCGTCCTCAGCGTCGGCCACTGCTTGACACATAGTCGCTTCCACACCTCCCGGTCGAACGTGAGGCTGCGGAAGGCGCGGCACGTCGCAGCGCACGCCAGCAGCGAGCAGCCGTCCAACTGGGCGAACGCCAGCGCCAGCAGCTCGTCCGGCAGCGTCTGGATGCCGCCCGGGAAGGCCTTGGCCGTCGACGAAGCCGGCTCGTCCATGTCGACGTCCTCCAGGTCGAGGCTCTCGTTGTCCGTCTCGCCCGCGGAGCCCTCGCTGGCGCGGCACTGGAGCAGCCGCGGGTGCTGCGCGCGCCTGCTGCTCTTGCTGCTGGGCGGAGAGGAGGACGCGCCGCCGAGCCACTGGCGCTTCTTGGGGCTGAGCGCGCGCGCCGACGCGACCATCGATCAGGAGGCAGAGAGAACTTGTCGGAATATCCGTGATACAGCGAGGTTGGATCCGAGAAGGAGCTTTCGAAAACCGTGGAAAGAGTTGAAGTTGGTGTCCCGGAACATAGAAATGAGAAGTTGGGTTTGCGTCGTACGTAACCGAATTTCGGGAACCCGATCCTGGAATTTGAAAAGCTACAGTAGTTTGTTAGACTACCGCAGACCATGGCGCTGAGTCGGAACTTCCGCACGACGTACTACAAGACGCTGGGCGTGCCTGTGGTGCAGCACATTGTGGACGTGGAGGCATCGTTCGCGGCGCTGCTGAGCGAGAGGGCTGTGAACGTGCCGCAGCTGTTGAAATTGGCGCTGGAACTGGGCATCGCGCCGCCGTATCGAGCGCGGATCTGGCTGCTGCTGGCCGGCGTGCTGCCGCCGTATCCCGGACTGTGGAGTTTTGCACTGAAGGAGCGATGCGCGATGTTTGAGGATGTGGTGGGGGCAGCACAAGTTCTCCAAGCTAAAGACGTGTCCGAGGACGACGAAGGTGCAGGAGTGTACTACGACTTTTCGGAGCTGCTGGAGGAGGAAGAAGAAGAAGGAGAAAGTGTGGCAGAAACGAAGATGCCACCTTCGCTGCAGGATCTGAAAAGGTTAGTGCACTTGCATCGCACCTATTGGCGGGAGATCGCTGCGTGCGACGCGCCCATGCTGTGTGGTATGGATGACCCCAACTTCCTGCTGGGGGTGGCCCGAGTGGTGTGTGAAGTGTTGACGCACGAGGCGGAACGCTTCTGGTGTTTTACGCGGTTGCTGGAGCTGTTCCATGATGGACTGGAATTGGTGGACCCTGTGGTGACTCCGGACACGCTGTACAACGCGCAGCTGGCAGAATTCGAAGGCGTGTTTCTTCGGACGCTGGACGTGAAGCGGCGACGCCTAACTGTCGACGGTCCGATCTCGAGTCAGCACGGTGATGAGTACACAAGACGAAGGTGAATAAGAGAAACTCAAATAATTATTGTGCGGAAGTTGCACTCAAAACTGTCAAAACTTCATGCTCTGAAATCAGGCGAAGCCATCGACGAACTCGTCGTCCTCGTTGATATCGTTCTCCGATGAGTGCTGCTGCTTCCGAGCGACAACTTTGCGCGAGCGACGTCGACGCTTCGGAGAGGCCTTGAGTTTTTCTTGTCCCTGTAGATCAACGTCCAGTTGTCTTTCGTCTTTGCGAGATGCGAGCCATGCAGTCAGAAAGAGGTTCCAGCTAAGCTCAATAGGATCATCTGGCTGGCACAAGTCATCGACTGACGGCAGCAGAAGCTTCTTTGGAGAGCGCTCCCTCGCTTCAACCGGAGGATCTCTCGACGATGGCTTATACGTTGCGCATTTCTCGTTGTCCAACTGGTAATTGCGCTTGAGCGCAAACTTCAGGCGGAGCATTAGAGCAAGCGCGAACGCAATGCACCCGTTGGCCTTCATCGCCGCCAACTTCGACCTTGGTAGCGAGCTTAGAGGGCGATACTCGTCGATGCTCATCTTCGACAAATCTGCTGTTTCGTCTTCCAGTTGATCTGGTGCCACGCCTGCCGTCGCAAAGGCCTCCTTCATGTCATCCAGCACAGGGCTGCACATGAGAAGAGATGTCAGCGTGCTCTTTATTTAATAAAACAAAACATGGGACATATGCATGCACGGACGTACCCAAGTCGAAGGCTCACGTACTGGTTGATCAAATAAATAACGTACAAAGGTTCGTCCTCCACATCGTACGGCAGTGTCGAGATGATCTGCGCCAGATAGAATAGATATTTCAGTCTGCTCGCGAAGTTCTTGCTGTTGTCGGTGGCTAATGTAGCTTTCAACGGCTTCAGTACACTTCCTTGATCAGAAAACTGGTTAACCAATGACTTGAGAAGTAGCAATCCGTGCGATTTAGTTGGTTTGAGGCAGTTGGTGTACAGCCTCCCAAAGAGGCAGTACTCCTTGTTGTCGTCGATTCCCAACGCCGTTGCGTTGCCATATACGCTCAGTTGGAACGAGTAAGAGCCATGGATACCTTTAATCAAAGGCATATGAATTTCACTCCGGAATCGTTCATACAGAGCCAACAACTGAGAAAATGCTGCGTCCCGAACGTCTGAAACGCGATCGGTCTCCAAAGCCACCAAATTCTGAATGCACTGTAATGGGTTCACCAAGCCTTGGGTAAGTAGAGCCCCAATGCAAGCTACAGCCTCCTTCCGAATTTGTGGTATCTTCTGCACCGAGAGTAGTAATATACTGTCCAGTTCTGCCTGCATGACACTTCCTATCAACGAGGCGTCGGCTTCCTGGTCACCTTGAACTTGCTGCTTTTTACTCTTCGATCGATCCATCGAACGTGAAGCCATCCCGTTTTCCAAGCGCTGCTCTTCTGAAAGCAGTAACTCCTTCATGCTGACAAGGCATTGAAACGTTTTTGTTTTCTTCCGAAGGAATGGTGGCGTAAGAAGATGCTTCAACAACTCATCTTGTTGGGCCCGTAGAAACAGACGCGGCCGAATAGGAAACAGGAAGCCCATGCCTTGCACAGCCATAGCAGAGCATTTATCGTTATCTGGCGCACAAACGAATTGCTTGTACAACTCATAAAGTGATGCTGTGATCGTTCCAATTTGCAGTACTTTCGCCTCGCGTTCCAATTCCTGGATATTGTCCATGTCTGTCGCGCCAACAATTTTTCCGGCGGCAAATAATGCACGCTGCAGAGCACGATCATCTTCCCCCGACAACCTGGATAGCGATTTGATATGTTTGTGTTGCCGCATTGTTAGTACGAAATCTTCCAGCAACTTGAGCAGTACGACTGGTGCTTTTCTTGTTGTCGTAGACAGAGTTGCCAGACACTTGACACTCGGACCGACAACACTTGGGGGCGAGTTCAGAACTAGATACTTCAAGTCTTCTTCCAACCTCGAAGTAATGCTTAGCGAAACGCGCTTCACACGCAAAATGCTGTCGATCATTGAGACCGACAAATTCTGAATCTTGGCATCCTCCTCTTTCAGATAGACTCGAATAGTTTCCAGGTGGCGAGTCAATAGTTCAGGTTTCGCTCCACAGAAAACAGAAAGTGCAGTCATGCACGCCACGAATTGTTCGTGGCCATCTTTGATTGAAACGCCAATGAGAAGTGTGCCTTCTTGTAGGTCCATCAGGCAGTTTACGAGACGATCAATTATCTTTTCGGAGCGGTCCTCAGCAATTGCGATTTCAGCCGATCGATTCTTCACAGAACGCACAGCCGTTTCCCTCGTCCCATTGTTGCGCCCCCACAACAGCCTCTTCAAAAGTTCAGCAAACCACCCGAGGTTTGGCATACCGTGAATGACTTCAACAATGGTAGCTACGACTTCAGAACTGTTATCCACCTTCGCATCGTTAATTTTCACAACGCTGGCTGGCGTCACCATTGGGGTTCGATACGAAGACCACGCTTCTTCGACGGAGTTGACAACGAACCCATCATCAGACACGAACTTTGCGTTTACTTCTGCAGCATCGCTCTTATCTTCGATTGCCACAGCAGTCCAGCCTGGGGGTAAGGTGCTTCCACCACCGAATTCACTCAAAGGGCTCGAAAGTTTGGAGGAAGAAAGCTCGGATCCAAACCAAACTTCTTGGAAAGTGTCAATGATAAAGTTCTTCACTCCTTGATCCTCAGAAGCGTCTCCAACTCGTTCAACAAGACATCTCATGCATGCACTTTTGCGGCGAAGCTCCTGTTCTGAATTCGCATCATGCGGCTGTTCTTGCGTCGATGTCAAAGCGATCTTGAAAATTTTGCACACGCTTTTACGAACTTTGATGCCTTTGTCACGCATTCTCTCAGCCAGCACATCAAAGTATTTGTCAAACTGTAACATAATAAAAACATCATGGTTAATTATTTGACAGCGCGTAGTGGAACGGCCCATGTACGTACCAAAAGGGGCTGCAGTAGTACGTAAGTACCGATCAAATCCACGGCTGCTTCGCGAACGGAGGGTTTTTCATCTGAACAACACCTCTCAACAGCTGACCGGACTCCGCTTTCAGCCATTAGCATCGGATCGACGTCGACAATCCCTCGCAAGCATTTCATAACTCGAGCTCTGAGACTTGGTGCAGCTCTGGAGAGCAAAGCCATGATGTGCACAAGCAAGCCATCGAAAAGACCACAAAATCGACGTTTCACAGCTAACTGCAAACTCGCTCTTAGTGCCAACTCGGTCGTAGGGATAGCCACTTTAAATGTCGAATTAGTAACCCCCTTAGTCTCCACCGCCAACGTTTTCCATAGCATATATTCACGATCCATGCACGCTGACTCGAGATCACTCCAATGTACCTTTGCCTCCGACATGAACTTCAAAAGAAGCAGCTTCCTCGAATCGCACTGATCAGAACCTTTCCGTTGCTGATGCATCACGACGATATGCTTGAAGGCTAACAGGTCAACCAAGTCACTACAAGCACTCGGCAGTGTTTTTCTCGACCGCGTCTTTTTGCCAACAATTGCTTCTAGTAGACAGTTTTTATGCTCTTCCACAACTGCAGTCGAGTCGCTGTCGTCAACTAGGGCACTGTGATCAACCTTCTTCTGGTAGCGCTTGATTGCAGCACATACCTTTCCGACTATGTTGAGCGCCGCCAAACTTTTATGTGCGTCAGGATTTCTCTCGTCTGCGGAGATATTTGCGTGCAGTACACTCGCTAATGAAGAGCATAATGCCTCGAGGACGTCTTCCGCGCCAATCCATTCCGGACGTACAAACATCACGAGAAGATCTTCCACGAAGTTCTCCAAGACGACGCGATTATCACGATCTTCGTTCTTCTTCCAGCATGCCTTAAGTAGAGTCCGAACAAGCGATTGTGCACTATTACGCGTCTCCCCCAGCGCAGCCTCCACAATATCCATCTTCAAAGGTTTCTCTTCACTGACGGTATCAGGTGTAGACGAAGGTTCAGACGATTCTTGAAACACAGGGTCGGATTCCACCGCTTCAAGCTTTCCTGCAGGAACGCACGCTTGTATCATCGATACAACCAGTGTTGAAATTTGCTGCACTGAATCGCTTGAGCTCGCCAACTTCACCGTTCGAAGAGTCCGTTTTGTTGTAGGAAGCTTTACCATGACCGCCACAATATCTTCGAGCAACGAATCTCGGTGGGGCTTGTACTGCTTAAAAACTGCTCGCAAAATTGCGAGGGCACTTTGTTGCAATGACGTTGCGTATTGACTATGCTCTAAAGCGAAGAATTCCACCATTGCCGTAGACAAAGGCAGCACCCATCGATCCGCTAGTTTCACACTCAAAACTAGAGCTGCGAGGTGATCCAAGAACTCACAGAAGACATGCGACACTTGATCAACAGCCTTCCGAATGTGTTTGTTCACACGCAAATTTACTCGGGAAGAGCTGGACATTTTGGCCCCGGATAAGCGCCGTCTGCCTTTTTCTTCAGCAACGGGTGTGGAAGCAGTCGTGACGTACGTGGTGTCGATGCATGGGAGTATCAGTCGGCGAGTGATGTGATGTAGCAGCTGAAAACAATTCTCGAGATTCTCCTCAGAAAGAATCCGTCGGTCGATCTCGGGTCTTGTCATCACAATAAGCTCGCAAATTGCGACATCCAGTGACGTCAAAATACTGGACACCAATCTACGATCAACCTTTGATTGTTTGGGTTTGCCCTCTTCGCCTTTTGGTAGAGCTGCACCGAGCACATCCACCGCTAATCCCAACCGAACCTGCACGTCCAAAGTGCTCATCAATGCGATCAGTATTGCTGGATCCAGTTCATTAATCCAGTCGTTCTTTTCCAGCGTTTTCATTGTCTGCAACAGCAGCTTCACTTCTTGGGGCGAAAATACGCCCAAGTTGTCACGTTCAAAATTCTCCAGACCCTGACGTTGTGTCGCCTTTTCAAGCAATCTCTCCAGCAAATCTGCGTACTTCTCCACACTATCTGCAGCAATTTCAGCCTGAGTAGAAAACGTCGGAAGCTCGTCTTCATCATCCATCTCGACATCCACATCTGGCTCGGCGTTCAATTCATCCAGACAGTCTTGCAGCTCGCCATTCTCATCTTGTATCGGGCTCTCAGCACTCACACAATTGCCAAATGACCGTCTCTTCTGTGGCTGCTCGCATTCTTGCTTTCCTTGCAGCTCTAACTTTCTCTTCAACCTGTTCTTAGGTGATGGCTTCAGACCCTGGACAGCTCCAGCTTCCACCATCAAGCACACAAGCGGTTAGCCCAAGCGTTAGCTCTACAACTGTCGCGCATTGCAAGACGAAGTCAGCTAGTGCATAGCGCTGCGTCATTGACTTACAATTGAAGCACCCAGTCTGCACCACTGCCTGCGCCCACTTGGGCATCGAGTTCAACACGTCAGCGTCGATCTCTGTCGTCTCGTCGGCTGAGCTGCAACAGTAAGGCAGCACATTCATAGAGCAGAATTCACCCTCCTTTGGTCAGTAGATAGTATTTGAGATTTTACAGTTGTGAAGGCTTTAGACTTTCGCACCCGAGTCTGCCGGTGGGTGAGGAGCGGATGAGCGTCGCCAACCGCTGCGGGTTGACAGCTTCAGTGTGTGCTGCTGGCTGCGAGGCTACAGGATGCATCTCTTCGCGTGCATCTGCAGCTGCGGCATCCTGTGGGTCCACGTAGAGCGGGAAGAGGAACAGGCCGCCCCGCATCGTGCTCAGGTGCGAGTGCGCACTCGCGCTCTTGGTCAACGGATGCGGAATGAGAGTGATTGTTTCCTTTCGCAGATGAGATGTTGGCCGAAGGTCGCAGCAAAAAAATAAATCCGTAAATAATGAATAGACACAGAGTACCATGCAGGCAAGCCGGAAAAATAACCCGGTTCACACGTCAAAACAAACGATTGACAGGACTCGACTTCTTCAAGTCGAGTCTCTAAGTTGAAGTAGCCAATTTCATTTAGTACGAGCGAGATTTGGCACTTCGGTCTCCCTACGCCACCTTCGGACGCATGCGGCGCGCTCCTTGCATCGGATGTTTCTTCCTCGCTCCAGACGTGAGTGCTCCCGACCGGAAGACAGCGCACAGAATCCGAAGCTGAGGGCACCACAAGATACGGCATGCTGTCAGTGACACGAACGAAAGAGCCAACCATTCAAGCGTCTCGCTCATTGCGTACCATGTTCCAGATCCAAATGCAGTGGAGCAACAACTTGGCAGTCTGCAGTGGAAGCACTTCTCCCGCTCTCGCAATTCGGACGACAGGGGCCAACACGTCTCCATAGAGAACGATCGCACACACGAACATCATCAGGCGAATGAACTGCGTCACGTTAGACTCCAATTCAGCAATTCGTGTTTCCATGCACTGTATAAACTCCTTACCAGCGCAGTACTGCGGAAGTACATTAGCAGCGCGACCCCAGATGCTGCGAGACGAACTGCCTCTGGCTTGTCATAGTCGAGCACGCTCGTTATGCCCAGTAACGCGACCAAAGCCTATATACAGACAACCACGCCACACCACTTCATCAACATTTGCGTTCTCAGCGCCATCGTATCAGTCGGACTCCTACCAGCTGGATGTAGATTGCGGTGTCTGTCACTCGAGAGCGGCCAACAGTTGACGCGGGACCCCACAGAGTGCGATCCAGCTCGTTGTGATGAAGCACTACCATCGATAGGTCTACCGTAGCGTGCAATTCGGTGTCGGCTTGCAAAGTTGATTAGCGCCTCTATATAAGGTACTCTGGACCTCTTTACATGAGCATTCTAGTGCTTCAACACGGTGCGTTTGGGTAGAATGATTCGCACAACGTAGCCACTTACGATCCACGAAAACTATCTGCAACGCTGTGAGTATCACCATCTTCGTTTCTCAGCCACGCAAACTGAAAGCTGTAGTCGGCGCCTGCACGGCCACATCAAACGCAGCACTGTCAGGAAACTTAAACTTATCGAACACGCAGCGAACTGCACACACAACTGTACGTACCAAAATGTACCAGCGAGGACTGCACGACGTAGACGACCCACAGCACCAGCTTCGACTGAACCATTCTCCACTGGCCCCGGAGCACGAACGCCAACTGGTGAACCGGCGAGTACTTCATCGTCTTTTGCAGAGCGATCGTGAGCACAACGAGCGAGACAAACTCCAGAAATCCATACAGAAGCACGTTGGACAGCGTGCTCCGCAGTTTGTCGGCGTCCATGTTCGCTAGTTGAGCATAGTAGACGCGATTCGGGAGATACGACATGGTGGCGACGTAGATCGCTGGAGTTGCATTTGTGTCGTGAACGTGTTCGTGAGATACTACCTACACTATGACATCAAACACGTGAAAAACAAAAACGGATACGTACAGTAGACAACAGGCACGATGACCTCGATGTACTCGATGAGAATCGTGAACTCGACGAGATACAGGAGATTTAGCATCTTCCTGGCGTACAACCTTTCCATGAAAACCAAGGTGTTTTGCGATTCTGTTGTGAGCGGACGTGGCAAATGCTTCACCCGCTTACTGTCGGTGAGGGCTGTCTCAGGTATTCGACATTCTTGGGCTTTTGCGTCGAAGTGCGGGTTGCTCTGGCAGGTTCGTACGAATTTTGGTGTGGGAACACCTTCTCCGCTCGGAAAAGCCATTTGACCGGAGTTCTGGGGCTCTTCTTCGATGGTAGTCGATGCAGATCAACGTTCCTGGAGGCGTATGAGCGTCGGGTTACAATACTGCATGCTCGGCCTAGCCCACTCTTCTGCTTATCTATCGCTTGGAAGCTGGCCGGCTCGAGATTTCTGAGCAGGTGTATTTGGTTTTCCACAGTCTTGAGCTCTTGGGCTAGCCGGAGTACCTCCCGAATGGAGCTTGTCATGCGCACAAAGTCAACCGCCATAATGACAATGACAGTGAGCTTCGACGTCGAGTTCTGCATGGAGAACGACACGAAGAGCGCATTGAAGACGTCGACGTTGAAGACGACGATTTCTGGCTGCATATCCCTGTTGGATCGAATGTAGTAACTAATTCCATTCTTGATGGCCATCTTGATAACGAGGAGGACAAGCGAGAAACAGGCTTGCTTCACGGACGATAGATTAGAGAAAATGTAAATGTAGAAAGGGTAGACCACGATCATAGACATTTGGACGGCGAACATCTTGAGCCCATCCACGATTTGAGTTTGCAAGGCGCTGTTGCCGCGAATATGGCGGCCCCAACTCACAGTAAGCGATCCCAAGAGCAACGTCATCCATACGGGGGCTCCCATGACCATCATGAAAGGAACTGGGAAACCAATCAGGAGAGATAACGAGTAGGTGTACCCCATGCAGCCAACGCTGACGAAAACAGTTATTCCAAAGCAACGTCGTCGAGACATCGGCAGCACAGGCAGCATTTCACTGAATTGTACGACAAATGAAAGTGTATACAGCCATACGATGAAGCTGGCGCGACACCAGAAAACGGTGTTGGCATTCGACCCCTCTTGTGGTGATTGTAAGGGTGTGATATCAGCGAGAATAACGGCGATGATGCAAGGCAGCGGTGTCAGTAGGATAAGTGCCGATAATTCCAGGGTGGTGACTGTCTTGCTGTAATTCTGAAGCGCGATCAGGCGCTGACCAGAGTAGTGGCCGCTTTGTTCTACGCGAAGAGACTTCCTCCGCGCAAATCTCACCAGCCATGAACTTGGTGGTCGAGCAGCCATGGTTGTTAGCTTTACGTTGCCCCGCCGTCTTCAACTAAGTGCCAGCGAGGTTAAACTGAAAAAGAAAAGTGGTGTGCCTTGACGAATCCAAGAATACAGCTTTTCTGGCAACGTTGAAAGCATGTAGCGATGAACCAGGATAATTTTGAGGTAAATATAGTGACTCACCTGCACTGTCACGCAGATTCAACTGGACCAACTATTTTTGATATCTGTATTCATAACCAAAAGTATACACAGTATCCACTGTGTTCTGAGGTACCGGTATTGATTTGAACGAGGACACATCACTGCAAATCACTCTGCGCGCAGTGCTTCAGGATAGTAAAGGTTGTTGTTATTGTGAGAAAAAAATGAAACTAGACTGATCCGATGAATGAACGACGTATGAATTATTGGTACTAAAACGTTATTAAAAATAAATGATCTCTCATACACCAAGTTGCTCAAAACGCATCTGAAATCGGTCACTTTCATCAGGGCCCGAGGCTTGACATTAACCCCCGATCGTTTTCTTAATGTACCTCCACACAAGCTACCTTTGATCGATATGATAAAAAAAATAATCGACCACTAGTCTGGCTAACGACTCAATGCGCTTCAAAAATACAGCAACACAGCCACAATCCTGGACTTATGGGCACTCATCTTGCCCACGTCGTTGCCTTGCGTCATCATGCTTAATGAAAATGATGCAGTGAAAGTTGGTTGTGGGGGGTCTTCGTGCACTCTCTTACGTACGTACGATTGTGCCTGTGGAGAAGCGTTGGAGATTACTTCAGTAGTAAGAATTTTTAACTTTTCTGACGGATGTTGTTTTTGGTGCCGGGTGCAGCACTTTACGTGGCTGATAAGAGATGGGGATGGCAAATAAGTTTCCGGAAGTGGATAAGTTTTTTTATTGAATTCACGATGCTAAACACGACGCAGATGCTTGAACGTTCGAGCTGGACGCGGTGGACTCTTCCTGCAACAAGATACCGTCAAGTGCTGGCGTGGCGATAACGGAGGGTGCACTACGTAAAGTCAGTCAGCCATGGTCACCGACATTGAAGTGAATACCTGAAGTTCATCCTGGATTTTTAACCCACATACAAAATGCGACAAGTACAGATATTATCCGGATGATGCATAGTGAAACCTTGTCATAATTTCATTATCCGGACAAGTAATTGATCCCGCTTCAGAAAATCAGAATCGATCTTCATTTTCGAAGCAGCCACGTACCCCTTAAGCCCGAGATACCTCTCTCACTTCCTTTAGACTCGCCCCACCACCGCCATGTCGTACGATCTCTTCCCCCCTGCACCTCCCAGTGCTCCATCGGTGTCAGCGCCGCCCCCGCCGCCGATTTCCCGGTCAACGGGGGACTTGGAGAGGCTCATCTCGCCCCATTTCCTGTCCCCGGAAGCTCGGATGAGACCCATTCCGACGAACGAGTGGTGGGGCAACCTACTGGCGTGGGACGGACAGCGCGAGAGTGACGCCGTGTTCGCGGGCCCGTATACGTACAAGGTGGTGCAGGGGCAACCTGGTGCCATTGGTAGCGGACTCTCGGTGAGCTATTTGCTGCAGTACCGGACGGACGGACCGGTCAATGACAACGGAGCACCGCGCTTCTACTTCTACCCGCCGAATATCAAGAACTGGATCTTCTCAGCTGTGGAGCTGGCGGGGCCTCCGGGTGCAGCGCCCCCTCTTACTATCCAGGCTTGGGACGACATGGGGGTGCACCTTGCCATGGCCGGGATGAGGATGTACTTGGCTCTCGGATCGGCCTTCACGGCGGTGGAGTATCAGGACATGCAGGTGCAACTCGGCACAGAGCACTCCATTGTCGCCATTAACGGCGCTCCTGCTAGAGACGGCCATCAGGTGAACGGGATCAGCTTCGTGATTTCGCTCAACAACGGACAGCAGTGGGTACTCTACTTCTTCTACAATGCGGGCGGCAATACCACGCTCGTGTTCAAGGACAACAAGCTCACGACCACATCCAAGTTCACGGGAGTTGTGCAGGCGGCGTTTGTGTCCACGAGTGGAGTGCAGCCTGATGTGCCTCAAGACGACCACAAGATTCTGCAGCTTTACCACGCAAGTGCGGGCGTCTACCCGAGAGGAGTCACCGTTCAGCCCCTCAACTCGGAGTCGTTTGCGTTCCGCTGGCAGCTTACTACGGCAGCTGGTGTCAACCCGGGTGCTCGCTTCCTGCACTTCGCCCTCACGCACCTGCAGGGAATGCTCGATCCGTCCACTGCTGAAGCCAAGCACGAGCTTGTACTGCATTCTCACACGCACGGGCCCTTGTTCGCGTACGCGTTGGTGTCCCCGCCGAACTCCAGTCCGACGTGGCTTTGCCACGTACCCCAGGCTGAAAGCCAAGGCGTCGAGGCATGCACTGCCTTCTACCCACCTCGAGCTGGTTCTCTCACTCGCGAGGAGGTCGACAGGCTCAACTTGTGCCGCGTTGTGGCCGATGAAATCCATGGAGAGTGGTCTTTACCTCATGAAGGAAGCTACTACTTCAAGGGCAAGTTGCTGCAGAAGTTCGGTACGATGTGTCTCGTGGCTCGGCAGCTTGCAGACACTACCAATCCAGAAATGAGGGACGTGGCTCAGCACGGCATTTCGAAGTTCCAGCAATTGCTGGCGCAGTTTGTGAACAACCAGTCGGCGTTCCCTCTCGTCTACGACACAGTGTACAAGGGTATCATCACCAGTGAGGCTCTCACCAAGAACGACATGAACGTGGACTTCGGTAACGGTGTGTACAACGACCACCACTACCACTACGGCTACATCGTGACTGCGGCTGCTATGGCTCTCTATCTGGACCCGAATTGGTGCCACTCAGTCGATGCTGTCAGGGTGCGAACGCTCGTTGATACGCTGATCCGTGACGTGGCAAATCCATCCCCTATCGGAACCGACCCGTACTTCCCGCGCTTCCGATACTACAACTGGTGGTTGGGCCACTCCTACTCGCACGGCGTGACCCCAATGGCCGATGGCAAAGACGAGGAATCTACGTCGGAGGAGGTCAACTTCCTCTACGGAATCGCGTTGTATGGACAAGTGACGGAGAACGCCCAGCAGCAATCTCTGGCGAAGCTGATGCTCAAGGCCTACATTCGTGCAGTGAACACGTACTTCTTGCTCCGAAATGACGGACCTGCTATCCACCCCGCGGGCTTCGCCAAGAACAAGGTGACTGGTGTCTTTTTCGACAACAAGTGCGACTACACGACGTGGTTCAGCCCCAACAAGGAATGCATCCACGGCATCCAGATGATCCCCGTCTCGCCCATTCTTGAAGTCTCCCGTCCGACACGCTTTGTGCGCGAAGAATGGGAGGAAGTGCTCTCCAAACTGCCCTTCGTGCATGACTGGAGGGCGAATCAGTCTGGCTGGACGTCTCTGCTGTTCGCCAACTACAGCGTCCTGGACCGCGCAAAGGCGTTTGAAGTGCTGTCCACGTGCCCCATGGACGATGGACTCAGCCGTGCTTGGGCGCTGTACTACGCTGCCACTCGGCCTCCTGCCTGCTGCTAAGCAAAAAAAGACTTCAACACAGTCCAAAAATAAGCTAAGCCCCTCATCGCAAAAATCCCAGCACTATTTGTCTGTTAAAATGTTGCCTTCTCCATTACGGAGGAGTCATGGCCTGCAGCAAAGATTGAGCGAGTTCGCTCACCACGGGCGATAGGCGCCGGTCACGTAGCGAAATCAAGCACCTACCACGTCAGTACGAGTATTCGTTAGCCCCCTGCTATTTTTTCCCCCAAACAATTGTAGTAACTCGTGCTTACCCATCGATGAGCCGTTGCACTTCTGCTGGTGGCAACGTTCCCACAAAATTCGGAAGTTTGCCGACAAGAGCTCCGACCACCTTCAGGCCGCTCATAGCGACGGATTCACTCCGTGTAGACTCCAGGCGGGATACAGTCGCATCAAAGCAGTTGCGAACCAGTTGCACGTCATCGCTATTTTCCACTGAGAGCAGCTCGCTGGACTTGTACAAGAACGAAAAGATGATCTGTAGCAGCAGAGTACGAAGTGGTAAGAACGATCAATTTGCCCCCAATGAATGTGGAAAAAATCTCCTTACCTGCAGTCCTCCAGCAACGACATCTTCTTCGAAGCAACTCTCTGTGGCTACTGCGACCCGCGAGATGAATCCCTGTGACTTCCAGCGTTCAAGAGCATTGTCCTCCAGCCGTGAAATGGCACTACAGTACAAGCAGCATCACACTGATAAGAATGGTTGCGAACTTGGCAGGTGTAGGTACAAGTAAAACGCACCTGAGTAAAACGTTGCAGCAACAAATGCGAACTTGCAGAGGCAGTTCGTCATGCTGAGCTTCACTCCAAAGACTTTGAAGTAACTCCTGCACTCTTGGCTCGTAATTTTCAGCAGTTTTCTCCATGCGTTTTGCTTCAAAAATCCAAGTCAGCAAAAGGTTCACGAGCGATGAGGCACTAGCTGTGGGCGTCTTCGCTACTTTAAGTGGCTTGTCATCTGTATCCAACCGAGCAAGTATCAATCCAACGCAATCGATGCACCCGCGTTGCAGATCGGCTAGCAGCGAAGTATTCCCTGCCAAGCCTGGGTCTTGAGTGCACGGTATCCCCATAATTTGTACCAGCACGACCAGATTTTTCATTGTGATCTCTTGATCTTTGTAAGCATGATCGTCCTCTGCAAATACCCGATTGAGGTAGTAGACCATTAGCTTGGCCGTCACAAGCCCACATCCTTCTGGAATACTTTCGGCGCTCACAATCAATGAAGTGCTGTCTTTGCGGTAAATATCGGCCTCTCGCAAGAAAGCAAGCAGATGTGCGAAGACGAACGGCACCACTTTCGGTGGTGGAAGTTTGGCCAACGCCTCAGTGGCAAGCATCTTGACCTCCTTGAATTCCAGCGGATCCACTACCGAGAGAGCTAAGATGTGACACAGAATTTTGCATGTCGAGTCCGCTGTCTGTGACTCTCTGTCGTCAAGGTGCTGTTGACGGACGATAAACTCGTTGAGGTGGTCCAAATCTTCGCCCTCACACTAAATCGCAAAGAGAACCGTATGCCACACTGTCATTCCGATGCAAGAGAGGGCCTATTATGACGCAAGCACTTACCAGCAACGCTTGAGTTGGATGCGCTCCAAAGATGTCTCTCGGGAGCATTCGCAGCACCAACAGCGGGGCCAGCCTAGAAAACAGTAGACCCTCGACAGTTTTAGCTGCTGAAGCAGAATTGTCGTTCAATGTGTCTTCCGTTAAGCGTTGAAGGTTCTACAAAAAGGAGGTGCCAGATACACTCGTTAGATAATGACACATTCTCAATCTACGCAGCATAAACGTAATTACCATCATGTGTGAGGTGAGCTGTTTTTCCAGTGTTCCAAATACATGGCGGTCAACCCAGCCGCATCCAACAAATTCACGCAGCATTCGAAGAAGAAGCGTGTCACGAGGAGAGCCGAAGATTTTGCGGAGCAGGATAGACAAAACTTGGCTACGAGCATTCGATGATCTAACGTGAATGCTCCACCTACGCATCCAGGATATGGTGTAAGATCAGAGTATCTCATAAAGCGACCGAAACATTGCAGGAACGTACCCGTTTCGACCGAAACAAAGGGAAAGCAATTGCTCCTGCTGTTCTTTCCTGTCTTCATCGTCTGCGGTTCTTGCTTTGGCGTTTCCACTCTGCTCGGCAGCGTAGTCGCTCCATTCGTGGGGAGATACTGGAGACTTTTTAGAGATCAACTGAAGTTGAGAACTCCCATATTGACTCGCATCAATGAACCATGCCACCATGATTTCAAGAGAATGCTGCGTCGATGTGTTGAGAAGGTATCCGAGAGCCGACGTGACAGTGTTGTTCTCAGCTTGTAGAACCCCTGCTGTGCACAGCCCAGCAATGCAGGAGATGGGATCGAGAGAAGGCAAGCAGGAAATGACCTGTGGGGGGGGCAGAAAATAACGCATTAGTTGTTGGAGAGACGGCAGTGGAGCCAGACGATATCGCTGGTCTTACCAGCCGGTGGACGCGATGGCTGGTGTGGTTGAGGAGGGCTAAGACGACTGGAGAAAGCACCTGCCTGCACACGCAGATTTACAACAGCGCACTTTCGTTAAGTTTTTGCTGTCTCTCAAATTACAAAAGAGCCATCTTGGTAGCAACTGTTCTCACCGCCAGTGTCGGTAAAGCGGTTCTTGAAAAGCTGCACGATCGAGTTGGTACAGGAATGTCCTCGTGAGGGAAAGAGCACTCTAGACGACAGATACTGATCGTTAGCACACCAACAAGACTCCGCACTAAACTAATGAGCCCACCTGAATCGTTTTCGAGTGAGAATCCTGCATCCACATCACAAGATCGGTAATAACGAGTTTTCGAGAAATGATGAAGTCGACGACAAACAGTTCCAGCTCCGTTTGAGCCTGCGAGTCATGGTGAGATACTGTACGCGCAATAGAATCACTGCCGACCTCGCGAAGCAGTTGCGAAAGAAGCTCTTGCTCTTCGTCTCGCGAACTTAGCAAGTGGAGTGGGTCACTGGGTAAAAGAACAGCTCGTAGGACGTTCAGTGTAAGCTGAAGTGCAGCCTCATCGCCACTTTTGTTCGCCACAGACAATCCATAAACAAAGAAGAAAACGAAGCTCGCCTTCATGTCCACCGGAAATCCCTCGAAAGCCTTGGAGCATGCTTTGATCCCACCAGCTGCATCCATCAACAGACACACATAGCGAAGCTGAGAGTATACCAGTTCAGGGTTGGTAGCCATTCTTCGGCGACCAGAGTCTAGCTTATTGATCAAAGCATCCGCAGTCCACCTCCGTAAGAGTCGAGCGAGCACTTCGTGTGGCTGGTTTTTCTTAATCAACGAAGATACGTCACTGCGCGTGCAAAGCAGCGAGGCGGTGGCACACCAGTGCCAACACAGTACATCGAGCCCCGCTACCGCATCTGAAGTTAAACCAGTTACGTTGGCCTCAAGAGTTTTGCAGATTTCCGTATACGATTGCAGGTTTAGCAGTGCGTATCCGAGGAACTGACGGCGTGTTGAGTGCAGATGCCACTGGCGTAACTCAACTACAGCAAACTGCGCGCTCTCCACCATGTACTTCATCAATTGTCCACCAGCGAGAGTGATCTTTGCTGCATCAGTTGTGCTTGAGTAGTATGCTGCAACGTCTCCACACAGTAGCACAAGTGTTTCAAAAGCAATCAGCGCGAGTTTTGAATGTTTCACACGAAGCGAATCAGCAACCGGCAAAGTTCCCCTCTCCACAGTGGACCGCAACGCCTCCAAATACAACTCGACTTGGTCACCCAACAAGAATGAACATTCACGTCCAGATGCGGAATTTGTTAATCTCTGCCGACGTCGTTGCAGCAGCTCAAACAGGGCAAGACACGCAGCAAGCTGATTCTGCTTCTCAGCTGAAGGTTGAATCCACTCCAACAGTAATTGCTGTACGTAGCCACGATCTAACCGCGCCAAGGCAACATAACCATGCTCACGATTCATCATCCAGTCCAGCAGAAAGAGCAGTTTTTCTGCTCGCGAGCCCAAAATGCAGCAATTCGTCCGAGAAGCTGAGCAATCTCGCGTGACTTGCATAATTGCAGCCCCTGCCACAGTGCGCACCAAGTTTCGATTCGAATCGCTTTCTGTCGGTTCTTCCACTCCATTTTCACCGCTGTAAGCGTTCGCCACAGCACTCAAAGCCGCTTGGAGTCGCGCAATCCGCTTATGATCCGACAAGGACAGCACTCGACCCTGGTACAGTCATTTTGTCAGCGTGTTAGTCACAAAGCCATCGCCAACGCCATTTCATTATGCTCTTTAGCACTAAATGACACCTCGGCGGTGCGTTCCAGCACGTCAACGTCGTCCCCGCCACTGGGTTTGAGCAAGGACTCAGATCTGATTCCGGTCTTGACATGCTTGAGACTGGCGATTGCAGCCTCCATCTACGCAGCCACAACGGAATAAAGCGTAAAAATTACACGGATGGAAAGAGAATGGAACGGTGTATCAGATGGCTCGTACATGGTAGAGATCACAGTCCGCTATCACGCGCAGGAGCCGCCCCGCGCTGTCGCGGTCTCGGGCCCTCGCCGCCATTTTGTTTCACCTGAAATGTCAATATTGTGTGAACCACACGATGAAGTAGATGGCTACAGTTGAAGGGGTGCAAGTCCAGAGGCAAACAAGGTCAGTATAAGAGAGCGGCTCAAGCATACAGACGGCGAGCGCAAGAAGAATTCGAACGGCAAGAACACTGGTGACAATAGCAATACTTAAGCACTCAGGATAGGGAGACGGTGCTTGCTCGACTCCCAGCAGTCTACGTTCGCGTGCCCTGCGGCGATATTCACGAGGACAGAAACGTCAGTGCATTCTCCGACCCCTTGCGCTGCAGTACATTTACTACAGTAATAGCGCTCACGACAGCACCATACACCGAAAGAACGACAACGAAGAGCAGGGCAACAAAAAAGACAAGCAGTGATCAACAAGACAGCTAAGCGGCTCGCCGGTCCTGGAACGGTCACTCACTAAGAATGCTTCTTGGGTCAGGTAGCACTGCAGTTTGTATGGTAGTACTAGAGCGCGTGCGTACACATAGGTTAGAGCAGCTTTGTGCCAAACAGCAATCTTTAGTTTTAGGGATGTCGTCGTAGTTTTTGCTCTCAACAAGTTGCACACCACTATTGTAAGCTTGCACTGTGCAGCACAGTGCAAGCTTCGTAAGACACGCCCACGTGGTGCTATCTTGTCCTTATCAGACTCTCGACAACGCGCCGCGTTGTATCTGAGAGCAGAGTCTGATTATCCGCGAGACGACAAAAAATGACCGACTGATAAAAAGTCTGCATGTGCCATCGCTGTTTAAACGATCATGCAAGTGGCCTCGATGAAAAGATTGCAGCTCCACACTAGGTACATGCACTGTGCTTTTCAAGACATTTCACACAAGTGTACTGTAGGAGGACTCGATGACAATCGAAAAAACCAACGTGCTGGATTTCATCCGATCGTATCTCTCTGCGTGCATTTCCAGTGTACCATGCTACATGCACACTTGAATACGTGGTACGATGCACTTACATGTATCAGACTTAAATTTCTAAGTTACTGTATGTAGCAAAGTTTATTGCATGGAGCCTTGCCACCGGAGCCCTTGGCCACAGAAGCGCAGCTATGTTGTTGATTGCGGGCGTATATTGCAATGGATCCCGTCAAGCGATTCGCCGTGTCATCTGAGTAAGACTGTGACAGCCATATTCTCGGGATCATCTGTATGCGCTTTGGCATTTTCTGTTCGGCCGTATGGCATTCTTCATACATAGCCAACGTTATGGGCGCTGCATCGGCGAGGCGTCTGTAAGCCATGCGGTTGACGTTGAAGTCGTCGATTCGACGAGAAATTGATAGCGCGATTCGAGTTCCGCCGAGTCCAACACTGCCCAGCCCGCAGAGCTGCGGAGCCTCCGCAGAGACGGCCTGCCTGTATAAGTCGGCAAATACCTCCTGTAAGCTGCTGCTCTATAGCGGCTGCAACCAACGCTCATTACATGCAGCGACCTCGTACATGTAGTAGCGCGGCAGAATTGCATGCGCCGGGCTGCAACGCTTACCCTTCGCCATCGGAGCAGATTCTCAGCACACGGCCACACCAACAACACTAGCCGTCCACCGAGCCCAACCGCCAAACTTTGAGCGAATTCACCTCGAGTCCCATGGCATCTGCCGAGCCTTGAGCCGCCGCCCGCTTCCCAAATGTGGCAGCGACTTTGCCACAAGAGCGCGTCAAAAGCCCGTCTCATACACACATTGGATCGGCACCGAAATGGGGTCTGAATAGTTTTCGCGCGCTGTGATTGGTCGGGGAGCTGAACTCCTGCATCTTTGCGCACTTGGTCCCATCTCGGGCGCCGCTCCCTCTGTATCCGCTCGCAGCCAAGCGTGTCAAAGCCCAAGCCAGTTCCACTTCAGCCTGGTCCACCGCCACTACACAGTTTCCGTACATTCCTCTGCAGGCAGCGATGGGGCTACTGTGCTGCGCCGCCAAGTGCTGCGGCTGCATGGCGCTCTCGCAGCTCTGCGCGCTGCTGCTGCCGCTGGGCATCCTGGCCGCGCTCGCCCTGCTCTTCTACACGTACGCCATCCCGTGGGGCGAGGACCAGATCCGCCAGGCGCTCAACCTCGCGTCCGACGTGGACATCGGCGACCTGAACGCCAGCTACGTCGAGGCCAACAGCTGCAGCGGCTGCGTCTTCGGCAGCAACACGCAGTGGCCCATGAACACCACGGGCACGCGCCACTTCCTCGACTCGCAGGCGGGCAGCACGGCGTCGGGCGTCATTGCCACGTCGCTGGCGGGCGCGGCCGTCATCGGCGCAGGCTCCATGCTCTGGGCCTCGGCCATGCCCAGCGCCGCCGCGGCGCTCAGCTTCTCCGGCGGCTTCTACGAGATGACGCACATCGTGGACCAGGCGCAGTTCGCCGGCATGATCAGCCAGCTGCGTATCGAGGGGGCCCCGACCTTCCTGCTGCAGTTCTCCAAGGAGCTGTCCTGGACCAATTTCAACCTGATCAAGAGCAGCAGCGACGCCTCGAGCGGCAGTGGCAGTGACGGTAGCGACGACGGCACGCGACGACTCGCGGACTCGAGCTCCAGTGCTACGGGCGTTTACGCTGCGGCGGGCGAGTCCGGACCCGCGCGCTACGCGGCTCTGATCGGCGTGGACTCTGACGATTTGTTCTTCTACACGCTCGTGACTTTCGTCGTGGTGGTTGCGGTGTTGCACGCGCTGTACTTGGTCGTCGTCGCGGTCGTGGGGTCTATGTCAAAGAAGGAATCGTTCGGGGACGTGGCTCGCAAATGGTACAGGAAGGTCATCTGGGCCAGCGTGCTCGCTCTGCTGTTGGCGCAGTACATGTTTGCAATGGCGGGGAGCTTCTTTATCTCTCAGGGCTCGTCCAATGCCTCGGCGAACGGCTCTAGCTCGCGCTTCGCGTTGGGCATCGTGGCCCTCGCAGCGGTTGTGCTCTTGGCGGTTGGACTGGGAATTATTGTTGTCGGCAACAACACGGACGAGCTCAAGGACGTTGGCACCTATGAACACGACCAACGAGCCTTCAGCAGCAAGTACAGCGCGTACTACGATGAGTACAACTTCGACAACCGCTTCTTCTTCGTGCCACGCATTCTGCTGGCAATTATGACTGGTGCAGTCGTCGGCATTGTTCGGGACGCTACCACTCAGCTGCTTTGCATCCTGGCTATTACGATGCTGTACCTGATCTTGCTGCTGATCCGCCAGCCCAACTTGCTGCGGTTCCTGTACTACATCGGCATTGCGTCGGTGTTCTTGAAGGTCGTGCTCATTTGCCTCATGCTCATCGTGGCAAGGGATGACTACTTCCCGCAGTCCGTGCGTGACAACGTTGCCTACGGCATCATCGGCGTGAACATGTTCATCTTTTTCCTGCTGTTCGTGCGTCAAGCCTACACGATCATCCACAAGCTGGTCGTTTCCTGCCGTCACAAGAAGAACGGCAAGGATAACACCGGTCTGGACGCCACCGACATCAACCTGGAGTTTGGCAACAGCAATGGCCGCAATTACGAGCAGGTGGAATCGACACCAGCAGGGAATGGCGTGGACTGGTATCAAAAACAGCAACAAGAGCAGCAATTCAACCAAGCGCAAGGATACCCGCAGCAGCAATACCAGTCTCAGCAACAGTACCAGTCGCAGCAATACCAGTCGCAGGCTAGCACGATGTCCGGCTACAGTACCACGCAGAGCTCGCGTAGCGGCTACTCCGATCACATGCCGATGCTGGAGCCAACACCAGAACCTACTCCAGCTTCCTCCCACTCGAGAGGAAACACCCGGGTCCCAGTTTCGCGCAACCAGATGTACTCGTTTGGAGGCTCTATGCGGAGTACCGACGCTTTCCAAGTCAACAACACGGCGCCAGCTCCTGCTCCTGAACCGGCTGCACCAATTCCAACGTATGACGTGCTGGCAGCCTACCTTGGTACCAACGATACAGCCGAGCAGGCAGCGCACTCCACGTCGCCAAGGTCGGGGAGAGGTCAGTCATCGAGAGTACAGCATTTGTCGTCACGAGGCCAGCACCTGTCGTCACGAGGCCAGCACCTGTCGTCACGAGGCCAAAACTCTTCAGGAGACTTGACGGCATCCAGAGGCCCACCGTCATCGAGAGGTCAATCGTCTAGAGGAGGAGCTGCATTGTCGGGATCTGGACTCGGCTCCCGTCCGTCGACGGTGCCACTTGACGCTTACGCAGGTAGTTTCTCGGGTACTGACTCCGGTATCAGCAACTCGTCCTCGCGAAGGAGACACAAGGATATCGACATCGACGACATGGACGATGATATCGTGGCTGCACCTCCGTCGTCAACTGCGCGTCAGCAGTTTGCTCCTGGAGCGTCGATGATGAGCAACAGCTTTGCCCCTGGAGCATCGAGTGCCAGCTCGTGCGCCATAATGGAGCAGTCGTACGTCAACTTCTCGGACTCCATGGTCTCCTCTGCGAGCAGTCAAATGGGCATGACCCAGGCCTCCATCAAGCCTGACAACACGTTCTCGGCTGCAATGGGCAACCAGCAGCCGACTCGCGCCGGTGGCTACGGCAGCAGTCCTCAAGGCAAGATGTCGATGTTCTCCAACGATTCGGAGAACAGCTTCGACGGTGACAGCAGCGGCTGGTTCAAGGCGCGATCGAAGACGGTGGTCAGCGTGGACAGCAGCGACACGAACGACTCGGAGAGTCAGAGCTACGAGCTCGGCCCTCTCGGCGTGACCACGTCCGCCTTCTCGGCTCGCGACTCGGTGGACTCGTACGGCTACCACTCGACGGCCAACTTCGCGTCATCTCGAGTGGATTTCAATGCCCGAAGCCAGATCACCGACAACGGGAGCGACGACGGCAGGTACTACCCGAGCCGCCGACGAGGAACAGGCTCGTCCAACCAGTCCTCGAACCAGTCGTTCCTAAGCGCCCAGTCCGACGACAGCATGGGCGTCGACGGTGAGAAGGTCCGCTACAACGACCACAACACCCTGACGCTGTAAGCTTCCGGGTGATAGGGAGCCACCAGCTTTACAGTTCTCTATATGTATAATAGAGCTGGTACCAATGAACAAAGTCATTCATTTCAGTCGGTCTTTATCATCTATCCAATTTGACGCCTGTGTGGTGAGCTGACACCCAGCTTAGGTCTCCACTTCAAGGATTGTCCAAACATTAAAGCGAAGGACCAATTCAAAGACTCTGTATTCTGCTTTTTTTCTCGAAGCCGCTCACTCCTTGAACTCGAGGAGCGTCCTGGCGGCCAGCACGCCCATGTCGTAGAATGAAGACACGGCGGCGCGAAGCAGTCTGATTTCCGTGGCCTCGAAGTGGCTGCAACACACCACGACCAGTCACCACACCACGCCAGAACTCATGAGCGCTAGCCCCCATGCAACCCATTCAACAGCACCTCACTCCGATTAGTAGACACAAGCACGTACACGTGAAGCTCTGCGCCCTTCACGGTCAGCGTGCGGTGGATTTTGTCAGGCTGGAGCTCGTCGTCGACCTCGAGCGTCTGCAGCACGTACTGCGCGTCCACCTCCTCAGGGAACGTCAAACTAATTTCGCTGCGTGGCAGAGAAATGAAGCAAACGAACAACGCGGGGTTAGCTGCTACGTGGGGTGAGTGCTAGCAGCGGCGAAGGCGGCCGTACCATTCGAACGGGTGAGTGGAGCTGGTCATTATTGTCGTCGGGGACTGTAGAAAAGTGATTGAAATGTGTCGTGATAAGTAGAAACGTTTCTATTGGGCTCGGTTTCGTGGTAGCAATGTTGGGATTCAAACAGTAAACTTTTATTTACGTTCAAGCTTAAACGTAAATTTGGACAGACTGATTTAGACACTTATATGCGGGCTGGTGGAATCAAACTTGACTATTTCACCCAGTTGACAACTGCAGCAAAAGCACACGAATTTGTAAGTATACGCACAGTATACTGAGTTTGCACTCGCCCGGTTAGTCTTGACGCTGCACACACGAAGCCTTCAAGAGCTAATGAAAAAAAAACACTCCTTCGTACCTCGTCACGGCTTAAAGCGCGACAACCAGCAACACATTGCATAGCTGCTTGCCGCTGCTACATTTACTGCTGCTGGAGATTCGAATCCGCATTCGACGAGATCCCCCCAAATCCCTGCCATCTCCAACGGCGTACACGAACATTTGGCTCGCGTGGTCCTTACCACTTCACTTGAAAGGAGAGTAGAGCCGCCATAGTTCACGGAGCGCAGCCTCTAAAACTGATCCGCCTGTCCGTCATGTCCTTGAAGCATCCACCAAGGCCAGACGTGCGGAGCTTGTTGTTCGCTGTACCGTAAGAAAACTTCTCGAAGAACAGGAAATGCCGCAAAAGAAAAAATCTTCGCCACCACATGATGATCAATCTCCGCAAAGAAAACTTCGGGCGCATCTACCTTTTTCTTCTTGAATGTCTCCGCTGACGACGTTCTTGATGCGAGTACACTAAGGAAAGCAAGCATACACTTCCTTGTTAGCGGCTTGCGCTGTCGATGAATCGGTTTTAGGTGAAAGGATTTCAAGTCTTTTACGAGTTTGTGGAAGAGTGATTCGACCTTCACCTCCACCTCCAGGTATTCCAGCCTTTCATTCACCTCCAGCATTTTCAACACTGCATCCATGCCGAGTTCAAAGCTTGGCGCGTTTTCGTTGGGGGGATCGTTTACAGGGAGCAGAGAAAACCGCAGACAACGCACGCATTTTGTAAGTGGAGTTTCGGGATCACGTAGTTGTTTTGAAAACTCCAAGACGTCGTCCCACGTAAACGCGAGCTCGGGGATCGGCGTGTTGGTCGCGCGATATTCGCTGAAGTCAAGCTGTACCTCAGTCAATTGTCGAGCAAATGTTAACTCCCGCAAACTAGGGCAGCTTCGAATAATCGCGTTCTCGTCGATAAACCGTGGTTCGACGCTTTGAGGACCATCAAGTACTAACTTTTCCAACGAGGCTCCAATCGATGCGATGAAGGGAATCATACCCTCCAAGTCTGCCATTTCTGAGTCGAAAGCAATTGTGAGCGATGTAATCCCACTTGAACTTGTATTCGGTGCCGGGACGCACTGAAAATCCAGGTTTGCGCGTTGGGCTTGACAACGACCAAAGCCAGGAACAAGGACATCCACCCATTCACTCTCTCCATCGTCGCTAAAGGTTCGTACGAATGGTATTTCACACTCCATCGTAATGTGGGGCGAGTCCAAGATAGGTTGACCTTCTCTGTCGAATTCCCATCTCATCGGTGCATTACGTCTTAACGTCGCGTCTCTCTCATCAAGTCGACCGCGAGGGGTACCGAAAAGCGTTTCTTCTGGGTGCTTTGACGTCAAGATTGAAGTGAATGCCCGTATTTCCATGGTACCCCATTGCTCTATTCCCGAAAGAATTAGAGTCTCGATTGAGGAGCAGACTCGAAACCTCCTGGAAAACAGACCATAGGCCAACCACTGCCACCTTCGTTCGCGTGTGGCCCTATCCAACGTGTCCATGACAAAATCGACTGATAGCTTTTTTGTCGTCTGGGCAAGCACCATCGCTGAACACATTGCTTCGAAGTCCTTCGCTGACATCCTCTGTTCGATCGCCAACTTAAGGACTGCTATTTGGGAAGAACCACCAGGCGCTGGGATCAATTCTCGATTGCATGTAGTTGTATCTGTAATCTCGAAGTAGTAGTCGATATGAGCGTCAGCTTGACGTCGCTGAGTGCTGTCAAATAGACGCCTGAGCAGCTGTCCAAGGGTTTTTCTAGCTTCGAGCTCACTTGAAAAATTCTCGCGTTGGACATCCATATACAGGCCCAAACAAGAGAACCACACATTACCCGTAATCACGTACTCCAGCACCTCTGCAGCTTCTCGATTTAACAGCATCAAATCAGCTTCTGCTGACATGGGTTCCACTACAAAAGTGCATCGAAGCTCTTCGGCGCCCAGATCCGTTTCTCCTGTACTGCAACCGTGCGCTTCCCACTGCGTAGCAATCTCTTTCTCTGCCATAGCAACATCTCGAAGTGCTTTTGCATAATCCCGTCTCCGTTCCTCCACAGGTATAGGACCAGTGGCTTTCGCACAGAAATCCAGCTTCACTGGGATTTTAATGTCCACTCCAGCTTTTGCCAATTCCAAGTTTTCGTTAAGAGCAGCTATCTGCTTCAACGCCGTCAAATATTCCTCACTGGGGTGTAGACGTTGATGAGTCCCACAGAAGTGGACAAGGTCGTACTCAATAGCATCAGCACCATCGTAGTGGATTTCGTGGCCGTCTTCCTCCAGATCCAGCACGAACTTCACCGCAATATTCTTTTCATGGTGTTCTTCTCCATACTTCCCTCGTTTGACCCCGCAATGTTCAGTAAGTATGTGCTCGTAAGCGGCGTAGTCGGCATGCGCCACTGCCGCAAGCAGCGCCAGCGCCTCTCGCACCTCTTGGAACTGTTTCCGAAAAGCCGCTTCATCTTGGCCGGAGCTTTGGCGTCTTGGCATCGTGACTTTGAGAACGATTTCAGGGAGTTGCCACACGTACTGGTCAGGGGTGAAGTCCCAATCTTCCTCGCTGAAGCGGATGCAAGGCCTCAGCACCTCCCACCACGCGGCGAGAAATCCCCAGCGGTACTCCATTAGCGAAGCAGCAGGATCTTGTTCCTCGCTCGTCATTTGGTGGCGGTTTGTGATTTTCGAAACTGGTTTCCAGTATGGATTTATCCAAAAAATTGTGCGTACTGATCTCTAGAATTAATTTTCGTAAATTAACAATAATCCGGCGTGTCATTAAGATTCCGCATTATTGGCAATTGCTTCTGAGAGGATGACTGTCACAATTGATATGGTAGTCCATGTGTGAAATAGTTGGCGTTGCCCCGGGGAACCGGTATCGATTTGATTGAGCTCGTATCTTCGTTCATGATGCGTAGCGCAAGGGCGCTGGTTTTACGAGGTGCAGATCCTCCGACTCAGCGCACGAACTCAGACGCACCCGCATTACTAGGGGCTCTACAGTAGCTCTAGTACGGATTAGCAATGGAGACATTGGGTCTAAGTCCGGGTTTGGTACAGGATTACCCAAATCCACTACTGTACCAAATAGCAATTCCCCTTAAGTTAATGCCCACAAGTTATGGCGCTCGATTTCGTGGCACATGCCATAATGTATGGGAGGCTGAAAAATACCATGCATTATCGGAAGCCCTGCACGTCAGCTCGTGGCACTGTTCAAGTAAATTGAATGTTTGAGGTGGTTAGGCGGACTTCGAGGCGTTTGCTGTAGACGAAGTCTGTCTGCGTGAGATATCAGTCAGTTGGCAACTACAGCTGAAACATGCCGTGGAAACTCGAGCGAAGGTGATGTATAATATCTCCACCGAGTGGAGAGAGAATGCTGGTACTGTATCATATATCTCGCTTTGATCCCCTCAATGCTGGACATTCCATGATTTGGCTAGTCGTACAGTATTGTAAGATGACTGTCACAAGCAAGTCGCATGGTACAAAAGGTGGTCTGGGCATCAACTTTGCCGCCGTCACTGGTACATGTACCTCTGCGATGAACGACGTTCAGAACGTCGCGAGGTTATGACCGCGGTTCCTTGGCTTTCATACATGTAGGTCTTCTATGGTATTAATACATGCACATGTACGCACTGTACATGCAGTTGCATGTAGACAAGCAATGCTGCATGCACTATCGCACAAAACTACGAGGTCGCGGTGGATTTTGTTGCAGGTCCGCGGACTTTGGCCTTGCTTGCTCTGAGCTCTCGGTCTTTGCACTGGCGCGACCACCTAACTTTAATAAAGTATAGGGGGCGGACAAATTGTAGGCTCGCGATTGTCATGGTGCACAGTTGCAAAACGCAGTGCACTACCGCTGAAAGAAACGGTCTGCTTTCCGTCGGTCAGAACTCGGTGACGTTGGGCGCGTCGTGGCAGCTACAGGTTTGAGCGCTATGTGCCGTTGTCGCTTGCCAAGCAGCCCAAACAGCACTAATGTGTCTTTCTCCGGACCGAAAGCTATTCCTGCCGGCGGTGCTGGCCAGTGAACCCCATCGCTGGTGGTAGTTCACGAATAGCAAACGGCTGCAACTCACACCTCAGATACTACACAATGCACAGAGATGGGGATTGTCAGTGCTTGCCACTGGAAAGCGCCCGCCAGCAGATTCGGGTCAGTGCCTGATGGCCAGTGGCCAATTGAGCACAATGGCTCCTCGGGTAGGCGGCAGCCGTCCTCGATCATCCAGCTGGCGTGGACGTACAGCTACTGGTGATGATGGCTCGCCAGAGACCCAAGTGGCCATCTATTTCCGCAGATTCCGCTACGTGTAGCAAAAGGCTCGAAATCTATTCGGAGATGCGCGGGTTTCCGGCTAGGCGCCTGGGATCCCAGTCGGCTGCGATGACCAGCCGCCGCTCGCCATTTACACCTGCGACCTGGGTGGGGAAACAGCCGAGTTCCCGTCGCCGTGATCTCAGCAGTGGGTCCTGCAAGCCATCGCTCGAGTGTATGTATTTACGGCAACATCATTTTGCGCCCGTGAAATATATAACCTATATTAGTAAGTTGGAATTGTTGTGGGATACATTTCAGCTTTAAATTCCCCAACCTACTGGTTTAAGAATATCATTTCGAGTTGAGGCACCTTGCTGGCGTTTCTGTGCTGCGGTTGTGTGTAATGAGCGAGTTGAGCAAGTTGTCGGCAACTTGGTGTCACCGAGACGACCGGACAGAGCCGCCGTATGACCCAGTCCTGATCAGTCAAGTGCCCAACGCTCTCTGTCCCGCTCCTGCTTATCCCGGGGCACATCAGCATTGCGCACTTTCATCACTCGCGAATCTGCGCTCTTCGACTCCAGTCGACAACCGAATCTGCTGTACAGTACCGCCGAAGCGTGTGCTGGTGCCCGGTCCACCCTAGACCATCCCCATGCCAGCAAGAAAGATGCCAGCGCTCACGGTCGAGGACCTGGCCGTGGACCCTGCCGAGGACACCCGGCAGCTCGTCGCGCGTCACGTGGCCGAATCTTTCGGCAACTCCCGACACTTGTCCTTCGACGACACTCTGGGCCGGTCGCAGCCCCTGATGGGCCGGTCGCAGCAGAAGAAGCTCCTCCGCAGCTCCATGCCCGGGGCGGTGCTACGAATGCCCTCGGATCTCGGCAACTCGCGCTTCTCGAGCTTCGCCAACATCCCGGGGCACGAGGTCATCGACACGAGCGTCCGCTTCCTGGGCGTCACCCGCGTGGACGACCACTGCGAGTTCCGGGTGAACGTGACCACAAGCAGAGGCAACTTCGTCCTGCAGAAGCGCTACTCGCAGTTCCGCGACCTGCGCCACCAGCTATTGCTGGACGGCAAGGCCGCGTCTGCCTCGGCGGACAAGAGACGCAATGGCGACTGCCGCAACGGAGCCTGCCAACAGCTCGCGCAGCAGCTCGCGGCGCTCAAGTTCCCGCGGCGCAAGATGATGTTCAAGCTGCACCGTGACGACGACGTCAAGATCGCGAGGGAACGACAGGCGCAGCTCCAGTACTTCGTCGAGATGGTGCTGGCAGTGTACCGCACGGCTCCAAAGCGCCAGGTGCGCTGCTGCGTCAACTCGCAGTGCCGCGTGCTTCAGGAGATCCGGGCGTTCCTTGACATCAACGCGCTAGCAGACGACGAGCTGCCGGACTGGAAGTCGGTCAGCAACAGCACGAATACCAGCGGTGACGACGTCCCTATCCTCGACACCCCTCCGTCGACGTCCTCGCCGATCAGCAGTCCCAGCAACAAGGCTCCGAGCTCCTACGAGTCGCCGATCCCCATGAGAGGATCAGCCATGTGCCTGGAAGAGCTGTATACGATCACCGAGGACACGGAGAACCTCCACATCTAATTGACGATGTGGAACGACGGGAGGACGAGTGGCAGTCCACCCCTTATTGCTCAAGTCCCCCAGCCAGCCAGCCAGCCATGGCCATAACTTATTAGCACGACTCAATGCGAATTCGTTTCGTCTGTAGCATTAGGACAGCTCGCTGGCGCTGTCGCCCCACGCTGCATCGATCATAGAAGATGGAGCAACGACGATAAGAACAAGTAAACGTTCGCATTGATCCGACAAATTACTTAGTGATCTATCCTCTTGGTCTTGAACAGCTCGACGATGACCGTGGAGACTTTGTCCTCGTCGTTGCGTAGCCCACCCATGATCTGCGAGGCCTTGCCCCACTGCACGTTGCTAACAAGCGCCTGCAACGCATCACACGTTTCGCGTTAGTTCTCAACGTTGCCGTTAAGCGAAAGCTTGCGACTGGGTTCAGTGGTACCTGCTCACTCTTGTTGTCAGTGAGATTCAGACTTGTGATATCGTTGCTTCCAGCGCGGTGGCGGGCCCACTGCAACGTATAGGATACCAGATACCAGTAATGAGGTGCTCAGGAACAAATGAGGCCAACCCATAAAGCACTTACGCTGAGCCAACTGCCATCATTTCGACGAGGAGATGCCTTGGGCTTCTCCATTAAAGGCTTTTGAGCTCTCCGGAGCTGGCCAGAGGACACGCCTGGAACCCCTCGCTCGGTTTGAGCGCTTCTAGCAGATTTCGGCGACAGCGGCATCTTTGGCAAGCTAAAATTCGGTTCGCGCACTGATCGATGTCCACCAAGGTCGGGCCGTGGCCCCATTATGGGGATATGCTCTTCTTCGTGTCGAGTGAGCACCGAGTCCACCAGCTCGTGCTTGTACTGGTTCCACTTTGTTTCACGCTGCAAGTCACGCTTGACGGCGGTGGTATCGGCTCGAGCTGAAAGTCCAATGACTTCCTGGCGCAAAATCTGCTCGGTAGAGGCGTCTTTGAGTAAAATCTGGCAGAAATCGACGCGGTCAACACGGTACAGAACGGCAGTTGGTGAAGAAACCAATACGGAAAACACTGCGTTGGTCACGCCTAGGATCGCTTCGTAGAAACCAAAGTAGTGCTGGCTTTACGGAGCACGTAGCGAGCGAGCGAACGTCTGTAGGTTAGCAAAGCTGCTGTTGCGATATTGCATTTCGAAAGTGCTCGCTCACCTGCAGATGGTGGATATTTCAACGAAGCAGGGCGTCTTGCGCTCCCGTTGCTTCTGCTCGAGTCCCGAGTAGCGCTTGACTAGCCGGCATTCACCGCGCATGACGAAATAGAAGTTGTCTTTCGATACGCAGCGGCAAGCAAAACCATTTGTCAGCTCAAAGAACCCCAAACGTATGTCGTCAACTTCACGTACTTGCAGGCTCGCCCTCAATGACGACCACATCGTTGTAAGTGTGCTGAATCTTCTCCATCCGATCGCACAGCTTCAAGATGGCTTCGTCTTCCCAATGATCCAGGCACGCTACCCTCGCCAAGAAGGCCATTTTCTCACTACCAGCAGTGATTGACAGCAGTCAATTAGCCCCTGAAACTTGCTCAAGTACACAACTAGCACGTACCGGAGTTCTCGCGACAGGTTGCACGCTCTTAGTGCCATGAAAGTGTCGCGGTCAATCTGCATAAGCAAAGTGGTTTCCGTGGCCACCACCGACGCTGTCCGCTGCTGCTCTTCAAGGAGCAACCCGACATCGCCGAACACTTCCAGCGGCTTCATTGTGCGCACGACGTACGTCGCGTCATGCGACATATCAAGCTTTCCTCCCGGATTCAGGAAGCTCGAGTGCACGCGTGCACGATTCATGATCTCCTCGAACTCGTTCAGCGTGGGGGCTGCCATCCGCGAGAAGTCCATGACCACGCTCATGGTGCCGTACATGATGCAGTAGAACGCATCAGCGCGGTCGCCTATGCGGAACAGAGCGTCTCCGTCTTCGAGTTCGATGCCCTTGGCTGCCTTCAAGAACCGCAATCGATCCCTCGATGGCATCTCGCGGAAATACTTGACCCGGTGGACTGGCATGACACACAAGGAGATCGTCAGTATAATAGCTATGGTACAGAAGAATCAACTGACAGTATTGCTAAGATCTTGCAACGCACTGTACTTGTCGAGGAACTCGTAGTCGGCCTTGCACCTCGCCACCTCGGACAGCAGCAGAATGCGTCGGAGGTTGACCCGCACCTCCGGCAGCTCGGCGCTCGGCTGCTCCAGCCAACTCGCTCTCTTCGACAGCCTGGTGACAGTTCACGATAAAGAAACAAGCAGCACTTTGTGTCAATAGAGTAAAGCTTTGCCAGTGCAGGACATGCATGCACCACGCACATGGCTTCAACGCTCGGCGAGAACCAAGATGATGAAGGTGTGTAGCCATCTAAAAATGTTAACGATGTGTCCCACACAACTATTTTCATACCTGTCAAAGTCGCTAGGAGTGCCCCCATACTAAAACTCCATCGAAAGGTGAGGGCGGCGTCAACTCGGCGCATCTGTCGTCGCTTCACGCTGGTGCTAGCGGGCCCCCGGCGCCCCTACGCTCCAGCAGACACTTGCACCATAGATATCTTCATCTCACGCACCTGACGATGTCATTTGCTCGCAGCTTCTCGCCCTCCATCGGCACTAAACTCCCCATTCAAAGCCACCATGGATCCCGAAAGCAAGAAGAAGTGTACCGACGTCGTGGAGCATTTCTTCAAGCTCGAGAGCTGCGGTGAGTGACGTTCTTCTTAAATATTTATTAAGTTTCAACTGTGGTGCATTGATAGCAACACACTGACGCTCTGTGCGTGACCTTAGAGCCGTTCCGTGAGCGTGTCAACTGGGAGGAGTGGGGGCTGTACGACTACCTGCAGGTCGTCAAGGAGCCCATGGACCTGGGCACCATCCGCAGCAAGCTGGGCAAGAACGAGTACAAGAAGCCGGCGGAGTTTGCGCGCGACATGCGCCTGGTGTGGGACAACTGCAAGCTCTACAACCAGGATGGCTCCGACCTGTACCTGCTGGCTGACGAGCTCGCCAAGAAGTTCGAGGACCGGGTCAAGGCCATGAAGCTGGACGTTGGTCCCGTGCCCAAGGCGGACAAGAGCATCCCGTGCGGTTTATTTTATGGCATTGATGGTGCTGAAGGCCGGTGATTCTAACTGGTTAGTTTTTGATGCTGTAGGGCTCCGAGTCTGGAGGAGAAGATTTACTTCAGCCAGAACATCTACAAGGTCGCACCCAAGGACTTAGGCTCGATCGTGGAGCTGCTGGAAGAGCAGTGCCCCAAGGCGCTGGACAAGAGCTCGCCGGATGAGGTGGATATCGTCGTCGACAACATCGACAACAAGACGTTTCGCGACCTGGAGAAGTTCGTGATGGAGAAGGTGCCGGAGGGCAGCCGCGAGCCGATCGCCACGCCCAAGTCCTCGAAGAAGTCACGGCGACCACCTAGCAAGAAGACGAAAACCGATGCGTGATCGACCGACGATGAATGCTTTTTGAGTTTTCCCAGCTTGCCTTGACTTGCTTGCCTTACAGTGCCGTGCCTTTGTCGATCAGGAAGCGACTGAAGAGAAAGAATCGCACGTGTATTTAACCGCATTCAGGACACGCAGTGTACATCGACCCTCGATTCCCGACGGCTCGTTAGTCTCTTCCTTATCTGTTTGACACTGCATTGCGGCATCTACTTCTTCTTCCGAAGCATAGCTGCAAGCTGCGTCTGCCGTTGGAACGTGGCTTCGAAGCTCTTTCTCTTCTGCTGCTTTGGTGCGGGTTCGTTTGGTTCGTCTTGTATAGGTGCACCGATCGTTGGGCCTAAGCCAAGCCTGCTCAAGTCCAGAGGGGGCACGACCATCTTTTGTGTAGGTGAGGGCTCGTCATAATCTTCGGCTTGTGCATCGAGCTGGGTAGGGATTGCAGCGGACAGGCGAGATCCTGCCTTGGCGCGTGTTGATTGCCACTGAGTGGGAATGAACTTGGGTGCATCTGGTTTCACCGTTGCGCCGATGCCGTGCGAGGCACTTGGAAGTGGAGCCACAGGCTGGAGCTTGAGCAGTGGAAGATTGAACTTTGATGGGCGTCGAGCTGTTTTCCGCTCTCGGGACGTGGAAGGCTGGCGCACACCGTTTTGTCTACTAGATCCGGGCTGGTTGTGAAGCGAACGCTTGTACTCCAGCAGCTCCTCCTTGTGAAGCTCCATCAGATCCCTGTGTGCCAAGCGCACGATTGAATATCTCCCATACTTCAACTCGCGACAAGCAGCTCGCTAGCTTTGCGTGCTTACCTGAGGGATGGCTCGTCGCCGTCGGAGGCGTCCCAGTTGTCGCCGTGCAGCTTCTTGCCAGCTTTCATGAGTCGAGACCATTCCTGCAGAGCTGCCTAAGTTACCGAGTAGATGACAAGGTGGCGATTAGAGAGACTCACCTCCTCATCGCGTCGGCTGGTTTCGACCCTGGAGGTCACGATTTCCTCGAGCTCGTCGTGGTAGCGCAATTGCTCCTCTCGCGCGGCGAGCTGCTCTCTGAGCTTGCCGATGTATCGTCGAAGATCCTCTTTGCGCTTTCCGATCTGCTCGAGGACTCCTACGCTGGTCTGTTGAAGCTGCAGGGGCGGATGGTACTCTATCGGCGCATCAATGAGGTGTGATTACTATGGGACAGTATGCTGTTTTGCTGGTTGCGTACTTGTTCGTCGCTTGCGCTTTTGCACTTGCTGCTGGAGAAAGCCTAGAATGAGCAGCGCTAGCAGCACGCAGCCGATGATCAAGCCGGGCGTGCTGATCGTCGAGCCCGCTGTGCCTCGAATTTGCGGCATTTCCCTTGATCAGCGTGAGGCTGGTGCTACATACAGCGGTTTAGCAAGACAAGAAGAGTTGAGAAGGCATCAAGCTGGTTCATGCGTGCCGAAGCTATATTTTTAGGGGCTCGTTGTCTTATGCTGCCTAGCGCCATCATGAGGACATTTTTGATGCCGCCGTGCATCAACTTCATGCAATCATAGATTGGCATTCCTATGCAAGCCAAAATCGCTCGGGACATTTCGCTTTGAGGCACTCGTGGCCAGTCGATGGCGTCTCCAGTCCAGTTGAAACCGGCGTATCCATGGCCATCGGTCAAGTACATTTCGGTCGTGAGATCCAAAGCAAAATGGCTGCGTGAATCTGTGGTGGAAGGTGGCTTCCAAGCAGATCTAGACAGAGGCAAACGCATGTATTTCGGCAGGCGTCTATGACTTCCTCACTAACCTGTACAGCAAAATAAATAGGAGAACGTTGGGCGTGCATCATCTGGTGCTCACACGTCCGCGACGAACACGTCTTCATCCACCACGAAGGCCGCAGCGTCGAAGCTCGCGGCCGGCTGATCGGCTGGCATCGACGACACCCAGTAGTCACTGAAGTCCAGGTTGTCCCAGCTCTCACCGACGTCCACGGGGGAGGTCTTGCCCTCGGGCAGCGCGGCGAGCGCTTCGAGACCCGCGGTCGTGTCCAAGCTCTTGCAGAGCGCGCCGACGTCTGCCTGTCCGTCCTGCAGGATGCGGTCCAGCACCTCCTCGTCGGGCAGACGCTGGAGCTCCGTAGTCATCAGCACCTCCTGCTTCACCTGTGGGAATCCTTCACGGTCGTAGACGCCGTCCAGCAGCACCAGGTCCTGCCAGCTGCCGAGTCCGGAAAACGCCGCAGACGCAGCAGCGGCGGCAGCTGCAGCCGCGGCCTCCGCCTGCTGCTTGGCGCGCGCCTCCTCCTTCATGGCCAGGTGGGCGCTGAGCGGGGCGCGACGGGCGCGCTGGCGCGGCTTCTTGTGCGCGCGGAGGCGCTTGCCGCCGGACTCGGCATCCGCGCTGGCCTGCGCGCGCGCCTTGCGCTTGAGCTCGAGGCGGCGCTGGTTCTTGTTGGCCTTCTGGCGGTGGAAGTCGCACAGGTTGTGGCGCTCGCCGTTGCGCTTGAGCGCGCGCGCGTTCCAGCACTTCTTGCTCGGGTAGCGGCACATGACCTCGGTGTCATGCACGGGCTGCTGCTCGGCGGGCGCCTTGGGGGAGGCCGGGGGCGTCGCCTGCGGGGAGGCGGAGGCTGCGCCGGGGCGAGTGGCCATCATAGCAAAATGAAGTTTACAACAGAGCGGAGTGAAGGGGCCGGTGCGAGGCAAAAGCGGGAATGGCGTCGAGTGCCGGACTGCAGCCACGCACGTCCGCGGCCGTTCTGGTTGCCCGAAGATACTGCGGCCGTGAGCCAACTGCTCCAAATCGGATACGATAGCTACATGGGTGAAGTAGGTCAGAGCAGATGGTTCGCAAAGACTGGGTCAAGTCAACCCATACTGGACCCAAGTGCGACTTGTGTGAGACTTGGATTTTGAAAGGGATTCCTGTTGGATTTCGCTTCTGGTGTACTTAGTATGGCTCAGAAAATCGAGCGCCGACCTCGGAGCCACCTCTCTTCGCGGCCCGGAGCGCCGCTGACTGACGGCGGAGCTCCGGCCGCTGTCTCTGTTCCGATGACTGGATTCGCGAGGGAAGACACTTCGCAGCGCGGCGCGCCGTCCGGTGATCAGTCAGTTCTTACAATGCACAGAGCGGTACATGTATTGCATGCAATGCTTGCTGCCTGTGTGTTGATGCCTGCCGGACGGGCCGGCGGAAATCCAAGCGCAAGCCCGATTGTCGCGCACAATCCGCGGCTTACTGCAGCGCCGGTGCTCTCGTTGACGAGCACAAACAATCAAGATCTCTGGACAGTTTTGAGCAGATTCCCAACAAGTTGAAGTGGTATGGGTAACTTGGTGCAACGAGCGATCTCTTCCGCGCGGAGAAATTATTCAAATCAATAGCTTTATGAACTTCTTAGCTTTAAGTATCCTAGGGCTTCTTTACTTCATTGCAGCGCCGCGATGGCGCCGCCACTCACAGCAACGGGGTTCTTGGACGCGACTGTCTAAATGTTGGCGCGGGTGACGAGCGTGGGTGCTCGTCGGACGTCCGGCTGCCACGAGCTCTGCAGCGTCGCGGAGCTCACGAGCCCCTCGCCCGAGCGCGCCACCGCAGTGGCAATGGGCGGCAGCAGCATGGTAGGGGCCGCTTCCGCCTTCGGCGGCGTCAGCGGGGCGTGGTGCATCCACCCGCGCGGCTCCATCGACGGCTCCATCTTGGCCAGCGCGGCCACGCGAAGCATAGCACGAGGGCTACGCGGGTACGACGCGTTCACCCACGCGGTAGAGGGCAGCCGGCTCGACTCGCTGTGCCATGAGTCCGCTTGGGTACAGTAGGTGGGGGCTCCGTTGCCCATGGCCACGAGCCCTGCTGCCCGCTGCAACTCCACAAGTGACGGGCTGGCAGCGACGCGGGGCGGTCGGATGTACTGCGTCGTGAGCGGCACGGCGCCCAGCTCGTGCTCCAGCTTCATGGCGATCGAGGCGCGCATGCGCATGCGGCGCTCAAAGTCCGGGTAGCCGTTGGTGCCCGCGTGCAGCGGGTGGTTGGGCAGACCGAGCGCGGCCTGGCCGGCCTTGCGCTTCTTGTCCAGCCGCCGCTGGTTGCTGTTGGCCTTCTGGCGGTGCATCTCGCACAGGTTGTGGCGCTCGCCGTTGCGCTTGATGGCGCGCAGGTTCCAGCAGCGCTTGCTGGCGTAGCGGCACTTTAGCGAGCTGAACTCGTCGTCGGTGGTCTGCATGGGCATCTTCGTGTTGTGGTGTTTATGGGTGGGGTTGAAGTGGGTGGATATCGATCGCTGTTGCTGCGGTCGAAGGCAGGCGGATGGGACTTTGCTTGGTCGAGAGGTGACAAATTCAAGAGTGAGGGCAGTTGGTTGTGCCGCGGCTCTCAGGTGCAAGCAATCTTAGTTGTCGACTTAACGAATTGCGTCGACTTCGTGGAATGTCGTCATACAAACAGCAAGGTTAATTCTCGACGTTTACTTTTGAGGTGTCGACTTAGTGAGCCATGTCGCTTTTTGGTGGGGCCAGGCAGGAGAGGAGCCGCCGCTGCTGATTTATGGCCGGAGTATGCAGCCCCCGCGTATGCGGCCTTCGCCGGCTTGCGGCGAGCTCCGGACCGATGGGAGATAACGCAGAAGCTTTCCATGCAGCGAGCACTAGCGATCGCTGCGAGATCGTCATGCGCCTGGGATATACGATGCTGCTGCAATCTCCGTCGTCACCACCACCACCACGGTGGTCTTTTGGTTGGACCCATGAGATACTTTGCCAGGAAATCAGTCAACGCCAACCGTTGCGTCGGTTCATCCTGATTCACGATCCAAACCAGTTTCGCTACCACTCCGCGACTGAAGCAATTGGTGCCAACGGGATTTGGTGAACGGTGGCCGCGGCCTCCCCGTTGCAGTTTGGGTGGGGCAGCGAGCTTGCCCACCACCAAAGGCCTTGCTTCATTTTTGAATTTGAATTTGTTGCGGTTAAGACTATCTACTCCCAGGTCGCCAGGTCCCAGGTGCTTCGAATACATTTCAAGAACTACGAATCCGAATCTACAAAACCGCTATGACTTTGGGCTCGTAGTATTTTATTGTCGCGAATATCGTACCACAATAAGTTCTTTACACGTTTTTTTAACAAAAGAAAACGCTGAAAACCTATTCCAAGAAAAGTATTGCTCGGTTCCCGAAATTTCAGTTTCCACGTATTTTGTTTTGGTTGCAAGTGGTTGTAACGACGCTTTCTGAAGGAGTAAGGGCCCATCTGATGTAGTCGGCTGAACATGCGGCGAGAGAGCGCCGAACGCTGGACGTCCGGCAGGAGCAGGACAGCACCAAAAGTATCTCTCGGCGCCCCTGACTGACAACGCGGATAAGCCCGGAGCGGCTGGAAGATATCTGGGACGCAAATCAGTGGGTTGCCACGGGGTGACGTGTGGTGGCATGCCCGTGCTCTATGTGCCGCTGCCTTTAGCACCATGTAGTTGCTCAATGCCTAAACTGACGCAATTGGGGTGCTGCGCTCTGCCTTTCCTCTCTCCCGGTCATCGCCCTGCAGGCACTATAGCTGCAGAAATATTCAAGCTGACTCACACTCGCGGTATGCGTGCGCTACATTAGAAAGTTGAAGTGGCTGACTACTGTCAGCTTGGTGATCGCTTTACTTCGGATAGCCTACATCCCTGGACGCAACCGACAACGCAGCAGCTACTCACGCCGGCCTCTTGATGACCAGATCAGCGCTTTAAACTCAGCTCGTTTTGCGATCCGTTCAGCACCAACGCGTTGACTTAGCGCGCGCTCTGGATGCTGCACTAGTCTAACAAGGGTGTCGCACTCGCAATAGTTATGAGGCACGCGAAAGCACAGAGTCGTAGTTGCAAGAGGAAGCCGGCGCAGCGCCATCGAATCGTTTGGCCACGGTCTCGCGTCGTGACGTCAGAGTCAAAGCACTTTTTGCAGCATGCTAGTTACTCCGTTTGAAGAGTTCCATGTATCCTTTGCAGACTGCAGTTTGTCCTCTACTTTGTTGTAAGAATGGGGATGCTCGATCGGGTCACCGTGCTTGAGCATCACAACGGCTCGGCAAGGCCTCGTCGGGGGGTGAAAGCGTTGAAATCTCAGCGTGGCAAAATATCGTGACGAGACGCTCGGGCACCGAAGAATACCGACCTGATGACCCATTAGCAATACTGGATACTGGACAGACCGGTTAGTCATTACGCTTGTGTGGCTCTACGACTGATACTCATCGTTAGTGTGCTTTTTGAAGTCCTCCTCAACTCAACTTTGGTGACCAGCATTCAACGGCTAGTCGCAGTCTGAAGTTTCAGCATTGAGATCGTCAGAAACGAGGTCGCAGGCCTTTGGCACAAACTACCAACTCAGTTCCGCCGTTGCAAGCTGCGACCAACGATATGAGCATCAGTTCATTTTTCAATCGACCTATCATCTCTCTCAACTCCGTCTAATCAGTAATTGACTCGCCAACGCTAGACAGGATGTGAGCAACAAAAGCGGACAAGTCCGAGTTGGCGGAGAACTGGACCTGAAACTACCTGTATCCTAGTGGACACGCAATATAGCACGGCTTGTTCAGCAGCTTACGCCAGCCCAAGAGCACATTTGCTTGGTGGATCGCGCCGCGTTAGCTCACGGTATCACTGGGTGCACCCTGCATCTCCTTCAAACGTCTTGCGAAGCAGTGGGTTCTGCTTCCTACGCAACCTGGAATATCGAGAACTCGTTGCTTCAAGACTGAAACGAGAGAGGATCTGCCACCAGGCTGTAATCGAGATCGCTGGAGAAGAAGCTGGTTTGGCAAGGTCAGGCGAGGTCTACGCCTCACCACTTCGCAGCCACGGGCCGTGACTCACGGATCAAAAGATCTTGAAGACACTTCAACTTACCGCATACAAAACCGAGGTATATACTCTTTGACAAGTCCAACGCTGCATCCGTTAGCAGTCTTTTTCCAGGTCATGTATTATTATCCCCGCGCTAATGGTTTTCAATTCATGCAACGGCCGGTAGTGAAACCTCCGGCTGTGCAGCGATCCTCAGCAGTGTCATTGCATTGACAGCCCCAGCCCACCCAGCGAGCGATAGTCTTCCTGCGTTGCCTACGAGAGTTGACACACCGGATGGCATGGTGAACAAACGCACCAGGAACAGGCGGCGAGCCTCCATGACGTATCACAACGCTCAGCTTCCTGCCACTCCGCCGCAGCGGGAGCGCCGCCACAGCGAGGCCATCTCCACCAAGACCAGCGAGGTGAGTTCCGCTGAGCCTGTCGTGGACGACCCCCAACTGTTTCCAACGCTGAGGTTGGCCAACGACGGCGATGTCACGGCAATGGAAGAAGGCGGACTGAAAGATGGCAAGAAGAAGATGGTCATGATGTCGCCACGACTGGATGCGCAGCTCGGGGGTTACCCGCCGGATTGTGGCACGAAGGAGCTCAAGTATCTCTCGTACGCCAAAGTCCTGCGAGACCGTGGAATGACGCACCCAATGTGCTACTCAACCACTCGTGTGGATGCGCTGGGGTTTGCCATGCCTGAGCGGTATCCGCTGTTCTCGACGGATTTCGGAGCGCACTCCTTCCACCACTTGCCCACGGACTCGGTTGTGCTTAGTCAGTATGGACTTGGGATCGCGCTCTACTTCAAGTATCTCAAGGTTATCACGTGGCTCTTCTTGCTTCTCGTGGTGATCAGCGCACCCGCGTTGACAGTCTACATCGTTGGCGGGGGCGCCTCCCTCGCAGATCTCACTGCCCTCGCGCGTCAGAATCTTCCCTCCGTCCTAGGCATAACCAGCATTGGCCACCTCAACGAGGCTAGCAGTGTGTGCGACCAGGCCCTCGAAAACACCGAGCTCTCGCTCACCTGCTCCGCCGGGGAGATCGGCTTCGTCAAGGCGGTGTACTCAACGTATGACGCACAGGGAAGCTGCACGTGTCCCGAGCGTAACAAGGTCTCTGAGAGTTCAGGACAGTGTCGAGGAGATGCTGATGGATCGGTTTGCCAGGCGGACGGAGCGGGGTGCTTTCTTGGAGCTCACCCGGTCTCACTCCGTCCCTGCTGCTCCTTTTCACTAAATGAGACCACGAAGACCCCATCGTTTGACGATATGCGAATCCGAGAGACTGAAGGCTGTGGCTCCAAAATGGCCCAACAGATAGTCGAGGGATTATGTCTAGGCAAGAAGAGCTGCACGCTCAATGTCAGCGAGGCGATAACGTACGCGTGGGAGCCTAATGCTGACTACGGCACCAACTGCTCTGAAGCGCCAACAATTGTTACCATCGACGGTATCGGTAATATCACCAAGGAGGTCTGCGAGGTGAGGTTGAACGACGATAGCGATTACTCGCAGTGCGACGCCACAAAATCTCGAGCGTTCATTGTATACGGACGGTGCTTCACGACTCGAATTGACTTGTCCACGTCTTGGAGCCTCAAGATCATCGGGTGGGACTCGATGACTGTAAGTCAAACGCGTTTTCTGCATCGGGTAGATAGTAGATTTGCTAACGTTTGTATTGATTCGTCCCGCAGCGACGCGAGTTTCTCGGACTGGCTGTCGGGTGTGATATCGCGTGCAGCTTGGCGTTCTTTGGTGTGGTCATTTGGCTTCGACGTAAGGAAAAGGAGGCCGTTGACCATATCACCCAAAACCAGGTCAAGGCTCTGGATTACACTGTGCAGCTTGTGAACTTACCGCATCATGACGATCTTAACTTGCTTCGTCAAGAGGTACGCATTATCTCCCTAAGTTAACGCGTGCCGGCTCATAGATTCACTAATTCGTACCTCTACTATTCCAGATTCGCCTACATCTGGAAGCTGTGCTGAGTAATGCACCTCCCTTCGCAGTGGAAATGGATCGAATTCGTGTCGCGGACGTTCAGTTTGGCAAGAGTGCGTCACGCCACCTTCGGTTGCTCGGTCGTCGTGGAGTTATTGTGCGCCGCCTGGAAATTGCCCAGCAGCGTCATGAGAAGTTGATGCTCTTGAATGGGCGACTTGATGAGCACGTCTACGCTAGACGTGAGCGAAGACACTTACGCGCCATTCATAAATTGGAGGCGAAGCTGCACCGGTTCAACGCCAAGCTGGAGCACTGGCACATGCGCCAAAAGCAACGTAATGTATCCCAAGCGGTGACGGCTTTCGTGACTTTTGAAGAAGAGGAAGGATTTCACCGCTGCCTGCAGGAGTACCCAGATCTCGGCTGGTTGCATCGCCTCTTCCAGCCGTACTACAAGCGGCTGCATGGCAAACGACTCCGGTTCCGCCCAGCCCCTGACCCGACCGACATCATTTGGGAGAATTTGCATCATCCATTCTTTGAGCGAGTGTTTCGACAAATGGTACGTGCTGCAACAACCAGGGGCTTTAACTTACAGCTCTCTTACTGGGAAATGTGTTGCTGGTAGATTGTGGCGCTGATCACACTAGCTGTGCTGTTTGTGAGCTTCATACTGATTTTCGTCGCAAAGGAGCAGAAATCCAAACTGGATCGACAGTTCGGACGACCCACGAGTTGCCCTAGCAGCGTCCTCAAGGCAGATGTCATACAGGACGAACAAAACAAAGTTTCAGGGCTTGTACCGTACAAGGCGCTCGTCGAATGCTACTGCAAAAATTTCCTCGTCGACCAGTACGTCCACCACCCACGCTCGAATAGGTTGATCTACAAACTAACACTTGTTCTGCTTCGTATACCCACAACAGTTCTTTCCGAAGCATGATGTATGAAAACTTCTTCAATCCGGAAACGGGGGCAAACGATATGCTCTGTCGATCATGGGCTACAACCTATTTGACGACTCAAATCTTGTGCATTGCCTCGGTGCTTCTGGTCGTCGCTGTGAACCTTCTTTTGGCACGCATCCTCAACGGTCTTGTCGCTATGGAGAAGCACCACACGCAGTCCAGCCTTGTAGTTTCTCGGGTCACCAAAGTCTTTTTGGCGCAGTTTTGCAACACGGCACTGCTCATGCTCGCTATCAACGCCAACGCCAACTACTTCTCGTCGTCACCGACTGTACCGGAGACGAGTATTAGCACCGGAGGTTTCTCGCTTGGTTCGCTGCAGGTTTTGAACGGAGAGTACTCGGACTTTTCAGCTGACTGGTACAACGACGTCGGTGTAGCGCTGATGCTCACCATGATCATCAACTCGTTCAGCACACACGCGTATCTCCTGATGAACTACATCATGCTCAAAGCCCGCCGCTTCATTGATCGAGGGTATTCGTTCGACCACTCGCTCACCAAGCAAGACACACAGCGCGACCTTGAAGCGCTATACCGGGGACCAGAATTCGACCTGGCAGCGCGCTACGCACAGTCGCTTACCTCAATATTCATCTCGTATATGGTACGTTTTGCTTTATGTAGCTACGGAATAGCAATATTTCCTGTAGACTGACGTCGACGCAGTTCTCAGCAGGCATGCCGCTGCTCCATTTCATCGGATTCGGGACTATGATCATGACGTATTGGGCCGACAAATTCAGTGGGTGACTTCAATAGTCTCAATCTCCTACCGTAGGAGTCCTACGTGACGGGGAATATTTAACGTATTAATTTCTCTGTGGACAGCATTCCTCCGCGTCGCGCGGTCTCCACCTCTCTACGACAGCAAGTTAGCATCTGCTGCAGGGTCGCTTCTCCCGTACGCCGTGCTGATGCATTGCCTTGTGGCTATGTGGATGTTCTCGAACGACCGAATCTTCGAGTATGAAAGTGACAGGGTCGACACCACGGGGGATTCCACGGTGAATAGCACCAGCAGCCCGGGGAATGGCATCCCTCTGTTCGACACAGCACGGCGAGGACAACTGATATCACGCGTCACGCGCCCGCAAGTCGTCGTGCTCTTCGCGTTCTTCGTGGCTGGCTGCACCATTGTAGTGATGCGTACCGTTCTCTTCGAGTATGTGCCCGCGCTCGTACGCAGCGTGTTCCCTGCCCTCGCTCGTTTGCTGGAAAAGCCTCGTGTTGCGAAGGGGATCCCCAACTACTTCGACGGTAAGGCTGCTGTATTTAACCGTGCGGTTGTTGTGAACTGTTACTTAATGTCGTTGTGCAAATCACAGCAATTCCAACTCCGTGTCTGCAGGAGAAATTGGCGGCTACGGGTGGCGCGCAACAACTACTGCGGCCCGACCTCCGAGCGAGATACGAGCGCGCTCTTGCGGGTCGTATCGCACAAGAAGAGTCGCTGCCGAAGGTGCGCTCCAAGCGCTCGATGTCCCTGACCGAGCGCCAAGCTAACTGGATCGTGGGCTGCCACTCCTACGGTGCGTTTATGAAAATCCTCGGCTCTGGCGGCGACTTTGACATCTAACTGGATGGTATGCCACAGCTATCAGCGACAACAAGGAATACGTCGCCAAGCTCGCCATCGACTCGCACCTCTCGGAGCAAATTCCACTCGACCAGATCTTCTAGTAACGCAACGTTACAACAGAAACTCTACACTAAGACCGCAAAGAACCTATTGCATATCATCCACATGTTCATGTTGAAGTGGTTAAGTTGCGCTTACAAGCGCACGCGGATTGGTCCTTATTTCCAATTGGACCCACCAATCGGAATCTGATCCGAGCCGTAATGGAGGATGCGGAGGCTGCGCGGGTCGGCGGCGCTCTTCCGGCCGCTGTCAGCGACGACACAGAGCTGTTGGACCCGAACTTCGACCCTCTCGCAGTGGACGACGCCTCTACCGACCTCCCGGACGCTTCAGCCACCTCCAACGCCGCCTCTGCGCCTCAGCAGCAGCCGAATTGCGACGCGTCCGAAGCCTCGACGGGTGGCGCCGCCCTGTTGACAGCCTCGCGCGGGCTGCGCCGCGTGTCTTCGTCCAGCGGCATGGTCGCGTCCCGCGGCGTGGGCTTCGGGATCAGCGCGGCCGTCGGGCGGCGCAGCAGGAGCCGCAGCGGCGGAGACAACGACGACCACGCATCGTCCGAGCTGGTTCTGCAGCTCCAGAGGCTCTGCAGACGCCAGAGACAGCGCTCCGAGGAGCGCGCCTTCGTGCGCGACGTGGAGCGCGTGCTGGCGCTGCTGAGGGTGCAAACACCGGCGTCCGGCGTGACGTCGGCCACGTTTCCAGGCCCCGGACTGTCGCTGAGGGACGGAGAGACTCTGGGCAGCGTGCAGGAAGAAGATGAAGCGGTGGGCGACGACCGCCGCAGCTCCGTGGCCAGCAACGCCTCGACGTTAAGCTCTATTAGCGCCATGAGCTCCAGTGAGAGGCTGCAGCTGGCCCGCGTGACGTTGACGCTCGCGGAGATCGACGCGCTGTTGGACTGCATCGCGGACCTGTTCGACCATAGAAACCCGGGAGTGCGCGCGCTGGCCTTTGAGGTGGTGCAGCTGTGCCTGCTACGCTTTGGTGAGAGACTGACCCCGGCTTTGAGACGGAAGATTTACTTACGGTTGGAGACACACCCGTCTGGAGATTTCCTGCTGCAGCAGAAGGCTCTGCGTGCTCTGACGCAGGACGGACGACACCTGGAGCCTTTTCACGTGGAGCTTGGCTGGTTTCTGCTACGGTTGTTGGAGCAGTCAGACGCGCAGAGAGACCTGCTGGGACTGATTCAGAACATCCTGTGTCGCAGTCCGCGGGCGCTGGATCGTGACAAAGTGATTGCGATTGTGTCCGTTATAAGCGCGCGGTGTGATATGGCTTGGAGTCGCAGCGATCTCGAGGCATGTCGAAGGTTTGTCGCCTTCTTCCACGTGCTGGCAGTCCACGATCTGGCCTATGCAGCAAGTACGCCGGCTTGCCTGAGGTCGCTGTGCTGTCTTGTGAATGCTGACGGTCATGGGACATGGTCCGTGATGAAGCTGCTACTGAATGGAAGCTCGGGCTTCCTTGTCCTGCGAGGTCTGTTGCAGGTGCTGGAGCATCCTATGGGAGCCAATTCGCCTTGGGTGCTCCGAGGTGCAGTATTTTTTGTTGGTATGTCTTGTTGGGGATCGCAGCGAGTGCCGAAGTTTGACGATATCGCGTGGGCCCCCATTTTGCTGGCTCTTGAACGAGCATTGGAGTGCTGTCGGGGAGTGGTTATATTTGAGGTTATCTTGTCTCTACAGCGACTTATCAAGAAGTTTGGTGCGGCTCATCCATCAGGAAGTGGTGGGCAACATCCGACCAGTCACGACTCGACTGTATCAAGTGGTGCGAGCTCCTCGTCTACTGCAGCAACTACTACTGCAACCGCAGCCACATGTGCCAACCGAGACAAGCGCCGGCTAGTTATGGAATGGGATGTGATTTTGCGCATGTTACAGACACTAACGCCGTGGGTATCTATGACTGATGAAAATGAAATTGAAGAGGCCCCCCAGCGTGCAATGCACAATGATAATAGGCGATCAGAAGTGAAGGCACATCGTGCGGCGGCAATTCATCCTACGACTGATGAGCCGGATCAACCGCAACACCAGCTTTCGGTGTCGATTCAGCAGACGCGAATTCCGCGCGAGCTACTTGATACACTGCAAGCTGTGGAAGAGCTTGTAGAACAACGCCAATTTGCCGGCGATGTGGATGAATTTCTTAATGTTCTGGAGAATTATCTACCGCATCTTAGTGAGAGCTCGATGCTGTTTTTGCTGCGGCAGCGTGCGGAGGCAGCTCATCCAGGATACCATCTCGACTGGCTAGCAACTTTGTCGTCTGCGATGCGCACGTTTTTTTCGTGCGTCAGTTCTGATGGTGACACCCTTCCTGTGCCAAGCGCTGTTCGCCTGGAGGCGCTGGAGATCTTGCGCGTTAATCTTTGGACAAGCCGCAACGTCTGCGAAGATCGTGTCATTGAAGAAGTGGTGATCCCGACGCTTGGTCGTGTGTATGAAGATCCTGACCCAGAAGTACGCCGCCGGGCTCTCGGGTTCATCATTGAGGTGGCACGCCAACTGGAAAGTGTCAAGTTTGACTCGCTGCTGGATATCCTTGCCAACGCTATGTTGCTTTCAAGCAACGAAGACGCTCAAGTTGTAGCAGCATCCGGTATTGTGGCGCTGTTCTCGTCTGCGTTTGACCATTTGCCACCTGCTCGCGCGGTGCGCATGTACGATCTTCTTGCCACTACCGTGGAAACCCATCGCAGCCGTGCAGTACGACATATCGCTCTCACGTGCTTGCTGTATGTGTGTGAAGCACGTGCAACCGATGGAAAGCTTCAGTGGAAAGAGCAGCAAGTGCGAACATCCCGCTTTTTATTTGTGTCCCGTCGTGCTGCTCGAATCAACGCAGCAGGTGTGCAATTGACTGCCGCGTGTGTACCGGTTGCGCGTGCGCTACGCGCTTTACTAACGCTGGTCAGTGCTGAACCTGACGCGGAGCTTTTCCGTATGGCAGTGAAAGGTATCAAAACCATGTTGGAAAACCGTGCCATTCTCGAAGATGTGGATGTAAGCGAGGTGTCGGCGAAAGTTGTGGCTAGTATTGATTACCGAGCTTTTGGTCGAGCTGCCATTGCTGACGAGGTTGAAAGATTGCTGAACATGCAGACGAGTGAACGCAGTTCAAGCGACACATATTCAGCGGCTCTAATTACTCGAGATCAAAAGTCTCAAGATGAGTGTAAACGTGTCAGCCGGTCAATCCCGCAAACGGACGCAGAACTTGTCCGATCGATTCATGCATCAACGAGGTCCATAAGCACGGATGCGAATGATAGCACCGAGATGTCATTTTGTGCAAGCCTGAGGGCAACGGCAGCGCTGCTCGCGAAGACTCAGTTCCTCGCCATGGGGATAGAATTGCTGCAGTTGCTAGTTAGCTATGAAGCTGAGCTGCATGACAACGCTCTCCAAGAACTCACGCGATGTCTGGTGGGTGCAATGGAACTACGCCTGGCTGTTGCCGAAAAGGATTTGTTCGCTGGTGGTACTGCGGCGGATGACTCGACCCTATCTACGTCTTCGTCTTCACCGAATATATTGTACCATCACGACGGGGCAAATGCAGCTGACCCATATGCATCAGGCACGCCACTCGGCTTCACGTCTCGTGTGCTGTCGCGCTTTCAAACCTCAGCATCTCATGGTAATCTCTTCCATGCGCTATCGGGGTCTATGAGCAAATCGTCCATGGGTTCAGCGACAACGCGCTCTGATACGTCTCGCAGCCGCCCAACTCGGATAGATCGAGCCCGATTGCAAGGATTTTTACGCCAACTTTTCGATTCGGAGTTCAAGTTGTTGCACACAACAACAACAGCCCTTAGTCTGCTGACACTTCTCGCGCCTTCCTCCGTACTGAGCCAACTTGATGAAATACTGCAAACCGTGCGGGGTTGTGTTACCACTGTGGACGGAGATTTTCGACCGGACGCATTCGTTGCAGTGCTGGAGCTGTTGGGAACCATAACGCCAATGCTGCGTCGAGGGCGTGAAGACAGCAGGCTTTCTGCACGTAAAGCTATCGTGGAGGCGCTTTTACTCGGGTTCGAGTACGCGAAGTCAAAACAGCTCGCCTATCTTTCTTTCCGACTTCTGTGCCAAGTGATATACCAAAGTGATCGAACGGAACGCATTTCACTTGCGTCTCTGGCGATGCCAACGTTACAGCAATGTACACGTCGAGCAAACAGCCTGCTTGCCGAGGCTGCGGTTGATTTCTTAATGTGCTACGCGTACTCCCAATCCATTATACCCCCGTCGGCCCTCTGTAGTCATCAACAAGCTGAAAACGAGAACAGCGAAGATATGATCGATGGTGGTGCGTCTCAAACAAAGTCGAGAACGTGGGTGTATCGGAGGGCACTACTAACGATCACCACGAACGCGCGTGGAGATGCATCGCTCGCAATTCGGAGAGCGAATTGTACAAGTCGATGGGGACTAAATGCCTGCCACGACCTCTATATAAATCCGTCAGAACTATTCTCGCGATCTCACATCGATGCGGAAAGTGAAGCTAGCCGCCACAAAAGCGCCGATCGGTTGACCCAGCGAACAACGGAGATTATTGGCCCAAGAAGTGGTGAGGCTCCGAAAAAGTTATCACTTCCAGCTGAGCTCAGGCCGTCGTACCCAAGTCAGTCAAAATGCTCTCGAGGAACGGCAAGCGCCAAGGACAAAACGCTTAACAACTCCCGTGAGGAGATCCAAGAAGTCGTGGTCGGCGAGGAGAGTAAAGAGGTGGAGGTAGATTACTCGGCGCAAACCTCAACGACAGAGTCTTTCCAGCATTCACCCGCGACGGCAGCATTTTCACCACTACCAGCGTACGATGGTATCGGAGGATCGCCCTCATATTATTGTGAAAACGCACAAGGTACGCCCGCACCCGACAATAGTGTTGTTGTTGTATTGTTTGAATTAACTTGCACGTGTGATAATGCTGCTGACTGCAGTGGGCCGCCATCCGCAGCGAAAATCTGCTGGCTCGAGATCAAGAATGAGCACGAGAAATTCTAGGCAGGCTGAAGGAGATGATGGACAAGAGAGCTCGAATATCAAGCCCACTATTCGTGCTATCAGAGAAGAATTTGAAGAGAACGAAGACGCCATTGAAGACCAGCAAACACACTTCGATAAGGGACGTGAGCGAGGGGGAAGCGAAATGGATTCGTTTTCACTGTATGATAGCACTGGTGAAGCGCCAACTTTGCCAGTGGTTACACCGAGGGTGCTGGAATTTGTCGGTAGAAGTGACTCGAATCCTGCTGGCCCAGACCGCGTCCAACAACCCTCAGCCTCATCAAGTGAGGATCCGTACGACCCCATGTACTTGATGATGCAGCTCTTTGATCTCACCGTGGAGAATCGCCCCCAGCTACTTAGTGATGGACCACCGCTGACCCTGGCGCTGAGTGTTTTGGATCGAACCCCAGAGTACGAAACGCACAAAATTGGATTGCTGTATGTCCGGGACGAGAAGCAAACGTCCGAGTCGGCTATCCTGGGGAACGCAGGTGGATCACTGCGCTACTTGCGTTTCCTGCGTGGGTTGGGTGCCTTTACCAAATTGGAAGGGCTGTCTGGATACACAGGAGGACTCGACACGACAAGTAACAGTGACGGCAAGTTCGCGCTGGTGTTCAAGGACTCTTGTGCTCAGGTGCGCTCGCATTCAATGTGCTTGCTTAAAGGACAAGTTCTGAGCTAATATTTTGTGCATGCAGATTATGTTTCATGTAGCGACGATGATGATCCCGGACACTAATCACCTTGGCGGCACTCCAGCAATTGGCAACTTCGCTTCGATGAAGAAAAAGCGTCATATTGGTAATGACTTTGTTCACATCGTCTTCAAGGTGCGAGGATGACATGAAGCTTTTTCTAACGCACTTTCGGCTTAACACTGACATTTGTTTTGTATGTACAGGAGTGCGACGAGGACTACGACTTGCAGACCCTTTCTGGTCAGTTCAATGACGTCCACATTGTGATCCAACCACTTAATGACCATCAGTACCGGACTGAGGTGCACGTCAAGCCAGGAATTCCCCCTTTTGGACCACTTTACGGAAACCAGATTGTGCCTAGCTCGATTATCTCGGGGAGTGTGCGACTGACATGCCTGAACGCGAATCTGGCGTGCCAGGTCTTCCACCAGGACCTCGTTGGGTTTGCCTTGAATTGTGAAGAACGTCTGAAGCAAATCAAGCAGTTGGGGATTCGACTAGCCATAGCCGATGAGTGGAAACTGGATGACTGAACAATCGCCTACAGTGCTACGAGGAGCAGCGATTGCAACTCACCTCGGGAGTGGTTCAGTATCGTGTTATGAATTAATGCCCTACGCACGGGTGGTATGGTACACGCGCTCAACGTTTATTAGCGGTTTATTTCGTGAGAAAGCAGCATCTTTCCCTACGCAATCCTTTAGACTGGCCGTGATACGGGTGCCTTTCTGGGCAACGGCTTGCACACGTCTTGTTCAACACTTCTATGACAAGACTGACTACTCAAGCACCTTGGATCCCAAGTTGGGGGATGGCGAGGACCCGTCTGCAGTAGACGACGATGGCGACTGCACTCGTAGACCAACGTCCGAAAGATCGGACATCTGCCCCGCTTGGGTCTGACCTCGCGTATTGCTGCTTCGGTAGATGCCCAGCGCCATCTCCGTCTCGCCGGGGCAGTGTGAAAACGCGAAGCCCGTGTTGCGGCGAACGAGGCGCGGGGAATCAACCACCACCGCGGCGTCTTCACCCTTAGCCAAACGATTCCACTCACGCATCAGGTGCGACGGCTCCGGGTAGAACAGAACTCGTCCAGCCTTGGCAATGTAATTAGGTAGAATGGCTACTACCACCGCCAGTAAGAGGCCAAGCCAGAACCACGCTTCGCGAATAAGCTGATAGGCCACGCCGTAGCCCACCTCCGTATCGTAAAAGTCAGTCTTGGTCCATCCAAACACAGAGCAAAAGAATGCCGTGAAGAGGTAGTAGAACACGAGCGTGCCAACAGTCGAAAGGACGTTAGCCCGCGTCCAGTTGCTCGTCATCAGCGACACTTGCACCGTCGACGCTGTGATCAGATAAGTGTACGAGGCCACACCATCCGCCCAAAGACCAAGATCGCGCTTGTCAAATTGAAGATTCGTTGAGCCACTGGAGAAGTACCAGACGATGGAACCGTTCGTGAAGAATGGCACCGCATAGACCACATACGCATGCCACACGCCCAGCACACACCAGCCGAAGAAGGAAAGCCAATTGAACGAACGGTTCTTAAGACCGTTCACGTACAGCGTCGGGTACTGCATGAGCACGGCAGGCGACACGTCTTGGTTGTACATGGCGATAACAACGATCGGAATCGTCGTGAACAGCGCATTGTAAAGCGTAAAGAAGATGCTGAAGTACATCAGCAAACCACTGTACAACGTCTCCATCGCCAAGAAGAAGTTCGAGAGCGACAGCGCCACGTTCTTCATGAAGGAAAACAGGATTAGTTTCGAGATTCTCTTGTAGCTGTAGTTGCCGTGAACCAGGAGTAGACGTTTCAGATACTGGAACTCCGCAATGGAGTAGTCGCTGGAGAGAACAGCTTGGCGGCCCTCTTTGCCACTGATTCCGACACCCACGTTCGCAGCCTGAATCATGGGCACGTCATTGGCACCGTCGCCGATTGCTAGCGTAATATTGCCGGGTGAAAACATGAGTGTGGGTTCCGTAACAAGCTTCACCACTGAGGCCTTTTGGGACGGAGAGCAGCGACAGCAAATCACCGACTTGCACTGCGTTGCCACCGCCAAGAACAGATACTTAATGTCGTCATCCAGCACCAAGGCGAGTGTCTTGCCATCGATCACCATGGCAAACTCGAGTTCCTCATCGACATAGTCGCCGCTGCTCATACTGCCAGTGCCACCCGTCATCGTATCCGCCTTTGGCTCGAAATCATGGTCGCACAAACCACGCTCAAAGCTGTTCTCAGATAGGTCGCGGTTCGGTAGAGCCGGATACACCACGTCGTAGTGAACAGGGCTATCGGTAGGCGTTGCATCAGCCCCAGCATGTTGGCGACGAGGCAAGCGTCTACGCTTCTTCCGGGCCTCAGCTTCTTCATCACGTCCTACAAGAGCCAACTTGACAAGATCCCACAGGTACAGGATCGCCCGCTTCAACGCCTCCCACAATACACTAATGGCCGACGAGGTTTCATCTGAACCCCATTTGTCCTCCACAAGGTCAACGTACAGCTCTTCGAGCCTTGTGCGGAGCGATCCCTTGTCGCGCTGGCTCAGCACGATAACATCCATATTATCATCGATCACGTGCGACGACATGCCGATACTAAGAGCAGTTTCCTTCTTGTCACCCGTCAGCACCCAAAATTTAATGCCAGCTTTCCGCAAGGCGCATATCGACTCCTCCACGCCGTCTTGCAATCGATCTTCAATGGCTGTTGCACCGAGCAGCGTCAATTCGACCTCAATAATAGCCGATACCTTTGCAATCTTCGAGGCACGTCCCTCCATAGACAATTCGGCCTGGCGGTACAAGTGGTTCCACTGGTCGTACTCCTCCTGGGTAAGGCGACGCATTGCGGTCGTCAGCGTTCGAAGACCCTCTGAGGCGTATTCCTGAAGATGGCCACGGGTCACGTGAGCCACACCTTGAGGCTGGGACTTCGAGAGTAAATCGAAAATTACGTCATCGGCACCCTTGCAGTAGAGCACGATGTTCCCGTCAGGAAATCGAACGATCACCGACATACGCTTTCGGTCACTGTTGAACTCAAGCACATTCAGAATTTCAAACGACATGGGTCTTCCCTGAAGGAGCGTGTTGCACATCGGTCCGTCACGCGACTCGAGCACGTATCCGAGGTCGGCAGCTGCCAGCACCAGCGCCTCCTCATCGGGGGACGACGCGTTGTATTTGATGGTTGGAGTCTGAACCGAGCAGGATTCACTGCTGGACGCAGGTGATGTCGGGACAGTGGTCTCCGGGATGACAGTGTTGCAAATCGTGAGCAGCAACAAGAAGTCGTGGATCTCTTTCTTCGTCGAATGGTTTGAGTTCAAACGAGCGATCAAGCGCCCGTCATTGAACCGCGTACCAGGCCTCGCGGGCTTCGCGGGGTCCACCTCAATGTCATTGTAGCGTAGTCCTCCGATAGTGCACTTTGCGAATATCATTTCGTTGCACGTCAGCGTACCCGTCTTGTCGGAAAAAATGTACTGAATCTGGCCGAGATCTTCATTGATGTTGCTGTTGCGAACCTGAGCGGGGGTATCCGTCTTTGCGTCGTACATCTCCAAATCATTTTCAATGTAGCGTGCATGAACGAAGCGCACACCTTCCATCGTCACATACATGGAAAGCGGGATCAAGTTGTTGAACAAAATCACGTAACTCAGGAAGATATATCCGTTGGAGTCTTCCTTGATATACCACGGCGTCGTCTCATCGGCCAGATCCAAATTCCAGTTGTTGTTTCCCAACGTGCAAGCAATCGAAATACCGAACAGCAGCATCAGCACCAGCACGAACATCGTATCCAACGTCTTCTCCACGAAGCTACGCTTCAGCGGCACAGCGACGGAGTTCATCTGCACCTTCGTTTCCCTTCCTGTGTAGATCACAAGTCCAAGCGTCCACTCTGCGTTACGGCTCTCACTGCCACGCAAAATCAAATTGTCCATAGTCAAACTGGTGTCGGTATCCTCCTTGTTGGCATCCACGACGGCATCATCCGCAATCTTTCCGAGTCTCAACACACCATCAAAGTAGAAGAGATCCTTGTTGGGCACGTCGCACTCCACCTCAAGCTTGTGCTGCTCCAAAATCTCTTCTGCAGTCAGAAAGTGCTTCGTGCAGCTGGCCACCTGTCGGATCTTGAGGTTCGTCTCGCCATCCAAGTTGGCTGTTTCCACGTAACAACGACCATCAGGTCGACTTGTAGCTAGCAGAATACAATCGGCCGGGACCTGATCACCATCCTTCAGCAGCAACACGTCTCCCACCTCAATGTCCTGCCACGTTCCATCGATGTGCATCACTTCGTCTAGCACGTCACGACGGATAATGTGTGCCGGCCTGGAATTCACTAATGCATCTCCCTTCTGACGGCGAAGGTCCTCGCTCACATCCTTCAGCGCAGAAGTCGCGAACACAATCAACAGTGGTGTAAGACTAGCCACGGGGCTCACCGGCGAGAAGTCGAAGAAACAGAGCGCCACCACAATGGTCGTGTACAGGTTCGCGAGTCGGCTGAACTGCATCTTGAGAAACACGAACAGGAAGTTGTAGTACGTGTACTTGCTCGTGATGATGAGGTTGGAGCAGAAGACAGGGGCTTCACCCTGTGCTTCTGCCTCCTTCATCCGCCGCTTCTTGGTCTTCAGCGCATCGGGGACCTGGAGTGACACACCCGACTGAGTGCGTCGCAACCTGTTGTTCGGAACCCCCGGGCCGACCACAATCTTCCGTCGAGCGGACGGACCTTCGTCCTCGTCCATCTCCGCTGAAGGATTGATCGACAACGTCTGGTGGAGAGAGTTGGCGCGCTGTGGGGACGGCATGGTCGTGGCCAGCGCTGCGCGGTCGCACTCGCGCTGGTTCTGCACGGCCTTGACGATGCGGCGGAGCTTCCATCCGTACATGAAGCCCGTGATGTTGAGCATGGTCAGCAAGATCGAGAAGAAGCCCTGCAGCAGCACGGACGTGCCGCTGCTGACGCTGTTGAGCTTGCCGTTGTAGCCCTTGTAGTACCAGATGACGTCCACGAGCAGCGTGAGCTGCATGCCGATTTTGTAGCTAAGCAGGAAGTTGGGCACGAGGAACTTGGTGCCGTGCCAGCCCAGCACCAGCGTCACGTACAGGATGAGCACGGGCACCGTGGCCTGGAAGTTGAGCCCCAGGATGATGGGGAAAATACGCAGCGAGTTGATGATGGTTTGCGACACGATCGTGAACTTGAGGCGGCGGCGCGTCTGGTAGATGGTCATGCCCTTGAGGAAGCAGAAGACCTTCTCGAAGAGGTTCCACAGCTTGGTCTCCGCGTTGGGCTTGGTGTCGGACGCCACCGAGTCCGCCATACTGCATCCACGTCAAACGTTCGTCACTTTCTGGTCGAATAAAAGATAAAACTTAGCTAAAAGTTAGTTAGTTACCTGTCGGCTCGGTACCGCAGCGAGATGATATTGCGCTGCTCCTCCTCGTTGGCCGCGCCCGTGAACGTGTTGACGCGCCGCAGGTTCTTGTGCGGCTGCGACGTCGGCGGCTGCGCGGCCTGGGGCGGCGCGCCGTCCGCGGAGTTGGCCGGCATGTCCAGCTGGTAGTCCGTGGAGCTGTCGGAGGGCGAGGGCACCGCGAACTCGACCCTCATGGCTGCGTGCGCGCGCGGGTGGCTCTCTCTGCTCTGCTCTGCTCTGGGTCCTCTGGCCGAGGGGGGGGGGAGGAAGACGCAGCCTGGCGCGCGCGGGCCTGCTGGTTATTCTGAGTCGCTGCAATAATGCGGAACAAGCGGACGGCGAGTCTCAAGCCAGCGCGCACGAGGTTGCGCGAAAGTACCGGCCCTACCCCTTGGATCGAAATAGAAAAAGAGTGTAATCAATCGCACGAGACGGGACGGGTATGCTGAGTTATGGGTCTACGAGATAGTAAAGGTCCTTTATTGAGATGAGTAGAAGAAGTGGAGGTTTCTTTACAGTAGTTTCATGCTAGATGATAGTATTGTGATTGCTGCTTTTGAGGTGGATCCTTGTTGCCTCTCGTTGGTTGTCGCCGACAGCGACAACTTGTCGTGTGGTGAATTTTGCCATCACCAGCCTCACTCTGGTGGGCAGTTGTTGCCGTGCTGCCGTCGCACTGGCGGCAGGCAATTTGGCGACGCGCTGGGCAAGTTACAAACGCCCCATCGTGGTAAGGGCGCTTGTTCCCGCCAGGATCCCTCGACTCCGGAGGTCCGCCGCAAAAGGGCAACTTGCTCCCGGCGGGCGACGTGGAGAGGTCAGCAAACTGGATCGATCCTTTTGAGCCTCGGCTCGCTTCGCTGGCAGGGAACATCATGGGATGCCTGGTTGCGATACGTGGGTGTGTTCAGGTGCTCACCTTGAAAAGATTGCTTCTTGCTCTGATCTGCCACTTTGCGACGGCCGAGTATCCAAGTACTCCGCCGCTGCCTGGCACCGTGCACGGGTGGCTGCAAGTCGAGCTGCGGCTGTCCAACGGCAACAAAATTCGGCCTCCCCCCACCAGCGCTGCCAAACTGAGTCTTACCTTACAGAATCCGTTGTTATTTTCATACCAACGCTACTTTGGCGCTGCATTATTATTGATACGCTTTCAAGTTGAGACCAAGCTCAGCTCAAATGGCCTGAAATGTGGATGAGGGCTGACTGATTTTGAGTTAGGAAACGGTCACCGTAACAGCGTCGCGGTTTCTAGTCCACACAAAATGGCTACACCCACTTCAACTTGTTGCCCACGTTGCCCATAAGTTGAAGTGGGCCTCGACCACCTTTAGCCAACCACCTCACCCAGACAGGTACAGCACTGTATTAGCTTAGACCTGATACAACTACAAGTCATTTCCAAGTGAGTCGTAAAGTAGTGGTGCCTGTGTGTGAGGTTCGCCGCTACCTCGGGTTGGTGACAACGTCAACGCCGGCACAAAAGACACATGAAAACTCCCCCCCCCCCCCCCCCCGAGCTACGAGCTATGACCGAGCGAAAGCGCTGTCCTGCACTTTGTCTTTATGGCTGGCGACACTGTCAAATGCACTATAAATAAGGCGTCACTCATGTTGCAACCGCCGACCCCTTTCCAAGTGGCGGAAGCACTTGGCCGCTGCACGCAAGCGCCGGGGCAATGAAGCAGCAGCAACATGGCCAGATCCAGATCCTGCGCGAAATTGTGCCCGCCGTGGACTTGGAGAAGGAGCAACGCACGAGTCGGTCGTGGGCGTGGGTCTGCTCCGCCTTCGTCGGCAGAGACAAGGGCGAGTGCTGCGTGCATGTCGTGGAGAGTGTGTTCGTGGACAAGCAGCAGATTTGGTCCTGGTACTACACAGACGCAGGCGTCGTGCGTCGCAAGCCACAGAGCAAACTCACGCCAGATCAAGTGCATTGCGCGTTCGTGCATTTTGCTGACGAATTTGGCGGGGCAGATGTCACGCTGGACCCGGCCATTCGGCCTGTCGCCGTGTGCTGGTTCGAGAAGAACGACGCACCGGGTGCCGTGCCGTTCTTGACGGCGCCAGATCTCCTGACCTTTTTGAACTCGCTCGCCTCCAGTAGCGCCTGCACCGCCGCCATCAGCACCTTTGTCCGTCCACGCAGTGAACTGGACCCCGCTTGCTACGCCAACCTCGAGCATGAATTCACGTACGTGCTTCGATACCGACTTTATGAACTGCTGTGTAGACTGACCCTTGATTGATTTTGTTGTTTATCTTCTCCAGACTTCACAAGAGCGGTCGTGTTCAAGGTAAACTCTTCTGGTTGGCACTCGGTGGGCAGCGAATTGCTAGCAAGGATGTCAAGCTGAACACCAGCGTCAACGAGCTGGTCCAGCATTACGTCAGCTTCCTCGAGAAGAACAAGAAGTGTCGGGTTGCCCGTTGCGTGTCGCTATTCATTGTGGACGAGAGCGGGAAGCTGCAGTTGTGGCGGACTTCGGCTTGTGAGACCATCTCCGCGGCGGTGGCATTGCCTGTCGCCCCAACCTTCCCAGAGGCGCTTGTGTCGCCGTTTCCAAGCCCTTACGAGGGTCCTCGCGCCATGAACGAGAGACTCATCGCCCGCGCTCGTGCTGATAGTCTGCGAGCACCCGATGAGAGAGTGGTTGAGTCTATTATGGCTGCTCCAAGGCCACACTCCAACAGAAGTTCGGGTCGAATGCTCTCAGCCGCATCGTCTAGTGCCATGACTCGCTTGGATCCACTCGGAGAGATGGAGGGCAGGCGGCGTGCTAACCTTGAGCTGCGCAGTTCAAGCGACTGGGATGAAGCTTTATCTTTTCTTCCTGCTACGTCGTCACTGTCTCGAGGCCGGCGGCGTACCGTGTCAGCAGCTCATTTGATGTCCAGCCAGAAGCGTGGGTGCTGCGGAGATTTCTGCAGCATGTCAATAGCCGAGTTGACCGCCCGACGAATGGAACGCAAGAAGGCTTCTACTCTACGCGAACAAGCGGGGCATGCCAGGAAAGGCCGGCGGCGGACGAGTGTCGCCACCGCTACAGCTGCAGCGAATGCCTTCATGGAAGCTCATCGCACAGACGACTTGTTGGGGCGGCTAGCGGAACAACGAAAGCCAACGTCACCACAGCGGCTTCAGCGTGCCGAAGCAATGCCACTGACTCATACCATTCCGTTCAAGCTGGTAGCACAAACTCGGGCCGAGAAACAGCTTGTGGACCTCTTCATCCGACGGTACCAGAGCGGCGAAGACGGAGACTACCTTGCAGAGGCATACTACGGAGACGGCGAGCCCCTCGGAGTTACGTTTCCGGGGTACTTTTACCGGGACGTACAGGTCTGCGCTAACTGCTATGAGTTCTACACTCTAGTTGAAAAAGTTCGCATGGAGGCTCTGGATCAAATCGCACGGCGGCAGAAATCGAGTCCAAATCGTCGAAGTCAAATCGCACGGCGGCAGAAGTCGAGTCCAAATCGTCGAAGTCCTGACAAGTACGAGACAAACGACCCTGCTTCAAGACGCAAGCAGGTGCAGGAGCTTTCTATTGCCGAAAGAGGAGAGGAAGAAGAGGAAGAAAACCTCGACAATGATGGAGACACCGATAACAATGACGAGGACCTGGTGACAGATAGACTCCAGTATGTCTGGAAACATGTGTGGGCGCAGACTTCTAGAGTTGCTGCATCAATTACCAAGAAGGATGCTGCCGAGCTGTACAGCTTCGTGAATCCACACCCAGCGGTAGCGATGGTCATGAGTGCGCTGGGTGCACTCCTTCTAGGGTCACGAGGAGAAGACTGGTGCGAGGTCAAGCGAGTGATAACCCAGGACAAACTCCTCTCACGGATGCACCGCGTCGACTTGGAAGCTCTATCCGAGTGGGCCGTCTTGCAGGCAGCAGGTCATGCTCGAAATCCGCTCTTTACACCAGCACAGATCGCGCCGATCAGTTCATGCGCTGCTCGATTCTGTGACTGGATTCGGACCGTGTTGCAAGCTTACTCGTGGAAGCACAGGCTTCAAATGCAAGACCTGGAGACTCGACGTATGCTTTGCCTGCTCAAGCCGGAGATCCTGCCACCGGGCATTGGCGTAGCTCAACTGGGAGATGCCCAGCGTGGAAATGCAACAGCGAAGCGAAGGAAAACAAATGACCCCGGCAACGACGACTCATTATCCAGAACGCGACGTCAGTCTCAGCAGAAACAAGCTGCTCGCCGAGCTATCCAAGCTCAGCAAATGGCACGGCTTGCAGCCCCATCGGGTCTTCAAGATGGAGTAGTGGGGAACACAGCAGACAGTGTGTTCACCTGTCAGGATGGAGTCACGCAAATACCATACGCTGTCATCGGCCAGCCCATCGGTGAGACTGCGAAGTGCAATCTCGTGGTATTCCACGACCTCTTCGACACATTTGAAAGCACTCGAGTATTTTTCCGACCAATTGTTGCGCGAAACGTGGGTGCTCGAGCTTTGTTGTTCAATTTTCCGGGTCAGTCCGGATCGGCATACGCAGTCGACGACCAAGCTCGTGAAGAAGACAAACTCGTGCTCAACAACATGTGGCTCGCTCGTCGAGTACACGAGTTGCTGAATTTTCTGCAGCACACGACTCAGTTCGTCACCACTGGCGCCCCATTTCACATCGTCGGCTTCGGCAATGGTGCAAACGTGGCCACGTGCTATACCGCTCTGTATGGCAGGAGCTACGATGACTACTTGCAATCCCTTGCGCTGTTCAATGGCTTTGCAAGCGTAGACTCGCAGCTTGCAGCCGTGCTGCATAGTGCAGTGAATGTCTTCGCATGTTTGCCTCCGACTAGACCCGATTTGCCCGTGTCTTTCTTCTCCAAGTTCCTCTTCTCCGAGGGCTATCTGCGCAAGGTTGACATGAATCTAGCCCTCAGCATTTATACAGCGGTGACTAACGCCATCACGCTTGACGGTCGCATCCGGCTATGTCGTGGTGCACTTCGCCACGTGGATCTCGGCTCCCAACTTGCAGAGATCGGTGTGCCTCTTGTTCTTGTTCAATCTGTGGAGAATACGCTGGTATCCCCCACCAACGTGGACCCTTTCCTCCAGGGTCGTTCCAGCGTGCAGCACGTGTGGTCTCATCAGCAACCGCACACCAGCGACCTGCGTTCCAAGACTCGAGCTCAGTTGCGGAAAGCGCTGGCTACGCCCAAAAGCGCCTTCGTATCCTGGCTTCGCGCTGGGCACGAGCTTCGCCAGGAAGCAAAATGCTACGTAACTGAGGTGATCGAGATGCTCGTGAATTGCCAAATGGAGCCGCCCGATAAAGAGCGTGCTGCATTTGAGCAGGTAGATAGCTGCCAACCAGCAGCGGGTAAGGAACAGGAGCCAAAGTTGGTTGTGAAAAACGAACCAGCGGATCGACAAGCCAACGAAAACGCATCCAGTACACTTGAATTACGAGCTGTACCAATTTCTGAGGCCCCGAGGCAGCCCTTAGGTGCAGACCCTGTTGGCAACCAGCCACCTTCTCAACAAGTCCACAAATCTCCGTATGAACTTCAGCTTGAGAAATCGGAGCGCGCTTTTCAGGAGGCGCTACGCACTCACGAAGCCCAAAAGGCCGAGTACGAGAAGAAGAAGTGGCTCCAGCAGCAACAAAAACAGAAGAATGCCGGCGAGTCAGCTGATGAGAACACAACAAAAGATGAGAACGTGATCGCCGCGACAACCAGAGCTGCTGAGGTCCCAATAACGCAATCTGTGGTGCCCATGGACATGCTACTGCCCCCTGCTCTTCCTGCCGCAGTAATGCACCCCCAGCAGTTGTCGGATAAGCGTGACGAACATCAAACGCCGCAATATCCCCAGCAAAGTGAAGCAAGCAACACAGCTCAAGTGGATGACGACATTGAAAGCGTTCGAGCCAAAATTCGAGCTGAAGAAGAGCGTCTCGAGCAAGAAGCGGAAGAGCAACGTCAAAAACATCGGACGGCAACAGAGGAACGCATGGCTGCTCTGCGCGAAGAGCAGGAACGCCGGCGGCGCGAATGGGAACAAGAAGATCGTGACCGACTGGCAGCTCTTGAAGCGCAACTGCAAACTCAGCAGGCCGAACGACTTGCCGCATCTCAGCAGCGGGATCTCGTGCAGCTAGCACAAGACGAAGCAGTGCTGGCTGTGGGCTCCACACCATCAGAATCGTCACCATCGGCAGCTCCACTGGTAGTGGAACCGTCCATCGAGATGCCTAGTCCTGCGATAACTTCCCCGACTGCGTTGCTGGCTCCGACAGTGGAAGCAACACGCCAGCAAATTCGAGAGCAGCCAGAGCTCCCGAGCTTGTTCGACCAACTCGAAGCGGAAGAACATGCTCGAAAACGTCGGGAGCACAAGCGTCGAGCTTTTGGGCCTGGCCTAGTAGCAGGAAGCCATCTAACCGGTGAGCAGTACGACGAGGTGCGTTCATCACTCCAACAAAACTTCCGCGAAGACACCCGGGCGAATGAATCGAACATGAAACGCGAACTGCGAAGGAGGCGAGACGCTCAAGCTACGCGAGTGCAGAAGTACATCCGTCGGTTCTTAGCAACGCGTCGAGTTGATCGAATCCGACGCGAAATGCAGCAAGAGCGTGTGAAAAACTTCGCCGGTGGTGAGATCGTGAGGATAGCACGAGGTCGGCTGGGTCGTCGACGATTCCGCCGGTTGTTTGAAGAGAAAGAAGAGGCTGCAAGACGATTGCATGCCGCCATACTCATCGAGACCGTCTTCCGGGGGTTCTCGTGTCGTGTGGCTTACCGCGCAAAGTTGCGAGAAAGTAAGGCGCGCATGCTAGAACGAGTGTATCGCGGTCATCTTGGACGCAGACGTGCTCGAAGACTGCGCGAGGAGCACGAGCGTCGTCGTTATCAGGATCGGAATGCTGCCAAGCTGCAGGCTACTTGGCGCATGTACGTCGCGCGTGGCCAGTACCTCACTGTTCGGTTCTCGGAGCTTGCAGCGTTGGAGATCCAGCGGATGTATCGTGGTCTTTTAGGACGTCGAGAGGCTGCACGCAAGAAGCAGTGGCGCGATGCAGCGCCTGGGGCTGAAAGACTGGCACTTGGACTACAGTTGATTGAAGGCTCAAAGCAGGCATTTGAGCGCCAACAAAGCGAGCTCGACGCGCTCCACCGTGCACAGGAGGCAGCAGAACGCCAGGTTAGCGCTGTGCACAACGAGCTTCGTGAAGCCGAGAAAGAGCTAGCAGTGCTGGAGCGCGAGCTACAGGAGATCGACCAGCTAGATGCCGACGTACGGGAGTTGACCCACGAGGCGGAGCGATTGCATGCTGGTGGTGTCGAAGGCTTGCTGCGCAACCACCGCTCGTCACAACAGCACCAACATCTAGGCAACGGAGTACCTGAAGCCTCTTCAGCGGACAACAACGACGCTGCACCATACGAACTCGGAGCGGAAAATGCGTTTGAGTCCAAGGAAGCTCTCAAAAAGCGCCAAGCCGATGCCTACGCAGTTGAGATGGCACTCAGCATCAAGCGTAGTGAGCGTGAAAAGAAGAAGCGCGACCTCGAGGCTGAATTCGCTGGGGCATTCGCTGAGGTTCAACGGAAGCGAGAAGCTTTGGCCGCGCTGGAAGAGCGCCTGGCAGACATGGAGCAGACGCGCATGCGGAAGGATCGAGAGTTTGCTCGCCTGCAGCGCCACTTGATGGAGTTGTTGGAAGAGCAGAAGCTCGAGCTTGAAAACTTGCGCGAGAAGGGTATCGAGCTTGAGACAGCAACAGCCACCTCGGCAGCGGCAGCAGCGGCCACAGCAGCTAAGGCGCGCGAGCATGAGGCACGGTCGCAGGCCATGTTTGAGTCCACGGAGGAACTCATGAAGTTTCAGTTCATGTCAATGTCGTTGTCGTACTTCAGCTCGCTCAACATGCTCAAGAACCTGCGCGATATCAACGCTGACACCACTGCGGCGGCCATCACCACCACAGCGGAGACTGCCGCCACTGCTGCCGCTGCCGCTGCTGCTGCCAACATTACGCCGGTCACTGCAGCTCTTGCGAAGAAGAAGGTAGGCGGAGATGCCATCAGTAATCTGCTCACGACGGTGGCTCAGCGCAAGCAGCAGGAGCTAGCACAGCAGCAACGCGAAGAAGGGGAAGCGTTAGCACCCGGAAAGCAGCAGCCATTGCCCGAGGAGCTGCGCGCTTGGACCGTCGACGATGTGGGTCGATGGCTCGACAGTTTGTCCTTGCCGCAGTACAAGGCTGCATTCCGCGAGGGTGCAGTGGACGGCGAGTTCCTCATTGAGCTTCGTGCCGAGGATATGGCCGAGGTTCTCGGTGTATCACACAAGCTGCACGTCCGCAAGCTGCTCGCTGCTCGCAACAAACTGCTGCCACTGACGCCGGCCGAGCGGGCGCAACTGGATGCTGTCAACCACGAAGCGAACGCAGCACGCGCTCGCGGACAGGAGCCGGCTGGAGGAGAAGAGGTCTCCTTGGAGGTTGACACCGTGTTCTCGCAGGCGCGCAATGGACGCATGAAGCGGCTCGTCGAGAGTCTGGACGCGGGCTTCCCGATCGATAGCGAGGACGACAAGGGCAACACGCTGCTGCTGCTCGCCTGCCAGAACGTGAACCAGCGGATGGTGGAGCTCTTAGTCACACGCCGAGCCAATGTGAACCATCGCAACGCACAGGGCAACACGCCTCTCCACTTCGCGATGGCGTACGACGGCGAAGGGGTCCTGGGCGAGTACCTGATCGCACACGGCGCCGACGACACCATCGAAAACAACAGTGGCCTCACACCGTACGACGGGCTCACGGCCGAATGAGAAGAATATCAAGACACAGGTTGGTAGAGACACTCGCTCCAGGTCGCATCGTTCGCGAACCCGGACGATATATTTTTGCTGTTCATTCTGCTGGTGTAATGAAGCCTTCACCACCGATTAGATAATACACACGTACGGCGCTCGCCACCACACTCCAGATGATTCCCTTCTTGGTCTTGCCCTCGACAGTTCCTTGCTGACATCCGCGGTTGCTTCGAGCGAGCTCCTTGTTAGTTGGATGTTGTATTGTCAATCTTAGGCGTCCACCCGAGCCTCAGCCACACCACGTGCCTGGGAAGCCATCATGCGGTTCACGGCGTTCACGTAGGCCGTAGCCGACGCCACGAGGATGTCAGTGTTGGCACCGTGGCCAACGAACTGGCGGTCGCGCGTCACACCCGTCTGGGCGTTCACGTGCTTCTCGTCCTCCGTCTTCTCTTCCTCCTCCTTCTCCTCCTGCACGCGCACGGTGACCTCACCCAGAGCGTACGTGCCATCCGTCACACTCTCCACGGAGAAGTCGTTCAGCTTGATGCTGTCCATGCCAGTGGCGCGCTTGATGGCAACGTAGATGGCGTCAATCGGACCAGTGCCCATGGCAGCCTCGCTCACCTCCTGGCCGTCCTTGTGGGCAAGCGTGACCGTGGCCGTCGGCTTCACGAGGTTACCAGCAGTCACGTGCACAGACTGTAGCGTCCAGAAGACCTCCGGCTTGAAGAGCTCGTCCGAAACAATCGCCTCCATGTCAGCATCCGTGACCGTCTTCTTCTCGTCAGCCAGCACTTTGAACTTCTCGACGTAGTAGTCGAGCTCCTCCGGGGTGAGGTTGGTGTAGCCAAGCTGCTGGAGACGCTTGCTGTACGCGTGGCGGCCAGAGTGCTTGCCAAGCACCATCTTGTTCTCGCTGAGACCAACCGACTCCGGCAGCATGATCTCGTACGTGGCCTGGTGCTTCAGCACACCGTCCTGGTGGATACCCGACTCGTGGGCGAAGGCGTTGGAGCCGACAATGGCCTTGTTGGGTTGGATGGACATGCCCGTGTAGTGGCTCACCATGCGGCTGCAGCGCGTAATTTGCGTCGAGTCAACGCTCGTGTACACGGGGAAGTGCTGCGGGCGAGTCTTGAGCGCCATCACCAGCTCCTCCAGGGCCGTGTTACCGGCACGCTCACCGATACCGTTGATCGTGACCTCCACCTGACGAGCTCCGCCCTGCACAGCGGCCAGAGTGTTGGCCGTGGCCAGACCCAGGTCGTTGTGGCAGTGCGTGGAGAAGATGGCCTTGTCGCTGCCCTCCGTGTTCTCGATCAGGTAGCTGAAGAGCGATCCGTACTCTCCGGGCACCGTGTAGCCGACCGTGTCGGGGATGTTGAGCGTGGTGGCGCCGGCCTTGATGACCTCGGCGAGCACCTCGCACAGGAAGTCGGGGTCACTGCGTCCGGCGTCCTCCGTGGAGAACTCGATGTCCGGCGTCAGGCTCTTGGCGAACTTGACGGCGTCCACGGCGCGACGGATGCACTCGTCGCGCGAGATCTTGAGCTTGTACTTGAGGTGGATGTCGGACGTGGCCAGGAACGTGTGGATGCGGTGCTTGGGCGCGTGCTTCACGGCGTCGTAGCAGCGCTGGATGTCCTTCTCCATGGCGCGCGCGAGACCGCAGATGGTCATGGGCTCGCCCGTGGCGCGGTTGGCCGTGAGCGGGCCGATCTCCTTGGCGATGGCCGACACGGCGTCGAAGTCGCCGGGCGACGAGATGGGGAAGCCGGCCTCGCACACGTCCACGCCCAGCGCGCTCAGGCCGCGCGCGATGTCCAACTTCTCTTTGAAGTTGAGCGTGGCGCCGGGCGACTGCTCGCCGTCGCGCAGCGTCGTGTCGAAGATCGCGAGGCGGTCCTTGCCGGCCTCGGCGGCGGCGGCGTTCGAGAAGGCGCGGCGGGCGTGGGCGCGGGCCGTCACGGCCGAGCGCTTGGCGATCGTCTGCATCACGCTGACTGGCAGAGGAAGGAGTGAAGGCCCTAGTGCGCGGATTGAAGAATGAGCGGCTCAAGGCCGTGTCGGCGAGGTGTTGCAGCTGGCCGGCACACCAAAACACACGTTCTTGTGGCTGTGGCAGCCCGGCTTTTCCACCAATGAGGCCCCTGTTTTTAGCTTGTTATATTATTCCCCCTTGGAGGAATTGCCCCGTTGTGGCGCTACCGATAAGAACGCTCCTGCGGGTCCCAGCAGCGAAGGGAAAATTCCGGGCCGGGATCCCGCGCCCGCGTCCTTTGTGGCTGATGTGGAAGATGCCACAACTGAACCTCGTTGTGGCATCTTCCACATCGGGAAATCAGTGACGAGGCGCATTTTTAGCGGGCTTAGATTTTGTTAAGCCCACGTTGAAGGTGTGGACTACTTTGTGGACTTACGAACTTCCAGCAACTTCCATGTCAACGCGGGTCACTCAGGCTGAGCTGAGGACGCTCGAGCGGGCGTTCAAGGTAAACGATCTGCGCTTCGACTGCAACGTCACGTGGGTGAGCCTCAGTGCGGTGTACTCGATCATCCGCATCTCGGACAACAGGGTCACTCTCGCTAGCGTTCTGGATGAGTTCTTTGGAGGTATCTACCGCACCCACGGCACGGATGTGAAGAGAGTTTCGGACGAGCGCTTCGCGGAGTATGAGGGTAGGCCGTTCAGCGTGTGTTTTGCCGACCTCCTTGAGGTCGTGTGCGAGAATGAAGACACGCGAGCGGCGTACAATACCCAGGTATCGAACGTGACCTGGGAACCGCAGTCAGCAAAGCCACGTCGAGATGCATTTGTTCGTCTCCACATGTGCTACACGAACAAGTGCGGTCGTCGCCCCCAGTATGCCCTCGAGAAGATATGGGCCCATGTGTTGCAGTGTGACTTGGCAGTCAAATCGGCCATCGAGGTGTACAAACCAGGTATGTCTGATCCCCTAGAGGTAGTCTATTTGACGCCCGTGGACGACGACGACCCGATCATTTACCCCCCGCCAGAAAGAAGTCAAGGTCTTTTCAGCGACGACTACGACTGGATCCCGGATGGCATTTGTGAAATGTATCTCATTGATGGAGGCACTACTGGGAACTATCTTCTCTATGAACCTGGGATGTTCTGCGTTGAGAAGCTGGGAATGTCAGATGAGTTTCGGCTACACGACAGGGTGAAAGACCAGTGCTCCTTATCTTTTTTGGGGCACTATCTCAAGGCAGAAAGCCGGAAGCCCAGGGTACTATGCGTTGTGCAGATCGATAAGGCTTTCGTCGAGGCAGCAGAGAAAGAATTTCGGCAACGGATGGGTAAACTCAACCTCGGCTGGATCTACTCGGATGCGACCGATCACGACAAGAAAGAGTTGATCCGGTGCGTTCCTCAGCAAGTGCCGCTCGTTAGAGCCCACTTTCTTGACGTAGCCAAAAAGTATCATGCTCGTGTGCAATCCTACCATGAGCCACCCAGAGTCTCCATCCCTATTGCCCGGCCCGTTCGGACGTATGATCCCACCGACATCGACGTACGGAATGAGAGAGAGACGGACGACATTGTGGACTTAGTCTTAGTGGTGAAGTACCACATACGGTTCCCTACACGCGGTTATATGTTCTTTAGCGGGATGCTTGAACAAGAGCGCGCGATCCCGCTTCGTACCGCGTGCTCCCGGCTCGGAATTCAAATGCAATCCAGAGCGTACACTGGGCCAGTGAACAAGAAGGGATATATCGACGCGTTGTGGTCTTGGCTTCAGCGGCGCAAAACGCCAACTCCCCAATGAGAGACAGCATTTCAAAGACAGGCACGTTGAAGTGGGCTATTAGATGGTCCCTGTATTATGTAGGAAAGATATGGACATTGAGCCACCCAGCTGGTCTCAACACCAGCGAATTCATTCACCACCGTCAAGATTGCTCACATTGACAATGCGTTTTGGGATATTCGGTAAGTTTAAGTTCCGACGCCACAGCCAGAAGAAAAAAGCTATGGCCGATCTTGCACGGTCGCCCATTGACGGGCATCACGCTGGCCGCGGCGCGCGGATACCCAGCGCGGTGACTTGCAGCTGCGAGCTGCTGGACTCCGCCGAGCACGTGAAGGCTCGGCCGTTGAGCACGGCGTTGCTGCTGCAGTGCGAGTGGGCCAGAGGCAGGGGCACCGCTGCCTCGGCACCGCCGTCGTCGCTGCTACCGAACTTCTGTCGGCGCCATATCATGCGGCTAACGTCCAGCTTGTAGAGCACAGTGCAGGCGGTGAACGATTCGGTCTCGCCGATTAATATTACTATAGTAATTTAGATTACCGGCCGGGCAACCTGTGCAAGCTGCCACCAGTATCTCGCGCAGCGATCTTAGAGCGAGCCAATGGGATCCGTTCGCGACAGCATTTTGACTAATGAAAAAGGCGTGATGTAAGCATGGTGTGGCGCAAAAGGGACGCGTAAAAATCTCCTGGTGGCAAAGCGCAAGCAGCAGACGAGCTGCAGTCCGGTGCTTCACGCCACCACAACTTGTGGTCACAACAACAATCTTGTGGTCCACAAGACCACAAGATTGTTGTCGTGGAGGCGAGCACCAGCAAGGGCGTTAAACAGGACACGCGACTTCAATGCCCAGCGAGGATGAAGGCGGCGAGAGCGAGCAACGAGAACTAGCGAAAGCAAGGCAAGCGGACCAGCAAGTTCAACATGGCGAGGGAACGTGGTGCCAGGCAGCGCGGGATCGAGGGCGGCGCGGCTGAATGGACTCGCGCTTGTGACTTGCGTCTGCCATGCGATTTTTCCCGTCTGCAGCCTGCAGTGCGGAAGGCTGGATTCCAGCCTGGAAGTCTTGCCAAGACTGGCTTGGGCCCCAAGTTGGGGGCGACATCGATCCCGGTTCTGCTGCGGAGGTTGCGGATGCTGGCCATGTGCGTCGCTGCAGATGTCGTATATCATACCAGCACTCGCATCGGTTATGAACCTGACGATCGAGCATATACATGCATGGCGATCCATTGAGTGGTGCGGTGGTTTGACGCGGCCCCGGCATGCGCAGCGAACAGCTGCTTTCCTTGAGGTCTCATCAGATGTTTGCCTTCAACCTGGCCCTGTAGCGAGCGATGTCAATGCGAATGCAGGAAGAGGCAATGATGTTCACCTCGCATGACGGCGAAAATGAATGCGTTTAGCCTACATGTAGCCGCTGCAGTCCTCCCTGGCAGTGCTTGTGCCGTTGTAGTGTACCCGTGTTTCGGTACCTGAGACCAACAGCAGTGATTGGCTGGATCCCTTCCGGCCGTTACGCCGTAACGGGCCATGCCGTTCAAGAGCGCATAATCAGCACTAAACGCCGTGGACGAGGGGGGCTCCAGTTCCGCGATTTATTGGAGATAGCGGGGGCCGGTAGGCCCCACTATCTCCGGCGAGTTTCGGCTATCTGCGGCGGAGCGGCTCGAAGAGTCACTCCACTCTAGATAAATTCGGCGGATCAACAATTGGGCCCGATGTGCGAGCAAGCTAGCGGTGATTTAGTACGAGATCCCGACGTTATCCCGCTCAATGAGAGAAGAAGATTGGTACAACAGGCGCTAGACACGTGTTCGTCCCCACCTCAGATTGTCTTTCCTGAATCTGTATCGTGTGGAGCAAGCTTGGCTTCGTTTTTTTCTCGGCCGGTGTTGGTGTGGGTTCCAGAAGCAAGAAGACGATGGAAGCGCCCGTTCTGTGTGGTGCCAGGATGTCAATGTGAGCCTAACGTGAAAGAGAGGAAGCAGCGTGTCATTGAGGACGTCGGATACAAGTATAATGTTCTCTATGTGAAGTACCAGTGCACCCGCAAAGTTGCAAGCGGAAAGGCCAGGACGTTTTCAACGTTGAGCTCTAGCTTTCTCGAGGCTAACCCAGACGTGGCAGTACATCTCCCGTTCGTCATTAGCAAGAAAATGGGGTTTTCTAAGGGGTTAATGGAGCACGTTCATGAAGGAATTCTCTCTCCCAATGGATTATCGCATGCTTTGAGTCACTTGGAGAGACGTTGACAACAGGTACTACGAGTTGCTCTCAAAGTTTGTTTATGCAGTCGGCCAGAAGTACCGCGAAAATGCCGCTTATTTGCCGCCGATCCCGCCCACCGTCGATGCATACCTGAAAAAAAACAAGGTGGTGTCACAAAGCTCAATGACCGACGCCTGGTTGGCGTACACTGAATTATACGGCTCTCTGTGTGAAGTAGTAATGAAGCAGACCAAAGTGAAGAAGGTCCTGCGTGCTGATCACTCGGTGAAGTTCTGCAAACGATTGAAACTGTGGAGCGGTCATGGACAACGTGATAATTTAGCAGACGCAAAAATGTTGCTTCTGTAGCAAAATGAAATCGGGCAGATAGTTGGTCGGCGTCTTACGAGCTCCGAAAACAAAGATGAGACCATGCAACTACTCTCTGACGTTCGACCGCAGCTCGATGCAGACGGCGACTGCTATTTCATCTCTGATAATGCGGCAGCCGTGCGGAAATTCGTTGTGGAAGCGCTGGGCGATTCTGTCGTTGTCAAACAGGATCCTTTCCATGTGATTCAACGCTTCAGCGAAAAGCTGAAGTCAAAACCCAAGCGGAAGTTGCTGTGCCAGGAGTTGTCAAGTGCGATGTATGACGTAGATCGTGAGTTAAGACCCCCGGTGGAAATGGAAGCTAACTTGCGAGCAGTGCTTAGCAAGATAAGTGATAGCGAGTTGGGGTGTACTCCAGAGAAATGGAGGAATTGCATCAAGCACAACATTGCTCAGATCAGCTTGGGTGAGCTGCATGTTGCTGAGAACGTGTACAATGAAGGTGGTGGTCCTCCGGTTCGAGTAGTATCAACAAGTCAATTGGAAGGATTTCATTCCGCTCTGAAAAAATTATTGGCTCGCGTTGAACATGGTTTGCGCATTTTAGATGTGCAGCAACGTTGGAGCTCGCTTTGGTAGGAATCCGCACATGGAGAATATTGATTTGATAGCGGCGTGTCGTGCTGCCACAGTGTGCAAGTTGTATGGTGAGCGCTTAGTTGCAGATACAGCTGAGCAAGAGTTTGTGTCGAACCTCGTTTCAGCTTCTCTACCTCGTCCGCAATATCGCTCGAGTACAGAACGCGACTTTGCGTTCACGTCGTGGCAGCAGATATTTGCTTGCGCTGACCTCGATGCGTCGGGCCAAGAGACGAACCTGTCGCGGCCAAGACAGCATCTCCACACGATAAAAGAGTTGCTGTCCAAGAATGCAACTACACTACAGTGTGGAACCGTTGATCGTGTAGAATTCATGCATTCGCTTCGCATGGAGGAAGATAGTGCAGAGGGAGCTGCCGGGTTCTCGCCAGAAGAGCACGAGCTCCTGCGCCAAGTTCTACGAGAGCAAAAGGAATGTGGTAGAACTTGGGCGGACTGCGTGCTGGTGACCACCATCATGTTCAACCTTGTTGTCGCTTCGAACAGGAATGCACGCATTAGACTGTATCGGCGCAGTTATCGTACTCTCGAAACAAAAGTCAAGGCAGTGCGGGCTGAGTCTAAGCAAGCTTCAAAACAGTCGGCTGATACGCGGAAAACCTTATTTCATTTTCGGAATGAAGCAGAATGCACTGGTAGAGCAACCGACCACGAGCGAGCGCTGCACCAGCAACTATTTGACACTCTTCGACGGACCAATATTGTCTCGCAGAAACGACTGGCGTTTTGTAGACTCTATGACTTCGCGAGCTGTGTCTGCGGTGGAGTTCGAGCATTTGACAAAGTATCACTAGAGAGGAGATGGGGCGCACTCAAAAAGTCAAGCTCATCCTTCACGATTAAGTTTAAAAATGTTCGAAGCGCGTTACGACAGAGCGAAGCAGACATTTCATCGTCACGCAACGATGCCCGTGAAGCTGACACCTCATTACCACGAAACAGTACCAGCGAAGGTGACATCTCCACGCACAAAACAACCAGCGAAGATGACACCTCCGCTCGCAACACTGCCAACGATGTCCAGTTGGACAGATATTCTTGCAGCGTTTCAGCTGAACTTGTGGTTTCTGCACCCCCGGCGTTGACTGGCGATGCGTCTCGCCTCCTTTCCAGTGATAATGGACTTGTTGTTTCTGGAGAAGTTGTGCGTCCTCCCCCTCCCGTAGTAATATCTACTGTAGTGAGCACATGGACATACTACGTCAAGAAGCGGAAAAATTTAAGGGTACACGTGGAAAAGCTGCTCACCTCATGAACGTGTTCAACCAGTACTACCCGAAGTCTGTGTTGACCCCCAATCAACTGCGAATGAGGATCCGAAACAGCACACGAGAGTCAACCCACGCAGGCGCTCCAGGCGAAGCACAGACCACGCCTGATCCGGAAGTGCCATCCGTCCGGGAGCTGCCACACAAAACCAGAAAACGGAAGGCAATCTCCTGCCCCGACTGCAGACAAAAGCACGTGAAGTGCAGCGACAGCAAAAACGCTCAGTGCTTGAAGCTGGTTAGCAAGTCAGCAAACACGTTAGACAGCTATTTCTCCACTCCATCTTAAGGTTAATACACTAGCTTGCAGCATACTCATGGATACGTACTCGGGCCTGCGGCATTTCCGCTGCTCCATGACACTGCTGGTGGTCAGGCAGTGTTTTTTGTCTTCAGCTCGTGGTGAAGCGATTGACGGAGGTGCGGCAGTCCTACTTGGACTAAGCTCGGTGTGCCAGCGCTACCCTTGTCTGTCCTTCCGAGTAGGGTCGTCGCCGCAGCCGTCGCCGCGTCTGGTTACCACTGCACGCACTTGCGTTCCTGCTCCACATCTCGCTACACTGCCCTCGTTTTGAACTGCGTTGTCAAATTCAGCTTGCGTCGTATAAAGCATCCTGATTGGCTAATAGCATACTGGGGAGTTAATCGGGAAATCGGGAACGTGGTCAACCTGGTCCAGGTGGTCCGGATGGTCAAAGTGGTCCCGGGAGTTTCCCTCTATCTTTAACAAACCAGTTCCGCTGCCATGGCGTCCCGACCACTGCCCAACAACGGCGCCCACTCCTCCCCGGTCCGACAGAACGTGGCTCTGCGTTGGCTCAACAACGCGGCTCCGGCACCAGCTGCTTTGAAGACTGTGCGCTCGCCAGTGAAGAAATGGCCTCCCCCTGCGCGAGTCGAGGCTCCGCCTCATTCCCCGGTGGCTGCGGCGCCAGTTCCTACGCCGGTAATCGAGAAGAAAGTGGCAGCGTCTGCATTCCAGACTGCGCGGGCAATGTTCGAGGCCAAGAAAGCTCCTGCTGCAGCTGCCTCGCCTCCACCGAGCCGTCGCCGAGTTGCATTCCCCACACCTGTTGTTGCAAAGCAGGATTCGAATAGCTCAGACCTGTCAAGCTCCTCATGCAGCACCGTGGATTCCGAGACAAACCATAAGCTGGAGGAGTGCGTGGAAACCCAGAAGCCGAAGCCCTCTCTGCCGGTTCAAGCGCTTGAAAAAATGGAAAAGGAGACAGTCAGGGTCTCCACTCCAGTGCATGATAGTGCAAAGATATCGCCCAACACTGCCAAGCCCCTTGTATCCCTTCAACCTCAAGAAGCTCGAGCATCACAGCCTCCTAGCCCCGCAGCGATCGGAATCAATACCGAAAAAATGAAACAGGCTCAGCCAATGGAAGCTGATATCGACCCGTTCCGACTACTTCTACCAGTTGATACGCCTCCAACTCTTCCCGATGAAGTCCCCTCAGTCTACGATAGTGCTGCCGTCGAGATGGAGAAGAACATCAAGAAGGTGGTGCGCAAGCTGCTTAAGAAAGATAAAGCTCGATTAGTGGAGTTCAAGATGAATTCGCGGCTATTTGGAACCGATTTCATGGATTCACACGCCTACCTGGACACGCTGATTAAAGACTTCGGACGAATTCGCGCGTTGCAACTGGTTCCCTGCTTGCTGAGCGTTCAACCAGATATTTTGAAGGGCAACGCGTTGCTTCTTACCGCCAAAAACTACTCACTGCGGAACGAAGAGGCATTGAGACAAGAGCTCCGAGAGTTGCAGGTAGCGAGTGTGATGAACACACAAGTAACAACGAAAGCGCCATCATCTCGCGCACCAACCTCCCCTTCCAAGGCCAAAAGAGTCGCTAGCCCCAATTCAGCCCCAGCACGCCGCGTGTGTAGTGCTTCTGAAGCCCAACCTGCCAACGCTACTGTCGAGTATATCAGTTCCCCAATCGCGCAGTCTCGAACTTCTGCAGTTCCTCCACCGTCAACTGACATCTCGAGTCAGAAGAAGCCGACGCTGATCAACTCCGTACAGTGTTTGGCAGCGACCAAGACCACTGCAACCAAACCCGTTGAACCGATGCCAGAACCCCAAGAAGTGGCTCCGCCTGTGATCAACGTTGCTGTCGCTGGTCCAATTCAGCAAGTTCTTGCTCCAAGTCTAGTCGCCATGAAGCGCGCCGAGTCTGCTACTAGCGAAGAAGAATTTCGCGTCGAGAACCTCTTCGGAGAAATCATCAAGACTCCCTCTCCGAAGGAACAACCACACAAACAGAGCGGCACGGATGCTCTCGTTGCTCCGGTATCGCCCACGTCCTCGATTCAGAGTTTCGAAGAAGCTGAAAACTTGTTCGGTGAACGTCTGTCCTCGTCCTCTCCTTCAAGCGTCAGCCGGCGAAAGACTGTAACGTGGGGTGAAACTCAAACAGTCGAGGTCCCGATCCAACGGGACGCTCAGGTCAAGACAACAAAGAAGCCGCTGCCGTTCCTCTTCGGCCCCGCCACCGCAGCCGCCTTCGACTCGGACTCGGACGAGTCAGACTTCAGCGATTGATGTCTCTGAAAAATGTCATGTGTGCGCTGGTCTAGGTTGATAGTGCTTACTGTAATTTGAGCTCTCGGTTGTCACTGTTGAAGTGGTCACAGCATGCTCTATGACACAACGAAGTTCGTATGCGCTTGAGCAGGTTTGTGCGATAAGATTCACAAACTCGCGACATCATGTCTTCGAGCTCGACTGCATCGCCCCAGATGCAGCCGCGGCAACGGCCGAGCAGTGGCACGAGCCTGCAGGGCGACTTCCGCGTTGAGGTGTTAGGCAGCCAAGAGTCGCTGGACTTGGACTGCGGCAAGTTCTACACGGTGCGTTGTCTCCTCTTCCAACAGTGCTCCACTCGCGCTGGGATCAGTTCTCACGCTGCTGCTGTCTGCAGGAATACATTCTGCGCTGCTCGTGGATTGAGCGCAATGGGACGCCAGAGGTCTGTACGCAGTAGCGTCGAAGTGCAAAGTACGTTGATGGCGTGAGACTCAATGCGGTGACGTTGCTACGCAGATTTGGGACGTCGTGCGGCGCTATCGCGAGTTCTGTGCGATCGACATACTGGTGAGGCTTACGACGCATTGCGGTACATCGCCTTTAACTAACGTACAAGCTTCTACAGCTACGCGAGAAATATCCGTCTCGAGCGCCCATGTTTCCATTCCTGCCGAGCAAGAAGTACATCGGCTCGTCCCTCTCGGCCGATTTTGTGGACAAACGGCAGCGCGACCTCGGCTACTACATGATGTCGATTCTGCACAGCTGCCCGCTGGTGGGTGCATTGAAGTTTGCTGTACTGACTGCACTACAATTGTCCTCAGCGTTTTGTTGCTTGCAGCTCGTGCAGGACGAGATCATCGACTCGTTCCTGGACATCAAGCGGCACATTCTGGAGCGCGCTCGCGAGGAAAGCCTGGAGCAGCGCTCCAACTCGACTCCCACGCACGCTGGCACGAGCAGCAACGGCGGCATCAGCCCCCTGCGACTGCAACTATAATTTGCCTAAAGCTAACGATAAAACACTTCGAAATCGCAGTAAATACCCATCAGGTCACTTGACCTCAAAATAGCTGAGCCTCAAGAGCTATTCCTGGTTTTGGCTCGGAGAAGAAAAGGGGGAGGAGCTCGGGGCGACTGCCATACAAACTTTCATATTAAGTCGTTCCCCCCGTCTAAAGCGATAATGATCATCACTCCGCGCAAGATTTCGTGGCTGCACGTGCACAGGAGCGACAAGACAAGAGCGAGCGCGGGGCCGGCCGGCCCAAAGTAAGCAAGACCGGGAGCGTTCGTTACCCGCACGCGCGACGCGAGAGGGAAAGATGGCGCTCGCGGACATCATGTCGGTGGAGATGAGCGCCAAGTACATGGACTCGAGCAGCTCGTCGAGCCTGTCGTCGGACTCGGACGACCTGTCCTCGTCCTCCAGCTCCTCGGTGGTCTCCTCGTCCTCCGCCGAGTCAGACTCGGATTCGGACGCGCCACGAGCCTCTGCGCGGAAGAAGACGGGGCCTCGGGCTCGTGCAGGCAAGCAGGGGGGCGGGGAGCTCTCCGATTATGGCGACGACTCGGACCTGGACAGCGGGGGGAGAACGAAGAAGAAGAAGAAAGTGACGAAGCCCGTGGCCCCAAGGAGGTCCCCAACCAAGAGCAACGGGAAGGCGAAGAAGGCGGCGAAGCCCGCGCCTGTAGCGGCGCCGCCGAGCGTTCCACCTCCCCCACCGCCACCGCCGCCGCCCCCAGTTGAGGACTCGTCCAGTAACAGTTCGTTCAGTGACAGCTCAAGCTCGGACTCGTCGGATTTATCGGGCTCGGAGGCGTCGTTGCCCGTGCCCCCGCCTCCTCCACCTGCTCCGGCTGATGGGAGTGCAAATGCAGCAGCGAGAGTGACTCCCGCTGGGACCTCGAGGCCTCCGAAGCGGAGAGCTGCAACGAAGAAGAGATCGGACGAAGTGAGTCCGTCGTCGCTAAAGGTGACCCTGAAGCTGCCGCCCGGGTTTATTGCTAAGAATGGCGGTGCAGCTGTGCTCAACGCACCGGCAGCAGCTGGTAACCGAGCGACGATGAACTTCCAGGCGACGGGTCCAACTGCTGCGACTACTAAAAGAGCCCGAGCGCCGGCAGCAGCAGCAGCAGCAGCAGCTAAGAAGGCAAAACCTGCATCAGGAGCGAAATCTACAAAGAAGAAACAGCCCGCTGCTCGTGCTCAGAATACTGCGGCTGCTCTTGGAGGTGCGCCGGTGGCTCATGCCAACGGGGCAATGCCTGGAGCACCGCTCATTCCAGTTGGCCCTCCTATTCTGCCAAAGCTGATTCCGACCGGCCCAACTGTTCCTGCTGGCGAAGTGCGCGGCGCGAAAGAACTTTCACTTGTGGATCCAGCCCTCATTGGAGATAATCCGGAGGAAACTATCGAAGAAAACATCCCAGCTCATTTCAATGACCCATACGCGCATGGGGGAGATACGCTGCGTCTTTTGGACATGTTTTTCTTCTGCGACGAGAATGGGTACGTTTTGTTGTTCTTCCGTAGTAGCTGTAGGCGCTACCTACTAATGGTGTCTGCGGGTTTTATTCATTTGTGTTTTGTAGCAAAGCTATCAGCCTCGAAATCCTCGACCGACCAAAGGAGCAGCGGCCGAAGATTATGGGGTTCGGCACATTGGTAGAGCACTTACCTTTGTCGGAGCGTCCTCTTCCGGTAAAACCCATTCTCGCGTCTCCAGCATTCCCTTCTCGCTCGAAGAAACGCCCACGCGCGGACTCTTCGTCTTCAACTAAGTCGCCCGCCTCAAAGCAAAGAGCACACCCCAAGCGTAGGTCAACAATCTTGAGTTGTTTTTTTTTTGTTTTTATTTTAGCGACTGACTTGATCACTGTTATGCCCTTGCAGCGGGTAGCAACAGTGACAGCAAGCGAGCAAAGCTTGACGGCGAGAAAATTTACCAAGGTGACGGCGAGTTCGATGGAGGGCAACCTGAGCCCTCTCATGCGAAAAGGCGCGGCATTTTCCATCGATCGAACGTGTACCGCTATCCCAGCCCATTTTATCCGAAGCATTTATCCCAAGTGGACGGCGAATCTGATTCAGATAGTGGTGGCAGCGATCTGACCTCGGACGACGAAGACATTCGTTCCACTCGAAGTGGGTCCGCTGCAGGTTCAGACAATGACAGCGAGCTTCTCTCATCTGCAGCTAGCAGCTCGAGTGGGAGTGGAAGTGACAACGACATGGACTCGGGTAATTCCTCGTCTTCAGGTGGCAGCGGTGCAGAAAGTGGAGAAGGCACAGCAACAGGAAGTCGTCGTTCGTCTACTATGTACCAGGCGCCAGTTCAGACTAAACATTTAGCTCAGAGTGCTGCAGCGACGAAAATGGCTGGTGCGCCTCGCCGATCGAGTACTCGAGTGGATTCGAGAAACGCAGGTTTGCCAGCTGATGTAGTCGAGCTCATGCGAACCGACCAAGCTGTTGAGGTCAATGCGAAGGGTACTCCTGACGAGCTAAATTTGATGGAGTGCGGCTACCGCCACCCTGCTGGGTATGCCCGTGCGCGCGTGTGGCTTCCTGAGATTACGGATTGGTGCCTTGACTATGCTGAGGGAGACCCGACGTTGTGGGTTGTCACTCCGCATGCCTGGTACAAGATTGCTGGGCCACTATCCGGATTGTTGCCACACTCATCGTATCGTCAGACTTTCCAGCATGTTCGCCATTTATTTGAGGCTAGTTATCTAGTGGCGTACGTTCTCAAGGAGTGGCTTCCGATTAACAAGAAGGTGTCGTATCGGGCCACTCTCCAGCAGATTATTGAGCTGTCATTGAAGGGCAGATATCGAGTGGTACGGTTGTTGTGCTACCAGTGTATATGTTATTGGTTGATGATCTTTGCTCGAAATCTAACTCGGTTGTTGTTAAATAACCCTCTCTGCAGTCTGCCTGGTTTCTCGTGAAGAATTATCCGTTCATCCGGTCCCAGATATGCAATTTGTTTGCCGACAAGGAGGTGTATCTGGAATCGATGTTTTTCAAGCAGCTTCATCGCTTGCACGAGAATTACACCTTGCGTCAGGCAAGGCACGAAAAGGAAATGGCGGAGAGGGAAGTGCGCCGTGCAAAGCGGGAAAACGAACGTCTTCGCAAAAGGCAACGCGTCGAAGATGAAAGACAACGACTGAAAGACGAGCGCGACGAGGAGCGGAAGCAAAAAGAGGAAGAGCTGAAATACCCCGTGGAAGATTTGCGCCTATTGGATAGAGACGCTATTGATACAAACAGCCTGCCCTTAGCGTGTTCCAGTCTGAAGGGCGTCGATGGTTCTCTGCTTGGCGAGCTGATCATGGCATGGCAGACTATTTGCACTTTCAAGGATTTCGTGGGGCTCGAGTCGATTTCGTTGGAGGCTCTTGTAGAGTGCATCACAACTCGTTCCTATGACGGTACCCATGTCGGTTTGACGCGGATTTTCATGGCGTTTTTGAGAGTGATTTTGTCGGAAAAATCTTTTATGTCGCTCATGGACGATCTTGTCGTTGAGGGCAACATCAAGGTTTCAGATCTCTTTGTCAACAGCGAAAGGACGTACGGGATTTGTGAGCGTGCATATGGTGACATGCTGAATGCAGTGACGTGGCAAGAAATTCTTCGCCAATTGATGTCTAAGGATCTGGGAATCGACCCTTCCATTGGTCATGTGGAGCCTTTGGTGGGATGCGAAATTGTCCGACAGACGTTGTACATGCAAAACAACTCAGCCCCCTTTAACGTCCCGGTTGACACAAAATTGAAAGGCCTTGAAGACTACGCTCAGATTGTCAAGAATCCAATGGATCTGGGGACAATCAAGAAGAAGATCGATTCGGGAGGTTATGAAGGACCTGGTGGGTACGAAAATTTTGCAGAGGATATTCGCTTGGTCTGGGATAATGCCGTTTTGTACAATGGCGAGGAATCGGAAGTGGGCCGCGCTGCCTTGGCACTTTCGGATGTGTTTGAGCAAGACTACGAGCGATTTGTAGTTGGTCGCGTTCGTGCAAACCAAAACCGGATTGAAGGGTGCAAGGAGACCAAAGAAGCACTGCAGGATCCGTCAGCAGAAGAGCTCAAATCGTTTCAGTACGCCGATGTTGTGTATGGATTGTATTGTTCGGAGTTTCACGAGCTTCCTACTTCATACAAAATTGGTGCTCTTTCCTGGATTTGCTCCGAGTTCTTGACGCTTTCCAGCATTCGGACCTACATGTCATCTCAAGTGGAGCAAGAGATGCTAATTCACCGAAATCACCGAAAGCGTGCAGCTGATCTGGATTCGCGAAGGAAACACTCGGACAGAATGCGACGTGAAAGGGAAAACGCCTTCAGAAGAGATTGTGCTAACCAGGGGATTCATCCCAACTCACACAATGTTTTCTCGGAAGGGATTAAGCGTCGGCATGAATTTATTGGGAAGTTTTTCGAGGATATCCAGGCAGAAAAGCTCGAAGACGAAAAAAACTTGGAGCAAGAGAAGAAGGCCCAAGCAGAGGAGATGGCGAGCGAGTTGAGTTCCGTTGTTATTCGCGAGGCTCCTTTGGGACGAGACCGATACCACAACTCTTATTACATGTTCAAGCATGATACGAAGCCGCGGCTGTTTATTGAACGTGCAGATTCAGGGAATTTTGTGCTTTGCAGCAGTAAATCTCAGCTTGAGGAGATTTTGGAGTGGTTGAATCCTAAGGGTATTCGTGAGCTGGACCTGCTAACGAAGCTTCAGGAGGTAAAAGACAAACTGCTCGGTGCATTGGATGGACACGAAGAAAAGAACGGTGAAGAGTCCGGAGCGGGCATAGTATGGAATACCAAGAGCGGAATTGAGCTGCAAATGTTTCCACTTCCGGGCGGTGCAATCAAGAGTGAGACCATGACCATTATCGACGAAGACAAGACTATCCAGTCGCACAATATATCTCGGAAGATGCTGCTTTGTCTGAAGCAGCACCTGGAAAACACCAACACACTGCCTAGTTTGTGGGAAGGTTCACAGACGTGGTGCAGTCGTTTGGAGGAGGCAAAGTCATTCAAAGAGCAGCTTGCTTTGTTTGCTGAACTGGAGAGTGCTGCTGTGGCGGCACTTAACTCGGGCGTAGAGACAATTCGACCTTCGTGGCAACGGAAGCGACATGAGTGGCGTTTGGCATTGGAGGGCTCTTGCACATACGCGCAGCTTGTGTTTTTGTTACATTTGCTGCTCGAGGAGTTTATCAACGTAGAGGCCTTCATGGATCTACACATCCGCCTGGATCGACGTGAATGGCTCAAGCTGCGTCCTAAAGAGACCAGGAACTTTATTCCCGAGGCAGGAAAAGTTGTTGTATACTTTGGAGATGGCCATGCGCTAGCGCTGAAAGAAGACGAGAAGTCGAAGAAGAAACGTTTTACGCAGAAGAGCGACACTCCTGTTCGTAACGCAACGGTGATTTGTACAGTGGAAAAAGTATCATATCACCACGGTGGAGGTGATCCGTACGCGTTGGCAGTGCTGAAACCGATTTCGGATATGGCTCAGCACGAATGTGTTCGTAAGCCTGACACTCTTTTGTGTTCCCTTCCTTCTCGAGAACAAAGGCTTGCTCGAGTATTTTTGCGGGTTCTGGCCAAGCTGAAAATGCTAGCTGATGCCGGACCGTTCTTGGAACCTGTATCGGATCGCGAGTTTCCGCAATACAAGGAAATAATCTTGCACCCGATGGATCTCGGGAAAATGACCGAGAAGGCCAGCAACCTAGAATACAACAACGCAGCTGAGTTTATGACCGACCTCCGGCTCATGCGCGACAACTGCCAGCTCTTCTGCGAAGGCCGTTTCCCTACACTGCCACCGTTGGCTCACAACTTGGTACACGTCGCGGATGGACAAATCAAGAAATGGGCCAAAGAAATTCGTGCATGCGAAGCAAGCGCGGTGGATACATCGGCCAAGACTGACACATCACCCGAGAAGGATGCATTGAAGCAAGAAGAAGCGGAATCGGGGAAACTGGCAACGACTGAGCTTCCAACCGATTCGATAGTGACCATCTTGCGCCTCGAGAACCGTTTGCCCGAGTACATCGTGGATATTAGCCGTTATACATGGGCGGTGAACCGTACTTGGCATTGCGGAGAGAAGTTCCGTATGCTATTCCGTAACCCTGAAGGTTACCCTGGCGAGTACTATGGAGGTGTGACGGCAGGATCGCTACCATTTGATGATCATGGAATGCTGCCATGGGAGTCGTTGCGTATTACGTGGGATGAAGACGACGGATCGGACGACAATCGCATTAACCCGTGGTGCGTACTGTAGCATTGGTATTGGGAATGATGCAGGATTGCTCTCTAACCCGGTTTTTGATATCGCTTTCTCACAACAGGGAGGCTGAATTTCCTCGAAGTGGAAATCGGGCATAGAGATAGATGTTCCCAGACCCCCGATGCCAACACTGGTTAAAGTGCACAAAGTTCCATCCACAAAATACGACTGTCGAGCCGAGGCAACCTTGTTGGCCTCGTGTTGTGACTGTCCCTGCCTCTCACCTAGCTCTTCGTTTAGCAGTTTGGCCCAAAGTTCGGGAACACCCGAGCTGCCGACTTCTTCTGAACCCGTTTTTGCATGCCCTATGATTGAAGACCTCCACGCACTGTAGCCACAGACGAGGTGTCACCCTGCCTTTCATTCGCCCCCTTTCCCGTTGAAGCCCAAGCGCTGGAAAACGATGTGGTCGTACGCGCAGCACGCGTCAAGCCAGCACAGCGCGGTGCTCGCTGGAACGGCAATGGTTGTGGCCTTGCTGGGTTGGAAGGCGCTCTCACACGCGCTACGCACGCCCGAGCAAAAGGCTGCGGATGAGAGCTTTCGTCGGATCCACCGCCCGGCATCCACGCTGCCACTGGTCGGCAATACTTTGGACGCTATGTTCTTCCAGACGGAACGCTTTGTGGATTGGATGGCTGACCAGAGCGCGCTCGCTGGCGGCAAACCGTGGCTCATGAGCATTGTCGGCAGCGCGAAGGCAAGGAAAATATGAAAATCATCAAGGCCATCGTCAACGATGTCATGGCGCAGTCTCTGGCCAGGAAGAATGCGAGGCCGGAACATGATACGGAGGATCAGGAGGCTGAGAAGCTCGAGCTGAAGGAGCCGACGACTGAAACAAAATATCTGCTTTCGTTTTTCCTGGAGTCGGGACTGACGGATGCGCAGCAGCTTTAGGACATGGCCGTCAACTTTTTCTTCGCCGGAAAGGATACGTCCTCATTCGTGCTATCGTGGTTCATCGTAATGATGAACCGCCACCCTCAGGTCCTGCGCACGATTCGTGACGAAATCCGCGACCAGCTTCCCGAATTACTGTCTGGTGAGATCGACGCACCATCGATGGAGCAGCTTGGCCGTCTTCCATACCTCGAGGCTGCTATGCGCGAGAACTTGCGTCTGAACACGAGCATGACCACGCGCTCGCCGAATCAAGACACGACTCTCAGCTGCGGGACTTTCATCCCCAAGAATTCGGTGGTGTGTGTGTGCCACTACGCGTCAGCGCGGCTCAAGTCCACATGGGGTGATGATGCTGCCGAGTACAAGCCCGAACGCTGGCTTGACCCAGACACAGGCAAGCTGCGTCAGTTCTCGCCGTACCAATTCGTCACTTTCCTTGCCGGTCCTCGCCAGTGCATTGGCATGCGCTTTGCGATGCTGGAGCTTCGAATGGTAGCTTCCGTGCTCTGCAGCCGCTTCAACATCAAGACCGTCGAGGATCCGTTTAGCCTCACGTACGAGCTTTCGACAGTGTTTCCCGTCAAAGGTCGATTGATGTGCACGGTGGAGTCGTCAGGTTTAGCAGTTTCGAGCTGAAGAAGACGACAGACTTGACCGAGTCGCAAGATAACCCTTTGACACTTTGACTTCGTTTTCACGAATGAACCTTGTTTGGTTGTTTTACTGCAAAACTGCAGCTCCCTGTTACCTCCTATCCGCTAATGTGGCGCCTACGCCACCATTATCTCTACCTAACTTACCTGTCTCTGCGTTTCCGTGAAAAGGGCGGACCTCTCTATTTCTTGTTCTGCTTCTTTTTGTTTTTGTTTTTCTTCTTGGGCATACTTGATCCGTTCGACTTGTTGTCTATAGACCCGTTCGCAACCAGCTCGGCCTCCTCTGCCGCTATCAAAGCCGCCGCCGCCGCATCTTCAGGCTTGGTGGTGAATTCATCATCGGTGCTGTCCGCTTCGTCCGCATCATGCGTGCCGTTGGCGCTAGGCTGGTGCGAATTCCTCTTGCCTTTTTTCTTTTTCTTGCGCTTCTTGTTGCCATCAGCTACATCGTCCTCCGGCCAAGCCACATCATCCACAAAGCCCAGCGATCGAGCAAACTCCGATCCGTGGTCAATCCCTGCCTGCTCTTCGTTCAGCATCTGCCACGAGTCCTTCTGGTAACCCGGTCGAATGGCCTGGGGCACCGTAAATCCTAGGCCGTTCACACAACACAAAGTCGTCTGATCACGGAGTTCCTGCTCGAATCCACGCCATGTCGTGTGCGACTGCAAAAAGTTACGCAGGAACGCTTCGGGCGACTGCGAAGCCGCCTGCAGACGGATGGCATTGCAAATCTGCAAAATGTAGCCCTTGTTGCTCGTGGTATCGCCGTCGGCACGGTAGTGCTCCACAAGCAGCGTGACCAGCTTCAGCTTCTTGACGAGCACCTCCAAGGCCTGCTGGTTGTCCGTACGCAGCGCAATAAACACAAGCTGGTAGAAAGCAGCGTGGTACAGGTTGTTGTGCGAGTACTCGAAAAACCACGTGACCAGCACACGCCATACGTTCGCGTCAAAGTGTTCGCTCATGAGACGTGGGTTGTGTGCCACAATTTCCACAAGAGCTTCCACGAGCGTGAGACGCAGTTCCGTAAATGGCACCTTCACAACGTACGCCGTATGACGAACAGCACCCTCGGGCAGCGGCTTTCCAGACTCCTCGTCAGGCATCTCAATGTTCTGCTGGCTCACGTATTTCTGGATCAGGTAGCGCAAGAGCTCGCCGAGATGCTGCTCCACAAGACCAAAAATCTTTTCACGCAGCGGGCCCAACTGGTTGGGTACAAGGTTCACAATGGTAGCACCGAAAGACTGGTACGGGCTCGTCGGCGGGCCCTGCACCTTCTCCAGAGTGCTCTTCTGCAGCAAGCGGAACACACACTTCATAGCAGCCGTGCGCTGGCCCACAGTTCTCTGCGGGATCTTGGCCTTGGGGTCCTCCGGCTCCACGGCCGCACGAATCAGTCCCTCCAGCAGCTCGGGGCAGTACGCCGCAGGTTGCAGCAGCAGCTGTCCGTTGTCGTCCGCGGCAAGGCGGTCCAGTAGCTCCACGAACACGTCCGCAGCTCCGATTGTGTGGGTCTCTCCGTACTCAACGCTGCACACGTGGCTGGCCAGCACCAGCAGCACCTTCCACTCCGCCAGTGCACGGAAGAACGCCCACTTCTTGGGGGGCGTCGACGAGTAGAACCGCATGACAGCGGCGCTGTGCGGTTTGCATACCAGCGTCAGGAACAGCTCGGCCACGGGGGCGTGCTCCAGGTACGGCAGCATGGCGCCCATGTACCTCTGCACCGTGTCAGCATTCTTGCCCAGCACGTCGTACACGTCGTCCAGGTAGAAGCGCAGCAGGTGGTCGATGACCCGGCAGGCGTGGCGCAGGTTGCCCTTGGCGTCACTCTGGAACACGGGGAACAGGCAGCGCGTCAGCAGCTTGCTCTTGTCCCCGAGGAACGTGAGCAGCGCGTCCGACGTGTCGTCGTTCGTCAGCAGCATCGTGGCGCGATAGGACGTCAGCAGCTCAGGCGTCACATTGTCCTGCGTCTCCTCCTCGCGGCGCGCGGCGGCGGCGTCGGCACTCGCGAGTTTCTTGGTGTCGGGGCCGTCGGGCAGCGTCTTGCTCGAGTCCACGCGCGTCACGAAGTTGGCGAAGCGCGCGAGCGTCACGTCGTGGTTCAGCGCTGACACCAGCGGCGCGCTCACGGACGCGTTCTCCTCATCCAGCACCTGGCGCACCAGCTCGTCGTGGGCCGACGGCGCGGTCGCGCCCGAGTCGCGGCGGCTCACCGTCACTTCCGTCATTATTGCGCGGGCGGAACGTGGGGGTTATGGGGTTGCTGGATGGTTCGTGGGGACGACGATCGGAGCTGCGGGCTAAACTCCTGTACAATTTGTATATGCTAGCGGAACAAGTTGTGTAAACGTGGTGGTCATGTAGCCATCTGGCAGATGCCGTCTACCAGATAGCTACATGAATCACCATTTCATGGCCCTCGAAGTCGATCTCGGCGACAGATGCGAGCCAAGGCCATCATCAGCTCTGGAGAGCTGGAGTGTGCAAGTAGCTGGGAACTAACCTCAACAGATCTCGCTGAGCGGGGCTCAAGAACTTGCTGTAGCTGAACGATCAAACACGTTGGAAATTGAATCTATATGTACATGTATTTACTGCAGCATGGCTGTAAGACCGTCGTCGTCTTCCGAGTGTGGAGTTGGCTGTTGCGCCTCCATCGTTTTGAGATGTTGCTGTTGATGCCGTCGAAAATCTTGAAGCTTTTCCATTGCCTGACTATAGAAAGGATAAGTGGAGGCAGGAGCTGAATATTCGGGTAACTTCTGCAGCACGAGGGCGAAGTGGCAGCTACGAGCGAATGGTGTCCAGACACGAAATCTGTCGGGTGCAATGGCCTTGGCCACGTCGAAGATGGCAGGCCACAGCCGATGAGTCGAGTCCGTGAAAATGAAGTAGCTGCCGGCGCTACACTGCGAGAAGAGCGAGCGCAGGAACACGTACGCGCTGCCCCGAAGCAGGCAGAAATTTTCCGCGCACACGAACGAAAACACGTGCAGCTGTGTGTTCTTCAAAGTCTTCGACACGTGAGAATTCTCTTCTGCGTGCACGTCAAACGTGATGTCACAGAGCTGGAAGTCCACCGAGGCGTTGTGTTGCTCCATTTGCTCCAATGTCTGGCCCACCGCATCGATTGCACATTTCCAACCCGGCTCATTGTCGTACACAGTAGTGTGGAAGTTCACGTCCCAAGCTCGGAGGTACTCACGCATGAAGACGAGTCCGAGCGCGTCATACCCCGGTCCTCCGCCATACAGCGCCATATTCCAACAATCCGGTTGCTTGACTCGAAAGAGCTCGGATCGGAACTCGCTCAGCTCTTCAGTCAGCAGGAGGTTGGGCAGGTTCCCACAACGGTTGATCTTCTGCTGGATGTAGCCGCTCCGTGCGTGCGTGTTCTCAAACGATGGTCGTTGTCCGGTATTCGTCGACAAGCAAAGTCCCTTCTTCAGCTCCATCGTTTCGGCCATTGCAGCTGCAGGCAGCAGCTCCAGCAGGCGTGGTAAGAATGTCTGGCATTCATTGCGGATGAAAGTGTTCCAATTGTGTCGGAATGCTCGACTGCGGAAATTCCATTGCGATTTTCTCGGCTGGACGTCGTCTCCATTGCTACCAGTGAACTGCAACCACGTGCACGTGAAGAGCCACCGCCTGCTCACTGCCCGAAGCTGGCGGCGCTCTCCCGAGGAGAGGAATGACGCTACCAGCTCTCCGCTCTCGGTGTCCATTGCCTGCTGCTGCGAACTTAGCGACAGTTGCAAAACCGTTTCAGTAAGTTCGTAAAATATGTGACGTGTGCAAAATAATATTGATCTAATGCCTTCGCCAGCAACAAAGCTGCGGTAACGAGCCTCGTACTCGCTGCAGGAACTGGGGAATCGATCAAAAGCAAGTTATTAGCGTCGATGCAGTGATTGATAACGAGCATTTGAAATACCCACAGTGCGGTTCACTCCGTAGACGATTGCATTCATCAATCCCTGAAAAAGGCAACAGCGAGTGAGAGTTGATCCAATAGTATTCGACACGCAATCGACAAATACCTGCAACGGAGTAAAGAAACTGACTAAATACAGAAGTGGAGCATTGAGAGCGTGGTTTGGAGCCACAGCTTGGTAAGCAAACGCGAAGACGATCCAGACATTCGGCAGGAAAAATGCCCAGCTGTAGAGCAAAAGGCGATAGTGAACGCGAGTCTCCATGCTCGTTGATAAGCTGTCAGTCTGCCTCAAACATGATCAGTAAGTTAGGTAACATGGAGACGAGCAAGGAGCTTGAATAAAGTAGCTTGTGCACAACTTACCATTGAATACAGCAGCATCACGTACGTCACGAGGTTGTGCAGAAATATGAGGACCACCGGCACGTAGAAAATAACGAGCTGGACGTAGAATCCTTCAACACTCCACTGGTCGTCACTCCATGAGCGTATCCAACACCAAGGCCGTCCGCTCTCGCCTACGAGACCGGTACCAGCTAACGTCTGCGCATACAAATGGGCAACAGTCTATGACACAACAAGAGTAAGTCCAGGATGACCGCAACAGCATTCCATACGCGTCAATGTCTTACCGCTGCGGGTATCCCCCATGCCACAAGGTGGTAGCGATCTTCACACAGTTCGGGAGCTTTGGACCGTCCCGCTAGTAGCTGAAATAGGTAGAATGCAAAGCACGCAGTCCAAAAGCACGACGCTAACTGGAAAAACACTAACGTATAGCCCTGAACGAACGAAAGTGCGAACAAGAATAGTAAGCTTCAGAGCAACTAAACCATTCCACTGAATCAAAACGTACTTGAACAGTGCAAGTTCTTGCTGTATGCACATCGACGGGATCTACGTCTTCATCCACGGCCGGTAGCACGAACATCAGGAGCCAAGCGCAAGCAGCCCCCGCATCGGCCAAGTGTAAGCAAAATAGCAGGCGTCGTCCACATCGTCTCGACTCTTGATATGCCAGGAAGTGCGCGATCATCACCAGCGCCCCAAGCAGTGATAGCCCGCTGGAGACTCCAACCAGCAGCTTCGACGTTGAGAGCTCCCGTGCCGCATGAAGCTGCTGGTCCTGCACGGAAGCACCCGCATCGACCATAGTCCTGGGGGTCTGCCGCAAGGTGACTCGCTAAAGCATTCTCAAAATCGGATCCGTCGGAAGATTTGCATCGTGCGGTCACCAGCGCTTCAACACGTGACCCTTCATGCCCAACAAGATCGTGACAAATCCACAACAGATAAGCCATTTTTTTTTACTAAAGTGCAAGCTCGGTCTCTATTAATCCGGGGTGAAGGTGATTCCGCCATCCTTCTGGCGTTTGCCACATAGGCAGCCGAATAATTTGACGCACGGCAGGTCGTAGTAGTATTTCTCCTCGGGGTCGCTCAGCACGCGATAAGCCTCCTTGAGCTTCTCGTACTTGTATGGCTCAGTCTCGTTGTTGAAGCGCTTCACCAACGTGTTGTACGCCGCATCAATCTGCTCGCGGCTAGCAGTCTTCACTAATCCGAGTTTTGCATACATGTCCTTCGCCTTCCACATGCGGATTTCGTAGAATTCGAGTTGCTGACGCAAAGCCTCAAGGATACGTGCCTCGCAAGCCCCCCATTCGTACATGTGCCTCTCGCAGAATTTGTGAGCTAGAATCTCCACGTAATGCACGCAGCGTTGACCGCCATGGAGCTCTGTCTCGCAGATCCAGTCAGACTCAGGTCGCACGTACTCAAGTGTATGCGATAGGCCGGCGTAAGTCGCCTGGACGGAAAACAACGTTCGACGGGGCTGCATGCGGTTGCACTCGACTCGAGTACTATTACACACGATCTCAATCAGCGACGTGTTCAATGGAGCTGTCTGGAATAAGTCGTGCTTCTCCATGAACGCGTACACGACGTCAACAGGTTCTTGGCCTTCCAAAATCTGAACATCGCCGAGTTTGGTGCTAGCTGACTCCCAGACTGGAATTGATAACAGCATTGGTTCGGCTCGAGTGCAGTTTGGTCGTTTGCGCGGCTCATTGCACACTTCGATCAGGAATTTCTGTCGCTGGCGTAGCGTCAGGTTACGCATGAGACCGTACTCGTAGATCACGTCGGTGGAATCTTGTCCGTCGAAGAACGGCAATCGCTCTTGTTGACCATCAGAGAGCGTGTACACAGCTTCGTAGAGGATTCCGACATCACGCGTGCATTCGAGACCACTGGCTTGACACACACCAGTGACGATGCTCTTCTTTTCTTCCGGACCCAGCTCGTGTTTGTTGCCGAATCTGGCCACGGCATCTGCCGGCTCTTCGTTGGCAAGCACCTCTAGAATTCCAAGATGCGATCCGTTTTGCGCTGCCACGGGCACTCGAAACACTACAGGCGCGTAACGCGAGCAAGCGAGCGGTTCTTCATCTTCCTCATCATCGTTCTCTTCTTGACCGGACGCCGATTTGGGAGGATTGCACAAACTTTCTAGCAGCGTATCCCGGTCACCAGGAGCCAAATTGTGTTGGTCTGCGAAATGATAAACCACATCTGCGGGTTCTTGACCCTCGTAAATGTTCACGTAGCCTAAAATTTGGCCAGTGCCGTCACTCACTGGGGTTGATCGCAAAAGTGCCTGCCCTCGAGTGCATAGAATGCCTTCCCGAGTTCCACACAAAGCTTGTAGCAACGACACCTGCAAGTCCCGGGTAATGTTTGTTTGTCTCGAGAACCTGTGCACGGCATCCGTTAATTCCTCGTCCTCTCGAATCGATAAAAAACCCACTGTTGTGCCATTTTCCACGGCCACAGGCGACGAGAAAACGATCGGCTTCAGGCGCTTGCAAGTCACGTAGGTGTCATCGCACACCTTACGGACTAGATTTTGCCGGAACGGCTTGGCCAGCCCGTAGTTCAGCCCGAAACTGTGCACCACATCAGCGGGCTCTTGTCCAAGCGGAATTTGCAGGACCCCAAGCTGACGAGGTTCTCCGGTGCTTTCGTCCTTCACTACAATGCGCTGCGAGTACACCAACGGAACTGCGCGCTGGCACTGCGCGTCTCCAATAACAGAGCACGTTACGGAGAGCAACTGCTCCATCGCAAGCAGCGGCAGCTTATGGTCCTTCACAAACTTGTAAATTTGGTCCACGGGCTCCACATCGTCGTAGATATCGAGCTTACCAATGACGACTCCTCCATCTCCACTGACAGTCTTTGAGTGCATCAATGCGTTGTACCGCGTGCACACCACACGAGGAACTGCACACACCGCTTCCAGAATTGTTGCTCTTCCTTCCCGCCCAATATCATGCTGCAATGCAAACCCAAGCACGGTATCCGCCGGCTCAACGCCCTCCAGTATCTGCAGCTCCCCCACGACTCCCCCGCCTGGTGAGGTGATCTGCATCGAGTAAAGCAATGGCACCTCCCGTCGACACACCACTCGCGGTCGCTGGCAGATCTGCACCAGCATATTGTATCTCCAAGCGGTTGTCTGGCCGTGCCTCACTCGAAAAGCCTCCAACGTGTCCACAGGCTCTTGCCCGGAGAGCAGTAGAAACTGTTTGTGCTCGGGCGGAGGCTCCAGAGGCAATTGCACCTCCAGCAAAACTTCCAATGCCATGCAGGACACTATACAGAGCAAGACGAAGGTCAGCCATGAGGTGATATGCGGGAACACTGCAGGGCGAACAGCATGGCGTGGACGCATCGTTCGGTGCTGGAAGAGCGGGGATTGATTCGCGTCCTTTTCGTTTGGATACGGTCCGAGCAAAACTCTGTACAAGATGGCTACAAAGTGAATACGACTTCCTATTGGCAATCATCATGGACCAATCGGCGTGGTTGAAATGAATAACTTCAACTGCTCTGCAACAAGACCACTTGATCAATGCATTGACTTTTGTTTTACGATAACCTAGGCAAGACACCCCCCACATTAATATTCTTACGGCTCCGTCACGGGCTCCTTCGCTGCGTGGCAGCACCCGTGCAGATCGGAGCTGTCCTTGCCGTTCGGGTCTTCCGGCACATCCAGCGTCGGGTTGCGGTCGAAGAACCCCTCGGGGATCAGCTTGAAGCCTGCGTAGTCCACGGGCATCATGGGCCAGTCCTCCACGCGCGGGAAGTGCGTGAGGCCGAACGTGTGCCACACCACAATGTCCTCGCCGTCGACCGGCCGGTTGCCCTTCACGTAGCTGGGCAGGCCGGCAAAGCCCGGGTGCTGGTTGGGCGTGTACCCGGCTGCCCACAGCTCGTCGCGGGCGTACTTGGTGACCCAGAGGTGCTTGGTCGAGAAGTTGGCTCGCTTCCAGATCGACGACCCGTCCGCAGCCAGGAGCACCGGCTGACCCTCCGGGAAGAGCGCGTAGCCCGTGGAGCGCCCGAGGCGGTTCTTGGCCTCGCTCGACGCGATGCGCCACACCCGGCCCTTGTCCATCGCGGCCACGCGCTGGGCGTCGCTCTCAGTCTTCAGCCGAGTGGCCGTCCGCATGAACGCATTTCCACGAGGGTTATCAGGGCTGATCGGCAGGCGCTTGGCCTCCAGCTCGTCGACATGGCACTTGTTGCCGTCGATGGCGACATCCAGACGGGCCGAGAACAGGTGCTGGTGGCACGGCGCTCCGAGGCGCGGGGCCATCTCGGTCGCGTACTCGTACTCGCCCTCCGGTCGCCCCGAGGTGAACACGATGCCCGTGGCCTTGCACTCCAACTCGATCCTGCCGTCAAGGTAGAAGTACCAGTAGAAGCCGTAGTCGTAGTTGCCCACCGTCACGAAGAACGAGACCACGAAGCGACGCTGGCGACGCACGGTGCCCGTGGGCGGCGACGCGAGCACGTCGGTGTGTTTCCAGAGCGTGCCGAAGTCCTCCTCGTGCATGCAGATGGCGTTCTTGATCACGAACGGCTCGCAGAAGTCGTCGACGACCGTCGCGTCCAGGTACTGAATACTGCCGAGGCAGTCGCAGCCCAGCACGAGCGAGTTGGCGAGGCGGCCGAACTGGTACTCGCCGGCGTCGAAGTAGTTCTGCCAGTCGTGCGTGGGCGAGGGCTCGCCGTAGGGCACCACCATCTCGGACACGGACGCGCGGTTCAGGATCTTGCGCTTGCGGCCGCGGTCGCTGAACGAGATGTCGTGCAGCGTGAGGCCCTCGCGGCCGTTGAAGCCGACGCGGATCTCCCAGTTCTGCCACGACACGATGTTGTCCTTGACCGTGAAGCTGGCGCCCTCGGCTGCTTGATGTGCAGCGGCTTCATGTCCGTGCGCATGGGGCCCGTGACCTTCGGGTCCAGGTAGTCGCCCGACTCCATCGGGATGTGCGTGTAGCCCGTGTCGACGAGCTTGAGCACCTTGCGGTTCGTCAGGTCGACGTGCGCCACGAGGCCGTCGATGGGGTGGCCGTACATAGCGTGCGTGTTCTCGACCTTGAGGAAGCTCAGCACGCGGATCATGCGGTTGCCCTCCTCGCCCTCGTAGCCGAAGACGCCGGCCGAGAACTGCTCGCCGCGCACCATGTCCAGGTCCGTGATGCCGCGCTTGGCCAGCGCTGCCACGTAGGCCGGGTCGGCCTTGCAGATGGAGTCGCCGTCCCAGTAGTCCTGGTCCAGGATGGGGATCTGTCCGTCGGTCTTGGGGTCCAGCTCCACGTCCTTGACGATGCGGCGCGCCACGACGTCCACCACGAAGTCGCGCGTGACGTTGGTGGCCTGGTCCAGCACGAGCGCGCCGATCTCGCGCGGGATCTCCGCCAACTCGCCGGCTTCGAACTTGGCCAGCGTCGGGTGGTCCGGCTCGAACAGCATCACGTACGCGTAGCGCAGCTCCGGGCTCGAGTACCCGGCGTCCGCGAGCACTTGCTTGGCGATGCGGACCTCGTCAGCTGTGACCGGGTCAAGCGGGTGCTTGATGCCCTTGGACGGGATGTGAACACTTGGAGCCATGATGGCGTCGGATACGCGCTGGAAGAGGGGAGTGCGGTCGGAGGCGAATCCGAAAGTGAGAGCCGGCAGAGTCCGCCTCCATCAAGCTCGGCTACCTACTACCCGCCCGATCCCGCCATGTGGCTGCAGTTGATCAAGGAGAGACGCCATGCCATGCTCGCCACCATACAGCGCCATGCAGAAACCCCATTACGGCGCATATGACGTTACGCATTTTGGAGGCAAGGTCTGCATCGCATAAAACGCTGGAGATCGGCGACCGATACCGGCGGTACGAGTCTCGCCCAGCTGTTGCGACAGGTTCAACTCCCATTGGCGGCCTCGTGCCTCACGCGCATCGAGTCACCAAGACGGCAGTCTTCGCACCATGTATGACAAAGGTGAGCTGCAGCCTGCAGCTTCGTTGCCAAGACCGAGGTCGCTGTGAAGCTTGGCTTGGCTGCTTACAGTGCTTTCAGGCTTGGCGAGGTAAATTACACTATTGTAGCCATTTTAGTCTGCCTAACGCGCTGCCGTGAATGCTGCTACCGCAAGACTGCTATCTCTTGCCATTGTGCACAGTCTCGGCAGCTCAAGTTTGCACCGATGTTGCCAAAGCTACAGGCTGTAGCCTACAGCTCAAGCCACCAAAACGTTAGCCGGCGGAGACCACCACCCCTCGCCAGCTTGCGGATACTGTAGCCATTTTCGCCGATAGAACCACCCCCATCTCAGCGTCGGCGACGTCGACCGATCTGCAGCACTCGATCCGGTCGACAGGGTTATGCTACGCTCGACGCGAGCCAAAGCATCCCCGAGGCGCGTGACATGATCATCACCTCGATGCTGGTGCGACTGGCTGAACCAAGTCACCCGCGCGATGACGACCAGTTCACTGCACGAACACCGTTCGTTTACTCCTGTTGCGGAGAGCTGCACTTTGACGCGGAAGGGCGGACCAAGCACGCAGGGCCCCAGGGCGACGTCTCCGCTTCATTTGCCTCCACGCCTCCATGATGGAGTCTCACAACCGCGTTTACTGTATCATGGCCAAGCAGATTCTACCCTCTCCTCAATTCGTCTTGAAGCCCGCCAGCTGCTGGCGACCGTGGAGCCATCGCCGTACGCTCGCAGATTCTGCATGAAACCATATCTAATGTACCGGGACGAGCTTACCTTGAACCTATGAAATTGTGTTGCATCGCTCGTCAAATGGTTCGACAGGTAAGGCTAGCTCGGCAGCAAACCATCGCTTGATGCTGCCGCTGTCGACGTGAATCGAGAGTCCCGCTATAAGTTAGTAGACTTTCGGCACAATATGTTTCTTGCGCTATTCCTCCTGGTTTCTGGCTCAGAGGATCAAGAACGAGGAATTCACTCAAGTAAAGAAGTTGCAAGTATTTTCATAGCTGGTAGTTGAAAAACAGCAAAAAAATATGCGTAGCAAAACACAGTTTTCACTTATCCTAAGAATCAATCAGAAAGACGCGCTGTCCCCGTCACAAAATCGTCACGCTTATTCACTAAGTACGATTCCCACTAAGTACGAGTAGCTGCCGAGCGCAGCGAAGGCGACCCCCTCATACGATATTGCGGGGCCGCAGGACCCGCCCCGGCCTCTGTAGTACAGTCAAACCTGTTTATATGAGGCCCTGTTGGTGACCATCTACTACAATGACTCATATAAAATGGACTCAGTTAAAATAATTATGTGGTGCACGTAAAGAAATCGTGCATAGTTCGCTGCCGCTTTGCCTTCACCGTAGTCTCTCGAACCAAAGCGGTCACGGTTTGTAAAGTTCTTCGTTCTCTGTCAGTCTGCTCTCCGCATTGCAGCAGAAATGCAGCCAGCTCCATGCAGTGTCTCAGAGCAATGGCAGGTTGAACTGCGGGTTCCTGTTCCTCCTCTTCCTCCTGCTCGTCCTGCGAAACTGCATCACTTCCTGCCGCTTCGTCCACTAGCACATCTGGCTCGTGCACAGGAACGTCTTCGTCCACTGCCAGATACTCACTAGCGCTAACAGCGCCCTCCCACCTCGATAGCATCGCCGTTAACTCCTCCATCTCGTTGCTGGATACCTCCTCAATGTAATCCGTGTCAGCACGGGTCCTTCCTAGCATCTTTTCTCCCAAAATGCGAGTCTTGACCCAGCAATTTGTAATTGTCGTTGGCGTCACACCCGCCCAAGCATCAATGGAGAATTGGACAGCTTCCAGTACGTTGAGCTTGCGTGTAATGTTAGCTTCAAGTGCATCCAAACACCACCGCACAAAATACTTTCGGTACCGAGCCTTGAACGACCGGATAATACCTGAATAAAAAAAACACCGTAATAGAGTTGGTTAGTTTTGGCTACACCACAATATAGATAAAATATTTACCTGCATCCAGCGGCTGTACGGCGGATGTCATGTTAGGAGGGAGGAAGTGAACAGTCACATGAGTCAGGTTTCGTAGAATCTTGTGGCATGAAGCATTGTCGACTAGAAGTAGGACCTTGCGATTGGCGGCCGCCATTCTCATGTTGAAGAGGTGCAGCCATTCGTCAAAAATGACGGATGTCATCCAGGCGTTCTTGGAGGACTTGTACAATATAGGTTTACCTTTAATCGCCGCTCCCTTTCTAAAGCACCTCGGGTTCTTGGCCGTACCGATGACTATTGGGTCGAGCTTGTCGGAGCCAGTCGCGTTGCAGCAGAAGACCAAAGTCAAACGTTGCTTCTCCTTTTTCTTGCCCTTGCGAATAGTCGTAGCTAGCGTTCGATTAGGCGCTAAGCGATAGAAAAGCGCCGTTTCGTCGAAGTTGAACACATTCTCGGGTGTAAACTGCGCCACCAACTCTTGTAGCTCTAGCCTCGCATCTCGCACTTCATCAGCTTCTACAGCGCCACCTTCGCCGTGTAGCGTATGGGAGCGGATCCCATTGCGCTTCTTAAAGCTTTGAAGCCAGCCGTTGCTTAGCCGGAGCTGCGTGGCATCGATGCCTAAGCGCTCAGCCAGCTCATGCGCCTTCAGCAGGAGCACGTCGTCCGCCATCGCCGTTTTAGCTTCGTTCTGAAAGAAAAATTCCCTCAGTTCCCGCTCGAACTGAGGGGATTTCACTCGGCGCCGCTTGGTCGCACTCCGGTCGACGTGGCTGAAGTAGGAAGAAGGCAGGTTGCGCAGTCGGGCGAGTGTGGCACGGCTGACCCGGGCCTTGAAAGTTACGTAGATCCACTCGGCGAGCATGGGGTTGTTCATGCCAGGATTCTGCTAGAGCTTTAGGTGCACTTGGAGCTTTTGTTCTAGCGTCAGACAGGTGCGAGGAGACATGGCGAGCGAAGAAGGCTTGCGGTAGGCGTTGAGTGTTGAGCAGCAGTGTGAATCAAATAAACAGGTGAGACCTAATTTGGTCCCCAAAAATGTGACTCATATACCTTGTATGCATATAAACAGAGATCATACAAAAACTAAGTGAAATATTTGGTAGTGACAAAGCCTGCATCAAATAAACGGCATGGCTCAAATAGAGAGGATCATATAAACAGGTTTGACTGTACTAACCTAACATTGAGAGTAGTGCAGCGAGCCGACGAGGCGAGCGGAACGGGTCCGCCCTGCCGTAGCGAAGCGTAGGCAGTCTGCTCCAATAGCGGAGCGAGCATAGCGAGTGAAGCGCCAACTAACTGAAAATCCCCGCCGCGTAGCGGCGGCGCTCGGCTAGTTGTAGCTTCAGCGCAAATGCTAGCAAAACATCACGCGCTGTGTCGATACTATCCGCTGGGTAGACAGACACACATAGGAACAAAATCGATGACTTACGCCTTGAGGTACCAGGCGAACGGCTTGTCCGCAATGTACGTGCAGATCTGCTTGGGCTCGAGGTAGGCGTTCAAACCGAAGGGGCCGAGCTCACGGCCAATGCCGCTCTTCTTGACGCCGCCCCACGGCAGCTGCACAAAGCACGGCTGCGAGCAGTTGTTCCAGACTATTCCTGCGCGCAGGGCCTTCGTCACCCGCTTAAGCTGCGCGTCATCCGAAGTGAACACAGCAGCCCCGAGGCCAAACTCCGAGTCGTTCGAAAGCGCGATAGCCTCCTCTTCCGTCTTGAACGTCATTACAGACAGGACTGGGCCGAAGATCTCTTCCTTCCAGACACGCATGTTCTTGGTGACCTTGGTGATGATCGTGGGCGGCACGAAGTAGCCCTTGCCTCCACTAGGCAGTGTTCCTTGAGCCACGGTCGCTCCTTCGTCCCTGGCGCTCTGAATGTAGCCCAGCACCTTTTGCTGCTGCACCTTGGAGACCAGCGGGCCCATCTGCACCTTGCTATCCAGCGGGTCGCCCAGCACGAGCTTCTTCGTCTCCTTCGTGAGCAAGTCCAGGAACTCGTCCGCGAAGTCTTCGTGCACCAGCAATCGCGACGTCGCGCTGCAGATCTGGCCGTTGGTCCAGAAACAGCCGAACATGACCCACTCGACCGTGCGTTCAATGTTGGCCTTGTCGAGAACGATGGCCGGCGACTTTCCTCCCAGCTCCAGCGAGATCTTCTTGATCTCCTTTGCAGCCTCCGTCATGATGTGGCGTCCGGTCGGCACACTGCCGGTGAACGCCACCTTGTGCACGTCCGGGTGAGACACCAGAGGGCCTCCCGCCTCAGCGCCAAGCCCATTGACGACGTTGAGGACGCCAGCGGGCAGGCCGACATCGGCCGCGATCTGTGCCACTCAGAGGCGTGATCTCAGAGGGCTTGAGCACCACGGTGCATCCAGCAGCGAGGGCAGGTGCCAGCTTCCACAAGGCCATCAGCGCCGGGTAGTTCCACGGGATGATGGCGGCCACGACGCCCACAGGCTCATAGCGCAGCGCCTCGAGAGGCAGGTCCACCTTCTCGTACTGGCGCTTGTCCAAAGCTTCCGCAGCGTCCGCGTAGTAGTCAAAGCAGCCGGAGACGTCCTCGATGTCCCACACGGCCTCGGCCAGCGGCTTGCCGTTGTCCAGCGTCTCGAGGTGACTAATCGCGTCAATGCGCTTGGCCACCAGCTTGCTCATCTTGCGGAGGTACTCGGCGCGCTCGGCCCCGGTGGTGGCTCCCCACGTCTCAAACGCGCGCTTGGCCGCCTGCACGGCCAGATCCACGTCCGCGGCCGACGCGGCGGCCACCTGCTGGATCACCTCCTCGGTCGCGGGGTTCACCACGTCGATGTACTTCTTGTCGACGGGCGCGACCCACTTGCCGTCGATGAAGAGCTCCTTGAGGGTCGGGATCGGGTCGCTCATGGTGGCTGGGGAGGGGAAGCTTGGATGTCGGGGTGTCCTGCGCAGCGCAAATTGCAAAGTGAGTTTGAAGTGGAGGAACGCCGTCGACGTACTTCGTTCGACCTGCAGCCCCGGCACCAGGTTGAACCTCCTGGAGCGGACCGCATGCTCCGCGGCACGTGGTGGGCGCGGGTCGGACAGTTCGCGAGACCCTGCCACACCGGCCGTGAATTTCTAAGCAGAACTCCAAGCAGAATATGGTTGTCCTCGTTGCTTTTGATAGCATTGCTTCGTGCATGAACACCATGCACACGTTGGATCAACAATGAATTACATGCATTATGCTTGTGGAGCTCACTTTAGCTGAAATATTCGACACCACGCAACAGCAATGGCCCCCTCCCCCTTCAATCGCGGGAGAAACCATGGTTGACTTCTGACAGCGCATGCAAGCCGGTCTTTCCTGACGCCATGGTGTGGTAGTTCGCCTGGTTGCGCTTGACGATTTTCTCGCGCACGCCCTTGGGTGCCGCGGGCGAGCACAGCGTGTTGTTCTTGATCTGAGGCTCGACGTGCTTGACGTAGTAGATGCTGCCGAGCATGAACACCAGCACGGTGACGACGATGGAGGCCAGGAAAATGGTGTCGCTCAGGCTGCTGTACAGGATGGCGAAGATGGCCACTCCGCACAGCGCGATCCCGACGACAGCGCCCGTGACCCCGAACGGGCTGCGGTACGGTCGGGCACGCCCAGGCTGCCGCACGGCCAGGTAGATGTATGAGAGCAGCTGGAACACGTACGAGATGAGAGCGCCCAGCAGCGTCAAGTTGATGAGCGCGGATCCCAGGTTGGCGTCTCCAATAGTGTAGTGCAGCGTGATGGCGATTACTTCGCACATTATGGTACCGAAGACCAGTGCGCCGACTGCGGTGCCTCGAGTCGGGTGCTCGTACGCGAGGAATTTGGGGAAGTACCCGTCCTTGGCGATGGCAAACAGCAACTGCCCCATGAAGAAAATGTACGAGTTCGGACTGGAAGTTAGCGCAATGACGGTCAGCCACTTCAGGACCGTCGTCGTGGCTCCATTGCCGAATAGCGTCTGGAAGCTGGTAACTAGTGGCGCCGAGACGTTAGCCATGGCCTCAGCCCCCGGGGAAATGAGGGAGCTGAATGTGGCCGTACCGAAAGACAGGAACACCAGCGTGACGATGCACAAGAACAATCCCCGAGGGACGTTCTTCTCGGGCTCGATGGTCTCGTCGCTGGCGAGTGGGAGCTCCTCGATGCCCAGGTAGAACCACATCGCGAACGGGATTGCGTGGATGGCGCTGTCCAGACTCGTGAACTCCCAATGCTGCTGGACGACCCACTTATCATAGTCAAGGTACGGGATTGAAGCGACGAAGAAGATCAACAGCAGCGCCACACACAACGTGGTCGAGCACGCCTGCATCCGGAACGACGCCTGCACCCCGAAGACGTTCAGGCTCAGGAAGAGGATGCCAAACGCGACGAAGAAAAATGGGGCGAACTTCACGTCGACGTTGAACAGCGCTTGGAGGTACGAGTACACGGTGTAGAACGTCGACGCGTTGACAGCGATCACCTTCAGCGTCTCTGCCAACCCGCTGAAGAAAGCTGCGCGAGGGCCAATCGCGTGTAGCGCGAAGATGTAGGGGCCGCCTCCTGCTGGGATCGTGGATGAAAGCTCGGCAATGGAGAACGACAACATCACGTAGAGCACGGTCACCATGCACAGGACGAGCAGCATGCCGTCGAACCCGGCAATCAGGGCCGACTGCCAGCCATAGTACTGGCCGCTGATGACAGCACCGATCCCCAGCGCCCAAAGCTGTGGGGCTCTGGCGTATCGATGCGGCACCGTGTTGGTCCCTTGAACGTCGACGGAAACACGACACATTATCGCAAGCTGGATAAGGCGTGAAGTCCTACGAGCTGCGAAGCCAATTCCAAAGTGATCGTGTTAAGCTTTGGCTCGCACTGTTAGTTTTCTCGGTGATGAGCGCTCCTTCAAGCGATGCAGAGCGACCTCATTGGCTTTCGCAGAGCGTCACCGTTCTTCAAGCGGCTACGGCTTGACAAGCAGCGAATTACCAACAGGATCGCCTTATGGCAGGCAGCGCCTAGGGGAGAATTCCCTAAGGATTTCCAGCTGTGCGCACTGTTTAACCTGCGTGAGTTTGGTGCGCCGAACTCTAGGCAGCGCGAACCCCTGGCCCGGGTTGCGCTTGGTAACAAGTATTTTTTTGCAGTGGATAGACCCTCATATTGCCGTAATTATCTCCGGGCCATGCTACGAAGTAGGAAACAAACCCCAAATACAAGAAGTTCACGGCGGGCAGGATCGAGTCCTTTGCATAATGCAAATAAATTCTCGACCACCTTTCCATTCTCGCATTGAATCGGGACATGCTATGGTTGTTCCGGTGATGGCGGCTGGTGCTTCGGGCGACATACGACGCGAGCCTATGTGGCAAGGGATCGAGTTGAAGCATTTCCTCGCTGACAGTGCTAATTGTTACCACCATCAGGTAGCACTGCTAGCAGACGCCGGGGCTCGATGCTGATAAAGTTGCGACTTCAACGACACGCTTGGAGTGTTGACAAAATTCGTGCGTTGAAGCTTTAAACGAGTTCGTATTGACATGCGAATTACAAGAACTGAATGAGGTGGAAGAATGGAAAACGGATGAGGCCGCGCTAGGCCCCGGTCGAGATGGGCACTTGACTGCGGGCACTTAACAAGTTCTCGCTCATATCCTTGGAAGTGACGGGCGAGCCGAGGGTGTTGTTCTGGATCTTGGGCAGCACAACTCGGCAGAAGTACACGCTACCGGCGATGAAGACCAACGCAGTCACCACGATCGAGGCCAGGAAGATCGTGTCGCTCACACTCGTGTACAGGATGGCGAAGATGGAGATCCCGCACATTAGCAGACCGACGAAAGCCCCCGCTAGGCCAAACGGGCTGCGGTAGGGCCGCGGTCGGTTGGGCTGAAGGTAGCGCAGGTACACGAACGACAGCAACTGGAAGATGTACGAAATGAGAGTAGTGGGTACTGGAACAAAACCCAGTCAGTTTTTTTCTCCCCGTAATTTACCATAGAGAACAGTCGTAGAACGTTCTCCGTGAAAGAGGTTATTTCAACGATGCACGCGATCAATACCCTCTGGTGAGAAGGGACACCCTTATCACCTGCAAGCACCGCATATAGCAACATTGGGATTGCATTTTCATTCTAAAGAAAAACAATATCATCCACGCGCGACACGTGGCGTCTCATCATTGGTTGAAAAGCTATGTGACACGCCTTCATTTCCGCTTAAATACGTCCGGAAATTCTCTCCCCCTTTTCTTCCTCATTCCAGAATCTGCTGCCTCGAGGAAAGATGGTGAAGCTCTTCTGTGCCATCGTTGGGGTGGCGGGAGCCGCTTTTCCAGTGGACATCGACGCGGAGCAGTCGGTGGGGGACTTGAAGAAGGCGATCAAGGCGGAGAACCCGGCGACGATCACGGGCGACGCCAAGGACCTGCAGCTCTTCCTGGCGAAGAAGGACGGCGCGTGGCTGAAGTCGAAGGATCTGCTCCGGATGCGGAAGGGGGAGATCTCCGATGAAGTTGAGAGTCTCTACATGAAGGAGGAATTGGACGATCCGACGGACAAGATCTGCGCAAAATTTCCCAGCACAATCCCCGACGGAACGATTCACGTGCTGGTGGTGGTTCCGGTTGGTGCAGTTGGTTCAGCGAGCGAGACTTCCAGGATGGATCAAGTGGTCCAAGAGGTGCACGAAATTCATGCGCAAACTGTGCTGACCAAGCGCAAGACATATGTCCACTCGAACGTGGGTTCGACCGAGTACAAGGAACTTCTGGACGCCTTCAACATTAAGGTGCAACCTGTGCGTAAAGCTGCTGCTAAGTGGGGTGAAGTCAAGGGGTTCACATGGGACATGAAACTCAGCGAGGAGAAGCAGAAAGATGAATATCGCGAGTATGTTGACAGCAACATTGGCGAGCTTCTCCAGGAGGAGAAGCTTTGCGTGTTCGGTGTGGAAAATACGACAGATATTCTCCGAGTTGTTGTCAACGACTCCAACATTGAGCTCCGGGGTCGCACCGATCTTCTCATACTCAGTGATATCGTCATGGAGAGCGCGGATTATGCGCTGGACTTGCCTGAAGTGAAGATGCTGATTGATGTGAAGAAAAAGGTTGAAAGACAATCTGTCTTCCAGGCGATGTCAGAGCTAATTGCTCTGGCTCTGCTTGCCGACGACCCAGTGGTTGCACTGCTTACTGACTTCAACGGCGATTGGCGATTCTTCTGGGTCGCCGGGAAGGAAAACAATACCACTTGCGTCAACAAAGTGAACATTACGAATCCAGGTGAAGCTTTCGAGTTGATCAGGCAGCTACTGAAGCCTACGGATATCATGACCCCAGTGCTTCAAGACCCTGTGAAGCGCCAGAAGTTATCCCGGGTGTTGCCGTCCATCAGCGAGGCCAGTGAAAGTGGCGGGATTCGTGAGAGCATCGAACGATACTATGACATCGCCAGTTGTTTAGGCCCCGACTTGGACATGGCGCGTGCTGTGGCTAGACAGGTCACTCGATCTATTCCCACGATGAGTTATTTCAGCTAATTCTTGCTTTGGCATGCTGTATTAATAATTTTTTTATTCTGATAAATATAAAGTTAATAATATACAAAGATGACTTACTCTCCTGAACAATACCAAGCTAACAAAGAGCGCATTAAGGCAGCTCAAAAGCGATACTACTTGAAGACGAGAGAAACTCGTATCGCTAAGCAGAAGGAGTACGACGAGAGGAATCGTGAGCATATTCGTGCTCAAAAGCGTAAATCCTATGCAGCGAAGAAGCAGTGCGAACCTAACAGTGAAACCGAACTTAGCTAATTAATTAATTAATTTTTTTGAATTTTGTATCAGGGTAGATATAAAGGCGATCTATTCTGACATAAGATCCACAAATTATAAAGTCGATCTATCCTGATATTATATAGTCGGATATATATAGCAAATATGTTTGCATACGAGTTAGTAGGACTAAGGCGATTAAATATTCACCCAATCAAATGGGGGAGTAGCTATCGAGTCAAGATCCGGGGTAAAACCGGTAGAATGACATATATTAGCAATCTATCGCGCCCCAGCAATCAGAATTTGATTGCGAAACAGTACAAAGTTTCCATTGAAGATCTTAAAAAGCATATGTCGCCTGAGTATAAGGCTGATCCTAAGTATCGCTTTTATAACGGTAAGCAGATGGAATCTCATCTATATGAAGGTATCCAACCAGCTGAGTTCTACGACAAGCTTGAGAACGTACTTACCAGTCAAAAGAATGCCTTCAAGGTTAATATCGCTCTCGGCTACGACCTTGTGAGCTTAACCGGTAGTATTGGCATCCGAATATATCCAATACGAGTGTATTTAACACCCCTATTGCTATCAATAGCAAGGCTGACATCCGTAAGAAAGTAATCTCTGAGATCCGTTCAATGGAGTTGGCAAACAAGCTCAAGGTGGATGCAAGTGTGAGGACAAGATTAGCTGTGTTTGTGGGCTTGGTAAGGGTATTTTCCCGTACGAGTACATTACCAGTTTCAACGTCCTAAATGAAACTCAAGTCCCACCGAAATCAGCTTTTGACAGCAAGCTTCGTGGTACAAGCATCTCCAATGATGAGTACGAGCGTGTGAAGTTTGTCGGGGGGCACTTTGAAATGAAGTCAATCAAGGATCTACTCATCTGGTACAACAATCTCGATGTAGTTCCATTCATCAAGGCTATCCAAGCTCAGCGTGAGTTGTTTAAACGTTTTGATCTGGATATGTTTGTCGATGGTGTGTCTCTACCTGGTCTATCGGAGAAAGTAATGTACCAGACTTGCTTCAAAAATCTACAATACCCCAGCAAGAAGCCTGCTAAAGCGTTCAAATTCCCAGCCAAGCGTATGGTTGGCTACAAGAATCAGGATGATAAGGCAAAGCGAGAATTTGGTATGACACTTGATCACTTGAATAGATTGCTAAAGCATCAGAAGTACCTGTGTGCTTTGTGCTACAGTCAGCTGACTTGCGAAACTGCCTCTGCTGATAGAATCAACAACAAGCTTGGCCACCTCGATGGGAACATCTTGATCAGCTGCATTTCGTGTAATACCGCTCGTAAGGATATGTCTCTCGGGGGTTTTCGATACAAGAAACTGCTCGAGTTCAATTCGAACAGATTGGTCTATTCGATTGACAAGGAGGAATCTGAGATATACGGTAAGATGAAGGCCAACATCGCCGGTGGACCATCCATTATCTTCAACCGCTACGCCAAGCGGAACGAGACAAAGATTCGTGGTGGTAAGCTCTGTAAAAAGATTATCGGTTATGATGCCAATGCCCTATATCTATGGGCCCTTGGTAATGAGATGCCGTGTTGTCGATTGACTACGATTGAGGCTTACCCTGGTATCATCGATGACATCAAGAACGACAAAATATTTGGCTTTCTCGAGTGTGATATTAGAACCCCAGAGCACCTGAATGAGTATTTTAGTGAGATGACTCCCATTTTCAAGAATGCTCTGATAGACTGTACCGATGAGAGTGTCATTGGCAAGCATATGTTTGATTACAACCAGTCTCGCGAAGCAAATCGTTCTAAGCCTGCTCGCAAGTTGATTGGTAGCTACTTTGGTGAAAAGATCCTTATCTATGCACCGCTGCTCAAGTGGTACCTTTCTCATGGTATGGAGATCACCAAGACCTACAGCTTTATCAAGGCCAGCTCTCACACGGCATTCACTCCTTTCATGGAAGCTGTGTCAAATGCTCGACGAGAGGGTGATGAGGGGACCTCAGGGGCGCAGTCCCTGGGGTCTCCGACTCCAAGCAACAGCTTGACGCTGATAAGTCTAAATCTATGATTGCTGAGATGATGAAACTTGTAGGCAACAGCGCATTCGGTCGATCTGGCATGGATATGAGCAAGCATAAGGAGGTCAAGTATGAGTCGGATCAGAAGGCAATTGAGGCAAAGATCGAACATTTCACGTTCCATGGTCTGGAGGAGCTAAACGATGCTTGTGAAATCACCATGAAGAAGAGACGAATTAAGAACAAGAACCCGATTCATCTATCGATTGCTATCTACCAGCTCGCCAAGCTGCGCATGCTCCAGTTTTATTACGATTGCATTGACTACTACTTCGATCGAAGCGATTTCCAGTATCAGGAGATGGATACCGATTCAGCGTATATTGCTTTCAGCTGTGAGAATCCTTTCAATGATTGCATCAAGCCTGATCTACGCGACCATTTCAAGCAGTACAAGTATGACTGGTTCCCGCGCGACTATAACTCTGAGGTAGCTAAGTTTGATCGTCGTACCCCTGGTTTGTTCAAGGATGAATGGTCAGGTGATGCCATGGTCTCTCTATCGTCCAAGAACTATATTTGCTATCTGCCAGATGAGTCCTACAAGGTCAAGGTTTCAGCCAAGGGTGTGCAGCAGGGGCGAGGTCGTAATGAGGATGTACTCAATCCAAATGGTTTCGAGACTGTTGTACGGGATCGAATCACACTCCAAGGTACGAACAAAGGATTCAGACTATCGAAGGAATCTAAGTCAATCATCACATATACTCAAACGAAAACAGCTCTCAACTACTATTACGACAAGCGACAAGTTCTCTCAGACGGTATTTCGACTATCCCTCTACAAATTTAAGTACTACAATATATAAGTATTCGTAGAATACTCTTTAGTACCTACGGTACAATATATCATGTCCGAACGAAGTTCGAAGGGGCTTGGCCCCGCGAACAAGTTCGCCTGGGCGTCAGCCCTGTCTAAGCTGCTAACAAAACTCTATTATGACCCAAAAACAGGATTCATAGGAGCTCAAGCACTTTATCAGAAGGCTCACGAGTTAGATCCTAACATAACACTAAAATATGTAAAGGATTGGTATGCTACCCAATCAGATTTTCAACGATTTCAGGAGCAGAAGAAGCGATTTGATGGGTTCAAGATTGCTTCACATAGTCCCAACTCATGGCAGATAGATCTCGCGTTCTGGGACAAGAAACCAATATTGACTGCTATCAACATCAACTCTCGACTCGGTTATGCAAAAGCCTTGTCAAACAAGACTGCATCAACTGTGTTAGCAGCGCTTAAAGCGTTTGTCCGCCTCCATAAGGTGGATATCATTACAAGCGATAATGGCAGCGAGTTCATGAACTCACAGACTCAAGAATTCTTCAAAAGCAAAAAGATTGAGCACTTCAACAACGAGCCTGGTGATCATCGGACGATGGGTAAAATCGAGAGATTCAATCGAACTATAAAGCAGAGACTAACCAAAATGTCTCCGAAGAGGCTCACACAGAAAATTATAGCTGATGTTATCGATAACTACAACAGCACATTTCATCGCTCGATTGGTATGACCCCGAACGAGGCACGAGGTAAAGTAATGATGGCGGATCTGAACCATAATCAAGCTGAAGCTGATAAGGTCGAGAACGCGTTTGATGTTGGGTCGAATGTACTGTATCGTCTCAAAAAGAAAACATTTGATAAGGAAGCTGCTCACTGGAGCAAGGGTATTTACTCGGTTATCGGCATTGATGGTTATCGGGTTGAGATTCGTTCCAGAAATGGGCATACGCTCTACAAAGCCCCGAACGATTTAAAGATTGTGAAAGCAGATACTACAGATGCTACTATCAACCGTGGCGATATTCTCGAAGCTGAGAAGATATTAGCCCATAAAAAAATGAATAATGGCAAATATAAATACCTAATCCGATGGGTAGTAGGCAGTGAGCCCGACTCATGGGAGCCTCAAGATAACCTACGCTTGATCAATAAAAATAGGAGAAGCAAGCTTGAATAAGATTATTTATCTCACATAGCCAATATATAGGCTATATATATAGACACCATATTCAATATGGCTTGCCAAGCAACGACCAAGTCCAACAAACCTTGCTCGAGAGATGCTCTACCTTGTGGTTATTGTACTCAGCACTCAAAGGACTACAAGATTGAAATGTATAAGAAAGAACTCAAAAAGATGCATCAGCGAATGAGATTCTACAGCGATAAGGTCAATCAAATCAATCAGATGCTCAACGATATCTACAGGCTCGACTATATCAAGTATCATCTTCACCAACTCGACCCCAATCGTCCATATCGTTATGTATGCTCTGATCCGAAATACAAGGATCAGGTCGAAGATCTATTTGGTTTGCCTATAGATGAATGTAAAAACGCGTACGTCAGATTGCTCCAAAGGCGTAATTCGATCGTTCATAAATTTACTATGAAACTTTGGGAGTCGCGGGAAGATATACCTAACATTGAATATAAGCCAAAATTTCGTAAATAATATCGAGTTTGATATATATACTAATCGATATGTTCCCTTCATTCACGAGTCTATCCGATCGCGAGCAGAAGCGGCTCGATCTACTCGAACGCACCAAGCTTCGGGTTAAACAGAAAGATGAAGCTCGCCGTATGTATGCTGAAGCTTCATGGGCCACAGACGCCGATAAAACCATCTCCCTCGAGAAGAAATCCGCACCACAGGTGGAGTCGCAGTCGCAGACTGCCGGCTTCGCCTCACGCCTGAGCGACCGCTCAGCACAAGATTCTTCTAATCAAGCTGGAGATGGTGATTTAAAAAAAAACTCTGAAGTAGATGCTACAATCCCTGTAGTTAGCGATACCGCGACAGAAGATAGAACAAACTCTCAGGAATTCCCTGAAGTTAAAACTGATGATTGGTCGAAGACCGCCCGGGAGGGGCTACACCCGCTCCCTGATAAAACTGAAGAATTCATTGCAAAAAAATGGATCAAGAAACTCTATCAGTCTAATCCAAACTGGATCGCTGTTAAATTTAATCCAATCAAAACCAATAAAACCCAAGATATGAGGCGATATATTGGAAAAAACGGAAACCTGTTCAGTCTCAAGACAAATAAGAGGTCAGATTCTAAGTACATTGACTGGGTACTAACCGCAACTGAACTGATGAATATTAGATCCGATGGCGAATCGAACAGTATTGATGAAGTCAGCTTGATGCGCATGGAAGATACCGATAATCCGAATCAATTATACGATATAACTGGTAGTAAGAGGCATAGATTTACTACTTCAACCAAAACGGCTAACAAAATTCATGTGCAACCAACATGGTTTCACGATGCTTCTTCATCGACTACAATAGATGAGGAACAAGCTAAATCAAAGCTCCTATTCATGCTGAAGGCTTACAAGAAGAAACGGATTGGCTCTAACATCGTCATAAGGCCTGTTTTAAAAGATGGAGAAGTTCTAGACAAATACGAACTAATCATCGACTCTAAGGGGGATCTCAATGTTAGAAACCAAGAAACGAGTAGGAATAAGCAATCTCGACTGCCTGAGATCTCCTGGGTGTCGACGCTGATATTGTTTATCGAGACTACTAAATCGAGAGGATTGACTTTTGAATTTGAACCATCACCAGACACTGTTTTAGATAGTGATCCTGACCGGTTCAAATCCACGCAAGGTATTTGGTATAAGGGGAAGCTGTCAGGACCAGATGTCATGGAGGACCTATCTATCCCAGAGACTGAGGCGAAGGCAATTATCAGCGACTACTATATCGAAGCGGGTAAATCAGATAGCATCTTCCCAATTCATTTGCTTCCGATCGTAAGTGGGAATCCAAATAAAAAATACTATTTCGCCGTTATTGATGGCAACCTACGACTTAGAAAACTGGACTCTAAGTCAAATGCACCCCTATCTGGTAAAGCTCATACCAGCTTTTTCAAGCGTATCCAATGGCCAGAAACATTGAATCTATTTATGGATTACCTTAGAGAGATGGAATCGTTTATCCACTCTGATCACGACGTTGATAATGCAACCAAAGAGCCAATAATGAATGCTCTCAAGCTGTATATGTACGTTTTGAAGGCACATGGGGTTAAGATTAAAGAGCCAATCGTTGGCGGTAAGCTCAAGGGTCGAGGCCTTCGCGGGGCTGGCATCCAGCCTCTCGAAGGTGTTTTGCGAAAAACAAATCAAACTTACAACTTGAATGATATTCAAGGTAAAGCAACACCTTCCGCTTACATATATAGGAAGCTTGGCAGTAAGTTTATCAGACTACCAGATCTCGACAAGAGAACTCTCACGATCGTTCAGCCAAATCGACGAAAAGTAGGCCCAATGCGTGAGATCAGTGATCCTCTACAAGCCATGATCAAGGATCTTGTCTTCAGAAACGATATCAGGCAGGAGAAGTATGATAAGCTATCTATTGATGATAAGAAATTGTTCAAGGAAATCCTTGAGATGACACATTTGCAATACAGCTTCGATCATAATTTAGAGGATCCTCTTGATTCCCTACGCATGGAGTACGATAAGCTCAAGGGCGAGCTGATGCTTGGGAATGATAATCCAACGATTCTAAAGCAGTTGAAGGTGGTCTGTGTCGACATGTACAGCAATCGATTGATTTCAGATTCTGAATTCAAATCAATTATCACGAGACTATTATAAGATGTTGATTCTTGATCCAAGACTGATTTCCAAGAGCGTATCAGCTCAATGCCGATAGGAACCTCACTGAGCTTAAGCACCTGATGAAGGATCTCATTATCAAGGAAGCTCCTCACCAAGATAGACCAACTGTTTGGGCGAGCGACTCAAAGCCATTCTCCACTAAGTCAGTAGCTACGCAAACCGAAGCAGCTGGAGGTCGTATGTGGGCATACAAACCAAAGAAAAAAATGAGCAAGCAGCCAAAGACGTTTGCTCTGTAAGCCTCCTGAATATCTGAGCTCCAAGGGAGCGATTTGACCGAAGGCCAAGAGCTCTCACCTCGAGACCAAGGTCTCTTGCTTTCAAGCAATAGAATATCTGAGCTTTTTCAAAGCGATAGAATAAAGTGTTTTTGCCCGAAGGGAGCAGCTACGCGGGCTCATTGATGCCCCTTATCCTCTAGAGCGTCTAAACGATTTAGGACAGATTGGAGGCATTTATGGAGTAAGCAAGCGATCTTATCGTAATCGAGAGTTAATTGATACCCAGCCATGTCTCCTGCCTGCTCTATCTGCAAAGAATCATTTTGAATGAAAGAGATACACTCGACTGCATATTTGGCTACATCCTGAGCTATATAGCCGAGTTCTTGTCTCTCTGAATTTGATTTATACGCGAAGAGTTTCGGGCTAACGTTTCGAATGAATGCAGTGGTATCATCGATATCTTGGATATTGGTCTTTAATCGCCTATCACTGGTTGTATAATAGGACCCACTACTTACAAGAATGCTGTTAGAGCTCTTGATTGAAACGGCGACGCTGCTCACTGGACCAACGGTAAATGTCGTACTGGTTTTAGACAATTGACCATAGCCTAAACCACCGCTATCGATAGTTTGGCTCACGGAGCCGGATACATCTAATTGCGCTGCTGGGGAAGTTGTACCGATACCGACCCTTCCAGCGTTCGTTCCTCCCAGAATAGTCATTCGTGTGCTATCGTTTGTCCCCAATCTCAAATCGTTATTGGTCATCGAGCCAAAGAATACAGAATTTGTAGAAGTAGCTGAAGTTGAGTTATGACATTGGATAGCTGCTCTAACGCCTGAGTTGCCATAGAAGTCGGCAAGGAGACTAAAGCTGCCATCGAGCCATGTAGTGTTATCACTCTGTATCGATAACCAACTACTTTGATTAGCCAGAGTCTGATTGATAGTGCCTCCGCTCACTAAATGAACACTATCGGCATTTAGAGTGCCTCCCAACCCCATATCTCCAGATACAACTAAAGTGCCATTGGTTTGTGTAGTTGATGAAATAACCGCATCAAATAAGACCTTTCCAATAGGAATCCAAAGTGAATAAGCATTGGTAATTGTCATATTAGTTCCTGCTGTAGGAGCATTAGCAATATATACTGTTGCCGCATTTGTAGTAGTTACTGTAGCATTAGAAGCTGCAATAGTTGGTTGAGCAAATGAAGTAATAGTAGCACTTGTCGCTGTCCCAGAAGAAGCTGTGCTTGTGTTTGTATAGGTAGTAGCTAATGAGTTGTATTGAATACCTGAAGTAGTCCAAGATGCAGCTGATACAGCTGTTCCTCCAATAGTAATATTTTTAGCTATACCCAGACCACCACTAAGCACTAAGCCACCAGTGCTTGCTGATGTAGATAATGTGTTATTAGTTAAAGAAACTATTCCAGAAGCATTAATAGTAGTACCATTAAGTGTTCCACCAATACCAATACCACCAGTTACTACTAATGCTCCTGTTGAAGTAGAACTCGAGGCAGTATTATTGGTAAAGGTAACTAACCCAGATGCACCAATAGTAGTAGCGCCAGAAATACCTCCTCCAAGAGCTAATGATGTAAGAGTGCCCACAGAAGTAATATTACCTTGAGCTGCAGTAGTCAATGTACCAGTAATCGACGTAGCTGTTAATGAATTAAGCGTAGCAATATTTTTACTTGAATCCAGAATAATTGCCTTGGAAGCCGTAGCAGTGCCAGCAGTTACTCCATCAAGCACTCCAATTTCAGATGAAGATATCGTTATTCCACTCATGGTTAAGGAACCACTTGTAGTGATTGAAGTAAGCGTACCTACTGAAGTGATATTGGCTTGAGCAGCAGTCTGTAGTGTACCAGTTAGGTTCGTAGCTGATATTGAATTTATGCCTGATATATTGCTCGAGGAATCGAGTACAAGCGCTTTAGATGAAGCAGCAGTGCCAGGAGTAATCGATAATACATATGTCGGAGGAGCTACTATTGATGATCCTCCTACGGTAAGTGATGAACAACTCAGTGCCCCCAACCCGCTAAGAGATCCATCAGAAGCAACGACAAGTGAGATACCAGGTGTTGCAATCCCTGGAGTGATTCCTGTGATATATGATAGGCGATAGTCGCTTCGTCCGAGATAGAGCGTTTGAGCATATGAATATGTTAAGTATCCACTCGGATCGAGCGAGATGTAGAATGCCGGATTGTAGCACGATGAAATGAATGTAGGTTGAGGATAACTAAATCCACTCATAGATAAGCTATTCGACTGAAGTCGAAGTTTAGTGGCGCGCTAATATTTCTTCAATCTTATATAAGGCACACGATTTTCTTAGCCATGTCTGCAATTCCCGATTATGGAGGCAGTCTCCCTAAGAAGTATCGAGTTGATTCAGTTGAAAACATAGCGGAATTAGGTATCAAGAAGCTTTTTCGCATGGTTATTCTTGGACCATCGTTTTCCGGGAAGAACAACCTCTGTTATCATATTCTCAAATCATCTCCGCATGTGTTTAGTCATCTTCATATCATTGCTCGAAACCCTCATCAGGATCTATATGACTATTTACGCGATAAGCTTGAGGGATTTATATCATTTTACGAACCTGATCAACCGCCTAAGGTAGATGCCATCCGACGGACTCCTGGCGATAAGCCAGAGCTTGTCATCATCGACGACTATAGCAACGATAAAAACCTTCAGAAGAATGTATTCAGTCATTACTTTACCAGAGGTCGGCATTTCAAATTGAGTACCATATTCCTAAGCCACAGCTGGTTTGCAACGGACAAGATGATTAGATTGAATACGGAATACGTCGCGATCCTCCGAGCAAACTCTCGTCGGGATTTGAAGCTACTTATCACCGACTTTAACATACCAGGTCTGACTGAGGAAGGCATCCTTCATTATTATAACCGGGCGATTTCTCGAGGAAAAGGCCAGATGCTCTTTATCGATAGTGTCAAGGGTCAAATACGCTATAACTTTGATACTTTCGTACATATCGAGGATAAAAAAAATTGGTGAAAATTATTAAATTGATAATATAAGCGATGAGTTCATTCGTTAAGATAGACCAAACCTGTTTGGTTCAAGATGGGCTCAACAGTCGATGGGCCTATACGTTCCCCGGATCAGCGTGCAATTTTCAGGATGTCGAGGCTTCTATCCAGTCGATCGGTCTGTATAACTCGGAATTCAATGTCGATTCGATTCAGTTCGCCAATACATCGTTTCAGATAGAAGTACCTACCGCTGCAACGACAAGTGTCATTAGTGTCAATCTCGTTGATGGATACTATCTTTACACAGACATTAATAGAAATATTCAAACGGCTCTCGTCAATGCTGGGGCCTATCTAATCGACTCTAATGGGAATAATGTTTTCTATTTACAAATCGAAGAGAACAGTACGTATTACGCATGTCAGCTCGATTGCTCGCCAACTCCAACGTCGCTGCCTACCGGTTATACGAGACCAACTACTGGTTTATACTCGAGTGGTGCCTACTACGACTCGTGTTCCTCGCTTGATCATCAATAATGCTGCGTTTGGAAACCTGTTAGGCTTTACGTCGGGGACGTATCCAACTTCGCCTACAACGTCAGCTACGAGTCTGCTAAGCAATACTATTCCCCAGATCTCGCCAACGTCTTCATACGTTGTTAGGTGCGATCTTATCAAGAATGATTTCGTTGCATCAGGTGATATCATGAGTGTATTTGATAAAGGGAATTCAACGATTGGTAAGCAGATTCAATACTTCCCAAGTCATGAGACTTGGTGTCGTACCCACGATGGACCAAGGAGTACTGTAAGCATCAGCATCTGGAATCAGAATGATCAAAGAGTCCATTTCCGCGATACGAGCGTTAATATTATGCTACTCCTACGCAAGCGTCGAGCATAAAAAAATGAAGTTTTTTTCAGCCTTTACATTGTGAAAGATCCCCCGTCCTTGTTCTTACGCATAGCACGAAGCTTAGCCATATGAGCCTTTGCTTCAGGAGAGCCCTTTGCGAATTTGGCCTTACGACGCTTGCCAGCTACACCTACACCGAAACGGGTTTTGATACCTCTACGAACACTATGAATCATTTCGTGATGCTCTGGTCGATCAGACTTGCTGACAAGATATTTCTCACCTTCGTCGATTAGATCAGTGATGATTCCTCTTTTCTTAGCATAGCGAAGAGCATTGCCTGCATGTCGTTTTACATCTGAGAAACTGATACGTCTCATAACCGTCCAATCCTACTCCAGTAAGCGATTTAAGACCAGCTCTGGCTGCAATCCCAGCTTCAGGAGCACCAAATGCAGTAGCAATAGCTGGAACAGCTACGTCAGCTGCCTTCGATAGCAACCCACTATCCTTAGCGAACTTAAATCCAGATTTAATTCCATGCCAAATTTTTGACCAAATAGATCCACCCTGAGCTCGCTTGTAGCCCTTTTTGATTTCATGCTTAGTTATGTGGAGTCGGTCTCCACGTCCGGCTTTCTTAGCTTTGAGAGCTTTCTCATGCGATCCAGGATGTAAATGGATCTTAGCTCCTGACCCTTGTAGCTCGGCTGCTGTAAGGGATAGCTTACCAGTCTTGACAGCCTTTCGTAATTTATGGGCGGGAACACCGCTCGAGATGATAAGTTCGTTATACATAATTTGTTGATTGGGGACAACGTTTGCGTGGTAGTATATATTAACTCAGAACTAATCTGCAACAAAAATATTTAAATCTTTGAATTTATTGAATAGATCCATCCGATTGTTCTGCTTTGCATATAACCATAGCAGCGACCAAATACCACAATAAGAGCCGTGAGCTGATTGAGTTTGAATCTCGTTGTATTTGCTGATGCCGTATTTCTTCGGTGGCCCTTCTCCCATTGAATCGAAATATTCATGGTTATATACACCTGTCCAATGACCTATGTCTTGGCTCGGCTTACGTAGTAGAATCAGGAACGATCCTTTCCTTGGAAGAGGCTTTTTGATCTCGCTTGACTCATAAATGTGGTCAATATGAACATTGAGCTTCTTAGCTAAAGCTATTAGATCGTGATCTGATGATATTGGTTTTACAAGATTCATTTAATTATTTTTCACCAAAGCTATATTGGAGTGTATATAACTGAATCAACTATGTCCGATACTCAGCTCGCTGATCAATTCCTATACCAATCTTCGCTTAAGAGCGATCCGGCCGTTAAGGTCAGCTCTCGAAAGCGTGTGCCGTACGTCATCGATCTAAACCAGGGTTCGTATGCGAATGGTATTATTACGATTGATGCTACAGCTCAGCTTAATGGGGTTGAGGGATTTGCCTGCCTCAGAGATGCCTACGTTGTCATTCCGTACAAGGTGAGTATGAAGAATACTCATGCTTCTACTGCGCTTGCTGCGGCTGCCAACCGACTGAGCGTTGGTCTCAAATGCGATGTATGGAATGTTATCGATGGTATGTCGCTGGAGCTTAATGGTAAGAGCTTGATTTCGATGAGTGAGTATAAGCTGTTTGCTAACAACCTTCGTGCTCAAGCAGAGACCTCACTCGACTATGTAAATAAGCATGGTGCTGAGGCTTTCTTATTCCCCGATAGCTCTGGCTCGTTGTTATTCTCGTCTGCTACAAGCAGCCTGTATGGTGATGGTTATTCGAATACGGCTTCGGATATCACTCCTGCTTTGGGTACGGCTTCTACAGGTGCTGGAGTTCTTGCATCCAACGAAGGCTTCGTAAAGCGTCTTCTATCCAATCCACCTACAGCAGGCGGTCAGAACACTAACGGTTGGGTTAGTATCGCTTCTGGAGCTGCGAACACTATTGCTAACCAGTTTGGGCGAGGGGCCTTCGTCCCCGGTGGAACTGCTGCTGCTGCTATCGCAGGAACGTGGAATTACATGCTCAAGATCAAGTTGGTTGATCTCCACCCGATCTTCAAGGAGCTTGATCTCATGGCTAATCCTCAGATCAAGCTTCGTTTCCGCGTAAATCAGGGATCGGCCGTAATCAACCTTAGCAGTACTAAAGCTATGTCGCTTTCATCGACTACGCTTGTTTCTGGTCAATCATGCCCGATCATGGTAGCCTCTTCGGCTGGGTCTGCTCCTAATAGCGGAGTATTTAATGCTACGACCGCAGGTCAGATCTCGGTGGCATGGGGTGCTATTACCAATTTTCTTGAGCCAACCATTGATAGCACCTATTTCCCTTTTACTACTACTCGTCTGTACGTACCATTCCTTGATCTCGAAAATCCTCAAGCTCTGATCAGCAAGCCTAACAAGACTGTCCGATACATGGATTATTATGCGCAATGGTTCTACCAACGCGCAGGTACTGGCGTCAGCTCTACTCAGCTGAACACTGCATTCGATCTACAGCTGTCTGCCAGTCTTAAGAATGCCAAGGTAGTTGCTCTTCTACCGTTTGCTGAGACTTCGTCTGGAAATTTCAATAGCTCTACTATTCAGCAGTTCCAGTCGTGTTTCGATAGTGCCCCTTGGACTGTTCAGCCTGGTTCGTCGATTCGCAACTTTAATGTTCGTATTGGTTCGCAGCAAGTATTTGATATCTCGTATGACTACGATTTCCAGGGCTTCATCAATGAGTTCGCTAAGCTTGGATCGATTAATGGTGATCTAACTAAGGAACTATCGAATGGTCTGATCGATTACCAAACCTGGCAGCAAACCAATCGTGTGCTTGTAGCAGACGTATCTCGTCTGACCGAGAAGGATGTTCCACAGAGCATCCAGGTTATGGGAACGAATGCTTCGACACAGGGTTGCAACATGCTTGTACTGGTTGGCTTTGAAAATGAGATGACGTACAATCGATTGACTGGAGAGGTACTCGAATATACCTCTAACTAAGCTATCGTTTGTATGATCCGATAACTATATAATCACCACTCTTCAGCTTAATTCTACGATCATTGCTTTTTACTATGAGGAGTGTTTTTCCTATCCCACGAGCGACTTGCTTAACTTTTAGATTTATCTCAACCTGGGACACAAGTAATTCTAACTCTCCTCTATCTGTTAAACTGTTCAGACTTAAGCCAACGATTGATTCATTATTCCTTAGATCATAAATGGTCATCTTGTAGCTTGTATTCGAATTAATTAATTAAAATTCAAATATTTCCTGCTGGCTATGTATATACATACAGGTTATAATAATTATGAGTACGGTTTTAAATTTTGGCAAACATAAATCCAAGACGATTGAAGAAGTGTATGCTTCTGATCCAGGCTACTGTCGTTGGTTGTCGAATCAGAAGATTCTCATTGATTCCGAGCCTGGCATTAGTGATTTTCTCAAAGCTAAATTCATCAACGATGATGGGTCATTCTTAATGACTTGGGGCAAATTCAAAGGTCGAACGATCAAACAAATCCAAGCAATCGATTCCAACTACATCGAATGGTTGAAGAAGAATGAATTCGTTAATCAGAAGATGTCTAAGCTGAAGGGTGCTCTTGATGAGCTCGCCTAAGCTGATGGTATTTTTTTTGAAAACAAATATTCTGGAATTCGGATTAGCTTGAACGAGCTTGTACCCAGGTCAATTCTTCTACGGTTTTCGATCTCCATGAATGACCATGCAAAGATTCAGGCATTGATGTTGTCCACGATTTATGTCTCTTAGTTTGACAATGATGGGCATAGTTCCACCGTTTGCCTGCGTAGCCACAAGGACACGAAATGTCGTGGTGAAGTCTCGCTTTAAAAATGTTCGTCATCATTGCCTCTGCCTTTTCCACGTTTGATACTACTATCGAATGCTTCATACAACGAACTTTTGACGGAGCCTTACTACAAACATTTCCGTTTTTCAATACAAACATACACATTATCTTAGTTATGATGATATTATATACTTAGTAGTTTATTTGTCAGGATTAAACGTCATTTAAAGATTTGCCTCTGAACAGTTGAGCGGTTCCGAAACTATCCTCAGATCCTTTGAGTGCGTCCTTTCGTGCTAAGTTATCGAGAGGCCGTGCCGTTGAAATCAATAGCTGAGTATTAGATGTAGTTATCGGTGGTGAAACCATCCTTAGAACTAAAGGAGGTCTGCTTTCACTCTCAGCTGTTGAGAGGTGTTGTCGTTGAAATGATCATTTGATGCATGTGAGGTTGGTGTCGCTATATGCGGTGCTTGCAGGTGATAAGGGTGTTCCTTCTCACCAGAGGGTATTGATCGCGTGCATCGTTGAAATAACCTCTTTCACGGAGAACGTTCTACGACTGTTCTCTATGGTAAATTACGGGGAGAAAAAAACTGACTGGGTTTTGTTCCAGTACCCACTACTAATGAGGGCACCCAGCAGCGTCAGGTTGATCAGAACGGAGCCGAGTTTGTCATCGCCGATGGCGTAGTGCAAAACAACAGCGATCAGCACGCAGCTGATTGTGCCGAAGAGCAGCGCGCCTACGGCCGTGCCGCGTTTCGGGTGCTCGTAGGCAAGAAACGTCGGGAAGTATCCGTCCCGCGCGATGGCGAACAGCAGTTGACCCATAAAGAAAACGTACGAGTTTGGGCTCGAACACAGGGCGATGACGGTCATCCACTTGAAGAAGGTCGTCGTGGCACCAGTTCCGTAAAGGGTCTGGAAACTCGTGACAAGCGGGGCCGAGACGTCGGTCATGGCAGCAGCGCCCGGTGCAATCAGTGAGCTGAAGATGGCCGTGCCGAACGACAGGACCGCGAGTGTCGAGATGCACATGAGCAAACCGCGCGGGACGTTCTTTGCAGGCTCGATGGTCTCCTCGCTCGCAAGCGGGAGCTCTTCGACGCCCAGGTAGAACCACATGGCGTACGGGATGGCTGTTCAGGTCGGTGTACTTCCAGTCTTGCTCGACGACCCAATGGTTGTAGTCCAGGTGAGGGATGGCGGAGCCGAACATGATAAGCAGCAACAGGACGCAGAGCGTCGTGGAGCATGCTTGCATCCGGAAGGACGCCTGCACTCCGTAGATGTTGAGGCCGCCGTAGAGAATGCCGAACACGATGAAGAAGACCGGGGCGAACTTCTCGTCGACGTTGAACAGCGTCTGGAGGTACGAGTAGATGGTGTAGAAGGTTGACGAGTTGACGGCGATCACTTTCAGCGTCTCGGCAAGTCCACTGAAGAAAGCTGCACGGGGCCCGATTGCGTGCAGCGCGAAGATGAACGGGCCGCCGCCCGACGGGATCGTCGCGGATAACTCGGCGAGCGAGAAGGAGAGCGTCACATACAGCACCGTCGTCATGGACAGCACGATGAGCATGCCGTTGAAGCCAGCGACAAGCGACGACTGCCAGCCGTAGTATTCGCCGCTGATGACAGCGCCAATGCCGAGCGCCCAGAGCTGCAGGGCCTTGGCATGGCGGGGTGACTCGACCTTGGACTCTTGGATGTCGAGGGACACACCGCTAATCCTGCTGAGGCGGGTCATCTTCAAGTTGGTTGTGCTTGGCGCGGGCAGCAGGCGGTCACGGCGAGGACAATAGGGAAGTGAAGGTTTGCCTCGCCACCTAGGTAGGCGGGCGGTGGAGACTCGCCGAGAAGTGCAGCTTTAGCATTCTTCTCATCACCCAGGGACTCCAATAGGGTCTACCGACTCTATCAGCTCTGCTAACGGAGACCTTGGGCCTTGGAAGGTAATTGGCCGGCGAAGGGCGTGGTTGAGCGCGTCACGCACCATATGTTGCACTTCAACACTCTTTCTGACCGGTGTTACAGCGATCGGCGGCACCCGCCGACGATGAGCACAAGACCTTGCCACGCGGGCCGCGCAGGACTGTACATGTACCGAATGCCACCAGGTGTGGTTGTCGCCATCGGATAGCGTCCCTGGACGCTCGACCCAAGCAACCACTCGGTTGCTGTCGTTGAAGTTGTGTGGCTCGATCATTGCAGCTTGCAGCACGTTGAAGTGAAGTTGTGCCCCATGTCCTGCCCGACGCTACACGACTGGCGAGAAGGATATCACAGTGTACTGACGAGTTCGGAGGCAGCGATCACTTATACTGTACATGTACCGTGATCAACCAGCGGACCGAGGGTACGGAAACCCAGTTCATTTTTCATTTTGGCGCTTCCGAACACAAGCGCGAAGATGGCGCTAGCATGCGTGGCTTGCCAGCAACACAATTCGCTTGACCCAGTCTCCGCTGATTCAGCGCCGCGCCGCGCACGCGTTTCATGGCGACACCCATCGCGGCAGACATGGATGACCTGCGAGCGTACGGCGGTGGCCGTTCTGGGCCCGTTTAACATCACCCGTCGTCAACCGCTTGCCGGCTTCAACACGAAGTGGAGAGAGGATGGAATTTGCTGGTCCTGATACAGTTCATGTACGGTACATGCAATTCAAGTGCGGACAGCAGTGTACGACCATAAAGGCGGCGTGGGGCATTTTGCCTCAGGCAAATGAAGCGGAGACGTCGCCCTGGGGCCCTGCGTGCTTGGTCCGCCCTTCCGCGTCAAAGTGCAGCTCTCCGCAACAGGAGTAAACGAACGGTGTTCGTGCAGTGAACTGGTCGTCATCGCGCGGGTGACTTGGTTCAGCCAGTCGCACCAGCATCGAGGTGATGATCATGTCACGCGCCTCGGGGATGCTTTGGCTCGCGTCGAGCGTAGCATAACCCTGTCGACCGGATCGAGTGCTGCAGATCGGTCGACGTCGCCGACGCTGAGATGGGGGTGGTTCTATCGGCGAAAATGGCTACAGTATCCGCAAGCTGGCGAGGGGTGGTGGTCTCCGCCGGCTAACGTTTTGGTGGCTTGAGCTGTAGGCTACAGCCTGTAGCTTTGGCAACATCGGTGCAAACTTGAGCTGCCGAGACTGTGCACAATGGCAAGAGATAGCAGTCTTGCGGTAGCAGCATTCACGGCAGCGCGTTAGGCAGACTAAAATGGCTACAATAGTGTAATTTACCTCGCCAAGCCTGAAAGCACTGTAAGCAGCCAAGCCAAGCTTCACAGCGACCTCGGTCTTGGCAACGAAGCTGCAGGCTGCAGCTCACCTTTGTCATACATGGTGCGAAGACTGCCGTCTTGGTGACTCGATGCGCGTGAGGCACGAGGCCGCCAATGGGAGTTGAACCTGTCGCAACAGCTGGGCGAGACTCGTACCGCCGGTATCGGTCGCCGATCTCCAGCGTTTTATGCGATGCAGACCTTGCCTCCAAAATGCGTAACGTCATATGCGCCGTAATGGGGTTTCTGCATGGCGCTGTATGGTGGCGAGCATGGCATGGCGTCTCTCCTTGATCAACTGCAGCCACATGGCGGGATCGGGCGGGTAGTAGGTAGCCGAGCTTGATGGAGGCGGACTCTGCCGGCTCTCACTTTCGGATTCGCCTCCGACCGCACTCCCCTCTTCCAGCGCGTATCCGACGCCATCATGGCTCCAAGTGTTCACATCCCGTCCAAGGGCATCAAGCACCCGCTTGACCCGGTCACAGCTGACGAGGTCCGCATCGCCAAGCAAGTGCTCGCGGACGCCGGGTACTCGAGCCCGGAGCTGCGCTACGCGTACGTGATGCTGTTCGAGCCGGACCACCCGACGCTGGCCAAGTTCGAAGCCGGCGAGTTGGCGGAGATCCCGCGCGAGATCGGCGCGCTCGTGCTGGACCAGGCCACCAACGTCACGCGCGACTTCGTGGTGGACGTCGTGGCGCGCCGCATCGTCAAGGACGTGGAGCTGGACCCCAAGACCGACGGACAGATCCCCATCCTGGACCAGGACTACTGGGACGGCGACTCCATCTGCAAGGCCGACCCGGCCTACGTGGCAGCGCTGGCCAAGCGCGGCATCACGGACCTGGACATGGTGCGCGGCGAGCAGTTCTCGGCCGGCGTCTTCGGCTACGAGGGCGAGGAGGGCAACCGCATGATCCGCGTGCTGAGCTTCCTCAAGGTCGAGAACACGCACGCTATGTACGGCCACCCCATCGACGGCCTCGTGGCGCACGTCGACCTGACGAACCGCAAGGTGCTCAAGCTCGTCGACACGGGCTACACGCACATCCCGATGGAGTCGGGCGACTACCTGGACCCGAAGATCACGGGCCCCATGCGCACGGACATGAAGCCGCTGCACATCAAGCAGCCGGAGGGCGCCAGCTTCACGGTCAAGGACAACATCGTGTCGTGGCAGAACTGGGAGATCCGCGTCGGCTTCAACGGCCGCGAGGGCCTCACGCTGCACGACATCTCGTTCAGCGACCGCGGCCGCAAGCGCAAGATCCTGAACCGCGCGTCCGTGTCCGAGATGGTGGTGCCCTACGGCGAGCCCTCGCCCACGCACGACTGGCAGAACTACTTCGACGCCGGCGAGTACCAGTTCGGCCGCCTCGCCAACTCGCTCGTGCTGGGCTGCGACTGCCTCGGCAGTATTCAGTACCTGGACGCGACGGTCGTCGACGACTTCTGCGAGCCGTTCGTGATCAAGAACGCCATCTGCATGCACGAGGAGGACTTCGGCACGCTCTGGAAACACACCGACGTGCTCGCGTCGCCGCCCACGGGCACCGTGCGTCGCCAGCGTCGCTTCGTGGTCTCGTTCTTCGTGACGGTGGGCAACTACGACTACGGCTTCTACTGGTACTTCTACCTTGACGGCAGGATCGAGTTGGAGTGCAAGGCCACGGGCATCGTGTTCACCTCGGGGCGACCGGAGGGCGAGTACGAGTACGCGACCGAGATGGCCCCGCGCCTCGGAGCGCCGTGCCACCAGCACCTGTTCTCGGCCCGTCTGGATGTCGCCATCGACGGCAACAAGTGCCATGTCGACGAGCTGGAGGCCAAGCGCCTGCCGATCAGCCCTGATAACCCTCGTGGAAATGCGTTCATGCGGACGGCCACTCGGCTGAAGACTGAGAGCGACGCCCAGCGCGTGGCCGCGATGGACAAGGGCCGGGTGTGGCGCATCGCGTCGAGCGAGGCCAAGAACCGCCTCGGGCGCTCCACGGGCTACGCGCTCTTCCCGGAGGGTCAGCCGGTGCTCCTGGCTGCGGACGGGTCGTCGATCTGGAAGCGAGCCAACTTCTCGACCAAGCACCTCTGGATCACCAAGTACGCCCGCGACGAGCTGTGGGCAGCCGGGTACACGCCCAACCAGCACCCGGGCTTTGCCGGCCTGCCCAGCTACGTGAAGGGCAACCGGCCGGTCGACGGCGAGGACATTGTGGTGTGGCACACGTTCGGCCTCACGCACTTCCCGCGCGTGGAGGACTGGCCCATGATGCCCGTGGACTACGCAGGCTTCAAGCTGATCCCCGAGGGGTTCTTCGACCGCAACCCGACGCTGGATGTGCCGGAAGACCCGAACGGCAAGGACAGCTCCGATCTGCACGGGTGCTGCCACGCAGCGAAGGAGCCCGTGACGGAGCCGTAAGAATATTAATGTGGGGGGTGTCTTGCCTAGGTTATCGTAAAACAAAAGTCAATGCATTGATCAAGTGGTCTTGTTGCAGAGCAGTTGAAGTTATTCATTTCAACCACGCCGATTGGTCCATGATGATTGCCAATAGGAAGTCGTATTCACTTTGTAGCCATCTTGTACAGAGTTTTGCTCGGACCGTATCCAAACGAAAAGGACGCGAATCAATCCCCGCTCTTCCAGCACCGAACGATGCGTCCACGCCATGCTGTTCGCCCTGCAGTGTTCCCGCATATCACCTCATGGCTGACCTTCGTCTTGCTCTGTATAGTGTCCTGCATGGCATTGGAAGTTTTGCTGGAGGTGCAATTGCCTCTGGAGCCTCCGCCCGAGCACAAACAGTTTCTACTGCTCTCCGGGCAAGAGCCTGTGGACACGTTGGAGGCTTTTCGAGTGAGGCACGGCCAGACAACCGCTTGGAGATACAATATGCTGGTGCAGATCTGCCAGCGACCGCGAGTGGTGTGTCGACGGGAGGTGCCATTGCTTTACTCGATGCAGATCACCTCACCAGGCGGGGGAGTCGTGGGGGAGCTGCAGATACTGGAGGGCGTTGAGCCGGCGGATACCGTGCTTGAGTTTGCATTGCAGCATGATATTGGGCGGGAAGGAAGAGCAACAATTCTGGAAGCGGTGTGTGCAGTTCCTCGTGTGGTGTGCACGCGGTACAACGCATTGATGCACTCAAAGACTGTCAGTGGAGATGGAGGAGTCGTCATTGGTAAGCTCGATATCTACGACGATGTGGAGCCCGTGGACCAAATTTACAAGTTTGTGAAGGACCATAAGCTGCCGCTGCTTGCGATGGAGCAGTTGCTCTCCGTAACGTGCTCTGTTATTGGAGACGCGCAGTGCCAGCGCGCAGTTCCGTTGGTGTACTCGCAGCGCATTGTAGTGAAGGACGAAAGCACCGGAGAACCTCGTCAGCTTGGGGTCCTGCAAATTCCGCTTGGACAAGAGCCCGCTGATGTGGTGCATAGTTTCGGGCTGAACTACGGGCTGGCCAAGCCGTTCCGGCAAAATCTAGTCCGTAAGGTGTGCGATGACACCTACGTGACTTGCAAGCGCCTGAAGCCGATCGTTTTCTCGTCGCCTGTGGCCGTGGAAAATGGCACAACAGTGGGTTTTTTATCGATTCGAGAGGACGAGGAATTAACGGATGCCGTGCACAGGTTCTCGAGACAAACAAACATTACCCGGGACTTGCAGGTGTCGTTGCTACAAGCTTTGTGTGGAACTCGGGAAGGCATTCTATGCACTCGAGGGCAGGCACTTTTGCGATCAACCCCAGTGAGTGACGGCACTGGCCAAATTTTAGGCTACGTGAACATTTACGAGGGTCAAGAACCCGCAGATGTGGTTTATCATTTCGCAGACCAACACAATTTGGCTCCTGGTGACCGGGATACGCTGCTAGAAAGTTTGTGCAATCCTCCCAAATCGGCGTCCGGTCAAGAAGAGAACGATGATGAGGAAGATGAAGAACCGCTCGCTTGCTCGCGTTACGCGCCTGTAGTGTTTCGAGTGCCCGTGGCAGCGCAAAACGGATCGCATCTTGGAATTCTAGAGGTGCTTGCCAACGAAGAGCCGGCAGATGCCGTGGCCAGATTTGGCAACAAACACGAGCTGGGTCCGGAAGAAAAGAAGAGCATCGTCACTGGTGTGTGCCAAGCCAGTGGTCTCGAATGCACGCGTGATGTCGGAATCCTCTACGAAGCTAAAAAAAACATAAAAAGTCAATGCATCGATGTAAAGGTTTTGTTTCAAAGCGTTAACCATAATTCATGTTCACGACCCAAACGCAACTTTATCCTCGAAGCCTACAAGTTGAAGTTGCCATTTCGCCGATTGGTCAATGATGATCGCTAATACTACTACATGTACTAAGTATTAAGTAGGAATGTGTTGATCTAAAAAGCGTGTCATCTCTTCTCCTGAGCTTGGTGCAGGTCAAATTACACATCCGTATCTACGTCCTGCCGTCGACCAGCAGAGTTAAGCCTAGCGACAGCATAGTTTGGCCACACGAAAACGTAATACATTACATTACATCTACATCCTACGACATAAGTTGACTTCAACTTTTTATTCCTTGCAGTCTGCTTTAGCACGATAGCTGAGCTATCATAGCTCTGCACCAACACGCATGAACGCTAACACGCAACCACCATTTCCTATAACCATGTTTCGCGTTTATTAGACTGAATACAATGCGCAGCGATAGCGGCCGCCCCAACTTTACGACAACTACACTGCTGGACATGCCCACATGCACAAGCGCACACGAGCGCCTCATACTTACTTGCTTACTTGCTTGCTTCGCGAGCTGGCCTCTCTTGTAACTTGCTCTCATCGCCACCGACGTAGTAGTAGTACTGGTGGTGGTGGTGATCGTCGTCGTCGTCGCTGTCTACGCGCCGGGCACGGGCGAGCTCTTCTTGAGCTTGAGCGCCGCCTGCGCCGCCGCGAGTCGGGCGATCATCACGCGCATCGGCGAGCACGACACGTACTTGAGGCCCACCTTCTCGAAGAACTCGATGGACTGCGGGTCGCCGCCGTGCTCGCCGCAGATGCCCAGCTCGATCTTGGGGCGCGTCGCGCGGCCGCGCTCCACGGCCAGGCGCACCAGCTCGCCCACGCCCTCCTGGTCCAGCGTCTCGAACGGGTCCTTCTCCAGCACGCCGTGCTTCACGTAGTAGGACAGGAACTTGGCCTGCGCGTCGTCGCGCGAGATGCCGAACGTCATCTGCGTCAGGTCGTTCGTGCCGAACGAGAAGAACTCGGCCACCTCGGCCAGCTTGCCGGCCTGCAGCGCGCCGCGCGGCACCTCGATCATCGTGCCCACCTTGTAGTCGAACGACTTGCCGCGCTTGCCGATCACGTCCTGCACCACCGACTTGACCAGCTTCACCTGCTGCTCCAGCTCCTCGAACGAGCCCACCAGCGGGATCATGATGTGCGGGTGCACCGAGATGCCCTCGCCGGCCACCTTCACGGCCGCCTCCGCGATGGCCTTGGCCTGCATCTCCGTGATGCCCGGGTGTACGATGCCCAGACGGCAGCCGCGCAGACCCATCATCGGGTTCGCCTCCTTCAGGCCGGCCAGGCGCGACTGCACCGTCGCCTTGCTCACCTCCATCTCCTTGGACAGCGTCTCGCACAGCTCGTCCAGCGCGCTACCCTCGTGCGGCAGGAACTCGTGCAGCGGCGGGTCCAGCATACGGATGGTCACCGGGAGGCCGTCCATGGCGCGGAAGATGCCTTCGAAGTCGCCCTGCTGGAACGTGCACAGCGCGTCGAGCGCCTCCTGCTGCGCCGGCGAGTCCAGCTCCACGGCGCCGATCATGCGTCGCACGGCGGCGATACGCTGCGCGGAGCTGAAGAACATGTGCTCCGTGCGCGTGAGGCCGATGCCCTGCGCGCCGTGGGCGCGAGCCTCGCGGGCGTCCTCGGGCGTGTCGGCGTTCGTGAACACCTCCATGCGGCGGTGCGCGTCCACCCACTTCATGAACTGCGCCAGGTCGCCGCTCATGGCAGCCTTCTGCAGCTCCTGCTCGCCCTTGATCACCTCGCCCGACGTGCCGTTCACGCTGATGTAGTCGCCCTCGCGCAGCACCACCTCGGCGCCGCTCGACGTGTGCACGCGCATCGTCTTGCTGTTGGCGTCGATGGACAGCGCGCTGCAGCCGCACACGCACGGCTTGCCCCAGCCGCGGGCCACCACGGCAGCGTGCGACGTCATGCCGCCGCGAGACGTGAGGATGCCCTCGGCCGCGTGCAT